AGTAATTAGGGTAAATTGTACATTTTATATTGTGTGTTTAGATTTACTATTTTAATTGTCCCACAGTTCGTCTAGTGTGACTTATCTGCCTTGTCGAGCATATATATATATATATATAAGAGAATTTAAGAAGATATAATTATCAAATAATTAAAAGATTTTGTTGTTACGTTCAATTGTTTGTTCAAATTTTTAAGAGCAAAAATCATTTTTGGTCTTATCAATTTTGGTCTCACTCAAATGAAAATTTATCAAAAGATGGTTGATTGGGACATAACACGGTCGTGTTGGTTTGAACACGGGCGTATTTGATGACTCGGAAGGTGACTGGGCGTCCCAGGCAGCCAACACGGCCGTGTTGATTACCTTGCACTTCTGAACACAACACAACTATGTTTTAGTCCATGTTCACGACCATGTTTTAAATATAATCATATTGTATGTCATGTTTATTATTATTTTCACTTATTGGTTAAAATTATTTGATATATATTTATAATTCATAAAAAAATATTTTTTATAATTATTGCATAATATAAAAAATAATTAATTTTCAATATTTTAAAAAAATAATTGCAAAAAAAAAAATATAAAAATAATAATATATTAATATCTTTTAAATAATTCAAAATATGAGCGAATCGAGATCACATCCCTACATTGAGTAATGAAAAGATGGACGGCTGGGATTGCTCCATGCATCGCTACTATCAGATTCGGATAGATCTAACCTTTTGCATAAGTCGTGCGATTGAAATTAATTAATTAATTAATTCATTCATTCATAATGATATGAGTCTGATTAATAATATAAATCTAAAAATAGGTTTGCATGAATATTTATTTGTCTGAATGCAAAATTTGACTCCAAACATTAATTAAATTAAAGTAAATCAATTATATATTTTAATTAATAAATACACACGATGCCGAACATAATTTATTTATTTAATTAATTATTTTATGGTTCGTCGTATCTGGAAATTCGGAATGCATGGCTGCGCAATTACCAAATAGCACACACACACATTCATTAATTGTCTGCTGTTTACTTGGATCTTTTACTTATTTAATTTATTAATGATATTTGAATGTAATTTTTTTAATGAAAATATATTAGAAATCTAATACTTTTAGACTATTATATTATATTCATAGAGAGTTTGATTGCTCCAATCAGCCTATGAAAATTGATAAATAACATCATTGTCATTTTCTTTTAATTTATATATTTTATTAATATAAATTATGTGTTATTTGTTATTATATTTTATATTGTCTGTTATTCACCTATGTATTAGCAGCATTATATTGACTTATAAAATTCAGGTAAGCTTAATTCTATATATATATTTGTTTGATTGTAAATAATAGTGTGAAAATTTAAATGAATACATTGGTAAATATGGCATATTAATATTATTTTTTTTTGGGATAAAATAAATATATTTTTTTTATATAAAAAATTACAATAGTTGAATAATAAAAATTTTGAAAATAATTTCTAAACAAATGTGGCATATTAATATATTTCATACAACTCAGATAAAAGTATAGCATATTATACATATATACATGTATATATATGGATAGCATATAGCTCTTATATATATTAACATCATACATATTATTTAAAGAATAAGCACATGCAATTGGAGGAAAAAAACATACGAGTATATTATTATTATTATTATTATTATTATTATTATTATTTGAATGCAAATTTATTAATTATATGCATAATTGGATAGATGAAAAATAAATAAAAATCAGTTACATGTTGATGTTGGTACAGTTATAAGGTGATCATGTGACCTAACACCTTAAACTAATCATATTAATTAATTAAATTAATGTAGATATTTAATAAATTTGAATATAAATTTCATTTTTTATACATTAAATAGAACATTATTTTAATCAATAACATGCATCAACAATAATGAATGTTTTTTACTTTTTAGTTACCGGTTGGATCTAAAATTGGTACTCCTTTGTCACCTAAAAATATGCTCAAATTTTTTGGCATGAATTTTAATACTATAGTATAATTTTTTTTGTTATTTTATTTTTTATGGTAAAAAATTATAAAGCAATAATTTTTTACTTAAAAAATTAAGAATTATTTTAGGTGACAACAAAAAAAAAAAAAAGAGTAAAAATTTAAGTGACAAGAAAGTAATAATTATAGTTTTTTAAGATGGGATTCAATTATAGTTTTTTATTTCTATTTTTCACCTAAGTAAATAAATTTTTATATATTGAAAACTATACTTTCTCCGTATCAATTTAAAGCACTTTTTTCTAATATTTTCGTATGTTTTACTAAACTTTTTTTAAAAAATAATTATTTATTTATATTAAAATATTGTTAATTTTTACATAAATTGTAAACATATCCTTACATATACAATTCATTTATATATAAAGTATAAAAGGTAAAAATATCAAAATTATCTTACACGTTTTTACTAATTAATAAAATACTATTATTTTTTAATTTACTAATATATATATATATATTTATACACATTAGATTGGAACGAAAAAAAAAATTATCCTTTTAATTTATGAACTAATTTATGGAATATTAATTATATATAATATATTTATATTATATAGAATTTAGTCATTCACAAAAGTTAGATCGATGAACGATGATAATTAACTACATGCAACATTAATTATTAATTTAAATAATATATTGTTGACTTATTATAATTCATGTGATGTCCGTCCATAGTAAATGTATGACACAATAAATCCTTTTTCTCACGCTAGCATTTCATTTTAATAACTTAAAATGTAATAATACGATCGTCTTAATTTATTTGTTAGTTTTTGTTTCGGCATTTCATTTTGATGATTTTAATTATTTATCCTTATTTTTTTTGTTTGTGGTAATTTTATAGTAAATTGTATTGATAAATATAAAAGGGGAAAAAATAAATTAAAAAAAAAAAAGCCTACAAATATTTTAGGACATTTCAAAATAAAACTTATAGCAAATAAATTAAAAGGGACTTATGAACATTTTTATTTAATTGAGTTGAGTTGGTCACATTGACCTAATTAAATAAATTTGTGTATGCAGATATATAGGTAAAGCCTGACCCTGTCAAAAACATAAATACATATATCTATCTATTAATTAATTAATTAATTACACATTAAATTAAGACAGTCATGTAATTTAATGTCTAAACATTTTCAAGTAGAAATAGTCTCCACAACACTAAAGTGTCATTTAACTATGTTATGAATGCCTACAAATACATTCGACAAATGCATAAAATCATCACCCACCCCCCCCCCCCACCCCCACCCCCACCCCCACCCCCTACCAAGTCTTATTCGTATTATTATTACTTGTTTCATTCCAAATAATTTATCTGTTTTGTCATTTTGATTTGTTGAAATATAAAAATTCTTACAATTCATTTATTATACATATAAAATATTAATATTAATATTCTAAAATTTATGGACAAAAAACAAATAAATCTATTGACTCCGGATAGAAAGAGTATTATTGTTGTTGTTTAGTATATACTGCTTTGTTTATATACACAATTTAAAAGGTTTTTATATTATACATCAAGAAACTTTCTTAAGAAAATATATCATATTGGTATTAAATATATATTTTTCTCATAAAATATTAAAATAACTATTCAAATTATTATTATTATTATTATTACTATTTTTTAATTCTCGGAATTCTGATAAAAACAAAAGCTTTAAAAGGTGCTGAGCTTCAGCAGCAAATGGTATTAAATTTATTGTGGAAATTTGTCTTACATATTCTCTTTTTCCCAATTATTCCCTAATCACGATTACATATTCTCTCCCATATTAATAAACTGTCCAAGATAACTATAATTACTACAACCAATAAGTTAAATTTACTAATTAATTTTTCACTCACACATATTTAAAATTAGGACTATATTTACATAAATAATATATCACATTAAAAAATTTAATTTCTATTATTTTCAAAAACTTCAAGTGTATTTCCTTTTTAAAAAATTTGTTAATTTTTACTTTGAAATTTTATATTTCCATCCATAAAATATGATAACAAATAGTATTATGCAAATATAAAATACAAACTAAGCGGGTGTTCACACAATAGTATTTTTTGCTTATATAAATATTACAACCTATACAATATATATTATGCTTATTCACAAAAAATTATGCTTATTCACAAAAAATTCAACAATAAGCCAATATAAAGTACTCAAATTGTCCATCAAACTTACGTAAGAATTTGTGTTGTCTATTAAACTTATATATTTTTTCTGTGACTAATAAGTATATATTTATTTTTATATGAAATTTAAAAAATAATAGTATTATAATTGTGATTGGTAGTTAAAAATAGTTTATAAACAATTTTGCACTTTTTTAAAGTGTAAAAATAACTATGCAATGGTAAAATAAATATATTTGTGAAAAAAAATTAATATTCAATAAAATTATTATTTTGTAATTGAACAACTCAAAATAAAATTATTTAGCGAGAAGAATGAAATACTTTTTATTTATAATAATAAAAAAAAACTTTATCTATTCAAAAAAACCTATTACCCTTCATTTCACATACAAATAATGACTTTGTCACTACAAAATAGTCTCACCTATGTAACTTTTTTCCGGAACTTTTTAAAATAATTTCACTACTTTTTTATCTATTATACTTTTACAATAAAATATTATTATTTTTTAATTTATATATATACATGGGCATATTTACATAATTTTGATGGAGGAGAAAATATAAAAAAAAAAAAAAAAAAAAAACCATCTCCAAAACTGGAGCTTAAATTATGACATCATCAATTGATTTATTTAGTGGAAAGTAAAAAACAAATCTTTATTGGACACATCCCAAGGTGGGGTGGGGAGGGGTGCTTCCTTCGTTGCTTCCTTCTTAGGAAAAGGAGAAGAAGGAAGGATCGCATGAACCCACCCTCCCCACCCCCAACCACTCTTATCCATAATCTTCCATCTCTTTATAATCCCCCATCCCTTCACTCTTTTTTTCCACTCTAAACCAAATTTCAATTCAATCTTCTTCTTCTTCTTCAGACAACACCGTACCGTACCGTATAATAATACATCACTGTAAACAACAAACAACATTAATCAATCAACAATGGCGGATGAAAGCTCTACACTGGAATTCATACGCCAGCACCTCCTCGATGACCACACCTTCATCGACAACTACTCTTCACCATCTCCCGACAACATTAATCTCCTCGTCTTCTCCCCCAACCTCTCCCATTCTTCTTCTTCTTCTTCTTCGTCGTCGTCGTCTTCTTCTTCCTCCTCCGTCGATCAATCCCAATCCCAATCTCCTGTCTACCCCTCCTTCTGCAACTTCATCTCCTCCAACAATATCATCTCCTTCAGCCCCGAAAACATCGATTCTCCTGAATATCTTGATTTCGAAATCAAGCCGACAATCGCCAACACTCACCATAAATCCACCAAATTTTCCGACAGAAAGCCGTCGCTCAACATATCAATTCCTCAGCCGGAAAGCCGCGGCGCCGGCGGCGGAGATAGAAGGCATTACCGGGGAGTCCGGCAGCGGCCATGGGGGAAGTTCGCCGCCGAGATACGCGACCCTAACCGGAAAGGCACACGTGTCTGGCTTGGGACGTTCGACACGGCGGTCGAAGCCGCCAAAGCCTACGACAGGGCGGCGTTCAAGCTCAGGGGGAGGAAAGCCATACTCAACTTCCCCCTCGAGATCGGGAACGCCAGAAATACATCGGAAAACGCACCTGGTATCGCCGCCGGCGGCCGGAAAAGGGAGAGGGAGACGGAGACGGAACAACGGACGGCGAAGGATGCCAAGAGGGAAGAACGGGAAGAAGTAACGGCGTCAGTGCCTTTGACGCCGTCAAGTTGGACGGCGGCCATATGGGACAGTGTGGACGGGAAGAGCATATCTGACGTCCCGTTACTGTCGCCGTTATCTCCTTATCCTAGCCTCGGCTATTCATGGCTCATGGTTCAATGAGACAATGACTTCTCGCGAGGACTAAAATGCACCTGGCGCTAAAAGTCGGGGGTGCATGTAGGATTTCTAAAAGTTTGGGGGTAGCATGAAAATAATACTGAACACTTATGCGGGGGCTTGTGGAGTTCACCATGTTCAATGTTCAGTACTATTTGTTTATTCCTTTGTAATTTCTCTAAGTGAAACGGAAGCACGTTTCTATCGTACGAGTAGCAACTTCTAGTCTTTCTTTCTTTCTTTTTTTCAAACACGACTTTAATTAAATTTGATTAGCTCCAGTCAAGTAGGAAAATATTAAACAATGATGCTGATAATATATTTCAATAAACATCATCAATCATATCGTTTGAATTAGCACAATAAAGCAACGTCGTGTATTTTTCTAAAAATAAACCATATGTCAAAATCAAACTAAATAATTAAATATGGATGACATTGTATTTTGTGCATGTTAGCAATCGTGATCAACATCAAAATAATTCAAATTAGTTCCGAGTCAAAAATTCGGTCACGACAATGGTTAGATAATTTATTATTTGCATTTGTTTGTGGGATTGTTCATTTGTTTGCCCAGTTCAACTCCTTTGGGAAGAAACAAATTAAATTTAGGCCGTATTTGTTTTGATATATTTGAAGGTAGTGAAGATCAAACTATTCTTTCAAATAAATAAATTTTGTATATTTTAGATCTATAAAAAATTATCTGTAAAATTAAGCTTCCATATTATCTTTTAAGAGTATTTTATTTCAAATATGAAATAATTCAAGCCGATCCAATTAAAATCCAAATCCAAGACCATTCTATCATGAACAAATAACAATAATATAATAATAATAATAATAATAATAGTTAATCAAACAGAACAAATTTTAAATATTCAATGGTCAAACGCATTTGATCAAGACTTCAAACCCAATCAATATTTAAAAAAGGCTCAAGTGAAAATTGTTGAATTGAATTTTATTTGGTAGGTGTCGTTTATTTGTTTGGTTGTGTTTTCTCCTTTCCCATTTTATTATTCATCTACATTAAATTGTTTATCTTTTTCTTCTAAAACATTAATTGTATATTAACATATTACATTTAAAATAAAATAAAATAAAATAAAATAAACTTTTTAAAATATCAAATGAAATATATCACAGTTCAATTCAAAACACACATAAATACAGCCGTAATTTCAATAAGATATTTTTTTTCCCTTTACAAAGCAACACACTTTGAAAATGGCTAGCTATGTGTAAATATGTCAGATCATCAATGCACGAACTTAGAAATTTTTGCCATGAGAAAACTTCAATAGAGCAAAATTTTCCAAAAGTAGAATTAGAAATTAGACTGCAAACATGCATCATGCCACAATTTACAAGTTATTTATTTAAAAAGAAAACAAGAGAGCAACATCATGATAAACTAGCTTACCAAATATTTTATGCACAAGTTAAACATCAGCAGATTGTTGAATCAGACTGGACTTCTTTTAAAAAAATATTTTCAAGATTATAGAAAATTAATCATTTCTAATGTCAAAATGATTAATTAAAATACACCAATCCCTGGCATTTGGCAATCACTGATTGAGTTTACAAATTGGAATAAGGGGTGTGGTGGTCAGCAAGTAGGTGAAGAAACTGCATAAACTAATGGTGATGGTCATTAAAATGCAGTTCTTGAAAGCCCATAATATTATAAAAATGGGCAATCATGCTTTTCATGGCAACTTACATAACCTGGCAATCTTATTTTATCACCAATTTAATTATTGCAACAAACAAAAACATATTGCATCACTAGGGTTCTGCTCAATAATACAAATCAATCACTTGCCAACAACTTGTGTTGTGGAAAGCCAAAACAACACATTCTGCAAGTTGGAGCAAATATTATCATTATTGGTTTGATCCCAAGAAAATAAAAACTTGGGCCGACATGGCTCACCTAATTTTATAATAAATCTATTGTCCTCCTAAGTGTGAAACTACACTAAAAATCAAACTTGACCCTATTCCTAAATGGGCTCACAATATTAGGCTAAAGTTCAACACAATGTTCTAAATCCATTCAATCAATCAAGACATGGTGTCCTAAGGGTTTTGCTAGCGACATAAGCAGCAGCCACACAAAACAAAACTGTCCACTTCAGGCAAACCATATGCAACCAATTATTCCTCTTATTATCACTTCTTGGCATTAACTACTCTCTACTTCAAAAAAATCTATATGGGCTAGCTGCACATCACAAGATTATTAGACTGTGGAGCAATTTACTACAGTACACAGCAGATCAAAATAAATAAATTGAAATATGACGGCATGTGTTCCATGAAAAGGGGCAGTGCTCAAATAGTCCCCAAGTTGCAAGTTGCAATAACCAACATCCCACTGAGAGAGTAAATGCAAGAGAAGAGAGAGTGGAAGACTTACTTTAAGCACAGCAGCATGGATGATCAATTTTTCCACAACTTGCTTCTTTCATTAATGCCATTCCTGAAATATCAAGAATGTACGGAAATACCAGAAGTAACCCTTTTGACTACTCTACACTGCACTAAATTGATCTGCAAAAAGATGTCAAAAAAGTAGTTGAATGAGAAAATGAATAGAAAGTCAGAGGGGAGAGGTTGAAGAGAGTTAGAGAACAGTGCAAAATCTTTCAACACAGTAGAATCCAAAACAGCAAACAGCACAGCAAACCAATTTGATCTGCCCACTAGATCAGAAACAAGAACAGCCCACTTGTTGTATGGACCTGTAGTCACATCAACAAGGATTAAGAAATAGCTTTCTCAGAATTCTGTCCACAGTGACCTTTGCAATTTGCACACTTCCTAAACCCCACCCTCATTTAATATTATTTCTTGGATAAAGATAAACAACAATCAATCACCGGTGTATATCTACCCTTAGAAATGATGTAAGCATCTGTGAATCCCTATCTCCAGCTAGCTATTACCATTAACAAGCTCACCTCATTCAGTGTGCAAACCGCTTCCACTTTCCAATAATCAAACCCCACTTTGTGTGTGCCTGCGTATATATATACTGACCTGCCACTCCTGATCTGGTTTCAAGCAAGCACATCCCTTCCTGCATCAATTTCAAATAAGAAGAAAAAGAGGAGGAATTAGTAGCAGTGAAATTCAATTTCTGCATGATTATGTCTTCTGATGAAACCCTAAGTTTGGAGTTCATACGTCAGTACCTTCTCGAAGACTGCAGCTCTGCGGAGGCGTTGGTCGGCAACCTCGCGCTCTGTTTGTCGGATTTCTATGGTGATCGGCCGATTTGGAGCCCCCAGCGAAACGACTCCCCCTCGGATTTCTGCTCCGATTTGGACAATCACCCCGACTCGCCAATTGCGCGCTACTTCAATTTCAGCCCTGACATCTTCGAGTGCGAATCGAAGCCACAAATCGAAATGAGCTGCGTACCGTTGGAGGAGGGAGCCTCTACAACTACTACACAAAAACCGCCCGTCAAACCCGAACCCGAATCCGCGGAGTCGTACCCGCCCACTTTGATCGAAGTCGGCGAGGGAAGGCATTACAGAGGAGTCAGGAAGCGGCCGTGGGGGAAGTACGCCGCGGAGATCCGGGATCCGACCCGGAAAGGCAGCCGGGTATGGTTAGGTACTTACGACACGGAGGTGGACGCCGCCCGGGCTTACGACTCTGCCGCCTTCAGGATGAGGGGAAACAAAGCCATTTTGAACTTCCCGCTGGACGCCGGAAAATCAGCGCCGCCGGCAATCACCGGCCGGAAGAGGATGAGAAGAGAGGGGACATCTGATGATTGTGGAACCCCGAGTCCTTGAACTTTACCATTTCCTTAAAAAGCCTTTGTAAGATTTCACCATGGATGAAAATACTAGGGATGGAAACACTGTAAATTTGCATTATTACTTAAGCAGCCACAAATAGATGGGTATGACACTTCCAAATCGTGAGTGAAATTTCTGATCCTAACATAGATTTTAGGCATTAAAAAAGTAGAAAGCCAAGAACTGCACAAGAAAAAGAGCACTGGATTTATAAATAGCAAGGAAATATTTGCTGAATAACACAAAAGCAGCGTGAACAATGGATGATCTTGAGTATTATAGCTACATGTCATAAACTGATGAATATTACAGACTGATCAAAACATTGTGTTTGCCAATTCGGATAGTTCGGATGCGACCTGATCGCATTCGCCCTTCAACTTCTCTTGCTCCTCCTGTCCGAGTTCACCTTTGGTGGGCTTCGTTAGTACCAAAACACAGCACGTTGGCCTCTTGGTGGCTCCGGCATTGGCAAGGTCCTGAACAGAGTTCATTGAGATTTCAGCATCCAACATAATGAGATGAATCGGGTGTGAACACGAGCATATAAAGAATAGCACCACGGGTAATGTAGCAATATTCAGGGGCATTGCAACAAATTCTGGTTAAAATATTGGCTTTTCCCGAGTGATGCAAAAAGATGCAACATTTTTGCAGCCCCCTCCGTCTGCCCCACGAATGTATAGAAATGAAAGTTTGGTCAAAAATGTATAGAAATGCATAGTCAGATTTGGTGAGGAAGGCCGTTTAATTTAGTTATATATTATACTTTTTCAGTCATCTAATTTAGGCCTCACCGTTTAAGGGTTTAAGGGTGTATTTGTTTGGATGATTGGATTTTAAATACACTATCAATCCCATTTTTTTCCCCCAAAAAATCAAATCAAACACCTATTTTTTATTTTTTATATTATACTAAAAATCAATTTTACATTCAAAACATCACATCAACACCTATTTATATCACATCATACAACTATTCAAATTCAAAATTTTTACTATTCAAATCCCAACTCAAAATCCAAATCCTCCAAACAAACACACCCTAAAGGTATCCTCTTTTTCTCTACCCTCTTTCATAAATTTGGTTGAAGAATACATCAAACAGCATACTTTAAAAGTGCGAGCTAAATAAATATCCCAACATGCGTAGAAGATTGATCAATGTAATACAAGAGTGTCTAATGAATTTGAGGGAATAAGTGCAGTGCAACTTACTTCCTTTGATGGGACATACACATATGGAATGTTGGCTTCTTCACATAAGATGGGTACATGAGTGATCACGTCTATGGGTGATATGTTCCCAGCAATAACACATATTCTGCAGCGATGATAAAGATATTTATGTTAGAAAGAAGTAGATAAAGAGAACCAAATCTGAGCACGGTTCTTAGTGAATCCCAAAATGCTCATTTCTCATTCCCACCTCAGTCTCAGAATTGAAATCACCAATGTTTAAAAGGTAACTTCTTGCATTGAAAAAAAAAAAAAAAGTAAACAACAACAAACACATTTTAACCAATCATTTTCTTCAGATTCAATTCATTCATGCTACAAATCTAGTGTCCTACCGCCTATAACTACGAAGAAATCAGACATCAAATCACATCTAATTATTTGACAATGCATTATATTGAATCAAATATATATGTTTGAATAATTGACAATCCATTTCTATTCATATCAGGGAAGCACCTACAGAAAACCTTCCAAGCAAGCATCCAGACCGGGTTGATGGAAGTATTCAACAATATAAAGCAGAGTGGGGTTGCTCTTTAACGAAAATACATCTTTCTAGTAAATCTTACAAAATAATAAATAAATAAAAACACAACTACACGGTGAGGAACTTAGTAAAAAAATTGTAGGTAGTTTTAAATCAGATGCAAGCGGCAGTTACATTCGATCGCGACTCACCCTTTGTTACCGCGGCGAATACTCTTGACCACTTCCTTAACTCCTCTCTTCAGGCATTTGTGCTCCGCCGCTGAAATTAGATATGATAATACGGAGAAGGAGTAAGTAAACAGAAGCAAATATACAAAACAAGAAACCCGTCACTGAGAGCGTAACAAGAACCTCGACGAACAAGCTTCAGAGTGCGCTTGGAAAGCTTTTTTCCGGCCAAAGGTTTGGCTATGGGGGCGATAGCCAGATACTTCTTCTTCTCCCGCTCCTTCTGGGCCGTCCTCTCGGATTCGCTGTCGCTCCCCATCCCGCTTTCTCTGTTGAGTTCCGAGGGTTTACCGGCTAGGGTTTAGGGTTTGGCAGACGATTGATCTTAAATATGGGAGCTCCAATCTTCGAAATGACCTTTTTGTCCTTATTGGTTCTGCTCGGCTCCGCTAGGTGTGTTTATTTCCATTTTCTGGCCTTATTTGTTCGTTTATTATGTTTTTGGGAGTAACAATCAGTTTTTGTCCATTCAACATCATAATTATTAATTTTGGTTCGATTAAAAAAAAATTATCAATATTATTCCACTTGAATAAAAATTTATCAATTTTATTTCTAAGATGTTGACTGAGATTGAAAGACTGAACACGGGATGCTCTCAAACCGTGTTGATTACCTGCACTTTTGAACACGGCTGTGTTCCTGCCTTCATGTTCTTGCCAATGTTCTTAACACCTAGGTCATATTTGTTCATGTTTTCAACATAACCATAACCATGTTCTATGTTATTTCACGACTATGTTTTCAATATAATCATATTGTAAGTAGTATTTATTATTACTTTTACTTTTTTTATTAAAATTATTTGATATATATTTATAATTCATCAAAAATATTTTTTACAATTATTTTATAATTTTAAAAATAATCAATTTTTAATATTTTTAAAATATATAAAAATAATAATATATTAATATATATTTTTTTAATAATCATCATTATATAAATATTTAAAAATTTATAGTACAAATATTAAAATATTATTTTAAATTAATTATTTCTATAAATTATAAATTAAATTTATTATTTAAAATAATATTTAAAAATAATGCTCCATTCGTCCCACGTTGGATGTCTTGGTCAATGTAAACACGATAATTTATAATTTATGATAAGTATAATTAGTAAATAATTAAGAATGTATTGGTGAAAATAATTATCATATAATATAAATTAAGATTAAAATAATTCATTAGTTTAATTAAAATTAAAAATAAAAAATTAAAAATAATGTATAATTATTTTTCAAAAAGTGACATGGGAGGTGGGAATGACGACAATTTGGACATAGTAATGGTAAGTGGGACGGAGGGAGTATTATTAAAAATATAAGTTAATATATTATTATTTTTATATATTTTAAAAATATTAAAAATTGATTATTTTTATATTATAAAGTAATTGTAAAAAAAATATTTTTTTTGAATTATAAATATATATATATAATAATTTTAACCAAAAAGTGAAAATAATAATAAATATGACCTACAATTTCTTATATTGAAAACATGGTCTAGAACATGGCTGTGTTGAGAACATGAGCATGAACATGATAGGAACATGGCCTAGAATACCGTGTTGGCTGTCTGAACGCCTAGTCACCTTATGAGTCATCCAACACGGTCGTGTTCGAGTCAATACGGAAGTGTTCAGTCCCGTCAACTATCTGGGACTAAAATTGATAAATTTTTATTTGAGTGAGACCAAAATTGATAATTATGATATTGAAGGGGACCAAAAATAATTTTTGCTCTGATTTTGGGTATAATTTTTCAACAAATTTCTCTAAATTTTATTATTTGGATTTATGCGTTTCGAAAAAAATACATTTTTAAAAAAATATATTTCACCAAATATTATTTTAATATTAAAATCAAATCAAGTTGAAAAAAAAAATATATTTTTTTTATAAAATATTTTACAAAATATTATTTTAATATTAAAATCAAACCAATTTTTCTTAAATTCGATCAAAAAGTAAAGCTTTATTATTGTCATTTTTCGATTAAAGAAAATACTAATTTTGTAGGATATAGGATTGAATTGGTGGCAGCGAAATTGAAGTTACGGTTCAAATTTCGATTTCTTTGATTCTTGCATGTCATACATATTCGTCTAGTGTAACTTACTTTATTGACTTTAATTCAGAGGTTATTAAATTCGATCGAAATTGATTGAAAAATAAAAAATATTTGTAAATAATTTAAATTGAACGTAAAATTAAAAATACATTATACAAATATTTATAAATATTTAGAATCCTAAACCATTGAATCAATATAATTATTAATATAAATTTTAAGATATTATATAAATATATAAATATATTATATTAATCGAAAATTTAATTCAATTTATTTAGGTTCAGCAATTCAACGGCTCGACAAATTTTGTATCCAAACCTAAAGATGGGTTTCAATCGGATTTGTCATCCCTAGATTGTCAGCCGATTCAATCCATCCTGCTATATGAGACATACATAAGAATAAGATCATATGGTGTGAATTAGTAGGTAAATCAATTTTGTAACAAGCTATGCCAGTTTTTAGGATATTAGATTCTATCAAACTTTTATCCGGTGTTCATTTTCGAACAGCGGTGACAAATTTTTATGTTATAAAAAAAATATATATTCTAACAATTTATTTATTTAGATGGTAATCTAACAATTAGACAATGATGCCTATTAACATTAATGTGACCTGTTACGTATCGTCCGTTCAAAATAGCTTGTTTTACCGGATTAATGAGCAAATTAACCCAGTAAACAGATCATAAAAATAGATAAATAATATTTTAATTATTTTAATTATATTAATATCAAAATATTTTTTAATTTCTATCTAAATAAAAGAATATATCATTATATACTATTTCCTCAGTTCCACATAATTTGTCCATATTTTTTATTTTCGTCCGTCTCACATAACTTGTCATTTCTATTTTTGGAAATATAATTATGCACTTTAATCGCATTTTATGTTTTAAATTTTATAATTTTCTTAATTTTAATATATAATTATTTTTATTAAATACACTTTTTAATTACTTACTAATTATACTATACAGTAATAATCCTATATTTTTTGGGACAGAAAGAGTCCAAAAATTTAAAAATATCAAAATCATCATTAAATACTCATCAATAAAATATTGTTGTATTATCTTTTGTTTGTTTGAAGGATTTTTGAGGATTTCCACTATTCATCCAATTTTTTCCCCCAAAAACATCAAATCAAACATCTATTTTTCATTTTTTATATTATACTAAAAATCAATTTTACATTCAAAACATCACATCAAACCCTATTTTTATCACATCATACAACTATTTAAATTCAAAATTTTTACTATTCAAATTCCAATCCAAAATCCAAACCCCCGAACAAACGCACCCTAAATGTACATAGTTGAAACTAATATATATATTAACAAAACATATGTGTGATTTGGAAAATTGAAATTAAACCCTAACAAAAGCTCGTCATCCCAGTTTCAGACAGTAGCTAGGGTTTTGGGGCGTTCCTAAACCCCTTGAGAAGACACTCGTCCCCCATCTCTGCTCTGCATCGCCTTCCTCAACTACGGAAAGGATGGCCCTAAGTACAATTTCGTCCCAGTTACGGTCGATAAAAGACGCTCTGAATGCTTCTACTGACCCCGAGCCCGGCAGGCGACGGCCATTGACGCGTCCCTCATTGCTATTTGATCCTAGAGCCGCGGCCGATGTCGATGCCGAGACCATTCTCCAGTTGGCTCTATCTGGTACTGCCGTCGTTCCTTTTTCTTTTATTGAATTGTGGTAGTAAAAGCAAGAATGGTTATTATAGCTGCAATGGTTTTGGAAAAGCAGGTTTGGAGGTGCTAATAACTATGGAGGAGAGATTCAGGAGTTACAAAGACGATTTATTCAGTCAGCAGAGTAAAGAACTGGACAGGGATTTGCTTGGCCAAGAAGAGAACACAAGAATCAATGCAAGCATTTGTTCTTATTTGCGGCTGCTTTCTGGTTATCTCGAGTTGCACTCTGCGGTGAAGACATTGGAGTATTTAATTCGCAAATACAAGTATGGTGATCGTTATAGGTTAATATGACTACACACAAATTCGTGTTTTGCCACTCTAATAATCTCTGTTGGAATTGCAGGATTCATGTATACAATACAGAAGACTTTATTTTATGCGCATTGCCCTACCATGTCACGCATACATTTGTTCAGATAGTGCAATTAATTGACACAGGGTTAGTCTCTATCTAGAGGATGATGCAAGGAGTGATTGCCCTTGTTTTTTGTTTATTTTTCCCATTTATATTAAGGGTCACGTAAGTGAGTATGATACCTTGTGCCGGCTTGAATTGGTTAGTATTTGTGGTGCAGTAATAGTAAATGGAAGTTTCTTGATGGAGTTAAAGCAACGGGTGCATGGCTGCCAAGGGAGGTCATTGTGCAGCAGTGTATTCGAGATATGGGGGTTTTGGAAGCTATATGTAATTATGTAAGAAGCTGTTTTCTGTGCTCGTAATTGATTGGTTCAATTTTCTCTGTATATATCCACAGTACCTGAAAGTGCAGAACCTTTCAGGGATTACCCGTGAAGAAGAATCTACCATCAAAGCCTGTGGTTGGATTCTGCACTGCAGTTGTTTTTGAGGTTTTGGGACAAGTTACCGTTGATAATAATTTTGTGAAGAGGATTCTTCCTTATGTAAGTTCTGGAATGCAACATGGTGCCAGAAGACTAAATCAGAAGGTCAATTTCCAGCTTGTCATTTTGTTTCTTTTCCACGTATCAATTATACATACATTTTGGACTTTAGTTTAGCCTATAATAGGGGCTTACTTATCTCAATGGGGCGCAGGCTGGGGCTCTTATGATTGTGAGTTTGCTAGCCCAAAAAGCAACCCTGGCACGAAATGTTGTCAAAACCTTGTTGCATTCTGTGGCTGATGTAGCTAGGGAAGAATCAAAGGAAAGAGGTGATTTGCAGTGGCTGCGCATGTCAATGATGACTATAATAACCATTGTGCAGGTATTGCCTCCTCCTATATTGGAAAAGAAATCTTATCAGAAGCAGGCTGTTTTAGGATCAATGTTTTTATTATATTATTTTTTTTAATTTGAGAGGCCCAGTACAATATGTGCTCTCGAGGATACAGTGTTTAGCGTAAATTGAGTACTGATGTTGCAACCCCATCATTAGTATGTTTAGTTTCAATTACTGAGGTTGATGCATCATCATTTAACATTTTCTTGTATTTCTAGTTTCAATCTGTGGAGATGATCCCGAAGAAGACTCTAGATGTGTTAAATGAAATCAGGTAGTGATTTTAAATACATCAGTCAGTGTCTTTTCTATTATATTATATTATATATGTGTGTGTGTGTGTGTGTGTGTGTGTGACACTGCCTAACTACAACAAATGAAAAAATAAATTATGCAATTGTTATTTTGCCTATGAAGGGATTTATTAGGGATTCTTTTACAATTGACCAAGGACTTCAACACCGATAAGTTCTCAGCTGTCTTTCTGGATTCTTTATTAGAATACAGGTTGGCAATGCTTTATTTCTCGTATGCATCATTTTTCTTACTGTTACGGACCGCAGCTAATATGTATTCCTTCACAGTACTTGTGATGAGCTCTGTCATCAGACTCTATTGGGAGTGATAAAGACTCTTCCTATTAAAGCATATGTTAACCACACAGTTGCTAGACTTCTTGCCATGGGCATGAAGATATCAGAGGGCAAGTTGATTATGGCATCATCGGAATCAGGTTGGCATTTGTGTTCTCATGAAATTTTGTGTAGTTGCTGCCTTATTTTACTCAAGAAATATGCTTCAAGCTGGACAAGTGGTTCATTTGATGTTATTTTATTCTCTCTAATTTTCAATTTTCTCAGGTAGCCAAGTCAAAAAGATTTTGGTTTCCATTTGCCAGAAATATCCGAGTGAATCACGCGAAGCCTTTCATAGTTTCACGAAGGTCGATTCTTCCCTTTATTCTCTATTGTTTCTCTAGTGTTGCTTTCTTTGTGATGGTACTGATTTCTTTTGGTTCTTCATTTGCAACTTTGATAGGATGCTAAGACTCAGTCCAATAAAGTCCTATCAAGCTATGATTTACTCTGCAATATATTCGATGAAGATTTGGACACATCACTGGAATTTCACTCTCCAAAGTTGTTTTTTGCTTTGGAAAGTTCGGAGGTATTGCTTGATTTCTTGGTGCAATTTGTTAATGACAGTACAAGTGTAGAGCAGCTTTTCTTCCACAATATCTGATTGCTTTTGCATTCATCTGGCCTGCGTAATGCATAATAAAGTGTAAAATTAATGACTGCATAACATGCAATTATACTTGCAGGCCGAGACCCGAAGATTAGGAGTTTTGGGCTTGGATGTAGCCAGTGTACTTTTGGAGAAAGCTTCTGGCTCAAAGGTAGCATTTTTCTTTTTTGTTTCTTTTTGAACCGTTTGTATTCTGGAGATGGAGATATTGCATGCTACAGACCAATTCTAAAACCTTGCAGAAGTTGTACTCCATTAACTTCATTGGTGGTGTTAATTTCTTAAAATATATCTCACCTGTAGATACATATATTTACATTTGATTTTCATACTCTTTTTTCTCCCTTTTTGAATGATATTGGCTTGAAAAGATTGTTTAGCTTGTTATCTGATGAAACAGAGGTTCCTCACTAACCATTTTTCATATGCAAGTACCCTAGAATTAAGTAATAGTACTTGTTTGCATTTAATTACTAACCGATATTGATTTCTCTTTAATTTGAAGTTGCTGTATGCTTTTTATATTAAATATTAATTCAGAGTAAATAGTTCAATCTAATATTTCATATTTATGTAGCTTTCTTTGTAAAAATATTTGCTCTTAATCAGGTTTGTGCGATCCATTTTCTTTTATTTCTAACCATGTACTTTTATTTTATTTTCTAATATTTTGTCCAGAAATTTGATGCAATTCGGGATGCATTGATCCGGCGGATTTACGATGAGGATCTAAATGTTGTGCTGGCAGTTCTCAACTTGAAGAGCATGCCTGAAATATTAGATTCGTCAAATCTGAGTGAAGCACTCCAGCATCTGCTTAAAAGATGCACCGATGTCCTACTTTCAAGTGAGATGCTGATAACTAGAACTCTAATAGTTTGTTCACATTATAACATAAACTGAAATAATGAAATTAGCTGGTACACTATTCATAGATGGTTTGGATGAAGATTCTTTTCATGTTCTTTCTGGAATATTTTGTTTTATAATATTGTGGGTTTAAGGATTTTATAGTCAAACATTCTATCTTGAAGATGTTAGTCAAGCTCATTCTCATACACTACTTCTGCTGCAGGTGTAGCCACAAATGCAGCTCTCCCCAGGGATGTTGCTTTATTGTGCCTGCAACAAGCTGTTACAAATTTCAAAGATCATAGGGAAATAGCACCATCTTTAGCAACAGCTATCTTCCCTCTGCTTTTAATTCGATCGAAGGTTTATTTGTTATGAAATGCTTCTTTTTATTGGCAGTGAAATATGTTCTCATTATAACTGAGATTCTTTCTTTTAATGTCTTTCTCAGACCCAGAAATATAATTTGAAGGCTTTGGAACTGGCTAAAGAAATTCAATGGCCTTTCTATGAGGACCTTGTCCTTGTTCCATGTTCAGAGAAGGTAATAACAGATATTGAAAAAGGAAATGCCATTTACTAATCTTCTTGTTGCGTACTCTCTCAATGGACATGCACCGTTGGATAAGTGACACCTTCTAACTTGACAATGGTTGCAGAAACGCGACCTTGCGCAGATTTCCTCAATTAATTGTGAAAATATAAAGAAGTTCACCGAAAAATTTACATCACGCCTCGAGGAGTACATGCCTTGGCTTGTTAAATGCTGTGGTTACCATGAAATCTCAAAAACAATATTCTTTTTGGTTCTGTTTCAGTCACTGGAAATGTTGAAAAGAGGTAAATATGGGTTTCAATTTTATGCTTGCAACACCTAGCCAGTTGCATATTAGTTTATAATATCTCTTGCACTCATTGTACATTTCGACCCAAATTATTTTTGTTGTAGTGGAATTTAATTTGTGTTACATCTATTTGGCAGATGATGCCCAGCTTTCCAAAATTTTCTGTAGTTTCCCAATTCTAAAAAATGAGTGGGAAATGCTCGAGTCCCAGGGGATATCTACAGAGATGGTAAATTAATTTTGTTACGCGGCATTCTTTAGGCTATCGACTTTTTCAATTTTGTATTTTGCTTAAATGGTAATTATTGACACTGTTTGACTCACAGAGCAAGAAAATAAATTTGGGTGGTGATGTTAAAGGAATCCTAGAAGATATTGACATGGAGATCAATGATATAAATACTGAGGTTCTGGCTTGTTTGTTTTGGAGGTTCTCTGAAACTTTGATTGCAACAGCACATGAGGATATGCCTTCTTTGGTTAGTGATTCTTCTCATCGAGTTGTTTTCTGCACTTAAGTGAGTCCATCTGATCAATATTTGTCACTTATATCTCTTACAGGATACAGAAGGAAAATCTAAAGGCATGCTTCAGGACCTGTTTTTGTTCTTTGTATGTCACTCTAAAGATATTTTCAGAAAACATCTGGAATACCTTTATGCAAAGTGCAAGTTCTCTATCACTGAAATAATGTTGAAACAGCTTACAGAAGAAGGTCTGGCTGTCCCAACCCTTACTATTTGTGCTGTTTTCTTTTACTTTTCAAATTTTTTCTGATTCTGGATCTTGATGGTGAAATTGAACTACAATATTATTAAAAGGTGATTTTGATGTCCTGTTAACAGTATTATGTCTCATGAATACTGATGTCAATGTTCTAACACACTGAATTTTATATCTTGTTTTGTAGCTGGGTATAATCTACCAATGCCAGAATACCCATACCATTTGAAACTTTTTGAGAATGTATCATAAAATTATTACATTGAAGCTGAGTTACAACAGATAATCTTGAATTATGTGGAGGTGGAACAGTGTTGAACAAAATATAACAATTTGAAATTGTAAAGATCGATGTTTATGTCTGAGTTCTATGGAAAATTGAACATATAATCTTTGATATATAATAGGTTGAAGTTGCTCTTACGAATGTGTATTTAATATGGATTTTAATGTAGCAATGTATGTGTGTTTACAAGTCTTGTATTCTGATGGTCTGTTTTTCTGGATCTTATAATTTCAGGAGCTCCCTATGCTGCTCAAATCGAGAACCTTCATTTTTTCTCACATGTTTGTTCCCAGCTAGATGAAAGTTCTTCCCGTAAACTGCTTGATGGTTTCCCTTCTTTTCTTGTTCCACTATCATGTGATAATCAGGTTTGAGAACTTACTGATGTTCCCATTGTTTTCTTCCTTATCCTACGCATTTCATCTATCATATCATGTCATCTGTTTTTTGGGGTTTTCATTCAGCATGGCATGCTTCTACTATGATGGTTTGTTTCAATTGTTAATATTTTTACTTAACCATGTCATTATCTGATGATCTCACCCTCACATGCTAATCTATGTAGAATGTACGGATGGCTGCCATGAACTGCATTGAAGAGCTGTATACATTGTTGACCAATATTGTTGGCAGGAATGGTATGTGATAATATCAAAGTCTAGCATTATGTTGTTTTATAGCATTTCTAATCATTATTGTTTCAGGCAATATTGAAAATTGGCTGGATTTTCTTGGAGAGCTGTTTCCCCTAATGATCCAGCAAAAAAAGTTGATTTTATCAGACATAAATGTTCTGGTTTCTCTCTTGAAGTCATTTTTCAGTTCTTCTGACAGTCTTCTGGTGCAAAAAGCTATTGGCAAGAGGTTGTATTGGATCTCTCTGTTCCTTGTTATAATCAGGGTATATTCATGTTGAAGAGGATTTTGAATATATGCAGCGTTGAGCTTTTATTGAAAAATTCTGATTTATATCTTATTTTGGTTCATTTCTCTTTCAATTTCATACAATCAATTACATTTTGGTTAGAAAAATAATAGTAGTAAACTAGTAATATTTAACTTTATCTAGACATCTCCTGGAATCCTATATTTTTCCACTTTTGACAATATGTATGTCCTTAAACATTTCTGAAGTTCTTGTAAATGTCCTTCTAAAATCTTTTACATGGACTTTCAGGTTTGATGATTCCACCAAACGTAAAATCTTGGAATCCATGGTCAACTATGCACTTATGCTTCCTCCTCATGCAAAGGTTTGTTGTCCTTTTCCCTTTTGCCTTTGGCTTGTAATTGAATGTTTCAATTATAGAGGGTGTGATTGTTTGTCTTGTTCACGACTCTATACTGCTTGCTGAAATTCTTACATTCTTAATGTTTTTCATTGATGTTCATGGCAGTTCAATGTTCTTTCGTTGGTCAAAGGTGCGGGGAGTAAACTTGTTTCTGTTCCTGGGGTGAAATTATTATTAGCTGCACTTTTGAAAAGATGCAATCAGTTATCACCAAGTGAGCTTGATCTGTTATGCCTTCTACTGGAGGTATGTTCTCTAGACTACTCATCAATATGATAAGTATGCTCTAATCTCGAGCTTCTGTACATTTTTGTTGATGACCTTGTGTATATTTCAGTGCTTCACTAAACCTACTTCATCTCCTGATGCACATGGCTTGGGCAACTTAGTATTGGAAGCTTTGCAGGTCAATATCTATTCCTGTTCTTTCTTTAATGTACTTTTACTCCAAATAGCACCTGTTATGATCATATTGGTTTTTACCCTGCAGGAATTTGGTGGTGCAGTGGGATCTGCAATTGTGAAACCATGCCTTATCATTTTGAGAAATCTTAGCAGTTTGTATGGAGATATGAATGCTGAGATTCAGGTGAGGCTCATTTATTAACATTGAATAAATTTAATGTCTTGCACCTTTGACTAAGATCATCTTTTCTGGTGTATTACAGGAGAATATCTTCAGAAATCTCTTGGTCTTGTTCAGAAGTGCCAATGGTGATATACAAAATTCTGCTAGAGATACCTTGTTACAAATTAATGTATGTTTTACAGCTGCATTTGGCCTGTCTTTTTGTTCGTAATATTTTGTTACATTAGGCTTGTTTACATGTTTTTATTCCTTTTTTACCTAGTTATTACTATTCAATCTCTGAATTTCTCACCAACAAAGTCACATCCAAACACCAGTTTTTTTCAAAACATCACATCACATCCAACCATCATTTCACTTCAAAAACAACACACACACACACACACACACAAGCAAACAAAAATGTTTCTCCACTTTATTTCTCATGGAAATTGCATTATCTTTTATCATTGAACAGTACTATTGAATATTTTGAAGTTTGTTTCTATTACAATTAAGGTGCTTCGGATATTGTTTTGTCGATAATATCATTCTAGATTCTTCAAAATACTCAAATGCATCTTTTACTTGGTATGCATCATGGATGACTTCTCCTGAATCTTACAGTTAGATTGCTCAATGCTGGCGAGGGTTCTTGATTCCATTTTGAATTATAAAGCTTCTACTGCTGTTTCATCACATCGGAAGAAGCGCAATAAATCAGTCAAACCTCAACATCCTGACCAGGCTGCAGGCCATGGCAGGGAAAACATTCTTCATTTGTTGAGTGCTTTTCTTGATGTGTTGCTGATGAAGAAAGACATTGAAAACAGGTGTGTGAAGCATTCATTGGCTCAGCTTATACTTCCGTAGAAGTTGTGATCTTGTCTCATTATCTTCTCACTCATGTGTTTAAATTAATGACTCCTAATCCTAATTGTGCAGAGCTTCTCTTGTTGGCCCTTTATTTAAGCTGCTCCACATAATTTTCCTTGATAATGAGTGGATGGTTAAAGCTACAGACCAAGATTCTTCTCCAACTGAATCTGGTACAACAGCTTACATCCAACAGACTCTGCTGTTGACTGTGGAAGATATTTGTGCTTCAACTAAAAATGATATCCAACAGAAAGATCCCTTCCCGTTATTAGTCAGTTGTGCTCGTTCCTCGCGCGACGCTGTTACTTGCAACCATGTGTTCTCACTGATAACCACTCTAGTAAAAATCATGCCAGATCAAGTCTCGGACCATGCTTTGGAGGATATTCTCACAGCTGTTGGAGAAACTACTGTGACTCAGGTTCTTTTTTAGATTTACATTTCTTTCAAGCTATCTTTGATTGTATCCTGTTCAACTATGATTGATTGGATCACTTTTTATCCTGCAACTTAACTGTTTCTGTTGGATAGTTTGCTATTTCTAATTAATTTAATTGGCAAAAGTTCCACTCTATGATCAAGCCTTAAATTGACAAACGGTAATTTTATCTGCTCCTTAGTTTGATAGCTACTCTCAAAGTGTATTTGAAGGCCTCATATCAGCTATTATACCCTGCTGGTTGTCTTCAAACAAGGATATGGATCAATTGCTCCAGGTGATAACAGTATTATCTTGTTTTTCTAGAATCTATTACTGACTTGATCAGGTGGTTTTTCACAGCCAAATGCTGACATTGTTGAGTTTTGTTAGATTTTTGTGGATATATTGCCTCGAGTTGCAGAACACAGGAGACTTTCAATTATTAAGCACGTATTGAGGTGGGATTTGCTAATCTAGCTAGCTTTGTAATTTTCCATATGTAGCTTTAGCTGACAAGTTCTCCTCTTACAGGACTCTTGGGGAGGGTGAAAGTTTGGGGTCGTTGCTCTTCCTCCTGTTCTGCACATTAGTGTCAAGAAAAGCTTTAAGTAGTCTCCTTGATAATGACCATACTTTTGATAACCTGACTTTTGCCATCAGTAAGCAGTGGGAGTATGAATTTGCCACACATCTTTGTGAGCAGTATTCATGCACAATTTGGCTTCCGTCTCTTGTACAAGCACTTCAAAAAATCAGGAGCAAGACATTGAGTGAAAACACAATCATGCAAATATTTGTTGCAAGGCAATTTGTGGCGGACAAGCTGCAAGATTCTGAAATATCTGATAAGCTTTTGTTAGATGATGGTTTAAACAGTATTCAGGTATGTGAATTTGTACATATTTTTCTCAATGTTATCTTGGAAGATGAAGACTGTTATTTGATTGAAACTGTAATTCACTTCTACAGACAACATTTGGTGAACTCGTGGAGGAAGTTGTATATCACCTGCAATTGGTTGACATGAAAAAGAAGCATGTTGGTGTTCTGGTTGTTCTGAAGACTGAACTGAAGGAGCATATCAGAGATGTTTTGAAAACCCTCACAAAAAGCCTCCAGCCTTTTGCCTATTTTGAAGTAATTGGTAAATTGATCGGTCATGATGACAAAGACGTGACGAAAAAGGTACACTTGTGAAATTTGAGCTATTGTTCATTTTGGCTTCAGACGGCTTAGTTAATTTTGGTGGCATTCTCATTTATTTATTTATTTGTATTCTGTTGTGCAGGCTCTTGGTATATTATGTGAGACCATGAAGAACTTGGGGGAAAATCCGAAAACCAAGAAGAAAGGTTCAGTTTCTAGTGTGGAAAACGCATGGATTCATTTGGATAGCAATTCGCTCGTATCATTTAACAACTTATGCATGAAGATTCTGGAATTAGTCAATGTGGCTGATGATGTCTTAAGTAACTCCCTGACAATGGCAGCAGTATCTGCATTGGAAGTTTTGGCGAACGTGTTCCCTTCACATGATGGGGTCTTTATCAGATGCCTTGGATCTGTTTGCCAACGGATCTGTTCTGGCAATTCTGCCCTTTCTAGTCATTGCCTTCGGGCAACTAGTGCTTTAGTTAATGCACTTGGGCCGAAGGCATTGCCAGAACTTCCAACCCTTGTGGAATGTGTCCTGGGGAAATCTAAGGCTGATGTCTCTTCGAGCTCAGCAGATGCACTGTTCATGTCTATTCTATTGACCTTAGAGGCAGTAGTTGATAAGCTTGCTGGATTTTTAAATCCTTACTTGGGAGACATTTTAAGACTCGTTGTGTTGCATCCACACTTGTCTTACTCCCCAGAGCCAAAGCTGAAAACAAAGGCGGAATCCGTGCGCAAGCTTATAACTGAAAAAATCCCAGTGAGTTTAATTTATTGGACATATTTGTTACAACCCTTTTCAGTAATTTATATTCCATATGACTCATTGTACTTTGTTTGATAGGTTCGGCTTCTGCTCCCACCCGTGTTGTCCATGTACATTGATGCTATTAAATTTGGGGAGTCAAGTTTATCAATTGTTTTTGAAATGCTGAGCAACATGGTCGGCACAATGGATAGATCATCTATCAGCATCTATCATGTGAAAGTTTTCGACCTGTGCCTGCAGGCTCTTGATCTGCGCCATCAGAAACCTGCTTCTATTCGGAACATTGATGCAGTTGAACAGAATGTCATTAATGCTGTTGTTACACTCACTAAGAAACTCACAGAGACGATGTTCAGGCCGCTTTTTATCAAGACCATTGAGTGGTCAAGTATGATTGCCGAAGAAGGTTCGGATAATGCCCCTGAAAAAGCTATTAGCCGGGCCATCGCATTCTTCGGCTTGGTAAACAAACTTGTGGAAAGCCATCGGTAAGTTGACTCTTACTTTGAGCGAATATTTCTGCAGCAAGCTAGAATTGGTTAAAAAGAAGTGCTTTCAACATCAGGTCACTATTTGTCCCATACTTCAAGTACTTGCTCAATGGATGTGTTCGAGGCCTTTCCGGGGATGCAGGTTCACAGACTGGCTCGACACGGAAGAAGAAGAAGGCGAAGCACGGCAATGAAACGAAGGACCAAGACAGCACACTATCTCTAGAAGCCTGGCATCTTAGAGCCTTGATTATATCATCTCTGCATAAATGCTTCCTCTACGATACTTCAAGTTTGAAATTCCTCGATTCTTCTAATTTCGAGGTAAATGTTCAAACGACACATTTTGCGCGGCATAGCCTTGCACACGGCCTGATGTTTGAATCTCTGTATGTTCTCTCCAGGTACTTCTGAAACCTGTTGTGTCACAGCTCGCTGTCACTCCTCCAGCACAAGTGGAGGACTATCCCGATGTTCCATCGGTGGAAGAAGTGGATGAGCTTCTCGTTGCATGTGTTAGTCAGATGGCAGTTGCAGCTGCTTCCGACCTTCTGTGGAAGCCACTGAATCACGAGGTAATGAAATCAGCAAGTGCCTTATATTTATTTTTAAATGAACGTTGAAATGTAAATGGAGTGAGGACGGATGCAGGTGTTGATGCAAACTCGAAGCGAAAAGATTCGGGGTCGAATAGTGGGGCTGAGGATCATAAAAAGTGTGGTGGAGAAGCTGAAGGAAGAATATCTGATATTCCTGCCGGAGACGATACCGTTTGTGGCGGAATGGCTGGAGGACATGGAGCCGACTGTGAGGTCTCTTGCACAGGAGATTAGGAAGGAGATGGAGACACTCTCTGGAGAATCACTTGCTGATTACTTCTGAAACTACATATACAAGTAAATCTCTCTTTTCTCTCTCTCTCTCTCTCTCTCTCTCTCTCTCTCTCTCTCTCTCTCTCTCTCTCTCTATATATATATATATATATATTGGATTCACCATTTTTGTAGTTTTTAGTAGAACTTTGCTTGGGTTATGTTTCTGTATTATATGATTTCTCTATATTTTGAAATTTGATGGTGTACTTGTTTTTATGAAATTAGGGGTTGGGACAAAATGAAAGAGAATAGTGAAAGATGCAGAGAGTAATTTTTGACAAGTGTGATGTGGTGTTAATTTTGTGGTTGCATGTGATTTTAATTAGAGTTGTGTGTACTTATTTATAAATTAGTAGTATTAAGTTATTATTAATAATATAGATTAAATAGTGTGATATATATTTTCGTAAATTCAATAGGAAGTATTGTACTCGTATTTTAGTAATTCCTAATCAAAGAGGATTTGAAGCGTGCTTCGTACTCTCTTGAAGCCCCCAATCATTCATCCCATAGTATACATCCATCATACTATAATAGAAAGAAAAGAATAGACCCAATCTTCTTAATTCAACGCTAACAAACAAACTTCCACCCCAATCTTTCTTCACTCCCACAACCCAAAACTTCCACACCAATCCGCCCCATCTTCAAAACCCCCACACCCCACCCCACCCCACCCCCATCAATTCACTTCAACTCAACCATGAAGATCATCAAACTCAAAAACAAGACCCCCCAAACCCCACCCTCCTCCTCAATCCAAACCGTAGCATCAATCGACCATCTCCTAACCCTAATCCTCCTCCACCTCCCCATCAAATCCCTCACCCGTTTCAAACTCGTCTCCAAACACTTCCACTCCCTCATCGCCCACCCCAACTTCCCCCTCCTCCTCCACCCCACCCCACCCCCACCCACCGCCCTCCTCTTCCCCCTCCCCACCCCTTCCCGCCAAAACCAAACATTCAAATTCATCCCCTTATCCACCCCCACCCCCCCACCATTCAAACACCTATCCTTCACCAATGACCCCCAAGGCATCACCATCACCCACTCCTGCAACGGCCTCATGCTCTGCCGCAGCTTCCGCGGCCACACCGCCTCCCACCGCCACTACATTTACAACCCCACGACCAAAATGTTCTCGAAACTTCCGAAACTCGAACCTCAACCGGGCCTTTCGTCGAGAATACTTGGCATGAGCCTTGCATTCGACCCCGCCAAATCGCCTCATTACAAAGTTGTCTCTGTTCGAGCACTCGTGCTCGAATCGGACTCTGACGAGCTCCAATTCCAAATTTTCGTCTACTCGTCCGAGAATGGCCCCTGGAGGGAATGCGGCGAGCCCTTCGCAGCGCAAGTCCATTTCGAAACTGGAGTGCATTGGCGCGGCGCGATCCATTGGATCAGCCCGAAGCACGGGCAAGACTCGTTGTACTTTAACCCGGATGATCATGATCCAACCGTTAAGATCTTGCCGTTGCCTCCGATCCCACGTCAATGGGATTGGAGGAGCAACTATTATTTTGACGAGTCGGGTGGCCATCTGCATTATATAGAGGTATTATTCGAGAATTTTCAATCGTTAGGGAAAAAAAAAAAGTAATGGTTTGAATCATTTTGATATATTTTTCGAAAATTGTTACTGTTTGCTTAGTATTACATGATCAGCTTTGAGGCATAATTAGTATGTTCTATTTAATTTTGACAATAAAATTTAAAAATAATTGATGTATAGGAAAATAACACTCCATTAGTCCATTTAATTATTTATTAATTTTTCTATTTTTGTCTTTCTTAAAACAAAATATTAATTTTTTTTAGTAATCCTAATATTTATTTATTATTAAAATTATCCTTAAACTTTGATTATATTACAAATATACCACTAAAATAAATTTTTATCTTGAGGACATTTTAGTTTTTTTATCTTTATTTTGTGAAAAAAAAGGACTGATAGATATGAGATTAATGAAATAGAATAAATTACGATTAATTTTATAAAATCAAATTCAATTCCGGAGATGTGATGTTTTATCGAGAATGAAACAATTCTTCAATGAGATTTGATTTTTCATAGAACTTGTAAAATTCTAAAATGGACATATATGTATCTATAAAAAATTAAAAAAATTCTTTAAATTTAATTAATATTTTCTCACTTTATTAAACACAATCTATATGCAATAAATTGATGTATGTTCATGATCATACATAATTCATTCCGATCCAACCAATGCTTTTATTATGTGAATAAATTGTATTAAAATTATGAACAGGTACTGGGGTCGATGAATCGGTTCAATGTGTATGAAATGAAAAATGATTACTCGGAGTGGTTTGTCAAGTATGAGGTTGATCTGTCAGCTGTTATTGCTGCTCATCCGAGGATGATTAGGGATTATTGCGATCCCGGGGATTGGTACTACTATGCCTACTCGGTGTTCTTACACTACGACGACTTCCTGGTTTTAAAGATTCCCGGGAAGCTAATAAAGTATAGTGTTGTGGATCAAACGTTTGAGGTTCTACATGAACATGATGAAGATGAGGAGGAGAAATGGTGTTTGGAGCATCCAAATTCGAATGGGTTTCAGTACATTGAGTCACTATATTGTGTTTGAAAACGATGACAACGTGTTTAAGCCAATATGATCGTTTCTGGTCATTTTGATAATTTGAATTGTCATATAATTTAGGTGTGTTTCTCTCCAAGGGGTTTGAAGAATCTAAGTTATAGTCTGAATTTAATTTGAATTTTAAAGTAAGATTGAATTTTTATGTTTGTCTAGGTGTATAAGTTGGGTTTGAATTTGAGAAGTTTTTACGAGTATTGATTTGATATGTGATAAATATACTACTCCCTTCGTCCCATTTAAAGGTTGTTATTTTTTATTTTTGTCTTTCTAATTTAGTAATTGTACTACATACCTAACATAATAAATACTCTTTCAATTTATACTATATTACACAAATGTCATTACTTTTATATTACACAATACTAATAGGGGTATTTTTGTCTTTTTCACTACAATATATTATAATACTAATATTCAAAAATCTACGTGCAAAAAATAAACGACAATCTTTCACCGGGACAGATGGAGTAATATAATTTGAATATTAATTTACATTAATCATAAATTTATATTTATGTATTTTTACCATCTCACTCAAAAATATGTCTTTCCTATTTCAATTTCAGTAGAAGTAATTATACATCAATAAAAAAAATAATTTTAAAAGTTTAGTTGAAATACAAATATATTATTACTCTGTATAATTATTTTATACATAAAAATTAAATTAAAAAATTATCAAAACCTCTTATATATTAAGTGGGACTCTCGTACTAATGATATATTTATTATATCTCACACACACAAAAAGAGCAAAAAGGTCAAATCAAAATATTAAAAAAACAAACCTAATTTTTTAATACTACTCCATATGCGACTTTTCTTTATTTACCCTCGAGCGAATTATTTATACATATAAAAAGATAAATACTTATTATTACTAGCCAGAAATAAAGCACGTGGGGAAAAAAGAAAAAGCGCGGAAACAAACAAATATGGCCATATGGGGGTTTCGGGACCGGGACCAAAAGGGACGGCCCTTTCGTCAGAACCACGCAATGGATCTCCACTCCCAATACCTATTTACTACTAATGGCTCGCCTTCTTCGTCTTCCTCTCCCATTCGTTCCTTCTTCGGACAACAACTACTCGACAAAATATCCTCTCCCACTCCCACGCCATCTAATTAATTCATGTAAAAAAAGGAACCCAAAAATAACTTGTGGGGAGAGAGACAACAATCAATAATTTTCCCCACAAAAAAAAATTAAAAAAAAATCGTTCGATTCTTCCTTCTTCTTCTTCTTCCTGTTCTTCCCTTTCAATTCGATTTGATTAAATTCAGAAACAGGACAGAAGAAATTCGAGGATTTGGAGGAGGTTCTTTTGGTTAATTTATTAATTTCTCCAATTTGTGCCAAAATGAATTTTCTCCAGAACCTTCTTTTTCTTACCCTCTTTTCGCTTTTCTTATCCTCCACGTCATCATCGTCGTCGTCCCTGTCTTCCTCCTGTGAAGAAATTTCTGAAGTTCCATTGATGTGTGCCAGCTGGAGGGTGGCTGTGGAGGCAAACAACGTGAGTCCATGGACGAGGATTCCGGAGGAGTGTGGGGACTATTTGGCTTCGTACATTGGCGGCGGCTACGAAATGGATCTCGAGATTGTGTCCGAACAGGCTGCAATTTTTGCGAGAAGTTTCAATCTGAGTATGGATGGTAAAGATGTCTGGATTTTCGATGTCGACGAAACCCTTCTCTCCAATCTTCCCTATTACATCGACCATGGTTATGGGTACGTTCCTAATCGTGTCTTCATTCTTCAAATTAGGGCTCAGATTAAATGCAGGTACAGAAGTTTTGAAAAAAAATACTACATAACATATCCATGATGGATATGTTGCCGTTTCTGTTCGTCCACGTACGTAATTTCATTTTTTGGAAAATGATTACACAATTTAATCTCATTTTAAACTTTTTAATTTTATTTTTTTAAAATTTTAATTAAACTAATTAGTTATCTTAATTTTAATTTATAATTATTTATATTATATAATAATTATTTTCACTAATATATTCTTAATTATTTACTAATTACAATCCTTCTAAAATACCATGTTTACAGATAATAATATAATAATAATAATAATAAAAATTAGTACTATTTGATATGAAAATATGTATATATTTAATGTTATGCCTTTTAAAAATTTATTATAGATAATTATTACTAAAAATTTCAAATATATTGTAAACGTGGTGTGTTTATTAAGGTTTGGTTTGAGATTTTGTATTTAAGTAACATTTAATGTAATATTTTATAAAAATATATATATATAATTTCATTTGAAAATTTTAAAGTTTAAATTGTAAAAATTTGGATATAAATTCCAAGAAATACACGGATTTTTTCTTGGATTTTTTGGGATTTTTAAGGATCTTTGATCTTTTTATTATTTTTAAGGCTATTTGATTTAACCATCGGGTGTATTTGTTCTTTTTTTTTTTAATATAAAATATAGAAAATTATATAATTAATATAAAAATAATAAATATGTATACATACTTATTTGAGTTTATGTTTAAATAGTATTTTGATATAATATTTTATGAAAAAAAAATAATGTATTTTTATTTTAAATTATGTGAAATAAAAGAACAAACTATTATGTTTGTTGATTTTTAAGGTTTTTGTGATTTTTGATATAATCATGTGTTGTTTGTAGGGTGGAAGTTTTTGACAGTGTGAAGTTTGATGAGTGGGTTGAGATGGGAATGGCACCTGCCGTGGAACACAGCTTGAAGCTTTACGAGGAGGTTTTGGGATTGGGATTTAAGATTGTTTTCTTGACTGGGAGAAGCGAAAGGCACAAAAATGTCACTGTCGACAATTTGATTCAAGCTGGATTTAGGGAATGGGACAAACTCATACTCAGGTGATCGAACCTAATAACATGCAAAAGAAATCACTAGATCATTCTTACGGGACTTCTTGTTCTCGATCTTCTTGATTTTGAACCATTGGATTGTTGATGTAATTTGCAGGGGGGTGGAGGATCACGGGAAGACAGCGAGGGAGTACAAGTCGGAGAAGAGGGACGAGCTCGTCAAAGAGGGGTATCGAATCGTAGGCAATTCGGGGGACCAATGGAGCGACTTGTTGGGTTCTTCCATGTCGATGCGTTCCTTCAAGCTCCCGAATCCTATGTATTACATTCCTTGACAATCATCGTCTTGTAATGAACTAGCATAGTTCGAGAATGTAGCATCGCTGACAATGTTCGACGTTTGAATCCGACCTGTCTCATTATTAATTCCCGCCAGCGATCGATCAATTTGGGTGTAGTTACATTGCTGCTCCCGCTGGAGTAACGGTGTAAACGTCGACGTCTTCTGTATCCGGGCCTTTCACCGAGTATTGGAAAGTCCAGCCATAGCAAGCGCCGGCGTGATTTCCGTCCTTGTCGACGGCGAAAACTGCGCCGACGAAATTGGGGTAGTGCGCGGCGATTGCATCGATGGCGTTCTGGGCTGCGCGCTTTGGCGAAATGCCGGACTTCATGCTCAAAACTACTTCGTGGCTAAAAAGAAACCGAGCAAAGAAGGTTAACTCAGATAAAAACAATTTCCCCCATTTGAGCTGAAATTACGAATATTTGAAAATTGATACTTAAATACGAAAAAGTTTCGAATGCGTTACCATGGGAGGAAGCGCATCATTACGTCGCCGTCTCCTGTCGCTCCGCAAGCTCCAACTCTGGAATCGGCATAAGCAGACGATCCCGCAATCGGACCGTCGCCTACCCTACAACCCACAGGTTGTATATCAAAAATAAGATTTTCAAAAAATATCAAATCAAATATTTTTTTCATCAAACCGTCAAAGATACAATTTTTTACTATTTCTATTTTTTTCTAAAAACTTCTATTTTCATCAAACCGAATATCACGTCAAAGATACAATTTTTTACTATTTCTATTTTTTTCTAAAAACTTCTATCTAAACAGAGAAAGTGTTAAAATTGTTCGGAATTAATATACGGAAGAAAATTACGCAGTCATTATAAAAAAGTGTAGAAGCGGATGCTACGACGCTACCTGCCGGGGATCTTAAACGTAGCTCCATTTGTAGAGGTGCCAACAGCTATGCGCCCCCGCTGAAAAATGAAATGTAGAACGATCACACCGATGATTCAATCGTAATTATAACCAGAAACTGAAGGACTTACTTTGTCAATAACGGCCATTGATATTGTATCGTGGTTCTGGCGATTTATATGATATGGCCTAGACTGATCGGTGCGCGCTCTGTCGACATTAAAGCATGTTTCCTTGGAGAAGTTTGTGTTACTGATAGGATAGTAAGGACCACAATCGTCGATTGGAGTAACATTTTTCCAAAAATTTGGCTGGCATCTGTTTTTCTTCCAATTCTTCCATTTCTGGATAGACTCTTCAGAGCTGAGGTTTCTCGGGCCGGGAAGCCCCATAGAAATGGCGAATATTGATGCTGGCTCGGAAACAAGCATAGTATGCTCAGTGTGCTGCATTACTAATCTTGCTGCTTTGATGCCGTCGCTCACATACTTCATTGCTGCAACGGCTCCAACCTCCATTGTCACCTGTGCAGCAGTAGTTTACATTTAAGTCAAGTATCTTATAATTCGAGGATGTATTTGATGACAATAGGAAAAGCAAAAAAGGCTTACGCCATTCATAATCATAGCATCGATCGTTGTTTCGCCATTTTCATCTGGACTTCCACCAGGACCAACTGTACAAAGATGTGATCGATTCAATGAATCTATAGGCAATGAATTTACAACTAATGTTAATATAATACAAATACGAACGTATAAACTGACAATATATAACAATAGTCTTCACAGCATATGTTACCATTGATATGAATATATGAACCGACAAACAAACACAGCACTTTTTACATTTTAACACTAACACAATACATGATACTTTCGGCATCCACTTCTAACGTTTATATATTTATATTCGCGTCAGCTAATTCAAAGGTATATATTTTATCCAGCAAGGAATCCTATAAGATGTCCAATAAATGCATAATTCATCCACAATTAAGAAGTGCCTGTAAACGGTTATTGAAGAACAACAATTGAGTGCAAGAATACCAAACAGAAATTTCAATACATGTACATATATATATATATATATATATAGAAACCTGTGCCGTCGCATCTGAGTTGCTCGCATTTGGAGCAGCCTTCAACAACTGCATCCACCGCGGAGGCGCCATTTTCAAGAGCTCTCCAACCTGCCCTAACAGCTTCTGTAAAAGGCCATGTACTGATGACCACAGGGAGTTTCCGACTACACTCGACCTCATCTCCCTCTCCCCATGCCTAATCCAACAAATATATATCCAAAATTGTACAAATTATTACTTACTGCAGATTTAAACTGAAGAAGAATGAGAAGAGCGTGTTGTGTTGTACTGAAGACGACAGAGCGACGGCGAAGAGAAGAGCCACGCACAATCTGTCGAAGTCGGCAGCCATCACTGACGGATTGGATTGGTTAGCGGATCGCACCGTAATTTTGCAGATCTAATTTGATTTGACTCTTGAAGATCCTCCCAACTGTGGGCGCGGCCGTTGTCGACCTTTGCTGGGCTCGGCCACACCGCACAAAAAAATGGAGGGGCTTGTTTTGTTGTTTGGAACTGGGTTGATAAAATTTAAGCATAAAATAATAAAATTCTAATAAATTTTATGAATAAAAACATATTGACATACTATTAATAATCAAGATTATTATCATTAATTATTACTTCTCAGTATAATTTATTCGTATTTTTCAATTTTTTAATATGATTATACACTCTAATCACATTTTTATTTTTAATTTTATAAATTTTTTAAATTTTTATTAAATTATTAAGTTATTTTAATTTTAATTTATAAATACCATATACTATAATTATTTTGACTAATATATTTTTTAATTAAGTTGATCATCATGATTAGTTATAAAAAAAAAAGAAAAAAGTAGAATAACATATCTTAACCATATTATAAAATTTCAAATGCAGTTAGATTTTTTATTTATTTATGAGCTCTCATTAATTGATTTTTTCATTCGTAAATTATTAGAGAATTAATATTTTTATCTCTATATTTAAAAAGTGGCGTGTACTACCATCATCACGATTCTTTTATTTTAATTGCTAATTTAAACGGTGATTTGGATATAATAAGGTCTCACAAGATATACTGTATTATATTTCTTTTGTAAGAATAATGGTGATTGATTTTGGATTTGATTATTGTAATTTTATTATTGCATTCATGGAATGATAGAAGTAGAAAGTGTTACTTATGGTTAGGGGTATATTTGTCAATTTGGTACCAAGGAGGGGGAACAGGCCGCTGCAGGTTTTCTGTGCATACGTGCGCGCGCGGACTGAAATTCTCAAGTCTGTTTTCATCATCATCACCATCACCATCATCTTCTCGCCATTCTGATCAATTCCTTGCTTTACTTTCTTGAAGAGGAAAGTGATATTGGGTAAGTTTCTTCGAATTTCTTCTGGTCGCTCTCTCAATACAAGCTTCTATAATGTTGTATTGCAATTTGCAAACATATTCGAGAAAATCTGTTGGTAAACACAGTCTGATTAAGAAACGTTTGATTGATCGATAATGGTGATGATCCTTCTGAGTCTTTTAATACCAAGAATGAAGGTGTATTTAATTTATGATTGTGCGTGGTTATGCACAGATTTGTATGTATATGCAGATGAATCGTGATGCTTTTCTTCCCTGTATGTATTCGGATAGAAGAAAAATGGATTCTTGAGTAGTTTCAACTTTGCACAATGCTTTGTTTGTTAATTAATTTGCTGCTTTCGCATCACAATCAAACTTCTCTTTTTATCTGTTAATTTTCAGCTACAGACGTGATTAAACCTTCGTTTAATTATCATGTCCATATGTTGAATAATTTTCTTTACAGTAAAAATTTTTTAGTTTGGATGATCATATTCTTGAAAGTGAAGAAAACGAAAACCCTAGATATATTACTCCTTTGTATTTATTCACGTAGAATTTGGAATTTGCTAGTTTTCTTCCAGATTGCTTCAAATTACGAAAGTTTCTTCAAATTGATTTCAATATACGTGATTTGAATTATTTTCAGTTTGTTCTTGTCTGCTTTGGTTTCTATAAAGTGTTTCTGAAGCTTTCTGTTTCCAGCCGCCATGTTTAATTTCTTGCCATACATGGAAACTCATCACTTCTCCAATCTTCTTTCTGCAAACCCTAATTAATGCAAGTTGCACACTTTTCTTTCTTTCGGCAATCCGTCAGTAACTCTTTAAATTTTTTTCCCCAGGAGAACAACCAAGAACAGATTGTGCAAATTAATTGTTTGTTTTAATATTTTCTTGTTCTTGTTATAGGTTATGATGGTTGAGACATATTACAGAAAACGCTTCAAAAGAGCCCATAAAGCCATTGATACAACCACTGTAAGCTAAAGCTCTGTCGATTTTCTTCTGTTAGTAATATATATGCAACAGAGTACTTTGTATGTTCAATTATAATCTCTCTGTAGGATATGAATCAGTGCTCCCCAAAAGTGGCAGGGAAAAGCTGCAACACATCCCCAAAACCTACCATTTTAGACCGGCACAAAGAGCCATCTCCATTGCTGTCTGAGCAGCATAGCTTCATTGCTCAAGGTATGAGGTTGTGTTTAATTTGTTAATACATATGTATATTAACAAATTATTGCAAGATTGGACATTGTGATCATTTATTGAAAATGTTAACAGATGAGGAAGAAAAAAGTGTATCCAAGATGCAAAATCATATTAAAGTGGGGAATGTTTACGAGCTAGATCATAGTCATTTGCCCCGAAGAAGCCCAGCTCACCTTAATTCCATTCGAGTTGTTGTTGTGAGAAATCCTCTTCAATGATATGATCATGTCGACTTGTTCTGTCTCTGCATTTTTTGAGATTGATTTTAGGTGCTTTTGCTTTAACAGGTGTCAGAGAAGACGGACATAACTGTAATAGTGAAGTTCCCTAGTGTTGCTTCATTAAAAGCATTTTTCAGCAATAGAACAGAGGATCAAACACAACCAATTATGGATGAAAATTATGAGATGGGAACTTGGGTGGCTGCAAAATTGCTTGCTCGATTAGTTCCCGATGAGATTTTAAACCAGCAGAAGAGTAGAGAAGCATTCTGGCTGATGAGTTCTTTAGCCAATCTTAAGGATAATGCTGATGTTGGTGCACATAACAAAGGGGTTTGTTTGTCTGAGCTACTTGGTTGTAAAAGGATGGTAAGGTGGGGAATTCAGAGGCAAGCAATATATATAATCAAGGAATTCCAGAGTGAAATTGACGACGATGATCATCATCATAAATCCTTAGCTTCGAGCTTTGTAAAACAGGAAGATGATATGAAGGGTAGTCACAATGATGAAGAACAAGAAGATTATAAAATTCTAGAACAGGACAAGATCAAGAAAGGGAAGAGGGCTGCTGTTAGAAACATAGATCATTTAAGGAAATCAAAGAAAGAAAAGCTTGATCAGAAGAACGAGCCAGAGCCAGAGCCAAAGAAGAAGAAGAAGAAGAAGAATCAAGGTATCAGATTCAAGGGATCATTTGTTCTAAGAAATCCTAAAGATCGGTGGCCGGCTGAAAGGTAACACCAAACTACAAATGATAAGAGTTCGTAAACTACCTATATTGGCGATTTGTTAATTCTTGCATATGAATGTATAGGTACAAACTTGCAGAGGAGAGTCTTCTTGAGGTAATGAAGCAGAAAGGTGCGACTTCAGAGAAGCCTATTCTGCGGCCATTGCTGCGGAAAGAAGCGCGGAAGAGAATAGGCGATACAGGCCTGCTCGATCACCTCCTTAAGCACACGGCTGGGAGGGTTACTCCTGGTGGGAAAGAAAGGTTCAGAAGGTGGCACAATGCCGATGGAGCAATGGAGTATTGGTTAGAGAGCGCCGATCTTGCAAACATCCGGAACAATGTTGGGGTGAATGATCCATTCTGGGTGCCGCCTCCCGGTTGGAGCCCTGGTGCTTCCCCAACTCAGGATTCAGTATGTGCTAGGGAGTTGAAGGTTCTAAAAGAAGAAATTTCGAAAGTAAAAAGGTTTCATTACAACATTAAACTGCTGCTTATGTTATGAATTAAGATCACTAGAATCCTCAGCTTCGTCGGATTTTAATGATGCCCTGTTGAACAGAGATGTCGAGGAGATGACAAAGAAGATGCATTTGGAGGAAGAAGTGGAGAAGTTAAGGAGGTAATAATAATAATACGAAGTCTAATGTAATCTTTTCACAACAGTAATTTGTGATCTTCTTTGAGGTGGAATAAAATTGCAGAGAATTGGAAGAACTTACTTCTACGACGAATATGGAAACAGAGATAACGGTAGCAACACCATGTCGGACTCGGGATCAGCTTGTTAGTGTTTGATAGTTATTACCATATCCTGTCATGACTATGCTCATTGCTAACATTCTTGCCTTCTCTAGGAACAATTGAAGAAAGCTTTTGAGATTGTCGACGTATTGGAGGTATGAATTTATCATAGCTAGTTCATAGTCACTGTTTGGTCATGGTGTTGTAAATGCTGATCAACTGCCTGCAAATTTCATATAGAAAAGAATTGATTTACTGACATCCGACGTGGGAGGAAGAACAACCTCAGACGCCATAGCTGGTGAGGAGGAGGTAAGATGCAAGAAAGAAGCATCAGCAAATACACAAAGGTTGCAGAGTGGGTTCAGAATCTGCAGACCAGAAGGAACTTTCCTTTGGCCAGACATGGCCAAGAACTGCACCACTAACTCCATTAATTCCGACAGGATCAGTTCCCCCATCGCCTCCCCAATCAAACCCTTGGGCAAGAGGCGTGCTGTTACAGTGACAGTTGGATCTGCCTACCCCTGCCCCTGCCCCTGAACCTGAAGAATGGAATCATGGTTAGCTCTCCATCTCACTCTAATTGGCTGCTTGAACTGAAAAGTTAAACTATCCAGACATCATAATTTTTTGTCTTAGGATTGATTCATTACATTCTTGATGTCTGTCTGCCTAATCAAGATTTACAGTGAAATGTGTCTACGTTTTGCTTGGCTTTGCTTTTGAAGGTTTTGGTTTTAACCCCAGCTTCAGCAACGGTGATTACTTCATATAGTAAAAAAGTTTAAAATTCAAATACTACCTTCGTCCCTTCAAAACCAAGCTTTTTGTAATTTTTTTTTTCCCGATATTAGTATTATATTGATTATAATAATAATAATATTTGTGTAATATATTAAAAAATTTGAAAAAAAAATAATAATATCTGCACTGCCTCCCTACCCATAAAGAAATATCCATTTGTTTTTTTAACGATGTAATATATTGTAAGTTGTAAGGGTATTTGTAATGTTACGTAGATAGTACCGTTACTAAAAAACAAAATGGATACTTTGTTATGGGACGGACTAAAATGAAAAAATAAATACTTTATTAAGAGACAGAGTGAGTATAAATCTTAATTTAAAACTTTACTATTATTTATACTTTATATTTTCGAAACAAGAAAAGAAAAAGGGTCTATTTTTCTAGATGAAATATGTTATTACTCCGGTCTCAAAACTATGGTCTTATTTGAGTTGGATACAAAATTTAAGGAATAATAATAATTGATAAAAAAAATACTAGTAAAAGATTTTTTTTTTCATAAAAAAGAGTGGCATTTGTGCAATAATGATATAAATGTAGGGATAATTTTAAGGTGATACAAGTATTTATAGAAATTTATAGAAATGAGACTATTGTTTTGAGACGGACAAAAATATTAAACAATGACTATTGTACTGGCGCGGAGGAAGTATATAAAATCTAATATAAATCTTAATTTAAAATTTCACTATTATTTATACTTTATATATTTTTTCCTTTAAAAAAGTCTATTTTTTTTAGATGAAATATGTTGCTCTCTCCATCATCCAATTGTTGTGTGCTCATTTAACAGGGGACGAGTTTTAAGAAAAATAGATAAAAATAAAATTTTTTATTTTTTTTAAAAGAAAATTAGTATTTTTTACTAAAAAAAATGAGAATAATTGTCCTATAATTATTTTTTTTTTATGAATTGATAAATTTGTATTTTATGATAAAATAAAAATTAAAAATAATAAATAAATAAAGAATAAAAAAATAAAATTTGTGTTAAAAAAAAAAGAAAAAAAAAAGCATAATTAAAATCTTACAAAACTCATCAAATTTCTGCTGATTAATCATTGGCTGCCGACAAGATTTAACACTGTTAAGAATGGTGTTTTTTAACAAGATCATCCTGAATTCAGACATGGCCCACATGAACCGCCGTTGGGCTTCTAGACACTTCATAAAGGGCTCGAAGCTTAACCCTAAGTCCGCGTTATCTGCTCCTATTTTCCTCTTTTCCGTTTCCCCCAAATTGATTGTCGCGCGCTAGTTCTGCAATGGATGCTCTTCAATCAAGCTACATGGATTCCCCATCTCAACCGCAATCTGAATCCCAACCGCAGCCTCCATCTTCCGTTGATTACGAGAACCATTCCTACTCGGACAATCAAATCCAATCCGAGAGCCTCGACAAAACCCTAGATTCGTCGAACCAGACTGCTCAGAACGGAGCAATTGCCGCAGGCGAATCGTCACACCTTCCGAGGTCGGATTTATTGAAGCCTTTGTTGCCGGAGAATGGTTTGACCAACACGCACAGCGGCGGCGGCGGCACCGAAAAGGACGCTTCCGGCGGCGAGGAGGAAACCACCAGCCGAAGGAAGCGCCGTTCTCGGTGGGAACCGTCTCCGATCGAGTCCACCAACGAAAGCGCCGCCGCAGCCGGAGGAGCTAGCGACGGCAATTCCGAGGCCGGAGGAAGGAAACGCAAGTCTAGATGGGCGGACGACGAGCCCAAACCTGCGATCCAGTTGCCGGATTTCATGAAGGATTTCACCGGAGGTATTGAATTCGATCCTGAGGTTCAAGCTTTGAATAGCAGATTACTTGAGATTAGCCGCAAATTGCAATCCGGTATGCTTTTAGATGATCGACCTGAGGGCGCTAGGTCGCCCTCGCCGGAGCCTATCTATGACAACATGGGAGTGAGAATTAACACACGGGAGTACCGTGCAAGAGAGAAATTGAATAGGGAGAGGCAAGAGATTATCTCACAGATAATTAAGAAGAATCCAGCCTTCAAGCCTCCTGCAGATTACAGACCTCCTAAGCTTCAAAAGAAGCTTTACATTCCAATGAAAGAGTACCCTGGTTATAACTTCATTGGTTTGATAATTGGTCCAAGAGGAAACACGCAGAAGAGGATGGAGAAGGAGACGGGGGCGAAGATCGTAATTAGGGGGAAAGGATCGGTGAAGGAAGGGAGGCTGCAACAGAAGAGGGATTTGAAGCACGATCCATCCGAGAATGAGGACTTGCATGTTCTTGTGGAGGCAGACACACAAGAAGCTCTTGAAGCTGCCGCGGGTATGGTGGAGAAGCTTCTGCAGCCTGTCGACGAGGTTCTTAACGAGCACAAGAGGCAGCAGCTTAGGGAGCTTGCAGCTTTGAATGGTACCATTAGGGATGAGGAGTTTTGTAGGTTGTGCGGCGAGCCCGGTCATCGTCAGTATGCCTGCCCGTCGCGAACTTCTACGTTCAAGAGCGATGTTTTGTGTAAGATTTGTGGTGATGGCGGCCATCCGACGATTGACTGTCCGGTGAAGAACACGACCGGAAAGAAAATGGACGACGAGTATCAGAACTTTCTGGCTGAACTCGGCGGTACCCTCCCGGAGTCGGCTACCAAATCTAGCTCTGCAACACTTGCCCTTCCGGGTACTGCAGGATCGAACCCCCCTTGGGTAGGTGGTACTAGCGTGACTAGTACTACAACCCAAGCTGGTTCGGGGGCGAGTTTAATCAAGCCGAAAGAATACGATGAAACGAATCTATACATAGGTTATTTGCCTCCTAATCTGGAGGATGATGGTTTGATTGGTTTGTTTGCGCCGTATGGTGAAATTGTCATGGCAAAGGTTATCAAGGATCGGGTGTCGGGCCTGAGTAAAGGTTATGGTTTCGTGAAATATTCGGATGTTCAGCAGGCTAATAATGCCATTGCAGCCATGAATGGACACAAACTGGACGGAAGAACAATTGCTGTTCGGGTGGCGGGTAAACCTCCCCAGCCTGCAGTGCCGCCGGGCCCTCCTGGTCCTCCCGTGCCGCCGTACCCCGCTCCGAGTCAGCCTGTCGGTGTCTACCCTTCTCAGCAGTACAATGCTGGTGGTCCTATCGGAAGTGCACCCCCCGGGAGCTATGCTGGGGGTCCTGTTCCTTGGGGACCTCCCCCTCCCCCCCCACCCCCTTCGTATTCCACATACCCCCCTCCCCCACCCCCTCCGGGATCGGCTATATACCCCCCAGTTCCGGCTCCTCAATTTGGAATTCAATATCCTCCTCCTCCTCCGATGCCTCCAGGTTCGTCTAGTGCATCGATGCAAACTGTTTCATCCACTGATACACAACATAGTTATGCTTCCAGTGGTGAGCAGCAGCAAAGTTACCCGCCTGGAGTGCAGTTTCAGAGTAGTGCGCCCGTCCCATCTGTGCCGACCTATGTCTATGGAAACTCAGTGGCTTCAATGCTGCCAAGTGCGCAGCCCCAGCCCCAGCCCCAGCCCCCGTACCCGACACCCCCACCTCCATATAGCTATCCACCCTATTATGGTGCTGTTCCTCCTCCTCCCCCTCCTGCTGCCCCTCAGCAAGGTGTTGACCCTTCCCATGGCTTGGGTAATGTTCCCTGGGCCACAAATCCGCCAGCGCCGCCGGTTGTTGAGAAAAGTAACTATGGCGGAGACTCTGAGTATGAGAAGTTCATGGCAGAAATGAAATGATGATGATGATGATATTCTTTACTTTATAAATGAGGTAACCAAAGTCTCTCCTTTTATATTTGGCCTTTGATTTTTAATAGCTGCATTTTGGTATTACGAAACATATTGCCTAACATATATATTATATGTCGTACTAATTTATACTTTTCTGGGAAGATTGAGCCTGCCAAGTCTGAGGTGAAATTTCATTTTCAGCTATCCAGTGGAAGTATTTGTTGTTAGTTATATGGAAGTTTTGATACCAGTTTCTCTTTCTTAACTTTTTCATGAGATTCGATTTTATAATACCAGTTAAAAAGGTAAATGGGTATATTCAATTTTCAGGAAGTTACTCTTATTCTCATATATGTTCAAGAGAAAACCACTGATCTTGTTATATTAAGTCATTAATCATGCAGGATGACAACTAAGCTATCTTTTTAGGGTTTCTATGTCCCCCTCGACGTCATTTGTTTAAATTTAATGAGAAAGTCTGCATGCCAGAGATATTTTAAGGAACCTTTTGATGAAATGTTACTCTCTCATTTGAAATTGTTTGAGTCTGTGCAGACAGACACATTCTGACCGATACGTCAATCTGTGTTGCATATGGGCAGTTCCTCTACCATCTGTTGGAGTGCCAGCCTCCTATGAGCTTATTTATTTGTTGTTTTTTTACTGATCTGACTGACTGTGCAGTTGCTCATTATTTTAAGTGACATGCTGATGATTATTTGACATATCATAACACTTGTTTCTTTGGCATTATGTAATATCTTGACAGGCTGCTTGTTGGAGCACTTGTCATCCTGATTTCTTCTTAACCCTTGCCATGATTTAGTTGTTGGAAGTTTGGGACTCACGTAACGTAACCTTGCTGTACTGTTACCTTGCAGAGAGTCGATGACAATCAGTATCAGCCATGTCTGTTGCACTGCAGCTTCATAACTTGTCTATTATCGATTCTCTCTTTTGTAGGACTATTTATTAGTTTCTGGATCTCATCTCCTTGGTGCTTCTCTTTCTCGCGGAATCTAATTCTCTAAAATAATGTGCTCTCCTCCTCCTCAACTTTTTAGTGTCTATTACTGATGATTCCCGGTGTTGACTGCCGCAGTATTTGGGTGTAATTGCAATTATTTGTTTCCTGTGACTCTGAGCTTGATGGATGGCGCAGACGGCAGGTGGGATCGATGGATGGATATGATATATAGGTTGAACTAACAGTTCCCATAAATCTTGGCTTTCGATTTCAGCTTTACATAGTTCTTTGGAGCTTACCACTGGACTTCGAGTTCTTCTGCATTGGTGTGTTGAATCTTCTTTCCTTACCTTACCTTTAGTGGTCAATCAATTTGTGGGATGAATTTGAGAGTTTAGTTTCTTAATGGTTGTGTTGTGAATGATCAAAAATTGCAGGAGGAAGATAGATGCTTTGCTTGGCCCTTAAAGAAACCCCAGTCCAGTCCAGTCCCGACTATTATTATTACTACTATTATTATTATTGCTAGTAGTAGTATTAGTATTGTTTTCAAATTATTATTGTACTAAAAAATCACTTTTAAGCTATCTTTTTCAACCATTCAATACTGCAGTTAAATGAAAATATGGTAGCTTTTGCTGGTTTTATTTGAAATCAAAGTTGTGAGTCTATAAACTTACCCTCCTAAAACAACTTAAGGAAACACAAGAAAATTGCAGTGTGTATGTATGTAGATATATGTAGAGAGAGAGAGAGAGGGGATGAATTCTGATCAGCCTCAGCCTCGGCCGCGGGAGCTCTGGGATCGAGCCACTACAACAACCAAGAGCACCACCACGGAAATCAGCACCGATGCCTTTAGATTGTAGTCCAATGAATCTGCCGTTTCTCCTTTCTTGCTACTGTCATTTGGAAGCTCAAAAAGCTTCATGACCCCGTCAATCAGCCGAGCGATTCTTGCCTTGGCGTTCGCGGCAATCCAGTGCAATAGCTCCTTCAATGGCTGGGAATTGATGATGGGGCTGTCCTTGCTTTTATCATCTTCATCATCTTCATCCATCTTGCTACTATCTTCATCCATCTTGCTACTATCTTCATCCTCTTCGTCTTCTTCGTCGTCTATCTTGTGGGCTGATCAAGCTACCCAAGATCAATGAATGATACTTTTGGTGTACGCACCACAAACAGCAAGAATTGTAGAAACAAACCTGCAGTAATTGAGCCTCTAAGCTCCTTCACAACTTCGTTGTTCATCACAGCATTCCACACGGCCTCGTCAGATGACAGAGACTTCACCATTTTCTGTAATTGCAGAAACTTAGAAATGCTTAGTGAATCCAAATATGGAGAAACTAGGGATTTGGCACCTGAACAGAGGGTTCGGATTGCAGCAAATGGAAGGTATCGTATACTCTGTCTGATCCATGAGGCTGAACCTGCTTTCTTGAACTCTTGAAATGCAGCGATGGCTCCACCCAATCCATCTCCAGATCCTCCTCAACAATGTTCCTCCTCGAAGACGATGCGCCAAACACTCTGACGGATTTCAGAAACAAGAACACTGGATGAATTTCAATATGAACTTAAGAATTTCAACTGATTCGTTCTAAAAAAATGTTGAGAAACAAATACTCTCGCAGTATATATACGTATATAATATGTATGTGCAAAGAATGTGCAGTTTGATTTCTAGCTTTGCATACATACAGTCAGGCTGAAGCTACTGATTGAATATGAATGATACTCAAGTGTTTAGGTATGAAGTTGTGTATTCTAAATTTGAATAAACTGCCAATCTGCCATGGATATTCTTTGTAATCTCTATATTTTCAATTCAAATATTATATTATGCTATCATTTTGGAAAGCACGATAAGCAGAGAGATTTTGAGAATTACTGTTGAATAGCAGAAACTGCGTGTTCCACTTCGACTTTCGACGGAACCGTTCCGAACAAGTAATCTTCGTGAAACGCACGCGTCGTTCTCCCATCCTCATTTCCATCTATACACTCCCAATCGGATTCATCGCTGAGGGTAGACGGCGAGCCGTGCCCCCAGGTGGATGCAGGCAAATCTATCAGCGAACAAAATGCTTGCCTTCCGCTGCTGTCATTGCCGGAAGATAGGGTTAGGGCGGAGGACGTGTTTGGGGAGCTGTTTGTATTGAAATTGTTGGATTTTCTGGAATTGCTATTACGAACGGCGGTGGAGGCGTTCGAGGACGGCGAAAATGGCTCGGCCGACGCACCGCCGGCTCCGGCTCCGGCGCCAGACCTAATAGCCCTCTGAACAACGGTTCTCATGATTCCGCCGGTTCCTCCGCCCATTCCTCCTCCTCCTCCGGCGCGGCCTCCCCCAAATGACCTCATACAAATGTATGGATTGATGGATAAGGATCTCTGTTTGGGATATTTTTAGCATTGATACTGTCAGTCTCAGTATATTGATTTTGTATCTATTCCAGTGTGCTTCGTTTTGTTTTTAGATGATAATATCTATATATATCTAAGAATATTTCAGAAGATTTTATTTTATTTTATAATTAAAAATATTAATTGGATAATTTCATGGCCCAAATCCTCCGACGTAGGCTTTTTGAATGGGAATGAATGAATTTTGATATAATATGTACTTAAGTAATATAAATTTAATATAAATATCTTCATTCTCTTATTTAAGAAAATATAAGAATATGAAACTATAAATAAATTTAATTTTATACATTTTTTAAAATGTTTGAAATAAAAAATACCATTGAATATATAGAACGGATAAGTTTGAAATGAAAAATGACAAACAAACACAAATTTAAAATAATTATAATTTTATGTTACTGTTAGGTTACTTAATTTTTGTAAACAAACACGAGACATAGCCTCCAAGCGACTTGATCAACAAGAACTTCACTCGGACTGTGTTCACTGTTCACAGCTGTAATAGTAATTTATACGTATCTGTTACAATTTTATTTTTATTTTTTTAGAAGAAATAGAGAATATTTAATAATGATATACTCACTTCGCGGTTTTGTATATTTAAGTTTCACATAAGAATTAAAAAAATAAATATTTTATTAAAAAAATAATAAATAATTAAAAATACTTTTAAAAATATAATTAAAAATAAATTAAATAAAATATAATATAAAAAATTAGTAATATTTATTATAAATAATTATCGAATGAAATAATAATTAAATGTTTAACTTTGCTAAAATAATAATGAAATAGATTTGACTGACGGGGTAAGTACTGTTATTAAAGATTTGGGTTCGGGTGATGAATCAGATCCAAGAAAGGCGAGTCGAAGAGATCCAAAAAGCGGAGCGGCGGAGGGAGTTCATCCTCAGTGACACTCTTCCCTGCGGCGGTGCATCGTCATTACGCCTGTGGTGAGCTCGCGGCGGCGCGTGTGGCCTCGAGTGTTGGATAGGTGCGTTTATAGTTTTTCTCCCTCTCTCAATTGGTTGTTTGGGAGATTCTGTTGTTTTTTTTTTTTGGTAAATTCTGTAGTTTGATTTGCTGGTTTTACGCGATTAGGGTTAGGTGTTTCTATCGTTTTCTTCTTCGTTTAACTGTGGATTGTTTGAACGCGCTAATGAAGCTTAATTGAATGTGAAATTGGGGGTATAATAGAATGTCGATTTCTTGTCTACACACCTGAATTGATAACCCTAGTTTCGGAACTGACATTTCTGCCATTTGCAAGCACAATGTGTTAATTGCGAAATCTGATTGATTCCAAACGTAATCGATTAGGACTAATTTTTTGCCCTAAATTGTGAATTTGGTAGATCAGATGTCCAAGGATGTAGACAACGACGAGAATGGAAGAAATCTACCTGGTGCTGAATCCAGCCCTCCTGGAGCCCTAACATCTTTGTTCACCAGCTTGCTCCAGCAAGCTTCCGTTTATGGCGTTGCTGCTGGTTATTGCATATCTGCTTCGCTGCTTTCGATCATCAACAAATGGGCAGTGATGAAGTTTCCATATCCAGGAGCTCTGACTGCATTACAGTACTTAACCAGTGCACTTGGAGTTCTAATCTGTGGATGGCTGAAGCTAGTCGAGCACGATAAGCTTGATCTTCTTACAATGTGGCGATTTCTACCCGCGGCGGCAATATTCTATTTGTCTCTCTTCACCAACAGCGAGCTCTTGCTTCACGCCAACGTCGACACGTTTATTGTGTTTCGTTCCGCCGTCCCCATATTCGTTGCAATAGGCGAGACCCTCTTTCTGCACCAGCCATGGCCGTCGGTGAAGACATGGATGTCGCTTGCAACTATATTTGCTGGCAGTATTGTTTATGTCCTAACTGATTATCAGTTCACCCTCACTGCTTATATCTGGGCTTTGGCGTACCTGGCGAGCATGTCCATCGATTTTGTCTACATCAAGCATGTAGTGATGACGATTGGTCTGAACACGTGGGGGCTCGTGCTGTACAATAATCTCGAGGCGTTGCTGTTATTTCCCGTCGAGTTGCTTATAATGGGAGAATTGAAGAAGATAGAGCACGATATTTCCGACGAGGCGGATTGGCATTCGATTCAGGTGATCTTGCCGGTGGGGTTATCGTGCCTGTTCGGTTTGGCGATATCGTTTTTCGGTTTCTCCTGCCGTAGAGCGATCTCAGCTACTGGATTCACTGTTCTTGGCATAGTGAACAAGCTGCTAACAGTTGTGATAAATCTTGTTATTTGGGATAAACATTCGACTCTCGTCGGGACCGTCGGGCTTCTGATTTGCATGGGTGGTGGCATCTTGTATCAACAATCTACCAGCAAGAAACCTGAATCTGCTAAAGGGGAGGCTCAGGTGAGTGATGAAGAGCAACAAAAGCTTCTTGAATTGCAAAGTATTGCAGATAGTGATCAAGAAGCAGCAAAATCATAGTTCATTTGGTGGGGAATTCCCACTGCTAAAACTGTCCTTTTTGTTCTTTCTTCATTAAATTCTTGTATCTTTTGTGGGCTTTTTTTATTTGTTTTTGGTCAATTTGGGTGTCTTGTAGTATTTTTTTAGCATATGGAATAGCTGAAATGATTAGGACAATCTTTGGTGAACGAAAAATGGGAAGCATTTTATGATATACAAACCAAAAGGGTTTCTTTTAACTGTTAATGGGAAATCTATAATACACACAAGGGAGGTAAAAAGGAGTCTTCTTTGAGCTATAGGCATGTTCTTACAAGGCTTGCATCTCAACATGGCTGTGGGCTTTTCCATTTTCCGAGGTTGACATCGGCGAATTTCCGGTCATCTCCTGTACTGGCGGTGGATTAAGTGTAGTCGTTGTCAAGGCTGCATCATCAGGTAGGCGAATCTTCATCTCCCGGTGCTCTTGGCACAGGGCACACCAGTGGAAGCAGCAGTGCACTAGGCAGGGGTTGCACGGCGAGTTCTGCATCGAACATGGGAATGATTAGTACACAAGAAGTGTAATAAAACCGGAGGAATTGTGAATCTTATTACATCACCTTGAGATGATACTTCCTCTGCAACAACTGCCGGACAATGCCGGAGTATAATCCACATATCCACCAACTGTAAACCAACGCCTCGCAGATGAGAAAAGTTGTCCTCGGCTCAATAAAACCGTGTAGGGCTGCGGTTGCTGCAGCTACAGCAAGGCCACCCTCGACGAAAATGGCGTGGCAAATGCATGGGCGAGCCCATGTTGTACCTTCTCTCACTCGCTCTACATTGCGCCCGAACAGAACACACGGGCAAAATAGTCCGGTCTTACCTATTGCAGATTCAGAATCATTAGCATTCTAACACCAATCGAATATGTAATAAGAACGATAATGTACACACAGCATGACAAAGAATCACTTGCTGAACAACATACTTTAACCAAGATTGAGATCATTGTTGAATTGGTTTACAAGTTTCGAAAACTTACAACTTTCTGTATCTTCTGCACATTGAAAAATCCCGGTGGACCAAGGCTCGTCTCCTGGGGCCTGATAGCCGTCCGGTAAAGGCTGTCTACATTCGCCACATTTGCGAATATGCAACTACAGAATGAACCGCCAGAAGTAATCAAACAAACTTGCATATTGCAATCAACTAGAGGTATATGAAGCTATGCTACATATGTAGATGTGTGCTAAAGGTAAAATTGATGTGCCTAGCAGACAGAGTACCAAAATTCACAGAAGCATCAAGCAAGATAATCAGCTAATCACAATCAAGTGTTCAGTACAAACACAAGGAGCTCAAGAACAAGCTTAATGCAGAGCAATTGATGTGTGAGGAGATGAACTTAGAAAGCAACATTCAAAACCCCTTGCCTATGAACCCTATATTTGTACACACATACAGTTGTGGAGGACGTTGATGATGGATTGAGTTCTGTTAAATACAACGTGAGAGGATAGCTCAAATTTAGAGAAATTGCAGAAACAAAAGTGTCATCACAACCAGCCACATCCACGGAGTTTATAAGGGAACAGGGGAAGGATACGCACCTGAGGAACATCAATTGGTTGGTTAAGCTCGCCGGGTTCAATATCCTCCACCGGCGATTGATCCTTGCCCAATTTCACATACCTTGAGGGATGATTAATTTCCTCCGCCATTCTCCAACGAATCTGAAACGCAAAATGTTTCGAAACTAATTCAATTCGAGAACGCCGACCTCAAATTCGAAGGGAACAAACAAAATGCAAGCAAAGTGTGGTTACAGTAGCTGCTCTGTAACAGTCGGCACTGCAATCAGATTGAACCAAGATGCGAGTAAAATTTACAATCGTAATGGAACTGATTGTGATTTTGCAGTGCGGAATCGAATTTCATTACCTCCTTTCTGCAGAATCTAAGCACTGGATCGTCTCCCAGACTCGGAAGATTTATTGCCTGCTTCTCAGACTGTTCACCGCTTACTCCATGATTGACTCACCCTCACTCGCGGTTCTACCCTGTACGGACACATTAATATTATTATTATTTATTTATTTATTTTTGGGAAATTTTTGGGCTCGGGCTTGAGGACGAAAAGAAAAGAGAAAAAGGAATAAAGCCCAGCCCAATCTGTAGAGAGTATTCTTCTTCTTCCTCTGCACTCACTTTCGCCATGGCAGATCACCCCAGCCGATTTGCGCGGCTCCGTCCTCGCCTGCCAACAGAACCAGGCATTGTCTGCCTCTCACGTCAACTAAAAACCAGGGACCGAACGAGGTATTCAATCTTCTTCTCCGGCTTCCATTTCCATTTCGTTGCTTCTCTCCGTCAAATGGATTAAGCGTAGGGTTAGTGTGACATTTTTAGGCGTCCTCAATTGATTTTTTCGATGTTGGATTCATACGGCAAATTTTTCAATGTTACAAGTGAAATTTACAGGTTATGGACGGATGGTTTGACTAATTCTGCTACATTTGCCACTTAAATGGCAGGTGGGAAACCCTAGACTCTCGTGCTTGCTTGTGGTTTATCTAGAACAGTAAGGATGGGAAATCTGAAATACAGTTCACTCTCCGCAAGTTGTTCGGACTGGTATCAAATCATACTCTTAGATGAACTATCTTAGTCGAATTTTTGCTTAATGGAGTCATTAATTTCACTTTTTATGTTGTTCACTTGCATGTTCAAATCCATGCTCAGATTTATGCATTAATGGGATAGTTCATGACTGAGAGTGCACATATAGTCACATCTGTAGCATTCTACCCTTCCATTGATTGTGAAATTAGGCGATTTTCCTTTAGATTTTATATGTGTTGAGTATAATTCTTTAAATTTGTGATTTAATTTGGAATGTTTATACTAATAATTACTATTGTATAGAGTATAGGAGAGTAGAATTTATATTTAAAATTATACATGTTCTCAGTATATTTGAAAATTATTTGAAAAACCTGATTTAGGATCATCTAGGGTCGAAAATTCCCCAAATCAGTTACTTATAAAATATTTATTTCCATTTTGATGATTGTTGATAATGAACCAGTCCGCCACTTTGCATGATTTAAATAATGTTGAAGTTATGATTCACTCTTATGAAAAACCTTTTTAACATAGCTAATAATCTTCTATATATGTTGAAATGCTATTTATTTTGCCTTGATTTTGCGTAGACACTTGTTTGCGATACCGTAGTAGAGCAGGTTATCACAACATGTACAAGGAGTCCCGTGATACCATATGATGGCTTTCAATCATAAGATCTCTCATCACTGTATCCAAATTATCCATCCCTGTTGAACATCCCTTTCTTCGCCTCCCCTGCTCCTGCAAGCCCAACCATCTCCGATGCCTTGCCTCGCTCAGGTTTGTATCGACTATTTGTAGTCTTATGTTTCTTGTTTACGCCTTTAAATTGTTTGTAGCATTATCTTCAGATTCTTTCTTATCCTTGCATTATGGAGATGACTTCCAATCATAAGATTGGTGCAGAGCAGATGTACACTGAGATGGCTTCCAATCATAAGATTTGTCATAGCTGTATCTAAATTATCCGTCCCATCAAGCATCCCTTCCTTCGCCCTCTCTGCTCCTGCAAGCCCGACTGGGTGCACCACTTTACTCTGGTTTGTTTCTGACTTGAAGCATTTATTTGTTGATATAATTTTCATCAGTCTTTTTTTATTTGTTGGTTCTTGACATGACTGATTACCTGATTGTTGTTGATTCAATTGTTTGTTTTGTCATATGTAAAAGAGTTCATTATGGTATTGGGGTTTGGGAGAGTATTTTATGGCTATTGATTGTTCCAAATTTTAAGTTATTGCTGGGATGATTGTTAGGTTTGCATTCGATTCATCTGTAATGATGTATAGTTTAGGGATCTTTGTAAAGAGGGGCAATGCATGATGCAATTAAATTAAATGAGGGATCTTTGTAAAGAATGGTTGTTTGAGCTGTGAAATTGTGATCAGCATTTTGAATATGCATGATTCATGGTGATATTGGATATGATTCTTGCTGATGTTGATGAGATTATTACAACTTGAACAGATGATTAAATTAATATACGAAGAAATTGTGAGTAATTGCTATTTTTAGTAATACTGCATTCCCTGTTATATTCTTCTAAAATGTCCCTTCATATATTTGCTCATGTTTCTAATTTTTGTTGTATCGATTTAAACATTTTATATAACATAGAAATCCAACTATTTGGTTAGGCCCGGCCCACTTCAATGTCGGTCTACGCTTTGGCTTTTGGAAATTTGAATTATTGTCTTCACTGCGTGGTTTTCACCTGTTAGAATTCTCTTGTTCTTTATTTCAGTTTTCTAGAGACAGGGAAATGACGATTTCTCGGTATTTTTGTGGTCGGTCTTGTCTGCATTAGGTGTCTTGCTTGCCTCGTAATTTGATTTGATCGTGATTTGAATTCAGTTATGGATTTTAAGAATTCTGACCGAAGATGGTGGTTTGGTCGATTTTCTTTGGACTCACTGTTTCTGGTTGGATGTGCCGTGATTATTCGAAGGTAATTAGATAAGGATCGTTTGCCGCCGTAATGTTCACGAGCGTAGACAGGGAGATGCGATGTGGTTGAGGAATCGAAGGCGTCAAAGAGAGCGTGATGCAATAATTAGGATGGCTGGCGGAATCTCAAACCATCATCGCCCTGCAACCAATCCTAGGAGAAGACCATAATCACGCGCAAAACCTACTCTGGTTTGTTAGTCCGATATCTCCAATACTGTTAGTTAATTAGTTTTTCTTCCTGCCACTGTTACGTATTCATTAACAATTGTTAAATCTGCCATTGTAGGTCTTGATTCTGATGGTTCTTTGTGCGATGTCTTGGATCAATGTCATTGAGTGGCTACTCTGTGTTGGTGATGATTTAATGCTAGGTTCTCGATTAGGGTAAACTGAGGTCATTGTTAACTGCATTTGGGACAGTTATATTTCTCATTTACATAACATGCAGTGGTTATTTGGCTAAGTACTCAATGAATGAAATATTGACCTTTTAATTGCATCTTGAACACGTAATGGTTTCATCACTTCTTGAGAAGTTTATTATTCAAACATTAGGAATAATATTACAAAGGTATTAGTCCTAGTGTTTAATTTGACTCATTGTGCTTACTTGGTAGTTTGCATTTGAACCTAAACTACTGAAATTTTTTACACTAACATCCTATGTTATACTTATCTGTTTCCATGTTTCTCTGTTACAGTTTTCTCAATCACAGTTGCATGGGTCCCACCGGTGAACAAGTTGGTATGTAAGTACCCAATCCAGTGCCTATCCATTCATTTACCAGAACCAATGCTATGTTTGCCTACATATGATAGAATGGTGTAAAATCCTGGTGGACCTCAGATTAGAAATCCCCGTAGGCTATAGTTAGTAGTTAATTGTTATGGACATATGAATCAGCTTTCTTTTCTCAAAAATTTATGTCGCATCTTGGTAATTATGTTAATTGCTTGCTTTGTTTTCTGGACAAGCTTTAGTTTCTAACATGGCAACTTATTATTTTGTTGTACATGAAATTGGCATGACTAGGTCCTACAATACTATCCGGGTTCCTAATGGTTATAGTGAGTGTAAGAAACGAGGAGCTTAGCCAAGTCAATAACTTCAACGATCTTCATGTGGAATAGTTTTGGAAGGAGGCAGTGACATGCTTTCTGCTATGCTATGTAAGTATTTGATTTTGCATTATTCATTTATTTATTTCTGTACACTCTTCAAAGGGTTGGTCAATTTTTTTTATAGTTGTTTAATAATCTGATAGTGTGTTGCATAATAAGGAAGTTATATAGGCTTGGCCTGGAAATCAGGATTAGCCATATGTGTTATTTTCATGCATATGGTTTTTATGTTCTCTTTGTGTTAGCAGTGCAGCGTAAAATACTGCATAAGTTTGATAGGATACATATTTACTGCTCTCTCCGGAGAGAGCCGCTGTAATATGTATCCAATCGAACAACTATTCTATTTTTGTCATTCTCCAAAGGTGGTGCTGGCAATCAATCAAGCTAAATGTTTTACTTGTTTATTTTCAAAAGTAGACAAGCAAATCTCAATGTTTTGGAGTACTGGGGTGTTTGATCTGTTTTTGGTTTATTTTATATGGAGATTGCTAGGAAGATGCATGTGTGTATTAGAAATGGATGTACAACCTGTACCTGTGGTTGTGATGTTATGTGATCAATCTATGTATCACTTTATTGTCCCAAAGTATTGGATTATATAATTGAGAGGGGTTAGGATATAGTAGTTAGTTGTATATCATGCTGGCAATTAGTGTGTGCTTGCTTCATATTATATGTCAATATTATGATTAGATTTCTGGTATGATATCATATCGCCATACTGGCAATGCACGAGGAGGATGTTTCGATTTTTCCAGTCAGTTCTGGAACTTCTTTTTTTTTTTTCTAAAAAAAAAAATCCCTTTTGATTACGAAGTGACCAATAAATAAAGCTCTTTTGTAACATTTTGAAAAAAAAAAAAAAGAATTGGTAATATTTTGTGCAAGTAAATGTATTTGACGTTTTTCTTTTTTAAAATAAGTACAGTTGATACATAAAAAATATATTATATAAAAAATGTGAATGTAAATAGTATCTACGTCTTGTGCCAGTGCTGGCATGCTTTTTAAAAGCCATTCCCATTTGACCCGCCCTGTGTATAATGAGCATCTGGCCCAATATTAGGTTGCAGAAGCCCATTCAATAGCCCCACTTGTCTTACATTACAGACATGCCCACGTGAGGTCGACAGAGACGCTAGAAGCCCACGTGCTGCCTGCCAACGGCACGACGGACCTACTTGCCATGGTCAAAAAGCCCATCCTGCAGAATAAGCCCTTACGTCCTGATATATTACCTGCACAGGCCAACTCCAACCGGCCCAATGATTACTATCCAACAGCAGACAAAAGAACATACTGTTTACCCAAAGCCCAAAAGGCCCAATTGAATATGGCCCAGGCTCAGTTGAGGCCAACACTGTCAATATAGGCCCATTCGACAGACCCAAACATTGCGTCCAACGAGCCGACATGAACACGTGCTGTCTGCCTAAAATCCTATCCACGTGTACTCAGAAGCCGACAGAAGCACATGCTGTCTGCCAAAGCCCACGTCTAGTTGTCATGGACCATCAGGCCCAATGTTTTTTCTGAGTGGGCTGTATAGCCCAATATTATGTCAGCACAAGCCTATTTGACAAGCCCAATAGCTGTCTCCTAACACCTGACAAGATCACGTGCTGTCTGCTTATTAGATTCCAATCACGTGCAATCGCATCAGCTGTCGCCTAGCGGTCGACAAAAGTACATCTGTCTGTCTCTCCAAATCAGAAGCGCACGTGCAGTGGTCCTGGACCATTTGGCCCAAATGTTGTTTCTGTATGGGCTACATAGCCCAATGTAATGTCAGCGGAAGCCCATTTAACAGGCCCAAAAATTGTCTCTGAACACCCGACAGGATCACATGCTGCCTGCCCAGACACCAACAGACCCACGTGTAGCTGTCAAGGCCCATCTAGCCCAATGTCGCGTCTCTCGCGGCCCAATTGTAAGGTCGGAGCAGGCCCATTTATAAGGCACCTGAATGTCGCAAACACGCCGACAGAAGCACGTGCTATCCGTGCAGATCCCGACAGATCCACGAACAGTTGTTATGGCCCTCACGGCCCAATGTAATGTTAGTGTAGGCCCATCCCGCAGGCCCAAGTGCGGTTGGTCAGGTGCCGACAGATACACATGCTCTCTGCAAAGACCCGACAGGGCCACGTGCTGTTGGTCGGGACTGGACATACCCACGTGCGATTGGTCAACGCCTGTCGGGCACGAACGATCTGACAGGGCCACAATATTTTCACCCGTGACCCGACAAGCCCACGTGCTTCCATCAAGGCTCATCCAGCCCATTCCATTTTCAGTCTAATTAATCAGGTTATGATTATTATTATACATTTATTAACTTAACCGATTAGCAAAATAGCTATCCAAGAAAAATGAATAATAATAATTCTCTACCCTAAAAAATAAAAATGAAGAATAAATCTCTACCCTCCGACGGGGGCTCTCTTTCCTATCAGCATCGGATGGGCTTCTGAGGAGATTAATATAATAACATCATATAAATATACTCCTACCCGAAGCCTCCTGGCTGCCCCACTGAACTGATGAGTTCACAACTATTCTTACTAGCATTCATGCAAACTTGTTAGTCGTTACCTTGTTTATCAACTTTATGTTCTGAATTTTCATGTGTTGGCTGGCTCTTGCTGATAACCATGAATGATATATCCATCTAGAAGCTGCGGAAATGGGATCCAAACGCTTGCTTACTTGGTTGGAATATTAAAACAACACTTGAATCATTCACAGGACTAGCCTGGACCTCTTTACTGCTGCAAGCCAAGAACCCATCACCATAGCATCAGGCAATTCAGGTAGGAAATTTTCAATCGAACACATCATCTGCATAGGCTGCTACAACCAAACTTAAATTGGTTGAAAGTTTTATTTTGCCCGAATAATGCAATTCCCGCTAATAATTGAATCGAAAATAATTGATTAGGTGGAAAACCCAAATAGAAATCCAAACATAGGGCTTGAATCGAAACACACTGGTAAAATTATTGCGGATCCATGGAAAACCCAAATAGAAATCCTCCTAAATCTATACAGTATGTTCGTCAATCATTCCAGATCCAAAACTATATAGCATACGATACAAAAAGAACATATGGGAAAATAAATCCTAACCCGCGATTAGGTGAATCGTAGAGAGATAGTTACACAATATTTCAAGACGAATTTATCAAGTATTCACACAAATAATTGATTATATATGTTCTTAAACTATCAACATTTCAAGAAGAATTTATCAAGTATTCACACAAATGATTCATTATGTTCACACGAATCCATTCCAGATCCAAAACTAAAAAGTTATCATTACCAAGCATTTAAATCTTTCGAAATTAAGGAACACTGCAAAACGTAACAACCAAAAAAGAAGGAACAAAAAAACCACAACATTTCAAATCCCTAAAAGCAAATCAAATTTCAGCGACCACGGGCCATAATTTCACGCAAATACAGAAAAAGGAAAGAAAATTCGTGATCTAAATCCATACCCATGGTTGCAGAACTTGTCTTCGAGGAGATGAACCAGTAGCGAGAGCGACACGCTCGACTCCGCAAGACGGAACATACCTGTTTTTCAAAAAAGAAGTAAAAAATATGAATGCAACTAATAACTGGACCGGACAGGAACCCATCCTTTTTATAACTGTAAAGGCTTATATAAAAGCCCACATGGTAGTAGGGTTTGTATTGATGTTTTCGAAACTATTTTATCAAATAATAATACTAATAATAATAAAAAAAACAATTAATCAAAAAGGTCATTTATATATTTCAAATTTAAATATATTACATTCCGAAAAATATTTATATTTATGCAAATCATATAAAATCACACAGCTCTAACTTGAAAGATGAATAGAGAGAGAGAATGGTACCTGAAAGATCTTCCTCAACATGTTGCCATCTCTCTTATTGAATTCCTTGATTCTTGTTCTATCTACTTCAGTTTTTCTCAGTTTGTTTGTATTCATTGCATTGCCCCACTTGGTACAAACTGTTCTTACAAGAACCCAATCAGTTTTGCATCCAATTCTTCAAGTTCATATATGGATTCTTGCAGCTTCAAATCATACTAGTTAAATAAACCTTTGTGTGCGTTTCAATCTGCATTGAGCTCTGCTCTGGAAGCATTCATCCCTCAATTCATTAACAGTCTTAACATCAATCATTCTGGAACTTCCCGACCAACGCTTCCATTGTATTTGCTCTGCCCTTGGACTCCCTCAACTCCACCAGAAAAGATTCATACAATTTTGCAGCACCAGCTGGTTTCAATCTTAATGCTTCTTCAATAGTCTTCACATCTTCAAACATCATTTGAACTCTACTAACTTCCTTGGGCATCTGAGATTCAGATTCTGGGTTCAAAATGTCGAGATTCGAATATCATATCACCATGGGTAGCCATTGTATCTGATTCAGAGCAGAAGGCAAAGCAGCAGAATTCACCTTATTCTGGTTCCTTACAGATGCCAATTCAAAAGAGTCATGGACTTTCTTGTTCTACCCTACAAAATTCATGAACTTGATTGATTATCATCACAGTCATAATGTTTCTTTAAATCACTTTCCTCTTACACTTCTTCTCATGACCTCAGCTCGTCCTTTGTCTCTACTTTAGCTTGGAACCGAGCCATCAGAGCTTCCAATTCAGCCACTCTGCTGGATCTTTTTCGAAGAATTTAGAGCCTACCTGTGAAAATCTCTATATAAAACATCTTAATCAATAAAAGGAAATCTATACCCTAAGAAGTTCAATGTAGTATTAGCAATTTAGCATAGCACCTGCATTCGGTACAGTGGCAAGCATCCGCAGGCTTGAGATGGTTTTCTGGAGAGTAGCGATAAACTATGGGGCTTCCATCTTTTTGTACGCAGCTTGTTAAGTGTTGACTTCGGAGAAGAATCTCATGATCTTCTCTGAAGAACAAGGAATGATTGGAGATGTTCTCGTTAAGAAAACCAGGTCTGCAAAATCAAATACACCAATGAACAATCAACCTTCAGTCATCACTATCTATGTCGTTCATTAGAAGGAACGAAATGAAATAGTAAACACGCTAAAACCATGAATTTCTGAAAATGCTTGAAAGATTCTAACAATCGCTTCATTTTTATCCACGAAAACATCACGATCAAATTGAAAAAACAGAACAGCAAGTCAAAAATCGCCGTCAATGCTGATCGATTTTGACAATTGTTTCACTTTTATCCATGAAAACATCGATCAAGTTGAAATAACAGAACATCAAGTAAAAATCCCCGTCAATGCTTGATCAATTCTAACAATTGCTTCACTTTTATCCACGAAAACATCACGATCAAATTAAAATAACAAAACAGCAAGTCATAAATCGCCGTCAATGTTTGATCGATCCTTACAATTCTCTTTCGACAGTAGATGTTTCAAAAGGTGGAAGCGACTCAACTTACAATCTTGATACGGCCATGGCTTGTGGCTGTAGGAGGCGACATCAGGTAGTTCCGAAATGGCGAACGAAGAAGAAGGCGCCGTCAGACAATTGACAAATGGAAATTAGGAATGGGGATTTAAACGGAAATGGCTATATGGCGCCTTCGGGTCGGGTTTTCCATTTGACCCAAACCCGCCCAGTGGATAGCCGCCCTTATAAGATTTTGTGCTTCTTTAATGTATTCTGTATTTATATACTATGAGTTGATTTTTTATGTTGTAATTTATATTATATATATATTCATACAAATTATTTTATTTATAAGTTATGGTCCCATTCCTGTATCATATGCAAAAGTTGAAGACGAAGGAAATTAATGATTGCTTTCTATCTAAATATACATTAACCCTAATATAATGATTTGCTAATACATACACAAACAGATTACTATTATGCTGAGTGAATGATGTAAAACAAACATTAGCGTTTGTGTGTATATTGCAATTATAGTTCTAGAAATGTAATAGTAGAAGAAATTCATGAGTAGTGTAGAAAATAGTCTTTGATTGTCTTTCTCTTCAAGGAAGAAGGAGGATTCAGAACAGATGAAGGGCTCTTCTTTTCAGCTTCTGGTGTGGCTTTCTCTAAACCTTCTTCTTCTTCCTCTGCTGCGGCATCAAACTTTTTCATTTGAGATTTTGGGGTGCTGACCTCTACCTCTGCCATTGGAGAGGGTGAAGGTTCTTCATCATTATCCCTGAATAGCTTTCTTCTCTCAATTCTTGGCAATGCCTTTACTCGCTTTCGCATCGAGGAGGGGGACCGTGTGCTCGAGTAACAGCTGTTGTGAATGTTCCAAAGACGAACCTGTGACAAGAAAATGTATTTAGCATTCTGATTTAGTGTATATATATATATATATATTTATAATGATGATGATGAGTAGGGAAGATAAGATTACAGTGAAGTCATCTGAGCAAGTTGCAATTTTTCCCATTTCTGATGGGCACCTGGTGGAAACAAATTACCGAAAAGAGGGTTAAAATGTTGGTAAATTTAAGGAGAAATGCACAAAGATTATTGTTCTTGACAAAGCTAGTATTTACCAATCCACTGCTGTGACTTCCCCATCATGGCTTTCCAAGATGATTGGATCTGCGTGAGGTTTGCTGACCTGGTAAAAGCAAGAATATGATCAATTTGCTGTGATCAACAGAGGGAACAAAGAGGGGTGGGGGAGTTGGGAAGGAGGCGAACCTGCCACATGTAGGCATTGCCATCGCTGGAGCCACTGAGTATGTTAGCTGCATCAGGACTGATTGCTGCCTGTAATAACATCAGCCAGTTGATGAGACACAATCAAAGTGATTTTGATTAAGTGCTGAAACTCGAATAATATATATATACCTTGACGAAAAATGAGTCTCTCCGGCCTCCCGAGAAAATTTTTGTCGGTCCCTTTTCAAGCTGAAGTAAATTGTACAAATATACTCTGGAAGAAGAAAATTGAGAATCAGGATTCAAGCACTTGTTCTTGACCTTGTGGCATTTATCATTTTATCTGAACAAATAAAAATGTAAAAGAACTCGGAAAATAGAAAATAAAAAATCACCTGTGATCCATGCATGAAGCAGTAATGAAAACCCCATTCATATCTTGAGACAAGCTAGATATGCCATGCAATGTCTTCTCCTACAAAGAGTAGCTTAAATCAGTCTTTCATGAGATATGAATGAATCTAACAAACACTTGAGGAAATTCACACCAGGAACTTTATCTCCAAAAAATGTTCATTATAGGCATATAATTCTACGTTACTACTCAAGAGCTTGAACCTTCAGAGAGTTTTATGTTCCAGTAAAAAAAAGGACCAGACATAAAACTATATTGGACCTCACTTGAAGACTCAGAATTGAGGCAAGTATGAGTAACTGGAGCTTTAAGATGCCTTGTGTCCCAGAACTTGATAACACTGAATTTAAGATGGAAATCGGAGTTGTTAGTCTCAAGATGAGCAAATACGAGCCAAACTATTTTTATCATATCAGTGATATGAATTTAGTGAAAACCTGTCAACTGCTCCTGCAGTAGCAAGAGAAACCTCATCCTTCAGATAAAGCACTGATGTTATGCTCATGGATTCAGCCTGGAAACAGTTAATCAATCAGAGAATAAACATAAATCATATGGATACGTTTTTCCAAAAACTCAAATTAACAAACCTTTTTGTGCCTTCTCCACCTTCGACCAGAGGTATGAGCCTCGTGAACTACTGAAATATGCCTATAACATTCAGCATCACAATGGACAGGCGTGAGTTAAACCAGAATTTGTAATAATTCAACTTTTGGTATTGAGCATGATCTTTTGATAGAATAATTATAGAACTTTAAAAGCAAGCAATTATAATAGCAAGAAACAGAATGGTGAGGAAATTTACGATGCACAAAACTTCTGATTGACATTTTTGGAGCTCCTGATATCCCACACAGCAAATGACCCATCCCTTGAACCAGACACGACAAGGTCTGAAAACAGAACAATTTGTTAAAACAAAGGTACTAATTTGAAACCTTTTGCAATTTAAAATTTCTCAAAAAACTGAAAGTTATTGAGCTCCGTCACTAACCCTGATTAGTGGGATGGCAACTGATGGATTTGATACTCCCAGTGTGCCCCATCAATGCCCTAATGCACGTTTTTTCTTGTGTGTCCCAAACTTTAATCTGCTTGGAATAGAATTTATGTTTTATGAATCCATAAACCATGTGATTGAACAACTAACCTATAATATTGAAATTTTCTTCTTTTTAATTTTCAGCCAATGAAAGTGTTGTTTGAATTAAGTTGATATACGAAGCTTGATCTCCGGTATTATAGTAGAAGAAGTTTTGCTTACACTTTGATCTCCTGAAGCAGTCAGCATATTTGCATCATCCTGAAGAATAACAATTCAGTTAGCTATAAGCAGCTTTTGTCCAAAGTAATAAATACAGCCACAACGAATCAAACTTGCCTATTCACTTGATAGAGACATAGCTAATCATTGGTACGAGACTACAAGCAAATTAATTTGAATATAAGAAGCAAATCCATCAAGCAAGTGAACGAGCTTTGAAGTGTACCTTGATCCAGCATAGGTCAAATATGGCATTTTGATGAGCTACCCACTCGGAAATTTTAGCTTTCTCTGCAACAACGAGGGAAAGAAAAAGGATAAATGTCGTGTCGAAAAGTTGAATAAGTGCAATTCGCAAAAGCAAAACCAGTGAATATTAAGGCGGGAATTTGAATTTACCAGCGTTTTCTCTGTATGAAGAGGAACCCAAGAACCTCTGTCTTGTATTAAGCAAGTTAACGTAACCTCCCTCATCAGCAAGAGCGAGTATATGGGAATTGCTACTAGTCTACAGCGAACAAACACAAGTATAAATCAACGGAAGCAAATCTTGAGCAGCAAATTAACCTCGCAGTAGCAATAACCATAATTCAAACCTTGCAAAAAGACACGGCCATCGGAGGTGAAGGCTCGGATTCATGCTCGACTGCCACAGCACCAATTAGGTCATACCCTTGGGCATCGTTGCCAGCATACGCCCGCTTTCTCACTGCGAAACCGACAAATTATCAGCAATATTATCTCCAATCACTTCCATATCATGAATGAACGCAAAAATTACCCAAATAAACCAGAAAAACAGCCGTACCTCTGAATCCATTGACCTCTCTCGATTTCAAATCCTGGAAAAAGGAACGACCGGAGTTTTCCATTTTTTTCTGTTTGTTGCCTACTCTCACACTGCGTGGCAGATCGAGGAGCAAATAACGCCAGAGAGAACAGCTAGGAGGTGGCAATGGTGAGCAGTGGGAAATGGTGGCCTCGAATCGTTTATTTAGAGCTCAGCAATGGCGACCGGGGCGGGGAGCGGCGGAGTGGGAAACTGAAAATATTTTGGTTCTTTTGGCGCCTGAATACTCTCCCGATATTTAAAAGTGAAAAATAAATCTAAAAATAAAAACAATAGGTAGATTTATGGGTTTGTTTCTTTCCTAAATTTATTGAGACATTATATCTTTATTATTTTTATAATATTTTAATAATTTTCTATAAAAATTTAGTTTTTTTTACACATCCCTTTTTTTGTATTCACAATATTTTAGAAATTTAATTTTAAGCATTAATTTTTTTTTAGTTTTGATTTTTAATTTTTTTTTATATTTTTTTCATCTTATAAAATTATTTTCATTCGATTGAATATGATAAAATAATAATAAAAATATTTTATTACAAGAGAATAAGTTTAAAAATAAAAAATTTAAATTTAAATTAAAAAAGAAGTATAAAATAAAAAAATTATATTTTATACTCCCTCGGTCCAGTTAGAAAGTATACATATTTTTATTTTGGGACGTCCAATAACAATTTCATTAAATACCTCATTTTTTTTTTATAAATACCTTTACTTTACATCACATCATTTACAAAAAAAAAAAAAAAAAAAAGTAAGGACAAATTTTATTACTTTACCTGTCCACTATAATTAAAATACTATTATTCCTTAATCTCTACGCAACTTGGACGGAGGAAGTATTTTATATTTATTTTTATAAAATAATAAAAAATATATTAAAAATTGTATTAAAAAATATATAGATAAACAAACTTACCATTTCAAATAAGTTGCTTATTCTAATTTCTAATATTTTATGATATTAATATTTTATTTTTTAAAAAATATATCACGTTAAATATATTTATTTTATTATAAAAATTATTAGATCAAATATTATAAAAACCGTATCTTAAAATTAAGAAAATAAAACATGTATATGAAAAATTTTTTAAAAAAATTAAAATATTATTATAACAATATTTATTAAAAAAAAAAAAAGAGTATCCCTATTTAAGTAAAAAATCATATAAAAAAAAAAATGAGGGGCAGGAGGCAGAGGAGTGAAGGAGAGAGTAGACGGCTTCGTCTCCCATAGAATCCTAGGGTTTCGTTTCGCAATCGTCTCTCAATTTGAATTGCTGTGTTTTACCATGGATGCTCAGCGGGCTTTGCTTGATGAACTCATGGGCTCAGGTTCGGAGGGCATTATAATGGCCTTAAACCCTAGTTATTACCATCATCCTTACGATTTGTCACCAATCTTCATTATTCGCTTTGGAACTGGGGTTCCGATGTGTTGGAGCTTACTTTCTCTGTAAATTATTGCTTGATTCACTGTCAGAAGCCAATGATTTAATTTGAACACTAAATCTGGGATAAGATTGGCGATGTAAATCGATTTGTGTTTATTCCCCTTTAGATAACTCTTTTAGGGTCTCGAAATTCGTTCCTTTTACATGTTTGTTATGAAGTTAATTGATTGATTACCGAAATTTTTACTGACTGAAGTAATTGTTTGCTGTGTGGTTGGATGCTAATTAGCATGCCTCATGCTCTCTGTTTATAGCACTTTTCTACGAAGATTTTGAAGCTTTCTTTAAAAATAATAATAAAAAATGGCGATGCTTATGAATGTGTCTTGTGGTTTATCACAGCACGCAATCTGACTGATGAAGAGAAAAAAGGGTACAAAGAAATCAAATGGGATGATAAGGATGTTTGTGGATGCTATATGGTTCGATTCTGCCCCCATGATTTGTTTGTCAACACTCGAAGTGATCTAGGTAATGTTCGGATAGTTTAACTTGTTCTTTCTTTTAGAAGTATATATGAAGAATGTAAAAGGAATACCTCAGGCCTTTGTGTGACTAGTTTAAGTAAATTATTCAAAGTATGTTGGGATCAATATTGCGTATGTTATTATAATTGCCCCTCCCGTATTGCTTACACGTGCCGCTTTTGATTTTTACATCAGGAGTTTGTCCCAAGATTCATGATCCGAAGTTGAAGGAAAGGTAATAAATGCTTAATTTCCGATTTTTTTCCCTGCACTTTTGCTTCACTAGTGGCATTATTTTAGATACTATTCGCATTTATTATGTAACGCTGCTTTGACAACTTAAAAAAAAAAAACGGCTTTTTGGTGACAAGTGTCGGTAAAGCTGCAACGACAACATAAAAAATGTTTTTTTGCTGATGTGTGTCTGTAAAGCCGCAAGGGCATGAATTGTGAGACAAGAAGTTGATAATTTTCTACATAACAAAGATGATTGTGTATTTTTGGTAGATATTAACCATGCATAAAATTACCACTATATTGTAGTAGTGACTGTCTCTGTGGTTGGTGGCAGAATGACATTATATTGTTTTTGTTCTCTGATTATGGGATTCCTTTCCGAGTACTCTTTTATTTATTTATTTTTCTTCTTATTCTTCCGGTGGTTGCATGACAAATTTTCCAAGCTAAATACATCACAAGTTCGTCATTTATAATTGATATTCAATGTTGAGTAACTGATCACTGTTTTGAAAATTTGAAATTCCAAAATTATCCCATAATTCCATACTTGTCAATAGCGAGCAATATTAGCGCTATCCTGATGCCGTGGGGCATGGAAGCTCTTTTCTGCTCCCACCACTTCATCGCATTTTTTTCACAGTTCTGTTTGAGGCCTCTATATTATTTTGTCAAGACTGATGTTTCAGCAACAGAACCAAGTTTGGATTGAATACTTTTAAGGCACTTCAAGTCTTTGTAATTATGATATCTTCTAGCACTTCCATTATCATTACTTTTGAAACATGTGAAACTTAGCTTTTCTGCCATTTCTCATTTTATGTTGATAACCCTCACAGTTTCTTGACTAACTCATTCGCAAGTTGAATGGTTTTCCTGTGTTCCTCTCTGTAGTTTCGAGAACTCACCCAGGCATGATTCATTTGTTCCCAAGTTTGAAGCTGAACTGGCTCACTTCTGTGAAAAGCTGGCAAGTCTTTGTCTTCAGCTATTAGAAAGTTCAATGTTCTAATAGTAAGGCCCATAACATCAATGTCCAACAACTTCTGTATTATTCTTCAGGTTTCTGATTTAGATCGGAGAGTTAGACGTGGTCGAGAACGCCTTGCTCAAGATGTAGAAGTTCCCCCTCCTCCTCCCATTTCAGCTGAAAAGTCCGAGCAGTTGTCCGTGCTGGAAGAGAAGATAAAGAACCTGCTTGAGCAAGTTGAGTCGCTTGGTGAAGCAGGGAAAGTTGATGAAGCTGAGGCACTTATGAGAAAGGTGCCGCCATAGCTTTGTTCCCCATACGATCTTCTTGAGTTTTAGGTGTACCTCTTATATAATAAATATTATCTGATGATCTTTAATCACTATCTATTTCAGGTGGAATTACTTAATCTTGAGAAGACAGCATTGACTCAACCTCAGCAGGATAAATTATTGATGGTTGCACAGGAGAAAAAAATGGCATTATGTGAAATATGTGGTTCCTTTCTGGTTGCAAATGATGCTGCAGAGAGAACTCAGTCACACGTTACTGGCAAGCAGCATATGGGATATGGGATGGTCCGTGACTTTCTAGCTGAATATAAGGTACTAAGCTTCCATTCTTACTATCTTGGAGGGCCAACTTGTGTACAAAAAGGTTATGCATATTTTGTTTTCCTGCCTGTTATCTAAAAGTGTAGAATTTGTAACTCTGAACATTATAAATTCACTAGGAAGCTAAGGAGAAGGCAAAAGAGGAAGAAAGGTTAGCGAAAGATAAGGAAGCTGGAGAGAGAAGAAAGCTGCGGGAGAAAGAGTTTGAGAACAAAGGCAGAAGAAGTGGATCAGCTGACAGGGACAGGTACCCTGATAGGGATTATGATAGGGAGAGGGACCGATATCGGGAGCGTGATCGTGATCATGACAGATCTCGGGAAAGAAATGGTAGAGGAATGCGTGAAAGAGGAAGGGGTTCAGATAGGAAATATAACACTCCAAATGGAAGAGAAGGCAGCAGGGATAGATATCGAGAGCGTGACAGAAGCAGGTCACGCACTCCACCCAGGCATGGCCGCAGAAGGCCATCCAGGAGTCCTGGCCACCCCCATTAACAGAGATTGTGTAGAAATATATCTGAGAATTATGAAGAGGTAGATACTTCTATGAACTATGGAGCTTAACTGTATGTGATTTGGAGTCGGTTCTGTTGTCATTATGAGTAAAGTTGTTTTCTGTCCTCACAGCTCTGTTGAGATATATCATCTCCCTATCATCACTATAATTAGAGGAGAAAACGGTTGAGGTAGGTACAATTTCTTTGTCGTAACTATTCACTTTATGTTTTTGTCGACTGTTTATGCTCTTTATGTGGCATTGTGCTCTTTCTTAGTTTTTTGGCTGCCATATCCGTTTTCATGGGAATCTGTTTTCTTCTGTTTGGATGGTTATTCAGATTATCCGGGGAATCTGTTTCTCTTCACTCTGGTAACTCAGGTCATGCATTGTGATTTTCTTGCTTGTGATTGTTACTTATTTGTCATGTAGATCTGGTGTTGCATTTACGTGAGGCTCTTGTGCCGATGGGGTAAATATTTCTTGTCTGATTTCTTTTCCTACACCCGTGAACCCAAAGTTGAATAACATGTAGGGACAAGATTAAACATAGTGGAAAGGATTCATATGACTCTTAGCAAAACCTCGTGGCTATCGTCAGGTAATTTTGTACCTCCTTTGAGGCTACTATATATTCAGGTTACTACTTCCATTGGAGCATGAAACTCCGGTTTGAGAATCCTAGTTAGAAGAGGCCCTCGTGCTTGCGTAAAGCTAATATGCTAAGGAAGGATGGAATTGCATTGAATGGCATGGTAACTTTCTGTTTTCTTGTAGCTAGTAAAATAGTAGTGAGGCATCTTATGGTTTGTGCACTAACCAGAGCAGTATGATTCATGTTCGTAAGTGTTTAGTAGACGTGTTGAGGAAAGTTCAGTTTGTGTTTCCGGGTGGCCACTATTGAAGGTAGTCAGTCAGTCGAGACTCGCATTGTTGCTTGTCTCGTCGCTATTTTGCCGCATTTTTTCACCATTGTATGTTGGTTTGTTAAATGATCTAGCCTTGGGTTGCTAAGAATTGCCAAGCACACGAGGTTCAGTGTGAGATATCATCATCCAATCGTGTGTGTGTGTGTGTGTGTGTGTGTGTGTATAGCTGAATAAGTATTGTGTTTATGTGTTACTATAGACTGCTTCTGCAAGTTCATTGCTTTCTTTTTGTTGTGCAAAAGAAAGTAGTAGTGATCTAATGTTTGTAGCTGCAATACCAAGAATTCAGTAAAACTTTTTGGGCATTTTGTACACTAATTTAATTTAATGGCCATCAAATGTTGTATTCCAATTTTCTCTATTCCTTCTATTTCAACATTTGGAAGAAAGAGATAATGTAGGTAAATTTTAAAATTTATTATATTTGTGTTACTAATTTTATTTTATTTTTTAAAATTAAAAGTAGAAATCATATTCAATCTTGATTGTTATTCAATTATATATTATTCAATTTTTTATTATATTATTTTACAGTAAAAATATATTTATTATTTTTTAAATATAAAAAATAATAATTTATCAATCTGATATTTTTATTTAACTATAATTTTTATTATAGAATCAATTTTTCTTTAAATAAAAATTATTTTCAAATTTAATTTTATTCATATTATATTATATATATATATATTGTAATTATAACATTAAATAGATTATATGTAATATTTTTAAGTTTGTTATTTAGATTAAATTTTTTATTTTAATTTGAACCTAATACTTTATTAAAAAAAATTATTTAAATTTAAAATTTTTATTTGAGATATTTTTATTTTTATTGTGTTATTTATATTGAATGAATGTATTTTCAATATTAGGGGTGTGTTTGGCCGCTGATAGCTGTAAGTTGTTAGGTGATTCAGCTATTAGCATTTAACTAATTCAAATGACAATTTAGGACATTTATATTTTAACTTTTAAAATTTTTATTTGTGTTTTTTTAGTTTTAAAATTTTTGTTATTAGTTATTTGAAATTATGAGTGTATTATAAAATATTTTTTTATTAATTTTAGATGTGAGAAAAATAATAATATATATTTTTATTAAGAAATATGAATATTTTTTTAGTAAAAATGATGTAAAATATTAAATAATAAAAGATTTGTATTTATATTTATTATATTAATTCTTGATTTATTTAGTAATTTATTATATTTATAATTTTTAATAAATTTATTCTATTTTATTTAATTTTAATATAAAAATAAAATAATAATAACAAAAATATAATTATAATTTACAAATAAAATTAATTAATTTAAATTTATAAAAATATATTATAATTTAATAAATAGTATATTAAAATAATTTAAAATAACAGTAGAAAATATATTTACATATGTGAAATAGATAATAATATTTTAAAAATAAATAAGAAATAAAAAAAATTAAAGTAAAAGAATTATATTGGATTATATAACTTTTTTAAATTAGTTTTTTGGACGAATAAAGTAGTGTGGGGCTAGGCATAATTTCAACCATCAATTGATGCTGCTGCTGTGGAGACTTCTTGATTCCATCATGTTCTTGGAACACGAAGACCATGAAGATGGTGATAGGAAGAGTATGTCGACACAACAAAAATTGTCAAGCAACTTAATAAAAAAAAAAACACAAATTAAAATTAAGATTGAGTTAAATATTTTATTTTTTATTTCTAAAGAGAAGATAATAGACAGAGACTTTAGAAAAAATAAATAAATATAATCAAATACTATATTAAAAATTGGATGAAGAGAATATTAATTAATTACATAGATTAAAATTAATAATTTCTAAGACATAAATATAAAAATTGCACTCTGATTGCACTATTCAATGATTTATTTATTTATTTCCTTAATATTATCCCGCGGTCATTTCCGGTTATGCCATTAAATATTTGAAATTTTTAATTATGGGGTGATCTATTTGTAATTATGGGGTCATTTCCGCTTGCCCAAGCAATCTCCCGAACCTTCTGGAGTGCCCTTCCAGATTTGCCCCTCTCTGGTAACTTCTACACACACCCACACCCACACCCACTCGGCGCTATAAATACCATTTCCTTTCTCAAACGGTCGTGTATAGTTGTAGTATTGCCTCTTCTGCAAGTTTCATTCTACGCAGCTCAGTTAGCAACCAGCTATGGCTTCCTCTCTCGCTCTTAAGAAGCTCGCATCTGCCAATGGTATCGTCAGGTCTCTGCGTCCAGCGCGCGCTCTGGCTCAGCCTGTTTCCCGTCGCTTCTTCAACACCAACGCTGTCCGTGAATACGATTCTGATGACCGCGATGTTGACGTTGATCGGCGCTCCGATCGCCGCGTATTTTCTCCCTTTGGAGGTGAGTCATATACGGATCTAGAGTCTATTCCTTAGATGACGCTGCTGTGTTATGTTCTCCTTTGCTCTGCACTTCTCTGTTCTATCTCTTAATAGGATCTGGTACTCGAGCTCATCTTACTCAGCTGCTTATTCTATTATGGCATACTCTCACTCTAATTTTCATGCTATGTCTATTTCCTTCAATAGTACGCAGCTCGGTATCGTCTTATTAACTATAATATAAGACGATTATATGCCGATAAATTTGTATTACTGGTTATAGGCACCTATATCGCCTTCTCGGTTATCCTCAACATGGTCTACATCTATGCACAGATGAAAACACTTGACTGTGCAGTCAGGGAGAAGATCAATTAGGATAGAACTGTAACGTTCTTTAAAATTCGGAGTTTAGTTTCGTATTTATAATGTTTTTTGACCTAAACCTTTCCCCCGAAACAGATGTATTCGGACCGTTCCCCACTACCAGCAGCCTAAGCCAAATTCTGAACATGATGGACCAGTTCATGGATTCCCCAATTAGCTCCAGCATCCGTCGGAACTGGGACGCGAAGGAGACGGATGACGGTCTCCAGCTGCGCGTGGATATGCCAGGGTTAGGGAAAGAAGATGTGAAGGTGTCAGTGGAGCAGAACACTCTGATAATCAAAGGGGAAGGCAAGGAGTTCGAAGGCGATGAAACCGGAAGGAGGTACACTAGCAGGATCGATCTGCCGGAGAAACTCTACAAGACTAGCGATATCAAGGCAGAGATGAAAAATGGGGTCCTCAGAGTTCATGTCCCAAAGATTAAAGAAGAGGAGAGGACTGATGTTTTCCATGTCAATGTCCAGTAGATTATAGATTGTCCCTAACTGGTTTCATACTTGTCTGTCTAGAACTCTTTCAACAGCTATCCTGGGATTTTGATTGTTGTCCATCAATCGTTTCATCTTTTGCTGGGAAATACTAAAAATAATTTTGTGCTACCAAGTGAACTTCTCTAGACTCGCGACACAATATTATGCAACATCATCCTACATATGTTTGCCACTAATATTAAGCATTTTAGCTGAGATAGTATTGGGATATTTTTAGGTGACATAGTCTTTTAGAGTTATTTAATATTAAATAATTATTTTACAAAAAAGTTAAGCTATGATTATTTAAAAAATATATTATTATAAAGGTGAAACTTTAAATTAAAGTGTAGGGGCAAATAAAACTTACCTTTGGGAGTGCGGTTGAAACTGCTTCATCTCTAGATTCCAGGGGATGGATGATGATCATCTCTGCAAAATTAGTTGACATTAGTGTGTAAGAGCAGGAGAAGAGGTAATAAGCTGCAGGTATAACTCATAGATTCTTTTTAGTAGCTTACTGCAGTGGCACGAGAATAGGGAACAGGCTTGTGACATCAACCATAAGACTCATCTTTGTTCTTTGTTTCAATCTTTTCTGCAAACTTCGTCGCTATCCAAAGTAACACAACGTCAAGCCCAGACAAATGATCTTCTAACAGACATGAAATATTTTAGCATACGTGAAACAAACAGTAATCCAGCTAGGCTAGGCTAGGCTGGGTGGGTTCATGCCTAACGAATTTAATTATATATATATAAATGTTGCTTTACACACACTGTTCAAATTTCCCTATTTTCTACAACTTGGAAACATATTCCGACATAAAAACATGCATGAAATCATATTACAAACATATATATATATATATATATATATATTGGTGGGTTATAAGTAAAGTTCGGTGACTACTGTTACTTCACCCCACCTTGTACAGTGATGGACATAATCACTCCCAAGGTAACCACACCACTCCATTGGGTTCTTCACTAATAAAAAACAAGACAAATATTATTTACACATTCTGAACTGAAGCAGTAATTAGCAGCAAAACATGCAGAGACCAAAACAGAACTCAAAGAAATTAAACCTACACACGAGACAAGGTGGAGACTGTCTTTCTAATTCTATAGTGTGTATCTTTCTTTTAATTTCTTATTGTTTCTATATGATGTCCATTTGTGAATCAGCAGTTCCTATTAGCTGTTGCTAGATGTTTGGAAGATGTCTGCAAGTCACCTGACATGTGCAATTACTCGAGAACAATGGACGTAATAAAATGACTTTATTTGACTGCACTACATCACTTAGAAAGAAAACAAACAAACAGAGAAGAAAGTTTTCTTGCAAGATTGAAGGAATGTTAGTGTGATACATATAAAACCCCAATTGTATGAGCTTTTTACTGTGTCAACTACAGATACATATGTATGTGATGCTGTTTAACCATTATTTATTTACTGAAAGATCACTTTTTTGATCCTACACTCTAACTGTGATTGGCAGTAATTCCAATACCCAATTAATATGTAGTTACGTATTTGCAAGAAACAAGAAGTAGAAGACAAATAGCAGGTGAGCAAGTGGGCTAGCTAACTTCCAATTCCAAGCATTTTGACATCTGATCCAAGAGTTAAACCTTAAATCAAGGACACCAGTATTTCGAACCATGAACCAAGAAAGAAGCCTAATTGATAGTGATTGTGAGAGTCAAATTCTTGTCTAGAAGGGCACAAAACCCCCTCCCTATTCATAAAAAAAATCACACCCATGACTAGCGCATTAATCAAGTTTTTTGCAAATAATAAACCAGAAATATTTTCCCACAGATGTAACCTAACCTTATCTCGTATCCCATAAAATTTTGTAGTTGGAGGGAAATTGAAGAAATAAATCACACGTCTTGTCAAACATGACTGCATGTTCGAATGCCTCAGTCCTTTTTTGTCTCTTGTACTGGTCACAACCTAATGAGAAGAGTGCAGGCTCAATAAGTTAGCTGCTAGCTGTGGAAACTACAGTTGTTTATATGCCCAAAGCTGGGACTTTCTATACTCCATTAATATTTGCATTTCTCAGTTAAAATAATTAATCTTTTTACTAAGTCTAAGTCCAACACACTACAGTAAGCATACATTCTACACCCTTTATTTAATGCTCGTCTCTCCCTCCCATTCACCGTAGTTGCCTGAGTGAAAGACTGTGTTTGTATGACATGCAAGTTACAGTCTGCTGCAGGATTATGTCACTACCATATATCTTTTGAATCCTCGTACTTTTGATAATAGTCTCTTCTGACTCATTATACGGACCCATATATCTAATCATCAACTATGTCTGCCAATACTTATTATCTCTTCATTTCAGTTCTTGTCTACTACTCTGTGCATGCATGTAATGCTCGATCTTTTGCTGCAACTACTCTCAATTTCAACCAAGAATCTCGCCCTACCAAGGTTAGATCTCTTCTCTCTTTATTTTTTTATAAGACATGTTTCTATGGGTAAGTAATCGCCATGGTCATGAGATGTGTTTTTGCTTCTTTGGGGGTATACAGATTGAGGGTAGCCTCAAAGGCAGCATTAACTATAATCCTAACAGAGTGCTCAGCAAGCATACAGTCAATTTCAACCCAAAGGAAATAGAAGATTTTGGCAAGAAAAACAAAGGTATTGTCGGACCATCTTCAAATTTCGTTTAAATAAAGCTCATTAGCTCAGAAATACAACAGAATTTGCAATCTTCAGCGAAAGTATTCCATCCCATGATCTTCAGATATCCTACTCGTTATCAAAACCCTAGGTTCCTTTTGTTCAAGTCTTGATTTTTAGTTACCAGTAGTGTGGTGTTCTTTGTTTCTTCATGTAAAAGGCATATGAACACAGTAAACATCAGTTTTCCTTGTACTTCTATATAGAAATGCCAAATATAAAGCATATCAAATGTAAAGTACTCGTGTCAATTGGTAGGCCTACACGTACGTATACTCGTGTTCTCTCTACCAGTGAATAGTTTATGTCAAAGTAATCTTGATTTAGCATATGCCAGTTATAACGTAAAATATCCGGTGCAAGAATGAGACATTTAATTAAATTATTCAAATGATGTAATGATATCTTCAATCTTTGTAATCTTGCATGCAGAAAGTGGAGAATGGAAGTGTTCACATCACAAGAAATTACTGCAGCACTATTCTGAATCAGAGGTAAGAATTTAAAACAATATTTTATTTCTATAAGCTTCTACACTCCCTCATGCATACATTTGCACCCTGATAAGATTATATAAAAACGCCCTCTTTTGTGTACTACTAGAAGAGTGAGTTAGAAATTAAAACAGATAAATCCAAGAAGGATGAAGAATCAATCATGGCATATTTTCTGGGAAAAAGGGAACTTGAAAAAGAGGGAAATTGGACACATAATCACTTATTTTGGTTTTTGGTTTCAGGAATGTTTAAACTGCACCTCAAAGAAAGCTAAGCCTACATTTTAGGAAACTAAAAATATTACTATTTTCCAGGTTTCCAGGAATCTGTTAAAGAAGGGAAGTGGATATAATAATGATATTCCGTTAACAATGTCACATCCTATTGTGGTTCAATAATCCAGCTCAATTAGTTTTAAGATGACATTTCATCCCTCGGAGATCAGTCCCTTTAGCAATGCCTAAATTGAAAAAGACTAGGAGGTGTGTGTATTCAATAGGACATACATTACATAATTTATAATTAAAATTAATTTTTTTTTTATGAAAATATATCATATTTTAATATATATATATATATATATATATTCAAACACTTGGTAAGTAAATGCTGATTCTATGAGGGCATTTGCTAGATTATGGCATTCCTAGTACAGAAAGAGGGAACCTCAATTGTCACAATCACATCCATATCTGGAGCTTAAACTATTCAACATGATTCTATTTTCTTAAGAAAATGAAAAATAAAAGATCCAATGGGAACTTCACGCGTGGCCTATGATGCTCTGTATACTGTTAAATAGTAGTAATCTAGTATTACTTTATGTTAGTTTACAGTTACACATATGACATGAATGAAGCTTGTATTTTCAACTATGAATAGGGTTCGAGGTGGGCACGGGTCAATGTCAGAAATATGGATTTACATGAGCCATTCTTCGGAGATAAAGACTTGTCAGAAACAGACTATCAGCCTCCTCATCGCAAAGCACCCATTCACAACAAATAATTATTGCATTATTTATTTAGCTCACAAATCGTAATAGTACATAACCGTGGCATATATATATTAACATGAATATTTTCCCTTATATGCTAATTTACTCTTACTGTTGAGATACATTGTGTACCCATGACCGGTGTGCCATATATTTTAAGGATTGGTTGCATTCTTGTTTTCAGTAACGCGTAACTTAAAATTCACCCAAACTTCTAATATTATTACAAGATCAAAATATATATATAAATATATAATAATAATCACATATAAATTTACTCTCCTCGTGTACCAAGCAACCTTGTCCAAGATCCTATAGTCAGCTGGATGTTGCATAATGGTTCAAATGTTTCAGTTGGATGTTGCATAATGGTTCAAATTTTTTATTATTTAAATACGATTCAAACAGTTAATCAGACACAGAATTGGGCCAAATAAAGGGACAACCTATTTAGATTCTCAATGGGCCATGCATTGTCAATGTTGGGCTATAAAACTATAGCAAAATGAACCAATTAAGAAAAAACCTACGTTATTTATTTTTTTTTTTATTTTTTTATTTTTTTTTCTACGTTATGAACATATGAATAACCGCAAGAATTTTTGAAAAAGAAAAGGAGATGATAACCGCCATTTGCAGTTTTAAATAATTGCGAACGTATAATGAATGGAAAGTGCAAAGGATGAACAAATAATTGTACTTACTCTGAAACTGCTGCAGAAAAATGACGGAGCGTTCAATCATCCTGAGTAAGAAACTGCACGAACTGGAATCCGATCTCGCCGACGTCTTCCGCCTTCCCTTGGAATCCGAATCCTCTCAACACCACGAAATCATCGTCTACGATCTCCAGCAGCGCTTCCTCTTTCTCAAAAATCTCCTCTCAGCGGAGATCGCGTCGCAACCGTGCACCGCCGATCAATTGCAGGAAATCGAGGAGAAATTCGGCGAACTCGAGGCTGCCTTCCGCGACTGGAACGAGTACCGCAAATCCGCGCCGACGATGCAGGACTGTGTCGACGACACGCGGTCGGTCTGCTCCGATTGCGCTGTGACACTCTTCAACGGGACCGACGCCGACAACAATCCACCGACGAACGCCGTGCTCGGACTCGAGGAGAAATCGGGGAGAAGAAGGATATGGCGGGAAATTGGGCATAATTGTGGCGTGTTTGGCAGCGGGATATTGATGGGAGCAATTTGCGTGATCGGTTTGTATACTTATACCTCCGAGTACGAACCCTTTTTGCTTCCTCCTACGTAAGTGTGTTTGTTTTAGTTTGGAGGTCGAATGCTAAAACTTTAAATTCGAATAATTTTTCGATGAAAATTAAAATAAATTTATTTTAAGTTAATATAAATATATAAATCTATTTGATTTGAGTTTTTGAAGAAAAAAAATTAGTGAAAAATTTTTAAGAAATTCTTGAAACGGACATATCCCTTTGGCTTCATTTAGATATAGAATTTTAAAATTAAAAAAAAAAAAAAAAAAATTAATAATAAGTATTATAAGTGTAAAATAAAATATAATAGTTCCCTTGAACTATTTGTTGGATCATTTGAATAAGACGATTACTTGAATCTCTAGTTTATAGAATAGATTTATTCTATCAATTTGACTTGACTAGATCAATTGTAATATTATTATTACTATATATTTTATTAAACCATTAATGGGTGACAAGGTGTCACATCTTACAAATAATATTTTTGGATAGCATATATTCACATATATTATATATATTACTTTGTGTTTGTGTGAGAGTAAGAAAAGAAAATATTGAGGGTTGCATTCCGAGCAGAGCCATCAGATTATGGCAAAATTTGTGTGAGTGACAATTCAATAGTAGTTTTAGAACATTTTCTAATCGACAAATTCCCTTTAAATACTTCACACCCGTGAAAAAGTTTAGCATCTTCAATTATATATTAACTTTATGTCGTTAATTTTTTTAATTTAACAAGTATTTTATGTAATATTTTATAAATATATATATATCGTATAATGTTTTTAAAAAATATATACTCCGTATCAAAATTTCAAAATATGTTGTGTAAATAAAAACCTATATCAAATGGATATTTCTTGGATTGTGTGAGGGTAGATGAGATCGAATCCAAGGCAAGATTAAAATTTAAAACAGAGACAGGGCTCCCCCAACACAACTGACACTCGCTCCCGTCACGCAATTATTGCAATTAATTATTGGTCAAGATTCGATTAATTTACTCTATCAAGTCAGAACCAACACGTGACCGTCTGCAGTATATATGTAACAAGTGACCAAAAAATAAAATCATGAGTAACACTTCTAAAGTGGAGTAATAATTTTGTCCCATTAATCCATATCAATCTCATTATGTATATTATTAAATTATCTTATCAATATTTGTAATTTGTTCCACATGCAATGCAAGTAATCTTTAAAACGGTCTTATAATTGTCAAATTAGCAACGGGAATATTTTGAACTCTTAACGCTAAAGACAGATACTACTGTCAATTTATAATGTAAAGTTAAAATGGTCACTGAGACTACGTGTTGAAATACCAATTATACCCCCACCACCACAAAAGGCGCTTTCCTTCTCTCCCAAAGTGCCCTTTATAACGCATGTATGCTGAAGCTCTGCAACTCCGGTAAAGCAAGCTTCGCCGTCGAATCTGAACTGAAACAATGAGCAGATTCAGGAGATTCGACATTGTTGAGCGCTCTCTTAATGGAGTCTCCATTTTCACTCCCCCGAGATCTCTTCTGCTAAGGCGTCCGTTTCCATCGTTCCCGGTCGTCGAAGAAGAAGATGAGCTTGTCGACCTCTTAGATTTCTGCCATCCTTCACCTGTCTTGTTTGACGAATTTGATGCTATAGCTGATGTGCTTCAGATCCAGGAAACTCCGGTCAAAATCACCACTCTCAGGGTAAACGACGGAGTCGGAATCGGTGAGCTGTGGTTGGAGAAGCTGTCCGACCGTGTGTCGGATTTGGAGTTAGGATTGGAGAATCTTCTGAGGGAGGAGAAAGCGAGGAAGAAGAAGATTGTGCAGAGGAAATACTCGTGGTTGGCTGAGGTAGAGACTCCGGATGCAGACCGGAAGCTCAAATGGACGGCGGAGATTAAGGACGACGGCAAGGGTGGGGAAACTGGATCTCGGTTGAAGAAGAGTTACAAATGGACGGCGGAGGTTAAGGGGAAGAAAAGCCGCGGTTACTCGCCAATCGATCGGTCGTATACGGTTACAGTTTCCAATGGCGACAGCAGCAGCGATTCAGAGGAGGAAACAGAAAAAACGAAGAAGAAAAAGAACAAGGACGAGAAAGTGAAGGAGAAGGAGAAGTGCAAGCTGAAGAGATCTGCTCCGCGTGTTGTTGAGATCGACGAGCACATTGATCATGGCGCCATTGTCTTGAAACAGGTTCGTAACCGTTTTTGCAAATTTCTCAACCGATTCTATTTCTAGAAGAATGGATTAAATAGATCTACGTCGTGTGTATGCTTCAATGTTCTCTGAATTGAAGGTTTTCGCGAAGAGGATGGAGAAGAGAAGAGGCAAGAGGAAGGATCTGTCGGCGGAAGATGCAGCAATGGCGATTCAGCTAGGTTTCCGAGCTTACATGATCCGAAGGTCTCAGGCGCTGCGTGCGCTTCGGGAACTGGCGATTGCAAAGTCGAAGCTGAAGAAGATCAGAGCTTCGTTCAGCAACTTCTCCTACCGTCGCCGGCTGTCGCACAACGCGGAAGAGCGTCAGAGATTCTCCGAGAAGATTATCGTCCTCCTTCTCACCGTCGACGCCATTGAGGTACCTTCTGCAACTCAAAAACTCTCTGTCGTCTACAATTGTTGATCTGTTTCCACACTCTGGTTAATTAGGGCGCTGATCTCATGGTCCGAGCTGCGAAAAAGCTGATGGTGGATGAGCTTGAAGCAATGCTGGATGTCGTCGATCCTCATCCGCCGGGGAAGTCCTGGTCGGTGAAGAGGAGGAGAACCTTCGACATGCCTGATAGAGTGGTGGAGGAGGAGTTACTCGCCGCCAGCGTTGCAGAGGTGGTTCGAATGCTTGACGACGAGCCGACTTCGGCAGGTGACGAAACCTTTGAAGCATGCTTATGAATGTGATCTACTCTCGAATGAATTCATCTCTGTATGACTCCTACGAAGATGACCTTCTTTTGTGTTAAGAATCCATCTTTTCTGAGCCTTGGATAACTGTTTTCAACAATTTCTTTCGAAATTATAGCAGCAAAAAAAATGCTCCATTTCTAAAAATATACACAATGTGAACAAACTCTAAATTTATCCCCAAAAAAATTAAAAATATAATATAATATTTTTTAAAACATTAATATAGATAAATAGTATTAAAATTAAATATATATATATAGACAATTGCAAATTTTTGCACGATATAAAATTAAATAAATAACTAAATAAACAGTCTCTAAATTTGTCTATATCTAAAGGTGCAATAAATTAATCTAATAGATAGGTATACATAATGTAACGCGTGTAAATAAACAATTTTTTCAATATTTATCAGGATTTGCTTAGACTTCTATAAAAAGAAACAAAACGAAAATGTTGGAGGATGAAGTCAAATGAAATGCCAACAGTTCCAATATGATTTAAAATAATACTATAAAATAAAAAACAATCAAAATAAAATAAAAATTGGTAAACGGGCCCACCTTTGTGGGGCCCTTCGGATCTGCCGTTTCAATCTGGCCTTTGTGCTAACGGCTGATTTGCCGGTTACACCCGGTCACAAGTCACAACAAAAGATTTACTAAATCAAATTAAATGCATATTATATCTAACATGAAAATAGAAACAAATCCGATCTGTAAAACTAAAATTAAATTTTAAAATGCTTATTGGACGTTTAGAATTTTTTTATTTTGTTTTTATGGTTTCATTTTTGCCCTAGTTAAAAGTTAGTAAAATGGGTGAATCGTCAGTTACTGCATTACAGAGATGGAGAGATGACCGGCTAAGCCAGTAACCAGTGTAGGGAAAAAAAAAACAAAACTCACATATCACTTCACGCCACCAATTTCTAGAAGAAAAGAAGAGTTTGATGCGTTGTGGGAGAAATCCAAATTCGGAGGAGCACTCAGCCGTTTTGTTGACTACACGCACTGTGTCTTCCGCATTCACTTGCTGAAGAGGAAGTTGGGGAGCACAGTTCGCGTTGTTGTGCGTTGCGGCGCTATTTGAAAAAGCTGTGATCCTTCCCAGTTTTTGGAGTTTTGAGGAGCTCTGATAACTTTCCAAATTCTGTTGATTTTGTTTGCTTCAGCGCTAACAAAAAATTGTCGTTAATGGGTGTATTTGGCGTCGGTTACTGGATTGGCATTGTTTTGTTATTGGAAGTGTGTTTTGGTGCGGAACCGTTTGCAAACTTTGAATTGGAATTCAATTATATTACTGCTTCGCCGCTGGGAGTTCCTCAACAGGTGATACGAGTTTTGTGTCTTGATTTAGAGGATGAGAGTTAGAGTTTGGCTCCTGTTTTGTTTTCGTGTTGTGTATGATCTTCTGTATTCGATTCCGGCCGAATTGTATGCTTATGACAAAACTCAACGATGAATTTTAAAAGTATTGATGATTAGCTCTAAGTTTACCGTTGTGTGAGTTTAATTACGCTTGGGAGCCTCAATGAAGGATGAGATTGCATACACATAAATAGTCGAAGTCTGCCTAATCTGCATGAGAATAATTAAATCAATCAATATTTTGCCTGATCCGTACGTATATCGAAAATTTCCAAAAGAAGTGTTCTGCATACTTTATTTTATTCTTATTTTTTCCTATCAGGTTTATATTGGAAGCATCTTGATCTGTACCATTGACTGAATTTTGTAGATAATAGCTGTGAATGGGAAGTTTCCAGGTCCTGTTGTTAACGTCACAACGAATGATGATGTTTTGGTAAACGTCAAGAACAAGTTGAATGAAGATCTCCTCGTAACATGGTATATACTTTGTAGAGAAAAATACTAATTGGAGAACTAATTAGTATTTGAAATTTCTCCTTCACTGTAAGGTTTTAAGAGTTAAAATCTTAATTTTACTTACAGGCCTGGAATCCAGATGCGACGGAGTTCATGGCAAGATGGTGTTAAGGGCACAAACTGCCCCATCCCTTCAAATTGGAACTGGACATATCAGTTTCAGGTCAAGGATCAAATTGGCAGCTTCTTTTACTTTCCATCTCTGCACTTGCAAAGAGCCTCTGGCGGATTTGGCCCTTTTGTCATAATGAACCGTGATATTATTCCCATTCCTTTCGACACTCCTGATGGAGATATAGTCATAATGATCGGTGATTGGTACACTCGCAACCACACGGTAATTGAATTGATAAGTACTGATTAACTCAGCTTGATGTTGAGCAGTTATATCTTATTTGAGTTGTGTTCAATATCAGGCTCTCTGGCAGGCCCTCGATGATGGGAAAGAGTTAGGCATACCAGATGGAGTTCTTATTAATGGAAAGGGGCCGTACAGATACAACACATCTCTTGTTCCTGATTCCATTGAGTATGAGACTATAAATGTCAAGCCTGGTAAAGCTTTTATGTTATGTGACTGGCAATTCTTGATACTAAATATTCGGTATTTATAGTATCATGTCTCAGATCTTAGATGAAGTTCTAATTTCAATTGTATCATCTGCACAATTGAAGGATATGTATTTGTCTTTGGTGTATACAGGAAAGACTTATCGCATTCAAGTGCACAATATTGGAGTGTCCACTTCTTTGAATTTTCGGATCCAGAATCATAAATTGCGACTAGTCGAAACAGAGGGCTATTACACATCTCAGCAGAACTATACCAGCTTGGATATTCATGTGGGGCAGTCTTACACCTTTCTTGTTACCATGGATCAGAACGCGAGCAGCGACTACTACATTGTGGCCAGTGCTAGATTTGTGAATGAGCTATGGCAAAGAGTAACTGGCGTTGCGATTCTACACTATTCCAACTCGAAGGGGCCTGCTTCCGGTCCACTTCCTGACCCTCCAAATGATTTTTATGACAAAGCTTATTCAATGAACCAGGCACTCTCCATCAGGTTTTTGTAGTTTTATGCTCTCCCTTTTTCTGACTAATGTGCATAAACAGCGCAGACGATTTATTACATTGTTCGATGATACTAATTGTTCAGGCAAAACACAACTGCTAGCGGAGCACGTCCTAACCCACAGGGCTCCTTCCATTATGGCTCCATCAATGTCACGGATGTGTACATCCTCAGGAGTTCCCAGCCAAAGCTGGTCGATGGAAAGCTACTAGCCGCGTACAATGGTATCTCATTTGTCAATCCTGATACTCCAATTAGGCTATCTGATGTCTACAAAGTGAAGGGCGACTACAAGCTTGATTTTCCAACAATGCCGCGAGACGGAGCACCAATCGTGGACAGGTCTATTATCAATGGAACATACAAAGGATTTGTAGAGATCATACTGCAGAATAACGACACGGTTTTGCAGACATTTCACCTTGATGGCTATTCATTCTTTGTTGTTGGGTACGTTCCTAATGCATATTTACTTCCATATATGATTTTTCTTGGAGATCATAACTCATTAGCTTTGTGGCTAACTGCCAACAATCGATACAGAATGGGATTAGAGGAATGGACCGAAAGCCACAGAGATTCATACAACAAATGGGATGCAATATCGCGCTCCACTGTTCAGGTCATATACAGATTTAAAATGCTAACCTACCTGTACAATGATCTTCCCTTGTTCATGACTTGCATGATTTTTGTCGATGGATAGATTTTTCCCGGCGGATGGACTGCAGTTTATGTCTATTTCGACAATGTTGGAGCATGGAATCTCAGATCAGGGAGCCTTGACAGGTGGTATCTTGGTCAGGAAACGTATGTTAGAATCACCAATCCTGACGATCCTTTCAACAAAACCGAATTGCCGGTGCCCGAAAATGCTCTCTATTGTGGTGCGCTAAGCCACTTGCAAAAGTATGAAATGCTTACAACCTTCCAATATGCAAGTTTTCCATTTAAACTCCTTTTTTGAGGTACTGAAATTCCTCTGTTACCTTGTGCAGGCCTCAGAAAAATTCCTCGTGGACAACTCTGCATGTGCAATCTCAGCTCTATGCTGTTCTTCTAATGGTATTCTCTTCTCTGATTGCCATTTTTAGCTGAATTCCCTTCCTCTTCCTCTTTCTATCTTCTTATCTGCGGTGAAGCATGTTGACAATTACTGGAATCTCGTAGAAGAAACTTGATATGACCTCGATGATGGAAAATATTATACTACAAAGTGTAATGAGAAAATTGTCTATAAAAATTGTGTGTTTATAATAATCAAATCTAGCTTCCAATTTGTACATTCTCCAGAAAAGATCCTTCAACCCATCGTCATAAATTCGAAGGTCTCGTATTCTTTATTCTCTGTTTTTAGATTTTCTAATATTCAATGGTTAAATATGTAGTAATTAATTTCCGTAACAATACAATGTACAAAATTAATTAACCAATCAATGGGAAGTATATTGACATCACAACCCGGCTGTAAACGGAACTCCAGACGAGGGTAGCCACGCCCGACCCGCTATAAGACTGTCCACGGTAAACCGGGAGGCCACTTTCGGATCTGTTATGACATGGTACCCGGGCCACTTGACCCGGCTTCTCGTGGATCCACCCGGCCCAAAATTCCGATACTCCCCGTAATAGAGTGTGGCGAGCGCAAAATTAGAATTCCCCCATCTGGACCATCCATCGCGGCTGACGAACCCGTCGATAAAACTCTTCATTATGACGGTCCGGGAGTACTGCTGCCAGGGGCGACCCAGATAAGTGTTGAAGGAAGCGAGAACGGGTTTGAGATCGGGCGCGGGCATGATCCGGGACTTGTGGATAGAGATACCCGTATTCTGAAACGGGTCGCCCCTGCCCTGGGCGGTGATGACATTGCCCTGGCCGAGGAGCGGCCGGCGGACGTAGATGTTGCAGTTCTGGAAGACGACGGCGGCGTTGCCGAAGATGAAGTCGATGGTGCCGTAGATGACGCAGGCTTTGAAGAACTGGCGCTGGGCGTGCACGAATAGCGTGTCCTGGTAACCCTCGAATCCGCACCCGTAGAACACCGACAGGTCGGAGGCTGACCGGAGCGCCACCGCCTGCCCGCCTTGCGGCCCCGCCGTGTTCCGGAACGTAATCCCCCGTGCCATGAATCCGATCCCGTCAACCCCTGAAATTTTAGTATATTTTATTTTCTTTTATAATTATCTTAAATTAAAGAATTTTTAATCAAGTATTACCGAAAGTGGCGGTGCTATAAGTGGTGAAACCGGCGTTGACGCTCCGGCCGGCGGTGATGACGGTGGAGCGCATCCCGTCGCCGACGAGAACGACGTTACCCATCGTCCGGCTTACTAATACATTCTCTCTGTACACACCTTTCTTCACATACACCACCACTCTCCCGGTGTTCCCCACGCGCCGGGAAACCGCGTAGTTTATCGCCGCCTGAATCGACCGGAAATTCCCCCGACCGGTTTTCGACACCACCGCAATCGCCGCCCTCGCCAGGGACTGATCCTGCAGGAGCTTCCTCTCCCTCGGCGGCAACCAATTCGGGAATCCGTCGCCGTCGCCGTCGCCGTCGCCGGCGACCGAGGAGTTTCCGGCGTCGAGGAGAGCCCCGTTGGTGGCGAGGCAGTTGCTGATCAGCTCCGACACGTTCGCCGATAAAATTGGGGAGGTGAATTTGGTGAGGTTGAGGTCGAGGGAACCTCGCCGGCAAATTTGGATGTTGGTGAGGGCGGAGCTCAGCCACGTCTGGGCGTCGACGACGGTGAAGGTGGCGTTGGTGAGGATGCTCTGCAGAGTGCTGTTGAGCTGATCGATGGTGCTGTCGATGAGGCTGTTGCAGTCCCGGAAAACGATTCTCTTCCGCTTGCTGCGGCAGTTTCCGGCGAGGCGGTTCGACTCGGTCTGGGACTCGACGGCCCGGTCCAGGGCGGTTCGGATAGTCATGGTCCGGAAGTCCTCTCTGGACTTGGGGATGGGAACCGGTCCCTGGTCCTGCTGGCCCATGAAATAGGAGCAGGTTTCAGGGTGGGGAGTTGTACGGCACCACCAGACGATGTCCTTTTTGGTCATTTCGTCATCCGCACAGCAAAATAACAAGAAACATAACAAAAACAAGGGTTTGGAAAGATTAAGAAAAGTAGTTGCCATAGAGATCAAATTAATGGATGGATCGATCTTGAAACTACTCCAGGGGTTTTCTTTATATATATATATAATTAAGTTAAGGGCAGCATTATCAAAGTTGAATTTAATTTAATTTAATTAATAATGTATCTGTGCATGAGCATGTATGAAGAATATATATATCTTCAAAATGAAGAGATCCATGTTTGAAGGGTCACTGCCATTGCACTCAACGGGGAATTGAATAATGGATTTAATTCGAATTTAATTGATTGAAACAGGCAAAAGATTACATATATATGAACGTGAAGATATAATGTAGGAAATGCTTATATATATATATATATGTTACTTAGGAGATGTACAATCTGAATATTGGTGAGGAAGGAAGGGCGTATTATTGATCAAAATTAAATAAAACATGGTTGACTTCATGACTATTTCTATCTGATTGGTAATTAGTATATATATATGATTATTTGGCCTATATATGGGTTTAATTAGGTAATCATGAAATCTTAATGGAAATCCACAGCAATGTTATTAATATACAAAATTTATATAAACATAGCTAATAATTTCAATTCACTCTATACAAGTATATGCATATATGGAATTATAATTATACATTGCGAAATTTATTTTATATATATATATATGATCAAAGTGTACAGCAAAGAAAATGTAACAATGAAGCAATGAGGAACCTATATTCCAAGATTTTAATTATTTGTTTAAGTAAGTAATTAATTAAGCTACATTAGATGTCTGTAACATAAGCATTTAATTTGTTGGCTAACCATACATAAGTATAACCATGTGCTTTGGAGTTTGCATCAAGTTCAAGTTATTATATGACCTGTTTTAACTTAAATACTCGTCGTCCTTTTCCGAATATATATATATAATACTAATTAATTAATGATTATTGAGTTAATTATGAATTGTAATTAATTAATTAATTAATTGTGTGCAGAAACAGTACTCGATCGATCTCATGTCTGTACGTAAATTAAATTCCAGGAATATATATATACTTACATATTCATTTGCTACAAAGAGTTGACTATTTGAACAAATCATTTCATTAATTTAATAAATTTAAGGCAAATTAAATTTAAATAGATTGTTCTCTTTAAATTTATTATTTTTAATTTTTGTAAAATATATTACAATCAATTCCTATAATATATATATATATCACTTGGTTCCAATTCATTTGCTATATTTTAATTAGTTTTAGTTGTCTAAAAATATTTACAATTTTATTTACTCTATATTTGATTTTTTTTTTTTTTTTTTTTTTTTTTGTTTTCTGCTTTCTCCTTTTATCAATTATCAATACACTTTACAAAAACAGCACAGATAAAAGCTAAAAACAAAATAATAGAAGAAATCATATGAGAATCATACTACCGAAACATTATGCCAAAACAAAACTAACAAATAAATTATGATGGAGCAAATACAAAAAAAAATAAATAAATAAATAAACTAAATTAGAATTGTTGTATGAAAGTGTCATGCGGTAATATCAAAAATAAAATTGATGATGATATGCTGACGTAATGTGCCGGAAATGTTGTCATACGTTACGTCATCCATCATTTACACTACTTCCTTAACCTGATTGTATTATATTGCACTTCCTCCCTCCCAAATAAGGTGCAACATTTATTTTTTGCATAGATTTTAGGTAGGTAATATTAAATAGAATAATTTAAAAATTAAGTGATGTGATGAAGAGAGAAATATATATTTTATTTTTTTATTTGAATGATGTGAGGGGATAAAGTGTAAAATAGAAATTAAATATAATTAATTATTTCTTATTTTAAAAATATTGCAGAGTATTTGAAACATACCAAAATAAAACTATTGCAGAGTATTTGAGACGTAAGAAATATTATTGATGTTTCTGAGCAGTAATTATTTCAAATCAAATAATTCTTTTTCGTGAGCAATTACTGAATAATTAGATTAGCATTAGTTTAATATTAATATCAATATATTATACAAGTATATCATAGCTCTGTTTTCTCCTTTCCCGGGCCAGGGCCAGAATGAAATGAAAAGAGCCATTTCTTGAGCAGCGATTCCCGGTCCGTACACTCCGCAACCGCACATGTGACGTGTCTCCACGTGGCCCCTGTTTATACGGCGTCGTCACGTGACCCCGTCCCCGCCCTACCTCTGTTCATTAAATTCTGTATATTAAAAAAGTTCCCATTGTTTACTTATATTAAATTTTTTTGTTTATTTTCAAAATAATTCTATTATTTCTTAATTAAATACAAAATTTCAAATAGTCTTTAATTTAAAACGAAAGGAATATATATTTTATTAAAAATAATTTTTAAAAATATTTAATAATATATAATTTATATTTTAAAATTACCATAATGGTTTTTATATTAGAATAATAATAATAAGTAATATTATGATCTACTATACTATTATTATATGGTAAAATTTTATTATCTTAAACACTATTTCCTTTGTCTTAATAAAAGTGTAGATATAGGAATTAGATAAAGTATAATTATAAATATATTATTAAAAAATTATAAATTAAAATTAGAATAATTAAATTAATTAATTAAAAAGAAAAAGTCATAAATAATAAAATTTAAAATGTGATTAAAGTGTTTAATAATTTTTTAAAAAATATAAATAGAAATTATATGAAACAAAAATAGAAATAGTCCACACAACATTTATAAGTAAATTATTTTGGCGGATAGAAAAAAATATTAATATTTTTATTAAATTTAAAATGCTAGTATAAGTTTGCATGAGTATGCCACAAGGACAAATGCGAATAGATCAAACCCTCCAGCTCCGCCTCCTTCCCATTATAAATTTGGTCAGCTCTATCTGCAGGTTTATTCCAACTTCCAAATCCCAAAAATGAAATTTATCAGAGATTCTGTTTCTGCCAAACACGGCCTTATGATGGCATCCCTAATCCTTCTCATGTCGCACGTGCCTCATTCCGCCACGGCGCAGCCTCAATCTCTAACCTTCGTGAAGAAGTCCTGCCAAACGACGACGTATCCGCCAATCTGCCTCAAAACCCTAACTCCCTACGCCGCCTCCGTCGGGACCAGCCGCCTGAAGCTCTGCAACGCCGCCCTCACGGCGGCCATACAGGCGGCGACAGAGTGTTCCGCCACCGTCTCGAATCTGGCGAAAAATCAGAAGGGAATCGGCCGGCCGGAAGCTCGCGCGATCAAGGAGTGCATCGGCGATTTGAAGCACGCCGTCTACGAGCTGAAGCAGACGGTGGGCGCCATGAGGCGGCTGGGCGACGCCGACCGCGAGTTCCAGTGGGCGAACGCGAAGACGTACGCCAGCGCCGCCATAACGGACGCCGAGACGTGCACCGATGGATTTCTCGGCCGGAAAGTCGACGCCGCCGTGAAGAAGAAGATACGGAGCTGCGTTTCCGGCGTGGAGAAGCTCATCAGCAATTCCTTGTCTCTTATTAACCATCTCTACTAATTAACCGCCACCAAATTCATATAATAATAATAATAAATAAATAATTAAGCTTTAATGTGGGCGTGGATTGGGCTGTTGGGCCTATAATGGGCCATATTTATGCGCCTTTTAGTTTTAGAAGTTATATTTCTATTCGGCCTGTCTATTTCTTTAATTATTCTGGATCACAGAGAAAGAGAGAAAATATATATATATCTACAACTTGCGTATTCGGATTCGTGCGGCTAAAGCGCTCTGGTGTTCAATTTATTGAAAAAATATAATAATATTTGTTTAGTATATTTTGTTTGAGATATTTAAATGATTAAATGAAATATATTGATAATATAATTAATAATATTTTTTTTGTAAATAAATACATTATATATGTTTATGTATTTCGATAATATTAATTGAAAGCATATCGAAAAAATTAATTAGGTAAACACACTTTCTATTTTCTCTTTTAAACATAAATATATTTTCTAATTCACAATGTTAAATCTAATATATATTATTTAAAATATAACTATTTGCTTGGTTTTTTTATGAATTTTGGTTAAAAGTAATATTTTATGAAAAAATACAAATTTTTTTTAATAATGAAAAATTGATTTTGAATTTATAACCAAACAAACCTTGAGTATTTATATATATATATATATTAAGACAAATTCTAAAAGTTTTATATATTCTAAATAAAATTAAAATTAATCTTTTTGCTGTTATTTCTGCGTCCAAGAGCATTTATCATTTTTTTGGGTCCTTTTTAAACGTAACAATGTGGAGGAGAGGGGATAAGTATAACCGTGCTGCAATCATTTGGCAGGACGGACAAATATCAGGATATATCGGCTGCCTCGTGTAATATTACATAACTGCCCTTTCACACAAACATTCTCTTACATTACATATATACTCCAAATATATATATATATATATATATCTTACAAAATTGTCATTACCATACGGAACAACGTTATTACCCACACACATGAAAAAAAAAAGAAAAAAAAAAAAAAGGGTGAAGTCTGATTAATAGTTTCCGGCGTACTTATTGCACAGTGCCAAAGCATTGCTTGTCACCTGACCCACATGAGTCATCCGGGTCCGGATCGAGTTCTTTATCCGCCCGTCTAGCGCCCGACCCGAGAACCCGTCCGCGCAGGTGCTGTCGTCCGTCAGCGCCGCGCTCACCCACGTCTGCAGGTTGCTCAGGTGCCACGTGTACTCCGGGCCCCTGGCCCGGCCCATTCTCTGCAGCTCCGCCACCGACTTGCTCAGCCGGTCCACGCTGTCGCTCACCTCCTCCAAGCAGTCTTTAATGGCGGCGTACTCCCGCCGCTTAAGCCCCCGGAATTTGGTCAGCCTGTGGACGAACGCCTCCGTGGCTCTCGCCCTCTCCACGCTCACCGACAGAGCCGTCGCCACCAGCTGCCGGGGGCTGCCGCGGATGGCGCCGGCGTAGGTGGAGAGCGACTGCACGCAGACGGCGGGGTATGTGGTGGCGCGGCACGACGACCGGATAAAGCTGGCGGCAGGACTCGCCGGGACGGCGGCGACGACGGCGGCGGTGAGAGAGAGGAGTATTAAAGGCAATGTGGAGTTGATTATCGCCATTATTGATTGATTGATTTTGGGGAAGAAGGGTTTGGGAGATTGCAAATTTAGGGTTAGGGTTTATTTATAGAAGGAATGGGGGCGCTGCAGGGTCCATAAATTCTGCCCAATGAAGAGACGCCACGTGTGACCGAGGGCTGTGGGGAAACGACCACAAACAGTGGTAGCCATAAATCAGGCATTAATTTGGGGGGAGATGTACAGATATAATAAATCAAAGATCTTTTTTAGGTCGTTAGTTTGTTTCTATTGTACCTCAAAGTCGTACATTTGGACAAAAAAACACATACATAAATCGGCGATTAAGGTATTTAATTTAAAAATAATAATAGGAATAATGTGGACACATTTTGGTGCAGACATAAAATATGAAAGAAATAAAGAAAAAGAAAGAGATGTATTATTGTGTGCATGCCGTGATAAGTGTTGTGGTCCACTTATGTCGGTATTAATCTCTTAATAACAGATAGTAATTAAAATTGTGATTCTTGGAAGAATGTGTGAATAATTAAATTAAAGGTGAACAAATTAATTAAAGCAATGGGAACCAAATACACTTTTGCTTTTCCAGCAGCTAAAAAGAAAACAGTACAACATGATTCATAGAGTCGTTTCTTCTTATCTTTCTATATACTCATAATCTCATCTGATCTGATCGTACAACACAACACATCAGTAAAAGCAGTTCAGACCCACCCACCCACCGTCGACTATATGATTATATTTGAATGCATCCAATCTCATCCGTCACTTTGAAGGATTTGTATCATTATTTTAATTTAAAATTCCATAGTATATGCAAAATATTCGTTAAATCATAATATAAAAATATTAAATATTTGTACATCAAATTACAGATAATATAGTCGTATGATTAGGAAGAAAACATTTATTTAAGAAATTATTTTAAATGAATATATAAGTAGTATGATGTGGTGTTTGAGAGGCAAATATTTGTCTGTTGCGTTTATTTGAATATTATTAATTAGGGCAGTTAGTGGTGCACACGGTCACCGCCCAACTAAATCACCCTCTCAATCATCCTATTAATTAATTATTAATCGTATTAAAGTGCAGAAATAGATTTAGGGGGACAGCCGAATCAAGCGATTGGGCCCACTTTTGTAATTATGGGCCGCCTGCCCAAGCCCAACTCCCACCCTCCCTCCAATTTAATATTTTTTCGGCTGGACAATAATGACATCACCACCGTTCAAAACGTAGGGGTTGAAGACACGTGGCAATACCAGATCCACACGATCGGCACATCTACACCCCACCAAGGCCCCACGGATTTCCTAAATGATTGCTTACAAGAGTCGTTTCGCACACACATTGAATTAGGTAATACTAATAATTATAATCCACCTAAAACAAACATAATAAATTTCGATCTATCGTAAGGGCTTCCTTAGTTATGCTTTTTCTCCTCAATCTATCAAATTTTCCAAAAAAACATACTCCCCATCGAAACTCAAAAGTATTTTTTATATTATTTTTGTTGGTCCCATTTTAAAAGAAATTCTTTTCTATTTTGATAAAAGTAATTATGCAAAAATATCAAAATACCCCTTCACTTTTACCTAAATTAGGAGCTGCATACCATTATATATGCAATTATTTATACATAAATGACAAAAATATCAAAAGCCTTGTACACAACACTTCTAGCAACCAATAAAATACATTTATTATCCCGCAGGAGATGACCTGATGAGGGGTTGGACTTATAACATGGGTTCAAACCCCGACACATCGGATCACCTGCCACACATAATCTTTTACTATTTTCAAAATTTTCCGAAATTCTAAAACCTTCAAAACATTTATCCAATGGTAGCAAAAATCTTTCAAAACAAAGTAAAAGATTGAAGCACTTGTGAATTTCATGTCAAACTTACCAACAATATATACCTCAGTACCTCAAATATGTGACATAACAAACATTAATCACAGTTCTAAGCAGTAGATCATAACAGAAGTGTAAGAAAACAGAGGTTCAAGATGAGAAGAAACTGCACTTGGTAAAAAGCAATTCTAGCAAACAACAAACCAATCAAAACTGCTCAAACCAAACACAGATCCCAGCTTAAGGACCATTAAACCCACAAATCAAACAAGCTAAAAACATAAACTAGGATAAAAAGAACACAGTGCTGGAGTTCAGCTTCAGGTGAACAAACAGCAGAACCCGCATGTTTAGACCGCCTGCAAGCATGAGCACCGTGCCCTTCATCACAACCCGTTACAATAATGGTTCAGAACAAGTACACGCAAGAATAATGGGGCGTAGTCGTAGATAGAAGAACAGTATAACGAGTTTATCTAAATTAAAGGCCACGCCACTAAATTATCCAATCAAGAATGCTCTGAAAGTAAACACCTATTCTTGCCCACAGTCTCCATTAAATCGATGCCTTATAAATGCTTGAAAAGAACAATTCAACTCGATATCACATCTACAGCCTTCCATTGATAAAGAGAATTCATGAAAATAAAATAGGGAAGTGTTGGTTGGGTATCCACATCAATATTAATCTTGAATGTGGAAAGAAGTGAACTTTTCTTAACCCCTATTGTTCCAATAAGATTCTAGACTGAAAAAGCCAGTTGATTGAGATAGAAAGTGAATCAAATACAAGATTAACAATTACAATGATTAATATACTATGTAATGTGGACAACAAGCAGAGGGAATTACTATGTAATGCCTATCAGCATTTCTACCATAAGTGATATTGAAGAAAACCAAAAGTGGAATTATTCATGGAACAAGTGTTTTGATTTCAATAATAAGATGAATTTCTTTACCAAAACCAATTTTGTTTGAACTTTAAATTTCTGTTTTTAACAACCTCTTGAGAATCTATTATATGATAATGAAGCTGTATCTAAAACAACCTGATCGTCCACCAAATAAACAGGAAGAAATAGCTACGGTGAAACTTCATGATTTGCACAAATATAAAATTCAGAATGAATGAACAATCAATTTGGTAAATGCATCCAAACCTGATCAAAACAAGGTATAATGAAAATTTCATGTAAGGAAAAGAGAAGAAGATGAAGATGAAATCACCTCGTCATTTGGCTACCATACGCGCGATGAAATCCTCGTATTTGATCTTGCCATCAGCTCCGACATCGACCTCGCGGATCCACTCATCGAATTCTGCAGGTTCCAATTTCTCCCCAATACTGGTGAGGATATGCTTGAGATCCGAAACGACGACGTATCCAGTACCTTCCTTATCGATCACCTTAAAGGCGTCGCGCAGCTGGCGATCGAACGGCTCCGGCTTGAGGTGCTTCGACATTAGGTCAAGGAAACTCTGAAAATCAAACGGAGCATTAAGATTCTCCTCGGTTATAATCGACTTAATCTGCGCCTGCGTAGGGTTTCCGCCGAGAGAACGCATCAAAATTCCCAGCTCCGAGGGGGCGATCTTGCCATCGCCGTCGGTGTCGAACAAAGTGAAGGCCTCCTTCATCGCCGAAACCTGATCGTTGCTCAGATCTTTCCCCATTTTGCACTCACTCAGATTCTTCCTTCACGCCTCTCCTCCCTCAACTTTCTATCGCTTCTCAATTCTTCCTCCTCCGACGAATCTCCAACCTGACAGATAATGTTAGTTGCCGTCTGGCGCAAAATCTGCTGGGCTTTCGACATAAATACCAAATATGGCAAGTTAATAAACTTAATAAACATTGCCCAGCACCCCCTTCTGCAATATGGGCCTACACCGGCCCATAATTAGGCCCAATACAATATTCTAACTTTTGAGGCCCGTTTGTAAGAATCCCACATCTGAGGTAAAACGAAAGCATTCCTATTATTTATACTCCGTTCCTTCATGTAAGGGCACGACCTTACTTGAACAGGATCTGTTCTATAGGCTCGTACCTCTGCATCCTTGAGTTCTAAGGAGGCAAGAAACCAAGTCTGGTGGATGAGCCATGGCTGCATGACCAGAGCGTGATTAGCAGCCACCCCTGGTTCAGCCCATGAGCCATGGGCGAGCCGCAGAGGATCGTTCTCGGCTGGCTTCGGCCCTCCGGGGTGGTCCTGCAGCTGTCTGACAGACAATATAAGTAAGTATTTTTATTTTTAATATCGTTTTCTAATTTTAATTTGAAATTTATATTCAAAATAAATAATAATAATAGGTTGCAGAAAAAGATTGGATGGGCAAACTTCAGTTTCATTACTTGATGAGTATATACTCTCACATTAGATTGTGAGGACTATGTACACATAGAGAGACTACGATCAACAACTCGGTGAGAACAAATCAAAGAATCCAAGACATAAACAAACCAATAAATCATTGCAGTGAATTGTGAGCCAGGAGAGGATGATCAAGGGATGATGATGAACTCTGAACTTACATAACCTGATGTACTACTAGTAGTGATGATGATCCAGGGAGCACGAATCCCGCTCGCCGCTCCTCGAACGAGTACTCGATTTCGTCTGCACCTGGTTTCGTTGGCGTCACTGCTGTTCGAATGAGCGGCGTTGCTGGCAGCATCTGCATCGGAATAGATGCAGACGAGGGCGTGGAAGGTATTGCCGCCGCGATCATCGTTTTGGGAGGTGTTCGGATTGCTTCCCCGGCACTAGGAAAGATTTTCTTCGTCGGAGTAGTGGTAGTAGTAGTGAGTGGTGTTGTGTTGGCCTTGTGCCATGATGCCTCATTGTGTTTCTTGTTCGTGTTCTCCAGCAGATTCGCTGCATTGGCCTTGGAAGATATCGGCGAAAATGGCTTCCGCGGCTCTTGTTTCGCATGAAGTTCCATGGTGACGTCCAAACATCGCCTCCCTGGAAATCAAGACAACAAACAAGTGTAAGAGGAAAGCAGATTTGCCATGGGAAGTAAAATAAGGATTAGGAAAAGGACCTGCACCGAATCCATCATCTTTGTGTTCTAGATTCATCCGCTCGACTCTTTTCTTGGAGATCTGTGTGTTGGGAGTAGCTCTAGCAGAACGAGGCATATCAGGCTTAGGAGTCTGTAACGCCGGGACACCAAGAGAAAGCCTTCGATTGCTAGCAACATTGCATGCTGATGATGGCCTGGAGCCTTTCTTCGTGTTGTTTGTTTTGACGGGACTCGGCTTTGATCCATAAATGGCTTCCTGCTCTGTTAGCAACTGCCCCTGAAGTTTCTTTTGATCCTGTGAGGGAAAAGGATTGCGAAAGTGTGACACAATGGAAAGCATGTTATGTAAATGTAAATTGAAAATGAAAATAAAATGGATCATATTCGAAGAAGCATGTACCCTCTGCCTTTTTTGCTCGAGTTCTTTTTCTTTCCGCAGCGCTGCATAGCCTTCTAGGATGGACAGAAGTCGAACCTAAACATGCGCCGGAAGTTCGTAACTAAAAAGAAAAGGATATAACATGGTGTATATTTCAAACTTCTTTTGGAAACACTTACGCCATCATAGGTAAAGTCAACTCCCTTCTCATTCTCCCAAGCAATGGTCTTTGAAGCCAATGCATCCACCATAGCTGTAAGGATGAAGTATTATTGTCAAAGATTCTATTTCCGTTCCATTGTTGCAACAAGAAGGCCTTCGGACATAATAAGAGCATTATCAATACCTGGAAGCCTATTAAGTAATGCTCGCGCTTTCTCAGCACGCTTTAGCATAAGATGAGCACCTCTTCCAGCATTATAGCGATTGTCGTCCTAAGACAGAAACGGAAAAACAGTAAACAATCTTATTGCTTAACATGTCCTATGGAAGAAAGCTTGTGAGAAACAAACCCTGTTGTATTCTTCAAGCCAGTTCTCCTCCTCACAGGCAGCCATCCACTTCTCAACCCTTTCGAGGATGTCTTTCCTGCCAAGAGCTTCTTCCTTAACTCTAGCTATTTGATGCTCAATTTGTTCTAGCATACAATCAGCATCTACTCCACCTTTGATCAATCAAAAACACAAAATATGGCAGTTTCATTAATCTATGCAAATAAAGGGAATACAATGTTACCGTAAAAAGAGGTGAAGTACCTGATTCAATAGCATCAATGGCTATTTTCATTGCATCGCCAGTATCGGGAACAAGATGTGTTTTCCTAGATATTACTTCTAGCTCTTCCTTTTTTTTCAAAACAAGTTCCTTCATTTTGCTTATTTTTAATTCTTCCAATCGGGAAACTTCGTCCTTTACCTGGAACATGGGAAACCAAAATAGTAGCATTGCTTCAGTATTGAATACACATGCCCAACCTTGGAGCCATTATCGATGTGTAGCACCATGGAAAAAAAAAATGGTTCACTCACATTGTTGATGTTCTCGAGAGAAAGCATGTTAGGCTCTGTGATCTCATCTTCCAAAGCTACCAGTTTACATGTGACTTTGTGAAATATTTGTTGCTCTTCTATAGGAGTGTCCATCAAGTTCCACAGCTCCAATAACGATGTTGCAAGATCTTGTAACTGCATGATGAAAATGTTGATTAAATTGGTCATCTTGCTGAGGTTATAGTAAACCAAAAGTGACAAAAGCATGTTCAAGAAATTCAGACCTGCTGCATTCGTTTTAGCTTAAGCTCTCTTAGTTTTTGTTTAGTTTTCCCCAGCCCTTCTATGATACCATTGCTAATGTTTTTTGAGCTGTCGGCTTCAACCAAGCTCGGATGTATCTCGTTGATAGTCTTCTGGAAATCCAAGCCAAGAACCATGCACAGCGAGTACACGCAATCAAGATGTTGTAGAACCTGCTTTAGACGCTCACCCTACAGCCATAGATGAATGACAGAAATGTGTCAGAGCAAGTTACCAATTCAAAACACAGATAATGAGACATAATAGAACCTTTTCACTTTGGAGTGCCTGTAACTCTCTTTGTAGCTCCTCAAGCTTCCTTATGGACAAGTCACCTTCATCAATTGCATAATCATTTGAATGAATTCCATTGGAAGCAAATATTTCATTCTTAATACCCTCCATCTCTTTCAGGACCACAATGAACTGATTTTTCCTATCATTTCTTCTCTTCCTCATCTCCTCTAACTGTGGAAGGATGGCTCTTAGTTCAGCCTTCAAATTCTCAGGGTTTTGATCAGACTACACAAAGAATGAGCATTGATGTTAACAAGCATGAAGATCCAGAATAGAAGCTACCACACCTATTCTTTTACAAATGTTATTTCTTTCATCCGATCTTAGTAGAGTTATAATTTATATATCTTTAAGGGCTTCAGTGTGACTGTAGAACATTTGACATTCATTTACAACCCATCGAAGGATAAATAAGGCTGATTAGAACTTAGAAAAATCTAAGTCAATACACTGGAACAAAGAAACAATAGGTAAATTTAAATAAAGATAGATGAATCTGACCTGCCTAATGTGCACAGGCCGTTCTCCCATGGCAGAGCAGATGGCCGCAAGCTCTGCTTCAGCTTCAGCAATTGCTTGGCGCAGCTGAGCTCTACACCTGTTTGCCTCATCTACTTTCCTTCTATAGACTTCTAGACATTCTTGCTCGAGTTCAAGCAACATTCTGTCTCTTTCAGTATCAGGCTCCCCAACCTCATCCCATATGATCTGATATACATGGATAGCCAAACAAGATAAATACCAAAAATGTATTATAATGTAGGTCTCATTTCATATAAAGTCCAATTGGCATAGACAGGACATCAAAATCATGTATCCACGGTGATGAGAAAGCACGGTCGTAAGTGGATAAATGCAAATCGTGTATGACTGAAAGCAATATAAGAACACCTTCAATTCGTGGAGAAGAGATCCACACGTTGTTTCCAATTGAGAGGCGCTTTTACGGATCGGCATTTGGGGTAACTATGCCTGTTCACAGAACCATTCAATTAAGATTACAGACACAAATTTCAGAAGCAAATGACCGATGAATGAAATCTGGATAGAACACGCCTAGAAATCAATCAAATAATCACCAACTACATCTACATTTCCTCCCCTCAAATTCAAAAACTTCAACCACTTTCCTCGAAACATGAATTCACAACCATAAATAAATTCTTTGTCTTCATATAAATTCTTACCTAATCCAACACCACATTATCCAGATGAGATTTCTCTCAACTCATTCCAAACTTTTGAAAACCAATACAAGTGAAAAGAAACAAGCTAATCGACAGAGATGGAGGCGGCTATGAAAGCATACCTGCAAATAAACCTTCAAAAAACGAGATCGCAAAACTTCACTCCCAACGATTTTGTGTGCTGGAATCCAACAATCTTGAACTTACAGTGAGATAGATTACGAGAAGGAAAACTTTTGCCCGTTAGACTACTGGCTGGAATACGACGAAGTCTTTTATACTACTTGTTCAAAATCATGAAATTCAAATTTCAAATAACGACAAAAAAGCAATTTTATTCCACCTGGGTTATATTATAATGACTACGACTTTTCTATGAATAACATGTAACGTCGGATCGCCACGTGGCTGATGGGCCTACAGCACCATTGGGCTTTTCTGGGCTTCTTGATACTCACATTTGGGCTTTTCTGCATGTCTATTGTAGTAAGTAAACTACTCGTATTATTTTATTTTTTTTATACGTCAACTTATTTTACCCAACCCATAAATTTTTTTAACGGAATTGTGAGATCTTAAAATTAGGTTGAAATATTAGTTGCAAAAAAGATTTTTAGTATAGTTTATTAATTTAACAATATTTAAGTAATTGAGTCAGAAAAATACACATGTGGGATTTTTATTTTTTTATTTTTTCTTTTATTATTATACTTTGGTGTGGTGTATAGTATTCTATTAGGATATTATTGTTGCCCATCTTTTGTGTTGTTTTCCTGCAATTTGGGAAGCAGTTAATGGTAATAATAGTTGTGATCACACGCATTTGTCTTGTCTCAAAACCAGAGATAAAAATGTTAATACGAGAACTCGAGAAGTGTGTGGGTATGGAGTATTGAGTTTTTCTATTTTTAAATGAAAATTTTGCTTTTGATTTCAAGATAAAAAAATACAACTATTCAATCTGCATTTTATAGACTATTTCCTTTATATACTATATTTTTCTAGCAAAATATTATATCAAAATTATTTAAATAACACTATCAATTTCAAATCATGTATATTTCCAATTGTGTTGGGTTAATTATAAGTACAGTAAAAAATCTGTCAAAGTCAAACGCAACCCAAAGCGAAATGAATTACTTTGAAAGTCAAATTTAAAATATCGAATCAAATACCTATTAGAAGTATATTTTACTTCAAAGTTTTACTAACTAAAACATGTCCTCCTTTACTAACACTAAAATATGTCCTGTAGAAGTAAGCAATAGGCTAAAAATGAAGCGGAGAGGTCAAGGAAAGATTCCAACACAGTAAGTAAAAGGAAAGGAAACTTAGTAGGGTTTGATACTTGATTATGCTGAGCATTAATGTCTCTCAATATCAATAACTTTAAGGCAAATAACTAAGATGAATAAAATAGAGAAAGGTCAGCATTAGCTCTTACAGTTTCTCCAAACTCGGTGTTAACTTAAGACGACAATGGAAAATTTTGGCGCTTTTACGAGGATCCTGGATCGGCATTGTGCCATCCCTTTGCGCACGGGGGAACGCTCATGAATTCATCAAAATCTTGGACATGAACGTCGCAGCATTTCCACTGCAGGCATTGGAAGAAACAGTGACTTATGAAGGAAAGAACAAAATAAAATCGTGGAGAAGGAATTAGAATGATTCATTTTGAATGGACAGATATGCTTTTTTTTGTTTACCCCTCTTTTCCTATCGTGGAATACAGCTGGCCCGGGATGGTAACTGCATGCCGTGTCATGGTTATCCTTTTCTTTAAAAGTTTGGCCACATCCCTTGTTTCTGCAAGTTTGAGGTTCGTTTATGTCTACAATCTTCTTCACTTTAGGCGGTGCTGGTTCGGGTTTTGGTAAATTGGAATTACTTTCAGCTGGAGCAACTTCCAAAGCTTTGTTATTCTGTTCTCTCGGTTGTGAACCTGGAACATTAAAATCATAGACAAGTTTATTGAGTATTTAAATATAAAATGGACCAACAGTTCCGCAACTTGCACATTCACTATATAATTATGCATTAATATAATTTTGTTTGACGATTTTGTTATTGGCTAGTTAGTTTCTTCATTACTGGTGAGATCATTGACATTAGTGGGACAGTCTGATTAATATGATAGTTTTCCTTCTATTAGTTTAGATTTCGCCTGAACTCCTCAGAGTCAATGAAATATATCATTTGTATTAATTAGACAAAGTGCCGAAGAAAGTGGAACAAAAGAAAATTAGAAAACTAAGTTACCATGATCAGAGCAGAAGAATCCTTGTCGGCATCTAGGGCATGCATCTTTGGCTGTTGAGTTGGTTGTGGGGTTTGGAACTGAAACTGCTGGCCTACGGGCGGCACTAGGGGGCTTTGTAAGCACGGGTTTTTCAGTTGTGTGTTTTCCTGTCTTGCAACTGAAGGCTGGTGATCAGCTTATATAGTCAACTAAAAGAGAAATAGAAACCCATGAAAGAATATTTTTTTTATCAAACCAGCAGAACCAACTGGAAAATGCATATAGATGCAATCTTCAATCACATACTAGTTTTATTCATTTTTCTCTTCATTTGGTGATCTAAATATTAAACACTATCATTCGCTGAGAAACAAATATTAAGTCACAGTACAAAGAACATTGACAGACAGTATAAATTTTAACTGATGATAAAAAAAAAATATAGAGCAACAGATGTGAATAACAGCATTTTGTGAGTAACCACAATCAAGTATAATTGAATCTTCAAAATATTTATAGTTGCATCAGGCATCAGCTGAGGGGAAAACTAAATATAAGTGTAAGGAGAAGGTCGTGTACCCAGGAATTTCCAAAAATAAACTAAAATCATGACTCCTTTTCTTGCAACAACTCCATTCTTTCATCCCATCGTGAAATATTGGCTGGAATAGGAATAGAACCGTCATTAGTTTTAGGACAGATGGTCAGTTGGCATGATGAGTGGTGGACATATCATCAATGGTGAACAAAAGTAAAAGATTAATAAGACTTACACCCTGGTTAAATGTATGCAGCAGCAGGTGATGATGTAAGCCATTCATAAAACGAAAGGAACAAAGAAAATCAATTAGATAATATCAGGAAGATGAAAATTTCGGGAGAATAAAAATTACTCAGAACATCCAAGTTAAAGTATAGAACAAAAACATCCCGGGCTGACATTTCCAATAAAGTTGCCCTCAGATGAACATTAGATCAGTATCTTCTAGCAAACTTGCAATAATCTCAAGTCATCTGTTGCAATCAATCAATTCCTAAACCTAAACCAAACGTGTAGAAACAGTATCTTTGTAAACTAATAAAATTTTGCCAGATGTGTTCAAGCTCCAATCCAACTACTTCCCAGTGCACACAAGCCTTAAACAAATGACCGAAACATAAGACTTTAAGCCAAGGCACCTCCTAAATTCTTCGAGACAAACATTAAGACCAAGCACAAACCATCGCATCGCGAACTAACTTTGCTCAATTAAGCAAACTCAAACTAATCGCGCAAAATTTAAGCAACTATCAAGTAAAATCGCATCGAAAGCTGATCTATCTACAACAGATTAAACTACACGAGAAACATAATAAAACGGAAAACTACAGTAGCAAAGCTTCCAGTTCGAGAGAGAGAGAGATGCACTTACGGAGTCGTGATAAGTACAGGAGCCATCGGGATTATCATCTTCTGAGAAGAACGCATCGCACCCGATCCTCTGGCAACGAACCTTCGCCATTTTTTTTGCCGTCTCAGTCTTCTTCTAGTGCGTGCTATGCGCGGAAGACGACCCGTATTTATACTGCTACCCAAATAAAAGATCCTGTAATACTGTATAGAATTACTATTACTATAATAATAATATATATAAAGTAATAATATAAAATAATAACATTATTATTATGATAAATTATTATCTTATTATAAATGTATAAAATTTCATTTATGTAAAATTTCATAAATGTATTTTATGTAAAATTTATGGGATAAATGTATTTTATTTATGTAAAATTTCATAATATGAAAATACACTCAAAAATACTTCTTCCAAATTTCATATTATCATTTAAATAAATAAATAAAATTCATCAATTTTTTATTATTACAAATTATGAAATAAATACTAATAAATATTTTTTTATAAAAGATATCTTATTTAATTTTTTTACATAATATTTACATATCTTTACTAACAACGTTTAGTGAAAAAGTGAATATTATAAAAATTTATACATATAAATATTATTTGTATGTGAACCCTAATTCCTATATAGAACTGGGCAAAAAATTAGTAGCCCAAATTTTAAAAAGCCACAGGCCCATTTTGTTTTTATATGGCCCAATAGAGGTCCAATTAAGACAGGGGTTTTGATCCAACGGCAAATAATTAACGTAAGAGTATTGTAGCGATCGAACGTACCAGATGCATCGACTTCATTAATGTATAAATTCTCAAACCCTAGAACTTGTTCTTTCTCTTCGTTCCTCCTGACTGCTGCAAGGTTTCCGGCGGTGGCGTAGGAAAGCAGGGAATACTGCATTCAAGTTTATAAAGGAAGGTGCGTACGTGCCTTCTGTGTTTTACGGTTGACATGCCTTCAATTCTGGTAGCGGAATCTCAATCCACGGACAAGAAGAAGATGAAGAAAGCTGAATTTGTGGAGGAGGAAACGACCAACTCCGTCGAGAAGAAGATCAAGAAGGAGAAGAAGTCCAAAAAGGCTAAATTAGCCGCGGAGCCGGAACACGACGATTCTAACTCCGATGGACAGCGGAAGAAGAAGAAAGAGAAGAAACGAAAGGCTTTGGAAATTGACGGTAATGAAGATGATAAGAGCGAGACCAGCTCCGAGATGGGCGAGCCTTTGAATCATGTAGGGGAGAAGAATAAGAAGGTGAAATACGAAGCCGAGGATGATCAGATGAATAAAGAAGAGAATCCGAATGCATTGTCGAATTTTCGTATTTCGGAGCCGTTGAGGAAGGCTTTGAAGGCGAAGGGGATTGAATCGCTCTTTCCCATTCAGGCGATGACGTTCGATATGATTCTTGATGGTTCGGATTTGGTTGGAAGGGCACGCACAGGGCAGGTCAGAATTTTGGTTTCTGTGTGAATTTTTTTTGAGATTCGCCTGTTAATTTGTGAATTGAGAGTAGAGTATTGGCTAAAAGTTCGTTAATTTATCACGCTGTTCCTGAAACAAAATTTGAAATCACAACTTATGCTTTTGATATAAACATCGACATGAAATTCATTAACATCTAAAGCTCTAGCTTCTTGATCTCAACAGGGTAAAACGTTAGCCTTTGTGTTGCCCATATTGGAATCACTGACGAATGGGCCTGCAAAAGCATCACGCAAGACTGGATACGGAAGAGCCCCTAGTGTTCTTGTTCTTTTACCTACCAGGGAGTTGGCCACTCAGGTGCAGTTCATGTTCAACTGAATGCCCACTTTAATCTTTTTGTAAAATTGCTTATTTTGTCCTCCCTTTGTAACAAATATATATATATTTGTTATAGGTCTTTGCCGACTTTGAAGTCTATGGGGCAGCATTAGGGTTGAATGCCTGTTGCCTATATGGAGGCGCCCCATATCCGCCACAGCAAAATCAATTGAAAAGAGGTGTTGATATTGTGATTGGAACCCCTGGCCGCATCAAGGTTTCTTTCTGTCTTACAATTTTACCACCCTGTTCATTCTATTTATGCTATAAGTTATGTTTATAGCTGAATTTATTGTCTACCAGGATCACATCGAGCGGGGGAATATTGACTTTAGGGCACTACAATTCAGAGTTCTTGATGAGGCTGATGAAATGTTAAGGATGGGTTTTGTTGAAGATGTTGAACTCATACTGGGTATGCAAATATTGAATAATATCTGTGAAGTGTGAACCCTTTTGTCATATAGTTATTTTTTCATTGAAGTCTTAGGCATTTGTTTATCTTCAATTGCGTAGTGGTTCGATTAGGTGTGAAGTGATATCAATTAATTTATTTGTTACAATGCTATTGGATTGTTGGGCTTAAGTTTTCATTATTTAATTTCGAAGGTAAGGTTGCAGATGCTACTAAAGTTCAGACACTTCTTTTTAGCGCCACACTTCCTCAATGGGTTAAACAGGTAATGTTTTCCATTCCATGGATTATATTTTACAGGAATATGTGATGCCAGATATCTTTTCTATCTTAGCAAATAATTTTTTTGTGATGCCAGATATCTTCTAAATTTCTAAAGGCTGATAAGAAAACAGCAGACCTTGTCGGTAATGAGAAGATGAAGGCGAGCACCAGTGTAAGACATATTGTTCTCCCTTGCTCTGCTTCTGCCAGAACCCAGCTCATTCCCGACATCATTCGCTGCTATAGCAGGTTCAATTTTTCAACCTTAATAATATTCAAGTTTTGCCCTTTGTCGTTTGGCAAGCTTAACTACTGCCTTCTAGCTCTGCTGATCACTAATTTTCCTTTGGAATATCTCAATCTAGTGGAGGCCGCACTATTATTTTCACAGAAACAAAGGATTCTGCTTCTACCCTTGCCGGAGTACTTCCTGGCGCACGAGCTTTGCATGGAGACATACAGCAGGCTACACGTGAGGTATATATGTAATATTTGTTAAACACTAGTGTCATTCTTGGAACATTAGTTCATTATTTTGTAATTTAAGCTATGTTTTCTTAATGGCATGCTCCCATGGTTTCAGGTCACGCTATCTGGATTCCGATCTGGAAAATTAACGACACTTGTGGCCACTAATGTGGCTGCCAGAGGATTGGATATTGATGATGTCCAGCTAATTATTCAGGTCATTTTCTATTGAGCATATTCTCCTTCATTGTAGTTTTGGTTTTGTAGTTTCCTGCCTCGCCATATTTAGTGAACAAAATTGTTTTTCCTTGTAGTGTGAGCCACCTCGTGATGTAGAAGCATATATTCACCGATCTGGAAGAACTGGGAGAGCTGGTAAGTTTGGTTGTGTTCTGTTAGAAGAAGTTTGAAATTTATTCACGATTTATTGATAGATGTATTGTTTGCTTCTGCTTGTCAGGAAAAACGGGAATTGCAGTTATGCTTTATGATCCGAGAAAATCTAATTTCTCTAAGATAGAAAGAGAATCCGGTGTTAAGTTTGAACATATATCTGCTCCACAGCCGGCCGATATAGCTAAAGCTGCCGGTGCTGAAGCCGCAGAAAGAATTAACGAGATATCGGACAGGTATAAATTCATATCACTCGCATATGAACAAAGAATAAATTTCTCAGATAATGCACTGATATACATATTCCGATCAAAATTTCAGCGTCATTCCGGTGTTCAAGGATGCTGCTACCGACCTGCTGGCCTCATCTGATTTATCTCCAGCCGACTTACTTGCCAAGGCATTGGCCAAAGCTGCTGTAAGTGCACGAGCACCCATTAATTTGGATAGAAGCACGTTCCAATTTTGATCGACTTATGTTTCATTTTATCGTGTTATGCAGGGCTATACTGAGATTAAAAGCCGATCACTTCTCACTTCAATGGAGAACTACGTTACTGTACTCCTTGAATGCGGAAGGCCAATTTACGCCCCGTCGTGAGTGTTTGAAGCTCTATATCATTAATTATTAAAAGAGTTCGATATATTATATTCCCTTAAATCTGTTGTGCAAGCTTTAGATGAACAAAAACGTACTTGGTCTCTAGATCTATTTTATTGTTCGGTAACATGTAAGTTTTAATATTCGTGCAATGGCCTTCCAGTTATGCTTATGGAGTTCTAAGGAGGTTTTTACCAGAAGACAAGGTTGAGTCGATCAAAGGTCTAGCCTTGACAGCCGATGGAAAGGGTGCTGTCTTCGACGTTTCTACCCAAGATGTAGACGATTTTCTTGCAGGTATGTTGAGTCGAACCCATGTTTTGTTCATATCAAGCGCGATTGTAACTGTTATTTACATCTATCATTGTTCTGGGGCTTGCAGGCCAGGAAAATGCCAGTGGTGTTACCTTAGAAGTGGTGAAAGCATTGCCGCAACTTAAGGAAAGAGAACCTGTAAGAACAGGAAGATTTGGAGGTGGCGGCTATGGTGGGAGAGATGGCCGGTTTTCTGGCGGTAGAGGAGGAGGAGGAGGAGGATTCCGGCGAGGCTACGGTGGAGGCAGAGGACAAGGAAACAACCGTAAATGGTGAAAAGTTTATTTACTACAAAGACCATAATTATTTAGCAAATGCCCATTGGATTGGGGCATAGAAATTTTGGCCAGAGTTGATAACCTTTTGATTTTTTGTTGTTATTGATTATTAAGTAAGCCGTTCCTATTTGAAGTTGTATTTGCAGACGAAATTGAGACTTATTATTGGTTGTATTCTTTCTAATTCTATGGAAATCATATGATACTCATATTATTCCTTAATAATCTCTATTCTTTAAATTTTTGAATTGAATAAATGTTTGATATTCTATAAATATATGTGTGTGATTTTCTAAGTAAAAAATTAAATTTTAATACAATATAATATATATATAAAAATAAATATAAAGAAACAGAACTTTTTCATTTTGCTATTTACCACAACTCTGCAGTAACGACGAAGATACATCACCATCGATGGCGGATGATGGTAACTACTAATGTTCTATGCTTTGGAGCAAATGAAGGATTCCTATTCAAATTTCGATTTCGAATTGGACGGGGACGTGAAGAACAGCATCGGAAGGTTGATCCACAGGTGCAAGAGCTTGAAGGAGCTGTCTCAGGTTCATTCCCATGTCATAAAGCTCCCGCATTTACTCCCAAACCATCGCTCCTTCCTCACTTCCCGCCTCCTCTTCTGCATCTCACCCCTTTCCCTCTCTTACGCCTGCAAAATCTTCTCCCTCATCCAAAACCCCACTCTCTTCTCATACAACGCCATTATCAGAGCCAATTCCACCAATCCCACCCACCCTTCCTCCTCTGCTTCATTAATTCTGTACAAACAGCTGCTGGCCAACGGCCTGCTGCCCGACTCCATAACCCTACCTTTCGTGCTCAAGGAATGCTCCACCAGGGCCGATTTAATCGCCGGCAGAGGCGTCCATGCTCACGGTTTGAAGTTTGGGTACGAATCAGACGTTTACGTGCAGAATTCGCTCATCAATTTGTACTCTGAATGCGGAGTTTCGGAGGATGCACACAAGGTGTTCGACGAAATGCCTAACAGAGATGTGGTTTCATGGAACTCCATCATTATTAGCTCTTTAAGAAGCGGCGAACTCGACGCCGCATTGCAGCTGTTCTCGGCAATGCCGGAGAGGAAAAACATCATCACGTGGAACTCAATGATCACCGGATTCGTGCAAGGCGGCCGGCCGAAGGAGGCACTCGAAATCTTCCGGGATATGCAAGTTTCCGTCGATACCGTCTACCCGGATAAAGTAACATTAGCCGGTGTGCTATCCGCCTGCGCTTCTTTAGGGGCGATCAATCTCGGGAGATGGGTGCATCATTACATCGAAAGAACCGGGACAACGTGCGACATGGTGTTAGGGACATCGCTCGTTGACATGTACGGAAAATGTGGATTTATCCGGAAGGCGTTCGAGGTTTTCCTGGGAATGCCCGAGAAGGACGTTCTCGCATGGACGGCGATGATCTCGTCATACGCAATGCACGGCTACGGCCGCGATGCGATCGAGCTTTACGGGAGAATGGAAGAAGCCGGAGTGAGGCCAAACGCGGTGACATTTGTCGCGATACTCTCTGCGTGCGCGCACACAGGGCTAATCGACGAGGGGCGACGGTACTTTCAAAGAATGGGAAAACACGGGATTGAGCCACGGGTCGAGCATTACACGTGCATGGTCGACATTTTAGGGCGAGCGGGTCGTTTCGACGAGGCGGAAGAGCTTATCGGGAGGATGCCAGTGAGTCCCGACGTATTTACGTGGGGGGCTCTGCTGGGGGCGTGCCGGACGCATGGGAACATCAGGTTGGGGGAGAAAGTCGCACGGCTGTTGATCGAGATGGAGCCGGAAAACCATGTGTTCTACGTGGTTTTGTGCGATTTGTACGGGAAATCGAGGAGATTCGAGGATCGCCAGAGAGTGAGATCTTGGATGAATGATCGGAGGGTGGAGAAGGGTGCTCCGGGAACAAGTTTGATAGAAGTAGAAGGTGTTGTGTTAGAATTCTCTGTTAAAGGGTCGCCGGAGATGGAGATGGAGATGCCGATGGAGAGGTTGAAGAGTGTGTTAGAGACGCTGGATAATGAGATGAAGGTGGACGAGAAGTATATTGAGACTTTATTATGACCAATTTCTTATATTTTGTATGCAAACAATTTTTTGGAATTTAGAAAATAGTAAAATTAATAAATGTAATGATTTATTAAAAACATATATATATATATATTTAATGTGATATTTTTAAAAAATTAAATAAAATTAAAATAGTACAAAATAATAAATGTAATGATTTGGGAATTTTACTTTTAGGTATCTTGTAATCCAATAATTCTTCGTATAAATAACTATTACTTTTTACTAACATTAATTAAGTTAAATTACTATATAAATACTAGTTCCGTCCCAAAAGAATGAATTTTTATATTTCGGAATGTTACATAACAATATGATTATTTATTTATAAAATGATAAAACAAGCACAAAAAGAAATAAAAAATACAAGTACATTTTAATGACAACTCTAAACAGTTAAGAGAGTTAGAATTAAAGCGATGTAACCGGTACATGATAATAGTATACACGTCATAATTGATCTCTACGTGCTAATATAACATAAATACCGATAGTAAAGAATAAATGTCCATATTATATATAATGCTTAGATTGACATCTCAACACATATTATAAATATAATTAAATTAAGATTAATTAGTATTGATTTGTCTTAATCAGCCAATAATAATGATAATAATACACAAAGCATATATTATAATTAATTTCAATATAATATTACTATATGTTAATTGAACACAAATATTGACGGTAATAAAAATTTATATCGAATATATTATTGCAATGCACTGTCAATCAATGGAAATAATAAAAAAATTTGGACTTGGGGTCCATGTGTACTATGTGCTAGATAGATTCATGAGCTGTTCAAATCAAATAAATGAGAAGGCAAACAAGAAATTGGAAAAAGTAAAAAATGAAAAATGAAAAATAGATAAAAACTTTTTTATTGTAAATTTTTCTTTTTTCTTTTTTTTTTTTCATTTGACCTATTTTGGAACTACGTTGAAAACGCCCCATAAATTATCAAACAAGGCACAACAAAATGGCTTCTGGTTATACACTTATCAAAGACAATAATAACAAATTTATTTGTTGAAATTAAGATAGATAGATAGTTAACCTGCCATTGCCATTGCCATTGCCATTGCCCAAAATTGATTCAACTAAGTGATCACTGTTGGTTGCTCTCTTCCTGTGAATTCCTTCAGCTTCGAAATCTCCAGTGCCAAATCTACCAATACATACATACATACAAAATTATAATAACATAAAGAAATATATTTATAAATATAATCAGTTAGATACCATGGGACAAACCTATCAATGGTTTCAATGCTGCCTGTGCATCCACGTTGTGTTTCGACGAGTCGGGTTCGAATTGCTCGATGTAAACTCGCACCGTTGCGCCAGCAGAACCCGTGCCCTGCATCGAGAATTCGATTGATTATTTGCATAGGTAATATAAGGTAAAGTAAAATTGAACAGATACAATTTGAAGGGAATGCTAACCGATAACCGGTATATGATTCTTGATCCATCAGTGAACACAAACCGGACACCTTGCTTGGAAACCACGCTTCCATCGACCTTAAGAAATGTTATCATCGATAACTATATGTGCGATTGAAAATATAGAAATGGAACAACTGTAAAAAGGCTTAAACGTACAGGATCGGTGTAGGTGAAGTCGTCGGCAAATTGGAGAGTGTAACTTCCTGCAATAAAAAGACACCATAAAGCCATCAGGAAACAGTTCTTACATCACTTGGCAGAAGAACATTATCCAAACTCACCGTACAAGTCGCCTTGTTTGCTCTTCGAAATTAAGTCTCTGAGATATTCGACCATTTTATTCGCTCCATCTGCTTCACATTCCTGAATGCAAAATACGTAGGAAGACAATGCACCGGTGAGACAACGTGTTCTATATAGAAATTGATGGGATGAGAAGAAATCAAGAAATGAGTAACGTTGCCTCGTAATCGTATCTGGAAAAGAAATTCCTTCCATAGGTAGCCCAGTGATCTGCGACAATGTCGGAAACGGAAACCAGCGTTTCCCCAGGCTTCTTGTCCTTGTTCTTGAATGCAATTATTGACAACCAAGCTAAAACAGCCCTGTCGAGCAGAATGTTTCGAGGCATCAAGTCTTGTTTACGAAAAATGATTTGAAATGAATATATACATACCAAATCCCATCTTTCTCGCGGATGTGATCCGAACCTGTTCCAAAGCTTTCTTCCCCACAAACAGACAATTTTTCAGCATCCATTAGATTCCCGAAAAACTTCCAACCAGTAGGCACCTGTGAGTCATTCCCAAGAACAGTATCAAAACAATGGCGTCATCTGGAATGTGAAATGTATGCTACACAAAGCATCGTGAGGAAATATGAAGCGCCGGACCTCATAGAATGGAAGGTTCAACTTCTCGGCCACGCGATCTAGAGCACCACTTGTTGGCATGGATCGAGCCAAACCCTATTCAGTTGTGTAGAGGATGGAATTTATCGATTTTTGTTGGAGGAAAAATAGAATTATAAAGGATTGCATATGGTTGAAACCTTTATGCCAGACTTGAAGTATGGAATTGTTTCTTCAGCATTGGCAGCAATTATTGCTACGGAATCTGACGGTGTAACAAAAAAGTTTTTCCCAAGAATCATGTTTCGATCTCCATCACCTGAAAAACATTGAAATACTCTAATCATTCCATGAGTTCTCTGAACAGGATGTACAAGTCTAATTAGAGAACCAATTTTTCTACGATAAAATGCTTTTTCAAAGGCGAGTTACAATGAACATAACTGACAAAACATACCATCACTTGCAGCTCCAAAATCAGGCCCATTCTCTCCATACATTATGTTGACGAGATCCTTGGCGTATCTTTTCTCAAAGAAAATAAGAAAAAAATTAAAATAATAATACTAATAACAATAAAACAGCAAAAGATTGTCGGGAAGGAAGTGTATTTCATCAAAAGCATCATTTCTTACGTGAGATTAGGATCGGGATGACCATGTCCAAAATCTTCAAGTGGTATTCCATTAGTAATTGAATTCTGCAAATTGAAATGTAATTTTAGTCGAAACAATGCCAGAACATATGTCGTGTTAGTTAAAAAGCGAACTTCAGAACTTACGGGACTGGCTCCCAGCGCGTCCACAAAGATTGGCTTAGCATAAGCACCAGTCACAGCATGCATGGCATCAAATACAAATCTGGGAAGTGCATTAAAGCACAATAAGTTTGTTATAACAAATATATGATTCACCAATGCAGAAATCAACTTTTTCAAAAGAAATAAAAGCAACAAGATCATTATGCAGAAGAGTGAGTGCACACCTGAAATCAGAACGTAAAAGAAGGCTCCGGATAAGTGAAAAATCAAACACATTCTGCAGAAGATTGTTCAAGGTGGTCAGTGTGAACAAGAATAAAATTGTTCAATATAAAATTTTAACTAATCCATTCTCGTGTACTCACTTCCATCAATTCCATGTAATCAGCCACTGGATCGACTACCTCTACACTGAACTTTCCAAATTCTATTAGACCAAGACGAGCGAGATCAACATCAGGAATGTCACCAATTTTTATTTCAGATATCTGCATCAGAACATGGCAAGTCAAATAGAAGTGCCAAACTCATGTCCAAAATTTCATCATCATTTCTTAAGTAAATACAATTCGCCGTATCCTCGAAGGAGTTAATACAGCATTCCTCTTTTATGAAAAACAATTAGCCCTATCCTCAAAGGGTATCAATAGAATGGAATCAGAAATTATACAATTTTATAATAACGAATTAAAATTATCAGAACAAATCTCCTCAATCAGAACACTACCATCATCTCTTCTACAAACTCCAGTTACCGATCATAATAGTGTTTAATCAATCCTTTTCATATATTTCATATCAAAGTAGAACTAAAGTGTCATCTTTCCGGCAGTTACCTAAGTTGTACTTCAATCATCTCCGTTTTCTAATTGATGAATAGATTTCTTCAACTAAATATGTCATGTTTCCACATACTGTGTCAAAACTCAAAACACGTGCTCATCTGATATTTCGGAGAACTATTGTTAATAAAAAAGGTCAATCCTAGAAAAAGATCATGATTTGGCACATACAGAAAGTGTGTTTCCGTAGATCTTGTCGGTTATGGACTCAGGTGCTGGCTGGCCACTGCTGTAGTTGAACTTCAAAAAACAGAAACCAAAAGATCTATTAAAAATTAGTACATATGCTGCTCTACACATCGTAGAAGTAGCTGATCAACATGACATTTATAAGATGAGTGTACATGCAAAAATGCAGAAAAGAGAATAATAGCACACCTTGATACCCCAGTCATAATCAGGTCCTCCAGGATTGTGGCTTGCACTCATTACAAAACCACCATTAGCCTGAGGTCACAAAAAAGTCGAAAAACCTTGAAATCTTACACACTAGAATGCACCCTACAGAAACCATTAACTACTATACATATATGCATAAGATAAGTGATTATTGCCTTTGTCTTCCTTATTACAGCAGAAACAGCTGGCGTGGACATTATGCCATTCCTGTAATCAAAAATGACAATTCACTTCAATGTTTCATAACAAACTCAATGGCAAGAACTGTGATGGTAAGAGGTTAAAAAAAAAGTGCCTCATTGCAATAGAGGTGTCGACTAATAAGCTACCAGAAACAGGGCAGAATTTACAAAAACGAAGGGTGGCAATTCAACCAAATAAACATCAAACCAGGGGAGATTACAGAAGTGAAACTCACTGGCCAACCAATATTGTTCCAACACCATTACCGGCAGCTATTTTAATAATTATCTACAATTCAAATTCAGCCATATCAGTCATGGGACAAGGTACTAATTTACTTCTGGAACTGCAAGTAGAGCTTATATTGAAATACCTGCGCAGCTTCCTGGTTGAAATACCTACCATCACCGCCCAAAACCAAAACTCCATTCTTGTAATCCTCGGGTGGCAATGAGTTAAACAATGCCTGCAGTGTACAAATCATACATCAGAAAACTATAACAAAGTTCACATTGAAAACCATTTGCTATTCCTAATCAAGTGGCAAACACTCTTCGGTTGTGCAAGATTTGAACAAGAACACACCTGAATCCAATTGGCAAGGTAATTTTCTTGCATGAACACTTTCACCTAACAGTGCCAAAACTCAACCAGTCAAATACGAGCATTCCGCCAACATTAGTACCAATATCACATTCATCGTTACAAAATAAAAATGAACAAGAGTGCACCTTCTTTCGAAGCCCGCTTGTACCAGTCTTCTGACCCTCAATTGGCTGTGTAGGCACAACCTTGATCTGAAATTAAATTAAACAAAATAGAAAACAACAGAGCGTGTCAAATTCATCACCCAAAAAGATAAAAACCTGTACTTGTTGACGGCCTACATCAATATAATCCACGAATAAACAAACCTGGAGCTCTTGGGATTGAGTAAAAGTCGTGGAAGGAGAACTCGAAGCAGAGGATGCATTGCCCGAGACGGCAGACACAACCGGCGACACATTCCTGAAAGAAACATTGGCGAACAGTGGAATCGGGTTGAGAAAGGAGATTGATTTAACAGGAGGAGCAAATGACGGGGGATCACTCGCACTGGAATTCTTGGAATTTCGCCACAACAGAGAGGACGTTCCGGAAATCAAGGAATTCAAAGCCATGTTAGGGCGAAAAGCAGCACAAAGATTCAAGAACCCGCCTGCTCTCCAAATCTTGATCAGAAATGAAACTACAATATAAGTTCACGGGTGAGAATAGAAATGAAATACGAGTGAGAATTTGGTGGGTTTTTTTATGGAGGAAAAGATCCGGAGAGTTTGGGGGTGCTTCAAAAACGGTGGGTTTTGAATTCGAGGAAGATAAATTGGGTGCCACATGTACGTTACCTTTGCTTTATCTCCGATCTTTGGCCCTTTTATGGCGTTCTTGTCATCTGCCCCACGTGATTGTGAACCTTGCATACAGCCATGTCAATATGAATATTCACAAAATATCCATAACATAAACGAATAGAATAAAACCAAATTTTAAAAAATAGAAATACATCCAGTTTGAGAAAAATATGCAATTGGGCCAACAATTTAATCAGATCCCATGAGCCAATTATGAATACATAAATAATAATATCTTACCTTATCCTCCATCACAATCCTCGTTTGTGTATTTTATTTCAGTCGAGTACATGATCAGTGTCGGATATGGTAAGAAAATATTACTAGTAATTCTGTTAATACTAAATCTATATTTTATTTTGCCCACATGCTTGCATCTTGTTTCCTTCCAAAAATATTCAGTAGCTAGCTAAGAATAATTCATACATGAAATTACATTACGCAAAACAGTACACTTAATTTTGGAATTCTGTATCTAATCTAACCCTAGAGAGTACGGAGCCTTAAAATTGAACTAATGTTTGATGAATCACATAAAATTGTTGAGCATTAGTCACTCCAGCAATAATTTTTTAGAGTAAACAGAATGCACGTGATCTAAACATCTTCTTCTCCATCTAAATGGAACTAAGGAAATTATCATTACGGTTTTTCACTCCTAAGTCGTAACCCATATTAATCTTTGTTCAGCTTCATTACATTATTTCTGCTTATTCCTCAATCTAAACAACAGTGACATATGAACTACAATTACCATAAACAACAAAATCGAAGCAGGAAAGCAGGCTCACAATGCACACCTCAAATTCCATGTTGAAACATTGTTAAACTACCGCCATCAAAACTAAAATCAATGTATATAAGCCACAAACAGAGAGTCTTATTATTCGTACCAGAAAACAGGAATCACTCATATTTTTCATCAACGAAGACATCGATTATTGGAATTATGGCCAGAAATTGATGCGGATCCATAATTGTCCTTCAAATATGAACTACAATTACCTCAAATCTCAAAAAAATGGAAGCAGGAAAACAGGCTCTCGGAAAAATCCCTAGACGAACAATTATATTTTACATCTTCTCCACTCCACAAACCAAAATATATCGAATTGCGGATAAACTAGCACACAAACCTGTACATCTTTCAAATAATTTAGCAGCGAGCAGTAGTGGTTCTAGTTCGACTTCGAGCCCGTTCTCTCAGACGAGCCGCTTCCGACTGCACGCAACTCAACAGTGTGCTGTTCCCGCCTTCGTTTTTCTACTTATGTTCTTCCTTCGTCGTCGAACACCGTTGATTATCTACACATTGGAATGTTTTCAGCCGTTGGATCCACATTTGTCATGGCCAGTTTTAAATTAATTTTAACAGCTGACGTCATAATTAATATTATTGGGCTGATCTGAACCTAGGCCCAAGAATGGTTTAGAAGCCCAATATGTTAAGAAAATCAATATTGGGCCATTATATTTTGAAAAAGCCCATTTAAATTTGCGCTGATTCGCGTTTGGCATGTGTACTATAGATATGATATTTTAAAATTAATAAAAATTAAAATATAATTAAAGTGTGTAATTTTAAAATAAATAAGACAACCAGATTAAAACAGAAACATAAACAAGAGATGTGGAGGCCAAGGGGATAATTAAATGAGTATAAACTATTACTAAATGACTATTATACCATTTATTAAAAATAAAATATTATTTTATAGTAGCACTTAGACTTTATTTTTTTGTGAATTTTTATTTTTTTTATATCACATAAAAATAACTATTCAAATTAAAAAAATTATATGAAAAAAAAAATAATAATAATCAAATTCTTAAACAAACAGACTTAATGATTTTATTTTATTCACTCGAATTTTATTTATTATTTATGTGATGAGTATATAAATAAATAAACAAATCATTATCTACCAAACACAATTTATGTGGAATGGGGCAACGCCACATTAACCCCTCACAATAAATATCACAATCACTTATGGTCACATCACTCAGTTTTTTACATTAATGCCCTCCTGCATTCAAAATACTGCAATTTTTTTTTTTTTTACTGTTTATTTTATTTTATTAAGAATATATATTCAATTTTTACTTATATATATAATTATATTACATATTCTTTTTTAACCACCCCCATTTTAAAAATAAAAAAAAAAAAGTATGTTATCATATTACAACATAATGAAGTGTTATTTTTATTGAAAATATTGTTATTTAGTTGTGTAGTGTTTTAGTTTGAGTTAAGTTTTTAGCATGAAGTATGAAAAATTATTTCATAATACATACAAATATTTATATTTTATATTACATTATTAAATTTTTGTTATAAAAAATAGAATATGTATTTTTTATATTGTATAAATGTATATATATTGTAAGTGATGACTTAATGGTGCAGGGGTGAAGGGTTTAAACTCCCGACGCCTCCAGGTCATTTGTCAAATATGATTCGTCTAATATAACTTGTATGTCATATATAGTTTGCAGGGTATTAGGTTCGGTCGGAGTTTTACCCAATAAACTTTTATTCTATTAAAATATGTGTTCGATCATATGAACACATGATTGGACGATGAAATAAGTATAATGTGTCTATCTATTTGGATACTTTTTAGCGAGTATTTCTACTATTATATTATTATTATTTAATAAAACTATTTATTAAATATAATATTTTGAAATAATATATTTTGTTATTATATGTGCTATTAAAAATTATAATGTACACAAATATATTACCGCAACACAATTACAACTACACTCCTATATTTCAATTGGACTTATTTATTTATCATTATTCATTGCTGCCTATGTATACACCAAATAAATTTATTTGCATTTATGTAGATTGTTTTAAAGTTCGACTGTCCCAATGTGAAATATTACTAGTTTTTTTATTATTATTGTTGGTGTGACATTTAATTGAATTTAATGACAAATGTATGGTTTATTCAAGGAAATGTATTAAAATTACTTTAAAGTGCTCCAAACCTTCCCAGTAATAAAACCAAGGGCTTGTTCACCAAAAAATAAATATAAAAATTACATTCTATTAAATATTATTATTAAAATAATTAAATACACATTTAAAATTCTTTAAATTTATATATATATTATACTCCTTCAGTTCCGGATAAATGTGTTCATTTAGAATAATATTTCCTTCGTCCAACCGGAATTGAACTATTTGATTAGGGAGACAGTATTTAAGGTGAAAATATTAAATTAGTTAATAATAATTAGTTATGGTATTATTATACTCCCTTCGTCCACAAACTAATGTCCTACTTTCCTATTTGGGACGTCAAACAACTATTGTCCTATTTTCTTTTTTAAACACAAATTTTACATTTTTATCCTTCATTCATTTATTACTTTTAATATCTACCATACAATTAAGGGCAAATTTGTCCATTTATAACAAAAAGACAATTACCTAAAAAATCGTACAAATATACTTTAGGACAATAGAAATTGAAAGGGTGGAGTATTATTTTTTATATAATTAATAATATTTATAATTTTAAAGTAAATTTAATATATATGATTAAAAAAATAAAATATATATTTAAAAATTATATAGCAATTAAAAGTAGAAAATAAAATATTCTATAATATAAGTAAATAAAAAAATATTTTTGTTTATTTATAATTAACATAAATTAATTTTATAAAAGATGTGTAATTTTAAATATAGATAAAAATATTTATTCTTTCGAGAAAAAAAATAGAAGTAAAGGGGTTTTGAGTGGGTCCTACTTAATTTATGATGTTGTATGTTATGTAGTTGATTAAGTTTGATTTATATTTGTTAAATATATTTTGGTTTAATAATTTTTACCAAAAATAAAAAGGTGTTGATTGTTTTGGGACAGATAAAAATGAAAATAATGTCAATTGTGGTGGGACAAAGAGAGTAGTATTTTATTAGTTAGTGGAAGTTTGTAAGAAGTTAACATTCAACTCTATGTACAAAGTAACTCTATGTATAATGGTATATTTTAAATTTAAGTAAAAATTAAAGATATTTTAATATTAATGTACGATTATTTTACTAAAATATAAAATTAATACTTTTGAGTGAGACGATCGAAAACGGTAACCAAGTAGACCCTAAGGGGCAGACATGTTTACAAAAGAGTTGCAATATCATTCATTGATATTTAAAATTCAATTTAAATAATTTTAATGAGCTCAAAATTTTAAATTTAATCCTAATAATAACTCAACTAAACATGCTCCCAGTTACCATATGTTAGGGAGAGATTAATCTGAAGCGATAATTTGGAAGCCCCTAATTGGGTGAGGGATTCGTGTCATTTAGTTGTTGGATATATATCATTTATATATTGGCATGGGCCCATCATATAAATAATTTAGATCCACTTATTTAAATTATATATTTTAAAAATAAAAAATAAAAAATGTTTGCTAAACAATAATAATACGACCATATCCATATTACACCCACTTGATTCCACGCAACAATAATAATAGTAATATATAAAAATAAAAACATACAAATACTATTATTCTTGACAATTTCCTCTACTTCTAAATAAATGCACATAAAATAAACATTAAGCAAACACACTATTCGTGTTTTCAAGAATAATTTTTATATTTTATTTTTATTTTTATTCAAAATATTTTCTTCGAATCATATTATATACTCAACATTTATTTATTTATAGCACACGTGTCTTTTAATTAAAAATATATAAATATATAATACTTCATTAAAAAGGACAATAAATAAGAGCTTGTTTTTTTTTTTTTTTTTTTTTACTTTTTTTACTATATAATTAAACGTTTTTCAAAAATAAAATATTTAAAAAACATACACTCAATAAAAAATACAAAAAAAAAACACCATATTATTATTATTTATGATTCAGACATTCCAATCAAAAAAGTTGGCCAATATTGATGATTTTGCATTGTAATTCAACCAACTCAATGGCTCGATATATATTTAATTAGTGGGAAGGGTTCTTTTTGTAAAAAACATATTTTTTTAAAAAATATATATATTTTCAAGAAATACTTAAAAAATTAGCATTTAAATTTAATATATATATCTTTGAGCAAAAATATTTGGTCCAATTTAATATCATAATTATCAATTTTAGTTTCATTCAAAAAAGTTTATCAATTTTTGTCTCAGATGAAAATTTTTTATCAATTTTAGTCCCAAGATAGTTGACTGGAACTGAACACGACCGTGTTGGCTTGAACATGACCATGTTGGATGACTCGGAAGGTGACTAGGCGTCCCAAACAACCAACACGCACGGCCGTGTTGATTACCCTGCACTTCTGAACACGGCCGTGTTCCTGCCGTGTTCTGAACACAGCCATGTTCCTGCTCATGTTCTCAACACAATTATGTTCTAGGTCATGTTCCTATCCATGTTCTCAACACAGCCATGTTCTAGGTCATGTTCACGACCATATTTTCAATATAACCATATTGTAGGTTATATTTATTATTATTTTCACTTTTTTGTTAAAATTATTTGATATATATTTTTATAATTCAACAAAAAAAAAATTTACAATTATTTCATAATATAAAAAATTAATCAATTTTTAATATTTTTAAAATATATAAAAACAATAATATATTAATATATATTTTTAATAATATTTCATCCGTCCTGCTTGTCATGTCCATATTATCATTTATGTCCGTCCCACATCCCATGTGACTTTCATTTTTTAGAAAATAATTACACACTATATTTTAATTTATTTTTTTTAAATTTTAATTAAACCAGTGAGTTATATTAATCTTAATTCATAATTATTTATATTATATGATAATTATTTTCATTAATACATTTTTAATTATCTACTAATTATACTTATCATAAATTCTCGTGTCTACAGTAACCCAGATATCCAATGTAGGACGGATAGCGTATTATTTTAAAATATTATTTAGAATAATAAATTTAATTTATAATTTCTAGAAATAATTAATTTAAAATAATATTTTAAAATTTTTACTATAAATTTTTAAAAAATATATATAGTGATGATTATTAAAAAATATATATATTAATATATTACTCTCTTGGTCCACTTATAATGTTTACATATTTATATTTTGGGACGTCCAATTACAAAGTTGGGATGTCCAATTACAAATTTAACATTTCATTTAATAGCCAACTTTTTTTCCACAAATACCGTTACTTTATATCACATCATTACTTTTACACAAACAAGTAAGGGCAACAATGTCATTACACTACTTTTAACTACCAAAAGTAAATGTAAACATTGTAAGTGGACGGAGGAAGTATTATTTTTATATATTTTTAAATATTAAAAATTAATTATTTTTTATATTATGAAATAATTGTAAAAAATATTTTTGTTGAATTATCAATATATATCAAATAATTTTAACCAAAATAATAAATATGACCTACAATATGATTATATTGAAAACATGGTCGTGAACATGACATAGAACATGGCTGTGTTGAGAACAATGGGTAAGAACATGACCTAGAACATAGTTGTGTTGAGAACATAAGGAACATGGCCGTATGTGTTGGCTGTCTGGGACGCCCAATTACCTTCTGAGTCATCCAACACGGTCGTGTTCAAGTCAACACTGTCGTATTCATTCCCAGTCAACAATTTTGGAACTAAAATTGATAAATTTTTATTTGAGTGAAATCAAAATTGAAAATTGTTTTTAAATGAGACCAAAATTGATAATTATGATATTGAATGAGACCAAAAATAATTCTTACTCTATATATTTTTTAAAAAATAGCGAATAATTGGAAAATCAATTTTAAATTAATAGAATACAAACAATTTTCTTTTTTCAATTTATACTTTCATTAAAATGCAAATATATTATTTTTTAAAAAAAATAAAAAATCAATTACACATAATTTAATTAATAATTAAATATTTTTTAAATATTATGTTTACAATGATTGATGGGTTTCAGTAATTATAGGATCAAGTGGTGGAGTATTAGTATTATTATAGTGTTTAAAAAGTTTTGATATAAAATAATGGGAGTACACTAGACAACATGCATGTAAAGTAGAGGATATTATACTTGCTACTATTCATTTTTGTAATTTATTTTAAATAAATAAAAGGGAATATAATAATTATACTACTAATATTTAATAGGTAGTTGAATTGTTTATTCACATGAATAATGAGGAATTTTGTAAATAACTAAGCTGAATATTGAAGTGACATGTTTGGTGGCAACGTCAAAACCGAAACCAATGCGAAAAGCAAAATCAGAATGGTCGCCCACGCGCACCGCTTTCCGGTGCCAGTCACGCGCATACCGTACATTTACACACTGATTTTATTATTATGCGGTAAAAATAATATACTAGTATTTAGTAAGAATAAAACTATAAAATAAAAATAAAAATAAGCATAGAAGGAAGTCATGGAATGTGGCCACTGTCACAGCCAATGAAAAGAGCACACGTGTACCACCAAGTAGAACTACCTGAGCCCTACCACAAAGATAATCCATCCATAAAATCAGCACTTTGCCAAACTTTCATTTCCCAACATTAAAATTAAAAAGAAAGAAGCCCTCTTTCTAATTCCTTTATTTTGTTTGAAATAAATTAAATAGAAAAGAAAACCCAATAGCCACTCCATTGAAGTTTTAATAACACATGTAACTTTACAAAAACAAAAAGGAAAATTGAATTTAATGTTACATTGATTTTTCTAAAATAAAATGATGGTTTGAGTTTGGCATTTTGAACTGAATTTCATAAATAATAGTATTATATTTTTTAATATATAAATTTTATTAATAAAATATTATTTTTATATAAAAATTCATATATATATACTAGTTGTAACAAGCTTGAGTTTGAGTTCCTCGTATTGAGTCGAACTTGATTAAAGAACTACCTGATTAAATTACCAGCCTTGTTCTTTTTAATTTTTTTCATATATTTTTTTAAAATAATTAATGCACTACACATTCATTATATACAATTTTTTATATTTTACGGTAATGTCGGGTAACAAGCAACCCCAACTCTACACCCAATTGAACCTTAATAACAAAACACTTAACAAAAAAAGTGAAATAAATATATACATTGATTTTGATTTTTTTTCTCCAAAATAAAATTATGTAGTCGCACCAACGTAGAAAATTAAAAATACAGCAAAAATGCAAAATATATATATATATATTAATATTATTAATCGAAATTATTAATAATATTAGAATTAATTTAAGAGCAGAGTAGTCATGTCGGACAAGTGTAGTGTAGTGTTTAACACCAGGCTGACGCGACGGTCAGGATTCGACTCATCCACCCGAAGCACAAGCTTCCAGATTGCTGGCTCACGGTGAATCCCGGGTTGACACGTGTCCCCGAGTTGAGTTTCGCCCGCAGCGATTCCCCCACGACTTGACTCATCGGAATCGCCTCAAACCCGGCCATCCGCATCCTGGCCCGCCACTTCCCCGACACCTCGCATCTCTCCACGCGCTCCCTGCCCTCGCACGCCACCGCGTTCCCCATCCTCCGCCCCACCGCCGCCTCGATCCTCGCCCGCTCCGAGCTCTCCCGCGCCACCGTCGCCTCCAGGGATTCAAATAGAGCGCCGTAGTGCTCGCAGGCCTCACGCACTCGGACCGTCAGAGGGGCGGTGTTGCCGTTCATCTCCTGCTCCACCACCGTCATCACCGCCGGAGATAACTGCTTCACGCTGCGGAGGAGTTCGTCTCTCAGATTCTCCGTCGTCACGCTCTCGTCCGGCAGCCTGTACAATTTGAACGCCAGATTTACGGCTAGGGTTTCGCTCCGATCAATTCCTAAATTCTCGCGGCTCAGTTCGCGAATGTTGAAGTTGACAACGGAGAATTTCAAGCCGACGCCGATTTTTGAGGCGGAGGCTTTCAGAACTTCTCCGACGTTTCTCAGCCTCTCTTCGCTGCCGGCGGAGAGGTCGGAGAAGGTGGTTATCTTCAATGCGGCGGCGCGTGAGTCCCCGGCGGTTTTCCCCGCCAGCGCGTGGAGCAAATGCACGTACTGTCCGCCTTGACCGATATCCAAATCGACGACGTGAATGCTCCGAGATACCTGCTCCGTCGCCTCGAGGATAGCGAGATTGGCCGCCATGAAACCGAGCTTAAAGCACGGCGAAGCATCGTAGAGGTTTTGGATTGAAAGCATGTGTTCTTTACCGTATAGCTCGGAGGCCGCGACGGAATATTCCGTTGAGTTCAGACGCGACTTCAGAGCTGCGACCATGTAAGTCGTGAGCCTCTGCTCCGCCGTGCCTCTCGGATTCGCAATCTGCTGCAGACGCGCGAGGATTTCGGCGGCGATGTCGAATTTTCCTTCGGAAATAGCAGCGGCTGCGTCAACGAAGTGCTGTTTGGTGCAGGTAATCGGAGAAGTTGAAGTGGATGAACATGAGGACGAAGAAGATGAAGTCGGAGATAGAGAAACGCGCCGTCTCGCCGGATCAATCAGATTCTGGATCGTCTCCGACCACTCGCTGTTGGTAACCACCGAAGCTGCTTCCTCATCGTCTCCATCTTCCAGCAGCTCCTTCTCCAGCTCCTGTAACCGATGGCTCATCATTTTCTTCTCCGATTCCTCCCCCAAAACCTCCGAATCCAGGCTCGCGCCGGCATTACCGGCCGTATTTGGCAAGAGAACACCAGCAGACGCATTGTTAACTGCTCTATTTAAATGAGTCAAAGGATGTACCCTGCTTGGCTGAAGAACAGGAAGGCCATACCGCCGGTTACCGGAATTTGAAACCGATGCTATATTCTGCGAAATGAACGGAACCGGCGACAAATCCGCCATAGACAGCGGTGATATAGGAGATTCATGATGGTAATTCGTCCTCGACTTCACGTTCCGGAGATAGAACCCTAATCCTCCTTGTTCACCCTGCTGCTGCTGAAACTCTGCCAACGATCTCTTCCCAATCATTTCCGGCCCCCGGATCTGCACTCCAGCGTCCGGCGCAATTCCCGACAACGGCGATCGAAGAGGAAATTGCTGCTGCGGGTTGAGACTGGTACCGTTACCGCCGGATCTACCGGCGAAAAATCCCGGCACACCACCGGAAAACTCCGACGACATTATCCTCTCAGAAAACAGCCGCGATTTCTGCAGTACGAAGACGAAAACCACGTTCCAACCAAACTGTCAAATCAATTCTCTCCTCGTCGCCACAAATTCGAGAGAAAATTCGAGAAAAGTGGGAACGGAAAGCATGAAGGTTTTCGCATTCGTAAATAATCTGTGTGTTGGTTTATTATTATATCTCTAACCTTCAAACTGTTGCTTTTTCGACAGTGACAGGGAAGGAGCTGTCTCGAATCACAGCCGTCCGATCGGGAACTCTTTGGTCTTTTTGAGGAACTCCAGACGGACTCAACGGTCCAGATTTCGTGGACCAAACCGCCACGCAATCACGCGCCATCCATTGCCGCGTGTGCTCCACGCGTCCCCGAACCCGTCTAAAAGTCGCATTAAGGTAAGCCCTCCGAAATTCAACAATTTGCATTAAAAGCGCTATTACGCAATGTGCACGTTTTTTTAGGCTACGTAGCAGCGTTATTACACACACATAATCGCAATTATTAGTAGTTAATTAGCATTAAATTAGTAATCTGTTTTGATACAGTTAAATACGATTGCTATTAATTAATAATTAATTAATTAAGGTGCGTTTGGTATGATAATTTTAATTTTAAATAAATAACTAATTTAACCAACGAGATCAATAAATTAGCTTTTGGTGATTTTGATATTTTTCTTGTAATTATGATAAGATAGGATAAGATAGACTTCTTAACTAGAAATAAATAAATCATGCACTTAAGTACATATTTAATTAATCCCATCCTCGTATTTCACGTATAGGACGAATTTCATCGACACTATAGCATATATATATATATATATGTATATATATATTTTAAATATATGATATTTTAAATAAATATCAATATTGTTTTTTTTTTGTGTGTGTCTTCATTTTTATTTACTATAACTGTTTTTTGTAATTTATTATATTCAATATATATTTTATACATACTCAATTATTATTTTTACTTCAATAATAATAACACACCCTGTATATTCATCTTTAGCCTGACTTAATGAAACATTTAAATATTAACCCAAAACATAATTATATAACATTACATTAGAATTTTTTTTATCTTTTATTTTAAATGAGATAAATTTCAATATATTTATACTCCCTCCGTCCATAAAATTTTCTCATATATTTTTTTAGTATATTCACTAAATTTATTTAATTAATAATTTTGTCAAAATCAACAAATCAACATCTAATTATTATTTTTCATTAAATATTTATTTACACTAAATATAGCCATTTTTATTAACTCTGTCTTTTTATTCTCTATGATTTTTAAAAATATCTTCAACTATTTTATCAATTTTTCTATAAAAAATATCTTAAATGTTTGTACCAAATAAAATGTTGTAATTTAACCCGGAGGGTGGGAAATTTAAAAAATGATGAAGTGGTGTGGCCATCAAAATCAAGAATTTGGTTAATATTTTGAGGGAAAATGGTAAGTAGAAAAAAGTGGCCAACTTTTAACAAATAATGTGACCCCGGAATTCCATTACATCAAGTGTGTACCACTTCTTCTTCTCTTTTTTAATTACTTTATTTTAGAATACTTTTCATAGGTTACAATTCTTTTTAAAAAACCAATAATATATATATATTAATTGATATGCTAATTTGGTCCCTAGTTTTTTATTACAATTATGAATTATAATGTGTCATAAGTTTATAATTTTACCAAGGGTGCTTCAATCTAAGTCTTCTCAACTTCAAATGAATACTGATTAATGATCATTTCAACATTGGAAGTGTTGGGTGCTTCACTGTGCACCTTTTTCTTTTTTTTTTTTTTTTTTTTTTTTTTTTTTTTTACATTTAAATTTTAAAAATTTTAACTTTAAAAAATATTTTATTTCATAAAATATCACAAGAAATAGAAAGTTTTGGATATGAAATGATGTTAGATGATATAAATTTTTAAAATATACTATAGTATTTATTATTTAATAATAACAATATATAAGTAAATATATTATTTTAAAAAATACAATATATAAATAAAATATTGTTTGTGGAGTTTTGGTTTGAATTAGTAATTTTTTTTAATTTTAGTAGTTGTTTAATGTTATATTTTGAATGTAAAATTAAAATTTAATATAATATAATAAATAAATAAAATTTAATTTAATTTTTTGAAAAAAAAAGAAATAGAATAATAGAAGTGTAAGAGGTAGTCTGGTATGAGAATTGACGCATTAAACTCGATGCCAGATATTGTCTGTCACACATGATTCAGCCGCAAGTTTTCATTTATATTTTGGACTTAGCAATTTTCGGGTTTCTAAATTTGCAAATAAAATTGTAAGTTATATTTCCCTTATAAAATTCGCAGTTAAATTAGTTTTTATTTTAAATATTTGTTGTTAAATATATTATATATATTGATAAAATAAACGAAAAGACAACAAACCTTACCTTCATCACAATCCTACGCCCAAAAAATTATGTTGATGAAGGGTAGTTTGGTAATTTAAGACATGAATTAGGTCAAATGGTGGATGTCAACAACTGGGACAAGGAAACACAACAAATTGCTAGAAACTTTTTATTTAATTGTTCTTTACAGATTTAAATATAAATATAAATATAAATATAGATAATACATGCCACCAAACATTTTCCATTCACTCCATTTAATTTGGTTATATCCAAAATGACGCTATATATAATATATTTATTATTTATTTTAATTATTTTTATCAATTTTTAAAAGTAAAATTTACTTATAATCCTATATTCATAAACTTATCTTAAATGTACAAACATATTTATATATTTCATTTTTTTTTGATAAATTAATTTATTTTTAATTATACATATATATTTTTTATTATTATTATAGTACTAAATTTTTGTTTTTTCATAGAACAATATAATTCATATTAAATATACGTAATTTAATTATATCAAAATCTAATTTACTATCAAACAATATATCATTATTGTCAGCATACCTTCCAACAACTCCTACTTTCTTCCTCTCTATAAACATTGACTACAATTTGGACGTACAATATTATATATATAGATCATATATGCGTGTGAAGTAGCAATAATATTCTATAAAATAAAATAATATATTTTAAAAGCAAACCATCAAATATTGAAAAAAGATAAATTATAAAATAATTAGATTTTGTTAAATTTACTTTTATTGTTGTTTGGAAGGCAGTTCAAAGTATATATACTACTTTTTTTTTTCTTTTTAATTAATGGTTCAAAGTATATACTTAAAAAGTCAGCGAATAGCACAGCACAGTTGATTAGTGGATTTGTTACAATATACAAATATTTAAAAGCTCGATTATCAAACTGTTACTGTTGAATTTTAAAATTATGCAAAATAGTAAAATGTCAAATGCACAGATATTTTATTTATTTACAATTGACTTGTGGTTTTACAACCTAAACCCTCTTAACTCTAAGAAAGGAGGAGTGACTAATAATTTTAAAGTCCATAGTATTTTGAGACTGTTTAATTTAGTTTCTTATAGAAAGAATAAATCATCAGCACTTGAGCACATTCACATTATACAAGTCAAATAATAATCTTAAATAATAAACAAAAGTAAACATGCAATAATTCAATTCTCCTTAATTATTTCCAAGCTTTCCTTCCTCGGAACTGTTTTCCCGACCGCTGTCGTAGTTTCTTCTTCTCTTGCCGAGATTTGGCCCTCTTGGATCTTTTTGCTGCCAGCGGCATCACTTTTTTGCTCTCCTTTTGCCGATTGCTTAGACCACCAGTCTGTCCAACAATATACATACATATAAAGAAAGATTGCAGTTATAATTTTTTTAACGAATACAACATACCTTCTTCTTTTTAAGAGCAGTTCGAGCTTGGTATTTTCCCCTCTCCTCTCTCCCAGCTCTTATCAATTGTAATTTTTCTTCCTTGCTTAATTTCGTCTTTATGTTAGCCTGAAATGTCGACAATTAAAAAAAATGGTGACAGCTGATGGATATGAAAGCAGATCAGATCAGATCACCTCAAGTTTGGCAGCATCGACTCTTCTGGAGCTAAGTTGATCTGAGCTTGGAATCTTGAAACCATGATGCGTTAATGCAGCCCTAGCCTCCTTCTTAGCCTAAGATGATGATGATAATAATAATTATATTAACAAGACAAAATCAGTAATTATATGGATCGGATCACAACCAACCTTGAGCTCTTTTATTCTTTGGAAGTCCTCGTTAGAAAGGATTCCATCTTCATCGACTACATTTACAGCTGGTCTAGCTAATTTCTTTAGAGCGCGAAGACTTTTACTTGCTGCATTCAGTTGTCCCTCGAAATCAGAATACTTTCTTTTCTTTCCACTTGATTTCTCGCCATTGGCATCAGTATCCTTTGTATTGTTATCATTATCGCTTTCTGGTAATTGGGGCTCAATTTCCTCATCATCATCATCTTCTTCTTCTTCTTCTTCCATGTCACTGTCGCAATTATCGGAATCTTCAGCTTCTTCTTCTTCTTCTTCTTCGCTGTCATCGTCTGTTTCTTGAGCAGAATCGCCAGATTCATAATGTTCAGAGCTTTCATCGCTTCCATCCTCTTCGATGGTAGCATCTTTGTCTTTGTCTTCATCTCCCTCATCATCACTACTTGCATCATCACTTTCATGTTCTAATAACTCGACACCCGGAATACTGCTTGCAACATGTACCTCGCCAAAAGCTTTTGGTCTGGCCTTTGGATCGACAGGCCTCCCCCTGTCCTTCTTGATCAACAGCGATGGACAAACCTCCCTAAATAAGGTAAGAAGTGAACGCGCGGCTGAAGAAACTGCTTTCTCATGTGATTTTTTATACAGGACAAGATCTTGAAGCAAATCTTCAGTCATCAACTGGAGGGAGAAGCAGAAGAAATATAAAGCTCCGGATTTATGGAAAAGAAGTTTAGTAAAACATACTTAAAGGCTACGAGGAACATACCAATGGCATGCGAAGGCATATTTCGCGAACTGCATTTAGTCCGACAGATATGGCCTGTAAAGTAGGTATAAAAATGTTAGTGAAATGCCACTGATAATTATATGTAAGCGCGCATATATGATGGTACCTCAGGACGTGATCGGTCATGTACAAATTGGTTAACAATTTGCTTAAACAATGGTTCGACTGCATCAGGCGGTATCTAACAAAATCAAAATAAAAAAACAAGGATTAACAATGAATATAAAGATTACAAAGAAATATAACAAATCGGCACAAGCTAAAAGAACATTTGAAAACGGTTAAATACCATGTCATGGCAGGCCTGTACAGCCGCTGCGAGTAGGCTTGTGACATCTCGTTGATGTGGCTGTGGATTAATATTTATTATTTTAGCTAAATTAAAAAGGGGAATAGTTCGAGCAATGGTGACATGACATACCTGCACGTATTTCTGGAGGAAAGGGTAGAACTTTAACAAAATCAACTTGTGGAGGCCGATGGTTCTGGCAATAACTTTAAGTATCATCATTTTTACCTACAAATAATACTCTCGTTAACTATTATTAACAGCTGAAACAACGTACAAGACGTAACTAATGCTTGAACATAACACGAAAAAGTCAATCTAAACGGATATTACATAATGTCCAAACGCCCGCCAAGAGAAATGAAAGTGAGATTTACCAACAAATGTTGCATGACCAGTCACATCATTCACAATTACATTCAAATTATCGCAAGAATGAAAATCAAATCCATGATAGTTTTCGAAAGAGGGCCATATCAATAAAGTGGATCTGCATAATCGTGCTTCAAAAATAAACATTAATTACCTCAAACCTCTCATTGCTTCCCGATTGCAAGCGAGAAAACAACTTTTCAACAAAACCCTGAATGAAGAGTTAGAATTTAGATATTTCCATGCTTTTAACAAGAATATGTCAAGAAAAAACAAAAACTATGAAGCAAACCTGAGCATCTTTTAGATGATTTAGTGGTGAACAGTAGTAGTTTGAATTACTTCTCTCAGACGATAGACGTTGTTGCTTCTTCATACTACGAGCAATGCGCTGTAACTTTGCCTTCTTCTTCTTTTTACTTGATGTTGTACCTTTGTTATTTGCCTATATTCAAATATAAATTTTAAACACCGGAAAATCCAGCAAGAATATACCCACGACGACACAGAATACGATCTTCCAATAACAATGCAACCAGAACTTAATTAATAAATCTAATAGACTTATTAACATATATTAACCAATTCAAGATATATAATGCTTCGAAGCTATTCGCGGTTGGATCAAAGCCATCTTTATGCATTCATCCAAAGAAATTATTTGAGATATAATAACAGTTATAAGAGTACATAACAAACCTTGTAGATAGCCTCTTTACTAAGTACTACTTGAGGTTGCTGTATTATTTGGTCATCTTCTTCCTCAGAATCATCATCATCATCCTCAATCTTCTCAAAATCAAGAAGGAATGACAAGGCAGCAACCATAATACTGAAAATTTATTATTAAGAGATCATTGTATGTTTAATAGATACAAATTACATACATATGGAATATAGAGAGAGAGATTACGTTGACGATGAATGGAAGCATGCCGTGCTTATAGCATTTGCTGTCCGGTCATCAAACCACACTTTCCTCCGATAAAGATCACACAATGTAATAAGTGCTCTCTTTGCTTTTGCTTCCTCCTCTTGCTAATACACAAAAAAAAAAGAAATTCTTACATTTTGTGCATAAAACCATAAGCAAATACAAACAAGTTTGGTTGGTTGGTTTGTTTGCAGGATTTAAAGGATTTCTTATATTCCTCCAAAAAATTTCACCAAGAACATGAAATCAAACCCAAATTTTCATTGATTGTATTATAACAAAAAATCAATTTCAAGTTCAAAATATGACATAAACAAACTATTCAAAATCAAAATTTTACTATTGAAAATCCAAACAAACACAAGTAAATCCAATATGTACCTGCAACAATCCAAACATAATATTCTGAAGCCCCTTGTTCTGGGGATCATTCTTATGCTTCTGATTCATCCGTCTAATACTGTGAATAACATGAGAAAAAGCCAATTTCTTCAATTCTCTGTCCCCCATTGTCTGAAAATCCATAAATACAGCAACTGTATCTGCAATATCAATTATCTAAAATACAAGATGTCAAAATCAAGGGCTGGTACGAATTACAATATACAACAGAAAAAAGATATACAAAATCGCTTGCCATTAGTTCACTACTTCAGAAACTCACCTTTCGGTTGATCAAAAGAATCAAAGCTTGCGCTGCGTGCAGTCTGAGACCCGATGGTAAATTCCGTGCAGAAGAAGAATTCAAGAACTCGATTAAATCGTTCGGAAACTGCGCCAATTCTTTACGGTAAAATGGCGTGACCTGGGCTAGAAACGTTATGCGATCGCTCAAATTCTTCGCGACCGTCGTGTCGACGCCGCCAACGCCACTTAGCGATGTGAAATTTAGGGCAGCTTGCTGCTTGAATAGCTCGAGACCAGACTTGAATTGGTTATAAATAAGGCTCAATTCGGAACTATAGCCCTCGGGATCTTGCTTCATTTTGGATTGTAAGGTGGGAAGATTCATCTTCGCGGAGGTCCGTCCAGAAGCGGCTGAGAAATCTATCGTCGCCATGGCCGGCTGCTGCGGCATCCAGAAGCGACTGAACAACTTTCCACGGATTAACAAACGTTTTATTTATAGTTTTGAGGTAGACAATGGAGATTAGAGGTGAATGGGTTTAGGGTTTATTATGCTTCGAATATACTACGTCGATTTTAGGGTGTGGTACCCGCGAGTAATATTTTTATTTTGAACCGGCAATGGCGACTGTGATGAAAAAGGAGGAGGAAAGAAAGATGGAAGAAAGGAAATAACTGGAGAAGAAGAAGATGGGGGAAGAATCTAGTGCGGCGGCGGCTGAGGACTGTGGAGTCGATGTATTAGGGCAAAATTGTGGGTGGGCTTACCCTACAAATCCTACCTAATGCGACGGCGACCGGCGACCTCCGGCGGAAGAAGCTGAGGACGAAAACCAAAAAGAGTGAAAAGAGAGAAGAAAGAGGGGAAGACGAAAGAGGGGAGGGCGGCGGCGAGAGTAGGGTTTGTTTAATTGTGTATTTATTGCTTATTTATATTAGTCATCAAAATTTTAAATTTTTACTATTTAAAACAAAATTTAAATTTCTAAAGAAACCACATTTATTTGTTTATTTAGTGAAATTATTTGAATAAATATATTTTACTTACGTACTTTTTGAGAAAATATGATTTTTTATTAAAAAAACACATTAATAGTGACAAAAGATTGAGTAATTTTTGGAGCAGTGTATATATTTTTTTATTTTATGAACAAATTTAATATAGTTTTATTTAACTATTTATTATTTATACCATATTAATATTAATGTTTCTTTATAATAATGTAAATATTTATTTAAAATAAAATGTATTACTTTATTGGTAATATTTAAACTTTATTGAATAATTTAACGTTTTCTTCCGTAGGACTCACTTTAAAAATATGGAAATATAAAATATATAAAGAACATTCTAAAATTTACTAAATTTTTAAATTAAAAAAATTATATAATATTAATATATATCTGAAAAATAAAAAATTAGATATTTGATTTTATATTTTTAAAGAAAAAAAATTTGATAAATAATGAATCAAGGGTTACATGGACAACAAACCGTTAATATATAGTCTAACAATGTATAACTACAATCAACACATAATTTACACAATACATATAAAATAAAACATACAACACATGTTAACAATCTAATACAAGATGTGTTGTATAAAAGAATAGGATGATCCGCACTTGTCCCTGTTCAATATGAAAAAGAAGTCTTTCATTCAAATAAAATACCAAGTTCATTGACCAGCATTGGAGAGTTCTATTTGGAAAAATGTCAAAATGAGAACTCCATAACAAACACCACCGCAATCTCTTTTTTTTTTCCAAAGGATCTAAGCATGAAAAATGGTAAACTATTTTAAGGCAACTAGTGTCACAGGCATCCATTCAAATTGAGACGAGATTGCGACCTTGTTCTCTCCATTTGTCGTCATCACTTCACTTCCTGATTAGTCGCAAAACATCACCTATTAGATGTAGAGAACCCGTCACCAGGACCTGATCAAGTGAAGAAGAGGTGATGAATGAGATGAGAACCCATGTCATAACTCACAATATACATGTATGACAAATCATAAATGGAAAACTCAAACCAAAACCAAGCAAATCCATGTTCAACATAAGTTCAAGTGCAATATTACCTGAAATCGAATGGATTGGTTGTTCTGTGCTGTCTTCCTGAGCCAATTGATAGCCAAGGGAAGCGACGAGAAGACTGTGCTGTTCTCAGAAATATGAGCTCCTTTCTGGGAATCATCACCCCCAGCTTCATAAATTAAATCTTCATGCTTTCCATCCTTACCTGTATAATTTGGTACATACAGAATTCTGTTCATGTGAATCTTCCAGATACATGTGCTTTGTTTATTCCAAATACATTTTGCATGCTTACTGTTGGTTTCACAAATATATCTAAATACTTTGAGGTGTCCGTAAGTATATGTGAAATTCGAGTTATAGTTTTCAGCATATTTTCTCAATTTTCGTAAAATTGAAAGATTGTTTAAAGATTTTCGAATGGTTGCTAGAATTCTAGATTACCTACACATTCTTTGTCTTCGACTGTCAATAAGTGGAGCATGCGAATAGCCTGAGTTACTAGACGACAAAAGGTAAATAAACAACTATAATAGGATAAAAGCAGGCAATATTACCTTTCTCCCCATTAACGATACTTTCCCATGTTCTTTGAAGAGTCAATTGCCATGACACATCTACCTGAGCATCAGGTAAAGATGAGCTGTCCGTGCCTACTTTGTAATACACTGATGTGTTTGGAACAAATAGTGCCTTCATAAAATGTACCCCTGCAGATGTAACAGCAAAGCATTAAAAATAATGGTTGGTTTATTTTGTAACGAAATAACGGAGCTGGAAGAAACTAATTTGTGATTTTGGTATTTACCATGATTAGCGCATGTACTCACGAGCCGGGGAAGAAGCAACTGAGGGTCTCTCACAGACATACAATTAAACAACAAAACCTGCCATTAAAAAGAAATTTCACTAGTCAAAATCAATGTATCAATAAGAACAATCATTAAACTTAGAATGTTCTCAAATTACAGTTTTTACTTGTATTATATACTTCGTATGCTAATTTTAAGTCGATTAAGGGGTCAGATTGTCTAATGCAAAGTTTATCCTCTATTTGATAAAACTGCAGCATAAAATGGATCGATCAAGGTAAATATGACGGGCAGATTTAGAGAAGTCAATTACCATTCAAAACCATTACTCTTAATAAATACATAAATAAGGAAATCATAGTTGCTTGGCAATTATTACCTGAGTACATATTTTCCTTAATGATCCATTCTGACTTGAATCTTGTAATCCTTTAATGTTATGAACCAGATTCTGCAACGAATTATCTTCGTCTTTTGTTGCAAGGCAAAACCATTTTGCACAGGCATCCATGCTTTCAGGGCTGTGGGCACCATCCAAGTAAACTACTAGATCCCCTTGGGTTTCACTTTCAGGGAACTGATCTCGGACAATTTGAGCACGCCCTTGCAGAGAAGTTGTTACCAGCCCTTTGATAAATTCCTCGGGGAGAGAGATCTTCCCACACCAAGACAGTGACAATTTGGAAAATATTAGAGGCTTATTTATATCAATAATAATAAAGAAGGCTCTGTTGAATAAAAATTACCGGCTGGTTTGGGTAATTGATTCCAGTACGACCATTCTTCTGAAGCCAAGTCGAGCATAATGCAACTGCAAGGCCTGCATTTATGTATTGATGCTCGCCCTCAAGCCCAAGGTGCTGGCCACTTAACAGGCTAGGATCCAATGGAGCAGCTACTTGAAGATTTACCTGCTTAAGAGTACTTATTAGCACTTCCAATCTGTCCATTTAATTCACCTAACAGAGCCTTAGATTTCAAAGTGAACTGTATTTCATCCTACTCAATTCACTTCATGATATCTTTCTAAAATCTATGTCACATAGTACACATCTTTAGGTTCTTAATTTAACATTTGAAGCAAAGTAAAAAAAAAAAAACAACAACAACAAGAAAAAAGTCACCTCACAAAAGCAAGTGCATTGTCAACTGTATCTTAAAAACTCAATTCAATCGAAAGTGCCAAAGTCCCTCCCCTAGGTTGAAGCAGTAATGGTTTGTCAAAGGACCTACAGAGAAGTCAAACTTACATCTAGCTCTGCGGCCTTCTGTTTGAGTACAGACATTGCTTCCTCAGGTTGTGGTGCAGTAAAAGCTGGGATGCCTCTCTAATTGAAGATAATCAAGGGTGAATGAGAGTCGTCCAAAAAAAAAGAAAATAACATTATATAGTTTCGAATTTATTTTTTTTAAAAAAAAGATACAAGTATCATCATACCTTGAAAATCCCAGCTTTCTCCCCAGCAATTTGCCCAAGAGTATTTCCTACCCACAGAAACCATATGAAAACAACATATTTCTATTTCTCTTCTAATATAAGTGAAGTTGGGGCAATTTAACCATAACACACAGATAGGGATTTTAAAAGGGAAAGAGAGAGAGAGAGAGAGAGAGAGAGAGAGAGAGAGAGAGAGAGAGAGAGAGAGAGAAACTATTTTGTTTCCCATTTTCAATATTGAAAAGCATATAAAAAGATAAGGTATAGGTTCATATTCCTAAAACATTAAAGCTATATGCAGCTACATATTAAGGCTTCATGAATCAAAAATATTCTCGCATAACAACACTCTAGCTTATCTATCTGCCACATGAAAATGTTTTAGCTGTCATGTAAGCCATGGCTACATAAGAAGAAAGTTACATTCGATTAGCATTCTATTGGCGCAATTGCTTTCTAACAAGTAGCCAGCATACTTGGGCTTTCCATGGACAGTAAGAAAATTGTTGGATACCTAAACCAAAACAATCAGATATGGCAATTACCTAAATATCATGGAGAGAAAGCACTAACCAAGAATTTCCATGTGGTCATAACCTAGTGAAGCTATACCACAAACCACTGGACTCTCCACCTGAAAGAATATCATCCCTCGTGTCATTAGAGATCCAAAAAACAAGAATACTTCCACAAGTTACAATACCTCAGAGAATATGCATGATTTGAATTTGGAAATAGGTGTGTTTTTTCATATTGCTGCATAGGATACATACCACATTCGTGGAATCAAATTTTCCGCCTAAACCAACTTCTAAGATGGCAACATCCACCTGGATTAAATAATCTAACATTAGATAAGAAAATAGGGGCAGAAAATCACATGCTATAAGGCTTCTGAATACCTGCTCCTCTGCAAATATCTTGAATGCAAGCAAAGAAAGAAAACGGAAATACGTTGGCATTGGTATATCATCTGTAGCTCTTTCCTACATGGAAACAATAATATCACTGAGAATAAAAAAGAAGCACAGTACCAGTGATAAATGAGAGCACTATAGGTGAAACTCAAATTGAAAAATAGGGTTGTTGAAACAAGCAAAGCACGTGCCTTCAATCGATGCCAACACCACCAGAAGTACGCCAAAAACTTCTCTTCAGATATATCAACACTGAAAATATATTAGGGGCGAGGAGTAAAAAGGTCAGTTGATTGCATTTCTTCTATAAATGGAACATCCAAAGACATATCTTACAATAAAAACACATCCAAAAGAGAACATATAATATGGTAAGATGTAGACATTGCAATGTCAGCCTTCCTTAAGCACATACCCATCCAACCTAAATCTTTCTCGAACATCAATAAGGTGAGGAGATGTGAAAAGACCTGTGCGAAACCCACAATTTCGCAGAATAGACTCCGTAAAAGCACATGTTGACCCCTTCATATCCAGTACAGATAAAGATATCCATCAGTAATTTTACATTATTTGAAAAACACCCACACACATATATATGTATACAATCCAAAGATATTAAAGTTGACTCAACACACCATTTTCGCACTATAATCTTTAATGCAATTAACAGTAAAATGTTATTCCCATCATAAACATCATCATTTTTCAAAGTTCATGTAATCCAACCACCATTTTCTAAACTTTCTGAGCTGCTTACCACACAAATCAAATTAATAAATTTACCTTTCCTTTGGTGCCTGCTACATGAATAACCCTCAGCTGTTTTATTGGCTCCTCCAACTCCATAAACTACAATCGAATCGACCAAAAAACGAAAGCAAATCACAGTCGAGGTTAACACACCATCTATCATCAGCACAGTATTACTCCACACAAATACCTTAATATAATCAAACAACACATCAAAGTTATCTCCTTTATTGCTCTTATCAGCACGACTACGCTTCGTAATCAGTGACGACAAAGCCTCCATAGCCTCCTCATAAGAAGCGCCACTAGATTTCCCCAATCCGTTGCCATCTCTTTGAACTAAGCACAAAACCACCAAAGAAACCCGCCCAATCAACATAAACACATATAGATTCCAACTCACAGAATTGCTTCAGCATATTTAGCATCACATATCGTTAAAAAAAAAAAAAAAAAAAAGGAAGCGCAACAACAAACTCGATTCAGCCTCGCCGTGCTTACATTGCGACATTTTTCTTGAGATTCCAAGCCCTTCACGACCTACCACTCAATAGACTATACAGTAAGATTCACAGGCAAATGAGGCCAAAAAAGCACATGTATTCATTGCGTTCGGAAATCGGACCTGAAAAAAATAAAATAAAATCAGACTTGTTGGCGACACAGAGTCGATGCCCAACCGTTTTGAAATCGGACCGGAACCGATTTTTGCACGATTCGGTTTCGATTTCAACCTTCTTCGAACCGCTTCAGCCATATATTATTATTATTATTATTATTATTATTTCATGAACGAAGGAGATTGGTGACGGCGGGTGCACCGTCGTTTAGGGTAAAAGCATACAAAATTGTATCTACAGTACTCCCTCCCTCTCATATATACCAGGTGTAAGTTGCCGTTTATGTCGTCGCTTTTTTTTTTTTTAATTAAATTATTTTAATTTTAATTTATAATTATTTATATTATAAAATAATTATTTTTATTAATATATTTTTAATTATCTATCCTAAAATACTGTTCTAAGGGTAGCAAACATGATTTGTGAGACGAAGGGAGTGAGTAGTTTATTTTATAAAAATAGCACAATTAATCAATTATATTTATATTATTTTATTTTGTTATATATTTATTATAAAAAATAATATTAATAAGTAAGTAGGTTGTTAAATGTATTAATAATGATAAACAAAGAGTTATAAATTAAAATTAATAGAGTTAACATATAATTATAAAATATAAATTATAAAATTTAAAATATAATTATTTTTAAAAATAAAATATAATAAATTATAAAGGATGGAGCAAGTAATAGTAGATGATGAGCTCAGAGAGTCCACGCTACCGCATCAGATCAGGTCAATATTTTCTTATGTTTTTTGGATGGCATGGAGCCGAGGTCGCTACCGAAAGTCGCATTGGATAAATTGTTGGGCATGCCTAATCATTGAATTCCACTCTCTTTTTATTTACCGGTGAATCTTGCTAGTTAAAAAATTAAAATAATACATTTTTTATTAAAAATAAAAAATATTTTTACATGATAAAAAAATAAAAATTTAAGAGAGAAAATATTATAAAATAATTTTGTCTAAAACTATATTTAATTTAAATTATATTGTATTATGATATAATATCTAAATTAACTATTTTCTAAAATTTAGTTTAATTAATTTTTATTACTTCATCATTGAATTTTATTTTCATTTGTTCGGACGCAAATTTTATAATAATAAAAAAATAATTAGTATTTTTTATAGGTAAAAATCTATAAAAGTGATACAATTAATATTTTTCACAACATTCTAAAACTCAAGTATTGATTTGAAGGAAGGCCTTCCGTCAGATTTATCTTATTATTATTTTTAATAAAATCAACAAATTATAATGTAACTATTATCTTCTTTGTATTCTCTTTATTTATTTTTTTAATTACAACAAAACATAACTACTTAACCAATAAAGCAAACATTGTGTTGGGCCGCCAACGGAATTCATGCCAGTCATCACACAGTTGGCCCAATATTTATAGTCCTCAATGCCAAACACGATTCTGAAAGTTAGATTTTTTGTGGGTCATTTTCGCTCTACCCAATTTCCATATTTGATTGTTTCATTTAATTTTGTTTAGAGCTGTTATCCGAGTCCAATTTTAAGGATTCATGTTCATTCGTCAACATTAGCGATTCATTTGTCTCATTTTTTTTAATTTATATATAAATTACAAAGAAAATTTAAAATTATTTTATCTATTTATTTTAAATTGTTGGTTAACCAAACAGGCCTGTCTATGCTACTTATAAAAGTTAAATTCATGTGCTAAGCCACTGTAAATTCCTCATAATTAAAACCTTGAATTGTAAGCAAGTAAAGAGATACAAGAAAAAAGGGGGCAAAATTTAAAACTTACAAAGACAGCTTCAAACAGAGAGAGGGGGCTTTTGGTAACAATCCAACTTCAGGCTTGTCGCCTCAACTCCCCACTGTGATTTCAAGAGGTGGTACTGTGCCTAGGCTGCGGGTTTTTGTTTCTTAGGCATGCGATATCCACCAACGACGCAAGCATGGTCTCGCTCGAATGGCTCGAGAGTGACTTGCTCTGCAGGTTTGAATTGATCTGCCTGCAGCTTCTTCACTTCTTGGGCGAACACAGCCTCAGCAGGAACAGTCGAGTCGATGCAGTTGGCCTGTACAGATTTAACATGTATGGATTTTGAAATTTATAGGCATATTTGGTTACATCTTGAGCGAGGATATTTATTTACGAACCTTGATTGATATGACGAAGTGGCCTCCCGCTTTCAGGAAGTAGGATGCATTCAGAGCTAATATCCTTGCCTGCAATATGTGAGCAACATATGACAAACAAAAATAGAGCGATTCATTCGCCTGAGTAGGTTCCGGGACTTGATAGTTTTTGCCATAGAAACCAAAATACACGTGTGTGTGTGTGTGTGTGTGTTGAAGGGAGGGTATGGTTCGACAGACCAAGTGGAATAATAAAACAGCAAATAGAAAAATAGAAATGGCATCAGGAACTTGGTTTTTGCATCACCCTTGATGTCTTGAAGGGGAATCCAAGAATCTCATCATCTGCTTGCTCTTATGAGAAGCAACAAATAAATCAATTAAAACGAAAAAAGAAAAAGAAAACAAGAAATCTTCAAAATGAGAAAAACAAAATGACCCAAAAAAAAGTGAAAACTCAAAAGTTAAGAGCCAATTTCCAGCAAAAGTAATAGCCCCTCAATAAACTCAATTTGTACTAATGTAAAATGTAGGAACAGCTCAGAATTATGATAATTATTGTAGTTTATTGGAAAGTATAGAAGTGGAAAATGCGGTAGTTGAAAAGAAATCTTCAAAGTTGAAAATCGAACTGAAAAAAAAAAAAAAGGTACCAAAAAATAACTAAAGAGCTAATATTAGGCAACAATAGTAGTCCCTCAATAAAATCAATTTATATTCATGTAGAAGGTAAGAACAGCACAAAAATATGATTAATATTGTAGTATATTGCGAGTAATGAAGTACTGATAAATTAGACATAAGCGTTATAAACAAAATATGTAGAAACCAAACCTGATCGGGTTGAGCAACATCAGAAAAAATAACATCGACCATGCCAACAAGCATTCTATACTTAGCCGGATGCCTTGCATCCTCAATAATCGGAATAACATTGGTGCGCTTCTTCGCCATATTCACCAAGTCTCTACCGCTCCTGTGAGAAAATTCAACAGCATACACCACTCCATCCTGAAATCAATCAATCAAGAAGAAGATGAACCAATGATCCAAATGTCCACACGCTATAGCATATCTTATCAACAAAGAAAACACAACTCACTGGCCCAACAATGTCCGAAACATGAGAAACTGTAGTTCCTGAAGCAGCGCCAAGGTAAAGAACACGAGCACCAGGTTTCTTCATCAAATCAACAGATAGCAGGTAAGATAATTAGGCAATAGTTATAAGCTTATAATAATTCGCATTAAATTTGATGGACTTACAATCCAAATGTTATCAACTCCGCCGAGGACTGCAGCACCCAACTTAGAACGAAACGGATTCCATACTCTGTACTCAACCTTAGTGCCATCTTCATTCTGAAGAAACGAAGGAATTAACTCAAACGATACAACAACAAACGCAAACTCAAACTCCTTTTTGAAACAATGGATTGAACACAATTCAAAGATAGTCAAACCTGCACGGAAATTCTCTTCTCGTTGTAAACAGCATCGCCAGGAACCAGATTTTTGGTGCAAAGCGCATCCTCCTTCCCCTTTGCAATAAAAACACCCTCGTGTCTATGTGGCTCCACAACTACCTTACTTCCACCCTTCATTCCTCCTCTTCCTCCTCTTCCACCACCTCCACCTCTTCCGCCGCCTCTTCCGCCGGCTCCTCTTCCACCGCCTCTTTTCATCCCACCACCTCCTCTCACACCCAATCCTCCCCTACCACCTCGTCCTCCCCTACCTCCATCACCCCTTCCTCCCCTAAATCCACCGCCACCTCGACCTGCAGGAAGCAAACATCAGCACAATCCAACAATTTAAACCTTCATTGTGCTTAGAAATAAAAACGCGGAAAATTAGCTGACCTCTAGCCGGAGCTCTCGCGACCATGGCTGCTTTATTTTTGGTGCAAGGAAACAGCTCCGACTGCTCTAGGGTTTCTGCGAAGGCCGTAGAAGGACATACGACGTATTTATATATGTTGGTGAGCTTCTAGGGTTTATGATATTCAGGACTTTTCAGCCGATGGCAATTTCGCCAACAGTCCCTGAAGTTTACCCATTCTCGAATTTAATCTTTAAAAATATTTTCTTAAATGGACTGCAGGTTTTATCGGGCCTACACATTTGGAATTGGGCCAAATAATTAATTCAGTAATAAATAGGCTACATCAGTTATAAATTTCTGAGGCCCTGAATTTTGTCGCAATAATAAATAATGGACACAAAAATAAATAAATTTAATTTTCTAGCAACCAAATTAATTTATAATCAGATAATAAAATTCTAAGCTGTTAAATTTATTGAACTTAAAAACATTGTATTAATTATTAAAATAAAAATAAAAGATCTACATATACCATAAAACAGAGATTCAAATTAAACACTTTAAATAAACAAATCTAAATTTAAACGAAATAATTAAAATATTTAAATATAAATAAATACAGAATGTGTTATATATAATTTGAATAGTATAGTAATAAACTGAAATATTAGGGATAAACAAGCCGAATACGAGTACAAGTTTTGGCTCGTTATATTTACAAACGAACGAGTTCAAATTTGTTTGCGAACGTTTGATAATACTTATTAAAAAAATCAAATAAATATTTTTATATTTAATAAGAATATATATCTTTTTAAATATTGTATTTCATTATTATTTAAAATTATTAATAAAAAAATTTATAATTATTATTAAATAAATTAAATAAATAAAATAAAACTTATCTTTAACGAATGGAATCAAACCAAATGCAAACATAAAAATTGCGAAGCAAACCAAATTCAAAAAAAAAACTTAACTATTAAAAATTTAATTTTACATTCAAAATATCAAATCAATACTTATTTATATCACATTATTTCTATTCAAATTTGTTATTATTCAAATATCAACCTAAAACACAAAACTTCAAACAAACACACCCCTGATAAATATAAATGCATGTGTGTGTTTGAATGAATAGGAGAAAATGAAGATCTTAAAAAATGAAGAGCAGGCAAGGAGGAGCAGCAAAGTTCAACATGTGGGGTGCTGGAGATGCTTTAGTCTGATGGGTCCCACAAAGCCACCCCATAATATGGTCAGTTTATGAAATGACCATTGGGCCCACAATTTGATGGCCCCCTCTTTCTTCACTTTTCTTTATTTATATATATATAATAATATAAATTATGTTCTTTTTATTATTATTATTATATTAATAATAATGATGGGCCTAAAAGTTATCATCATTGTGAAGAAAATTTTAAAGCAAAATAATAATCCTCATAGTCATTATTAAAGATAAAAAGGTAAAATAAAAAGTTACATGTTACATAAAAAAGGTCATAGTTAGTTAGTAGTGATTTGCAAAAAGAAAGTGAAGGCCATGAAAGCTATGTAAAAAGGAAGTAAACTTCATGACATTTATGTTTTTCATTTTTATATTATTTTTGCAATTTTTTGATATGAATAATATATCTTTACAATTTAATATATTCATGACCATTTAATATAAATAATTTAAAAAAAAAAACAAAAAATAAAAAATATTTACTGTCATTTCCTTTAATAAATTATTATTTAAGGATGATTTGGTAGGATGAAAATGAACTTACTGTAAAATTATGAATTTAACTTATGACATTTTCAGATCTTGCACACTAAAATTCCATCAATAAATTACTTTTATTTTTTACACTTCAATTCTCACTTTTTTTTGTAAAAATATTATTTTTAAACAAATTATCGTATTGTATTTTAAAAAATCAGCTAAACACACTATAATAATAATAATAACACTGAAGATCGAAAAGTTAAACGGATTCAATATAAAATTACCATCGAATATTATAAAATTAAAAAAAAAAAAAAAGTAATAATAATAATACGGGAATGCGGGCAATAAATCAAAAGGCGGAGGGGGGTTGTGATATCATAATCATCATAATTATGAGAGAATGGGAAAGACAAAGGGCGGCCGTGCAAATTTTGTTATATTAACCCAAACAAATTTCGAGCCATTTGGAAAGTGTCGCTGTCCATCGCACGAGGGCTAGACTCACCCAAGGCTATTTCGGTCTTTTCACCTTCCACGCACGTGCGCCACCGGACAAAATATCATTTCATCCTCCCCTTTATAACCCCTCAATCGATTCGCAATTATTCATCACGCGGACTTCATTTGTCGATTTTGCCCTCGGTCCTACCACCGTTTGCACGTGGAGAAATTTTGACCGTCAGATGCTATTCTGACGGTTGAGATTTCTTGGGGAGTTGAGCTCCGGGAGTTTGTACTGGGAGGCAGCAGTCGTGTCGAATGTGATAAATACAGTCCATCCGCCACGGGTGGGGTTTCTTACAATATCCCGGTTTTTGGAGACCAGATGAATCGCACGGTTTGGATCGTTCTGGAGTTGAGATCCTGGAGCTTCCAAGAATCAAGATTTTTTAGTCTGTGCATTCCCCAGATCCACTCGCGAAACTCCAAAAAGCCCATAAAACCCACACTTTGTAATCGATCTTTACATCGTTAATTGTTTGGACCCCACAGTGGACATTATTACAAAACAACTGCAAGAAAGAGGGAAATAAACCATCTTTATTAACCATTCATTACTTTACTCACAAGAAACGAACGAAACGCCACTGTTGTGTTCATGATGATCAAACAAACAAACCCACAACAATTTTACTTACACCTCCAACCAATTTTATGCTAATTTTAATTTCACATAAATTTTTATAAATTTTGCACAATCAAACAAATTACTATTAATTATGACATGAAATAAAAATATTTTGATTAGTATACAAGTAAATCAATGAGATGAAATTTGTTTAGACATTGAAATAAAAATAAAATAAAATATTTTAATATTAAATAAGTATTTAAAAAAAATAATCATCCTAGTTAAAATTCGATTATACTATAATAAAAATATTTATTTTTAAATACTAAAAAAGTCTTAATTTTATAAAAATATTTAATTTTATGTACTTTAGAGAATAAAAAAATATCAAAACCATAGTAAACAAATGAATTAGTTAATTAATTAAGAGTATCTTTATCTTGTAAAATAATTTTTAAAAATTATATATTTTTTTATATAAAGAATAAAAAATTGTATAAATAATACTCTCCCTGTTCATTTTTTAATATCCTATACATATTTTCAGGCAATCAAAATTTTTATTATAAAATTATAAATTAGCCCTTAATTTTGTGTATATAAAAAAAAGAGTAAATAAAATAAAAACAAAAAAGTAAATTTTATGTATTAAAAAAAATAAAAATTGTTAGACATTCTAAATATAAAAAGTACAACGTTAATTTGTGGAGGGACATAGTATAAAAATAGTAAATACGTGTAATATATGAATTTTTTTTTAAATAAATATATTGATTTACTTTAAAAAAAAAATGCACTCTATATCTTCGTCCCATCTATCATGCCAGTTTCACATGTCATATCACTTTTTTATTTAAATGATTAAGTATCTTAATCTCATTTTATATTTTTTAATTTATTTTTTTAAATTTCAATTAAATCAATTAATTATTTTAATCTATAATGATTTATATTATAAGATTAATTATTTTTACTAATATATTTTTAATTATTTATTAATTATATTTATGTTAAATTTTCGTCTCTATAATAATAAAGACACCCAATATGAGACACTTTAAATTTCAGTCTCTACAGTAATCAAGATGCCGAATGTGAAATGATGGGAGTATTAATATTATTATTATTATTATTATTATTATTATTATCATTATTAAAATATAGTATATTTTTTTGGGATCGTTTATAAAGCCACCGCTTATTGATTTGTTTGTGTTCGTTTGCTTGTGCTGTGCTGTGCTGTGTGTTTAAGGCTCTTCAAGTACGCCATGTGATCTTGCCGAGCGACTTCTCTTCCGCGCCGCTTCGATTGACGTCACTCATAAACGTTTCGACCCGACTTGTCGAACTAACTCACGATGAGCGGCATCCCCAACAGCGTCGACACCGTGAACGCCGCCGCGACGGCGATTGTTACAGCGGAAACCAGGGTTCAACCGTCGTCTACAGTTCAGGCCAGAGTATGTATAATACCTTTTTCCGTATCTGTCTGTTATCGGTGCCTTCTTCGTGAATTGCGTGAGATCGTCATATGTTGTTTCTTATCTCTGCGCTGGTGGTGGTAATTTAAATTATTTTCTTAGATCGGAAGAGATGCAATTTTGTCTGTGCTGTGGGAGGGGTTGATTGTTGTTGCTGGTGTGGCGAAGGGATGGAAATTATTAGAATTCACGGGAAAAGGGGAGCATAGAAAGTGAAGTTACTTTATCTATCTTCAAATTAAACAGTGTTAAGTGCAGCTAGATAGCTCTTGAAATTGAAGTGTTCTTCTGCTTTCGTGTTGCCTTTGTGTTCTAATTTCTGAATTGTGTGTGATTAGGCAAAAACAACAATAGCTAGCTCAAATTAGGATGATTTCATTAGCTACAGGGCAAGCTATGGATGTTTTTAGGGAGTTTTTTTTTATTGGATTTGTTAGCTCTTAGCAATGTGGAGCTGTAATGTCGACCTTGTATTATAAATAGCATTATTTGACGATTGTGTATAGAATTGGATAAATCTTTGTGTAGTTTACAAGATTTGCTGCTAAAGTAGGATGATCTCAAGGAATATACTTAAGAATAAGTCGGAGGATTAGCTGTGGTAAAGGAAATGGCGTAGCATGTCACGGATAGAGCGAGAAATGGTATTCCAAATTTAGTGTTGCTATTGGTGAAGAATTAGCCCTTAGTTCGTTAGTCGTTAACCGTTAGATATGTCGTTGCTCGTACGTGCTGTTTGACAGTTGTGTCTTTTGTTGATATGTAATAGTTGCAGGCTTTGATATGGATATTCTGCAGTCTTTTTGTTATTATGGAAAATCGATGAAATCATTTATTGTGTTTGCTTTTTTGTTTCGGTTTTGACTCCAGAAGAAAAGATGGGGAGGCTGTTGGAACATGTACTGGTGTTTCGGTTCTTACAAGAACAGTAAACGGATCGGCCATGCTGTAATTGCCTCAGAACCGGCTGCACCTGTGGTGGTTGCCCCAAATCTCGATACCCGAAACCCCACTTCGACCGTAGTATTGCCATTCATCGCCCCTCCATCTTCTCCGGCATCTCTCATCCAATCAGATCCTCCATCCGCTGCTCGATCACCTTCTGCCAGTTTACTTTCCCTCACGGCTCTTTCCGCCGATTCTCGCCCTGCAGGATCGACTGCGCCGATTTATACCATCGGTCCTTATGCTAATGAGACGCAAGTAGTTTCGCCGCCGGTATTTTCCACCTTCACAACCGAACCATCGACTGCATCCGTCACTCCGCCTCCAGAATCTGTGCAGCTGATGACTAATCCTCCTTCTCCGGATGTGCCATTTGCTCAGCTTCTATCAACATCGTTAGCTCGAAACCGGAGAAACAACGGGGGCAATCTGAAGTACTCGTTGTCGCAGTATGAGTTTCAACCGTATCAGTACCCGGGAAGCCCGGGTGGGCACAGCAAGTCGCCGGGATCAGTGGTTTCTACTTCTGGAACGTCTTCCCCCTTCCGGGATAAACAACCTGTTGTGGAGTTTCGTGTGGGTGAAGCTCCGAGGTTTCTTGGATATGAGTACTTTCCGAGCTATAAGTGGGGTTCAAGAATCGGGTCTGGATCGTTAACCCCGAATGGCTGTTCGAGGTTAGGCTCGGGAACTCAAACACCGAATGGGGGAGTTTCATGTCTAGGATCGGGAGCTTTGACGCCGAATGGTGGGATTTCCCGGCTAGGTTCTGGAACTGTGACGCCTAATAATGGAGGAGAACAAATCTCCAAAGCCGTGGACCTTCCGAACTCGAAGCATAAAGCCGAGAATAGTGATGCAGTGATGGATGATGATCGTAGAGTTTCCTTTGAACTATTAGGCGAAGACATCCCGATTTGCATCGTGAGGGAGAAGGAACCGATTCTTTCAAATAATACTGTGTCTGGAGCTCCAACTGAACAGAAGGCTGCGCCGATGAGTAATTCAGATATTCATAGAGAAATTTCTGATGGGAAAAAGACAACGGAAGCATCCTCTGAAGGAGAAGGAGATGGAGAGGACTGCCTTCAGAAGAACCGAACAATATCGCTCGGCTCGAGCAAAGATTTCAATTTCAACAATGCAAAAGGAGACATCCCGGAAAAAGCTGGCATCGACTGTGAGTGGTGGACTAGCGACGAAGTTGTAGAAAAGGAAACATCCCCTCGGAGCAGCTGGAGCTTCTTTCCCATGCTGGGATCGGGAGCAAACTGACAAACGGCGCAGCGCCAATTCCAATTTTGGATTCAGAAATCAAATCATCCGTAGAGAAGCACCGCATCGCATCTGATCCATCAGGTATAGTGTTATAGAGATCAAGTTTCCATTCGAATTTTTCTTGTTCGCAAAATCCTAAGGCGTGTAGTGTAGTGTAGTATAAGTATAACAGGGGTCACAGGCTTACAGCATAGTATAATAGATATATGTATATAAATCCTTCCTTGTATTTTGGACCTGTCTTGTGTTGTGTTGTGTAGAGTGGAATGATATAATCTGTGAACAACTTAACTGTTATATACATAGAGAAATAACATAATTCCAGTTATGAACAACCACAGCCACTTTGGTTAATTAGTTAATTTTATTTGTGTATTATTATTTGGCTGTTGCAGCATTTATTTCATTTGTAGATTTTTTTTTTCTACTTTAATTTTTTATTTTTATTTTTTATATGTTTTTCTTTAAATAGTAAAAATCTCGGAGAATATGGTAGTAATAACGTGTATATTTATGTAGTTAGTGAATTGGGCCATTTATTGTGTCTCTATGTGGGCCTAGGCCCATTCATTTGTTAAAGGGCTTCAGCCCACACAAGTCTATGGTTGTCCTCTGCTGTAATTCTCTCAGCTGGTCGGGGGCCATCACACTTCTCTCGTTCCTCGTCTGATTGATTCCCATCACACTTTTCTCACCTACTCGTTCATCTCCGCCTCATGGATTCCTCGTGTCTTTTCTGTACCGCTTCCTCTAATCTTTTACGCAGGTCATGTTATTGTGCTGCTGCATATTGATTTCATCGCGATTACACTAGTACATGAGGATCTGTGAACAGCGCTTGAGGATACCTCTTGTTTTACACTCCTGGTTCGATGTGTTGAAGAATATTGATGGTTGTGCTGCTCTCTTTCACTTTCTGTTAGATTGATTGATTTGTTTGGTACTGTGTTCTGTGTAACCGCTGGACTGTTCCTTAGTGTATTCATGCGTTTCAGTGACCCTTGATATGTTGTTCTCTCGCCTCTCCTATTTTACTGGTTGTTGATTGGAATAATTTTACCTGAGTGTTGGCTAATGCACACTCATCTATATTTCAAAATAGCTGTGTTTCTCCTTTCTTCCTTTTATAACATGGACTATGGTGAACGAAGGATTAGGGTTTAATTCATAGCTGTTTTGTTGAAAACCTAACACCCCAAATTTTGAGTTTATTCCGCAGAATGAATAACCTGTCGTCGTGGGAACCTGGGGAGATGGGGTGAGGAAGAATTCTGGCTTCTATAACAGCTTTTGGTTTTCTTTAGGTTGATCGTTTTTAGGAAACATGGTGAGGCATGGTCATATCTGCGGCGAGAATTAGTGGTCTGGGGGCACTGTTGTAAAGAACAGGGATTAAGTGTTAATTATAGCTGTGCTTGTCTCGTCAATGATCATTGATGTTAGTTTGTTTATTTTGTATGAGATATGAAGATTTATTGGAATTTTTAGGGTTATCTTGTGCAGTGGGGTGAATTTTTATGCAATTTATATATTTAAGTTGATGATTAGGGCCTTAGGCTAGTTTTTGGCAATGTTAATGTTCTGAAGTTATGCACAGTTTGAGACGGGGAAGGAAAATATGGAATAGCTTGTTGAACTGCTTCTTTTAAACCTCTTTTATTGTGTAAAATTCTGTATCGGCTCTATTAGAGACTGCTGGTAAAAAATATGCCTTCAAAAATTTTTTTTTTGTATATATTTCTGCATGTAAAGTGCTGTTTTATTCTATTACTCAAGGATACATCTCTTTATGACCAGGAAAAGTCTAGTATGATCATTTCGTCCACATATAGGTTTCCTATGTACTCATAGATATTTTTGTTGGATATTACGGAAGCAGATCATAAAACAAGTTAGCAAATCCTCTATACATTGCTTCATCAGTGCTGTGTGTGCACACTCAACGTTTATTTGAAGAAGGAAAATGGAGTTAAATATTGCTCGTATTAAAACCATTATAAGACTCCTCGAAATATACAGAGATTCAAGAAATATTCTAGAAACAACGACAATAAATGCAAACGCAAATATCAACGGAACTGTCCGAGCAGTCGATAAACAGTCACTAAACAAATCACTAACTGGTATCAAATGTTATGTTTGAAATGTTCTTGAACAAGTTTAATTTTCATCAAGTTTGCCTTTGATGATAGTATAGTTGTTTTCGGCCTAGACACCTTGAAGCACAACAATGGATACCCTCCTGCAGAACCTCTTTGGTAAAGTTTAAGTGCTGACTGTCTGTGGCTGAACTTAATTTGTGTAGCTCAATAAGTTGTATGAAGCTCTAGCCTACTTAATAAGCTAATCGTATAAGATATTCGTACAATTGGGCTTAAAAATTGTTAGTGACAGCGGTACTAACACAATTCTTTATGGGGTGGAACTGGATAGACCGAAGATGGTATCTCATAAAGTAGGATTTAGAAAATCTGATTTTGATTTGGCGTTTAGACAGAAGTAGGTAATGTTTTAAAGTAGCTAATTGAAATGAATGTGTTCGCCAGTGGGTAACAAATCTCCACTGATTTGACTATACTGTTACAAATAAGATCGAATATTGACTTCAAGTTACTATTATTAACAAGTCAAAGCCAAATTGAAATCCTAATTTCGTTTTATTTAATTACTCTATATGCAACTTTTTTGACTTACATATTCGGCCTTCTGTAACAAGAACTCAAATATCATGGGTTTAGTTTTTCTTTTTTGTTTTTTTTTTAAAAATTCAAATCACTTATATTATTTATTTGATCCTACTATTTTCAATTAAAATATATATTTTTTATTTTAAAATATAATGAATTTGTTTGTTTGTTTGTTTTTATTTCAAATCACTTTCTATATTATTGATAGAAACATTATACTATTTTTTCTCATAAAGTAATAATATTTAAATAAATTTTAAAATTAAAACCATATGCACAGTGTATACATAGAAACTACCAGTAAATGACAAAAACGTTTGGTAAGCAGAGAGGGGCCCCGGCCACCTCATCTTTGAATTTAGTATTTGTGCGTGTAAATTAATTAATTAATTAGTTGACTTACCAAAAGTCTTCCACCGATTGATTCAAAAAATTTATGCGTTCGTGTTCAGGCAATTGCATGCATCATAAAAATAATCCATAAAATTATGAGAATTATACTAATTCGTAGAATCGTGGATTAATGTGACATTTTCCCAATTATTATTGTGATAATGTGGTAAAGAGTATTTATTACTGCAATTTTATGCACTTACTCTAAATTAAATCATTCAAATTTAAAATTATTATTATTATTTTAAAATTTAAAATAGTGATGCTCCATATGACCATTTATGCTTAGAATTATTCCGTTGGTGGCTTGCCATTATATTTTTTAATTTTTTTATACTATTAATTAATAGTATTATATATATATATATAAGATATACATACATTTTCCCCCTAAAACAGTAAATCAAATATAACACTTTATTCTTTTTTAAAAAGTTTTATCCAAATATAGCCTAACAATACACATAGATGCCATAACTCAAATTTATTAAAAATGTATTTTATAATAGTTTATGCTAATGTTATATTTATTTTTTCATACAATTTTCTTACGGTCATGTGGTTTGTATGTCTATTTTATTTTGTTACAAGCACACTCTATTGGTTTGTAATTTAAATTAAATTAAATTATGTATATTTAATTTATACAATTCTTAATAAAAATAAAGTTTCATCTGTCCACCAAGTAAATAAACCACTCATTATGTTTAATAACAAATCGTTAAGGTAATTCAATGTAAAAAAATGGCCATTTTTTGAATCAAAATTATTTCGATTCCAAATATATATATGCTGGATTGGATGAACATCGTATAACATTTAGATTGTAAAAAATTATTATCCTATAACTTCAATTCGATAATTCATTACTATATTATTATTTTAAATACACTTTTCATATAATAAAAATTATAATAATGATAGCGAAAATTGAAGTTGACACGTGCTCGAACATATTTCGCCAATTTTTCATATTTAGAAATGAGTTTCTTGATCATCGTAATCAAATTTTGTTTAGTACAATAACAATAACGGTTTTAAGTATAGAGATTAATAAATTATTTTGTCGGTATGTATCGAAATAAAATTTACCATGTTATATAATAAAATCGCATTAAATATATAATCCAATCTTTACAAAACATAAAATAAAATATGAGCATATTATAACACAATTTTGAATATAAGAAAAATATATTATATATTTTATATTTATTTGCAAGAATGACATAAAATAAATAAAAATAATGGACGCCCCATAATTACTACAACGGATACATTATAGGCATCGGCTTGATATTTAAATTAAATAGCAATTAGGTTACTTCATCTAGTCCCAATTTATTGGCAATAATTAGAAATCTATTTCCAACAAAAAAATAAAATAAAATAAATTATTTCACATATTATTAATTTCAGTAGCAAGTACAACGTTACTAAAAGCAATAAAATTATATACTCCCTATTATTTTATTTTATATATTTTAAAATTATCGTTTTCTATTATTTATTTAATTACCTATACTTTTAATTTTATTTTCATAATTTTTTACTGAAGATTATTTATTTAGAAAATTTTATATTAATATTTAAACAATTAGATGCTCAAAATATATTGCCCAACCACACTGTAGATAGAAAAATTAAAAATTATTATTTTAAAAATAATAAGAGGAAAAATATCTCAACAAAACAGTAAGTAATTAAATTAAATTTCATTTACAATTATTCCACCAAAATTATAATAAATTCGTGTCCTTTCCTTAAATGACAAATATTAATTACAATAATTGTTACTATTATTAAATTCCTTTCACTCGGACAGCGTATTTCACACTTGTTCGCTCCCTCGCTCTCTCTCACGCCTTTCTCTAGAGAAGATCTTCTTCGGTAATCTGAATTGGGGGACACGAACGAGCGCTTGAATTATGGCGGATGGTATGAAGGAGTGGAGATTTTAATGCTTCAGAAATTTTGTTGAAAACCTAACGCCCAAATTTGAGTAGATTCTGCAGAATAAATAGCTTGTCGTTTCGCTCGTGGGGTTCTGGGAGATGAGATGAGATGAGGTGAGGAAGAATTTTGGCTTTTATAACTGCTTTCGGTTTTTTTAGGTTGATCATTCTAGGAAATTTGGTGAGGCAGGGTCAGATCTGTGGGGATAATTAGTGGTCTGGGGGCACTGTAGTGAAGAACAGGGACTACGTGTTATTTATTGCTGTGTTTGTTTCTTCAACGATCAGTGATGTTAGTTTGTTTATTTTGTACGAGATGTTAAGATTGATTGGGATTTTTAGGCTTATCTTGTGCCTGTGGGGTGAATTTTTATGCAATTTATATATTTTTGTTGATGATTATGCTAGTTTTGGCGATGCGAATGTTCTGAAGCTTTGCTTAGTTTGAGATGGGGAAGGAAAATGTTGGTGTAGCTTGTTCAACAGCATCTTTTAAACCTCTTGTTGTTGTGTAAAAGTAGCATCAGCATATGGGGAAGAAATAGAGGAGGCTAAGAGTTTGTAGGTAGGGTTAAGGGATTTTATTGCGTTTGTAGAAACATGCCTTTTTATGTATATATTTCTGTATGTCAAGTGCTGTTTTAAATAACATAAATGGATCGATGATTTATTATTTGGGTGTATGTCTCCAGGTTTTGTGAAGACAGCTGAAGTTCGGGTTCTTGTTTAGCGTTGCTGAAATTGTGTTTATTGAGGTTAGAGCTTCTGAGTTTTGTACTGAAGATTTATGTGATGGAGATGAGGAGAAAGATATAAAATAATACTTTCTACTTATTTTGCAGTTGACTTGTGTTATCAAGACTCTTTGTTTGAATATTATCTGTCCCAGAAATATGCGCTTATGGTGGGGGAAGTCATCTGGGAAAGGGTCAAAAAAGAAAACAGCCAAAGAAAGTTTCATCGACACATTTCATAAGAAGTTTAAGAGTCCGGAGAGTAAATCTTCTGGTAAATCTGGAGGTTCTAGAAGGAGATCAAGCGATGGTGCTACAGAGAAGGAGACTGAGACAAGGACTCCATCACCTTCGAAAAATGTAGTTCGATGCCTAAGTTTTGCAGATAGGTCTCAACCACTTCCTTTGCCTAGCCAGCTCCCTGCTAATGTCAGCTGTACGGACTCCAAAACAAGTGAATCTACGAAAGCAAATCCAGCAAAGGTCTCCAAATCCTCGTCATTCCTTCCCCTACCCAGGCCTTCCTGCATCCGCCAAAAACTGGAACATGCTGATTTGGATGGCGAATTTGCTGTTGCTTTGATTTGTAGTGAATGCTCCATGGAGATTGATGATCCAACTGACTCACATTTGCGTTGTCCTCTTGCTAATGACTATGATAATGGCTGTAGAACTGCCGCTGGCAGCCCGACAAGGTCAGTTGAGGTTTTTTGTGAATAAGTACAGCTGATATTTTCTATTGTCATTTCTTATTTAGATTTAATCACGAATAATATTTAATATATTTCTTACTAATATGAACTATATCTCAACTATCTTATTTGTTTCTTCCTGAAGCTCTCCTGTTGTGGATCGGCACCCTGTTGCACCAGTAATTGCAAGGGAGCCACCAGTTCGAGCGAACCTCCCATTGAATAAAAATGTCTCCTCTTCACCTCCTAGAAGACGGAATTTAAATGATCAAGTACCAATTTTAAAGGTTCCACATCATGGTGCCTTTTATAGTGCTCCAGATAGCTCATTGTCTAGCCCGTCTAGAAGTCCAATGAGAGCCAGTGGCTATGAGCAAGTTGCAAATACTGCATTTACAGCTGGAAGAATTTATTCCGATTTTCCTGTTCTTGGATCTGGGCAATGCTCCAGTCCAGGCTCAGGTCAGACATCTGGCCATAATTCAATGGTAGGAGATATAGCTGCACAATTGCTTTGGCAGCCAAGCAGAGGAAGCCCGGAATATTCTCCCATTCCGAGTCCAAGAATGACAAGTCCTGGCCCTAGTTCCAGAATTCATAGTGGTGCTGTAACGCCTCTTCATCCTCGAGCTGGAGGGGGGCTCTCTGAGTCACAGAGTAATTGGCACGATGATGCAAAACAGCAAAGTCACCGTCTGCCCCTTCCTCTCATAGCTGTTCCCAGCCCCCCATCTTTTTCTCACCAGAATTCTGCAGTGACTTCTCCCTCTGTACCCCGCAGTCCTGGGAGACCTGAGAATGTAGTAAGTCCTGGCCCACGATGGAAAAAGGGGAGATTGCTTGGTCGTGGGACATTTGGACATGTCTATGTCGGTTTTAATAGGTAAGAACTCTGATTAGCACAACTTTTTTCATCTGGTGATATGATTTTTTTGGTTCTCTTTTGACTTGATCGTTCTTGAAGATCATTCCTGATTCTTGTGTGTGATTTTCTGTTGGTATTAGTGAAACTGGCGAAATGTGTGCGATGAAGGAGGTTACGCTCTTTGCGGATGATGCAAAGTCAAAGGAAAGTGCCAAGCAATTAGGACAAGTGAGTCTCATGGCTATTAGATATATGGAGTCATTTTACATGAGATTGAGCAGGCTTTTATTTCTACAAAGTGTTGTTGTGCATGATCATTTTTGCTGTTTTGTCATATAAGTTCTTATCAATAATTTTCTATTTTACAGGAGATTGCACTTTTGAGTTGCTTAAGGCATCCTAATATTGTGCAGTACTATGGATCGGAAATGGTCAGTTCCATCTGGCATTTATTTCTTCTCTATTTTTGGGACAGGATTGAGTGTAAACTTTCTAGATGTCCATTTCCAACTATTGTGGATTAAATACCAATCAGTTGGTTGGATATCTGATAATTGATTTACTACGACCATCGCTGTGCTTATCTCGATACTAGTGTAAAGTATACATATAAAAAAGACTGCAGTAAAGTGATTTGTTTCATAATATCTAATTGAATGCTTTTGACAGCTAACTTTATCTGGAGTGCAAATACTTAATTTCTCAAGCTTAAGTTGATTCAAACAAAAATTTCCTTATCAGGTGGATGATAAATTATATATTTATTTGGAATATGTTTCTGGCGGTTCGATTCATAAAATTCTTCAAGATTATGGAAAGCTGGGGGAATCAGCCATCCGTAGTTACACTCAACAGATTTTGTCGGGGCTTGCCTATTTACATGCTAAACACACTGTGCACAGGTAATTTTGCTACCTTTATTAGGAAGGCTTTTACTATTTACATGAGGTTTATTTATCAGCTCGCAAGCATTTATTACCTTTCACCTGATGGCTTTGTATATATGGCAGGGATATTAAAGGTGCCAACATACTTGTTGACCCGAATGGTCGCGTCAAATTGGCAGATTTTGGGATGGCGAAACATGTTAGTGTGAATTCTCATTTTAAAAGTGATCAATTCATAAAGAACTTTTGGGGAAAATGAGGGTTGAAATCGACGTGCTTTTGAATTTTATTTGTAGTAATTGTCTATGGTTTTACAGATTACGGCGCAAAATTGTCCATTATCATTTAAAGGCAGTCCGTACTGGATGGCCCCTGAGGTTAGTTGCTTGTTCTTATTATTTCTTTGAATCCGGTGACCCCTATGTCTGCTACCTACCCACAGAATATCATTATCTTTGCTGCACACTAGGTTATATGGAATTCAAATGGATATAGCTTAGCCGTTGATATATGGAGCCTTGGATGCACTGTTCTAGAAATGGCAACAGCAAGCCCGCCTTGGAGCCAATACGAAGGGGTTTGTATTTATCTTTTCTTGTGTATTATACGTTTTTTTTTTCTTCCCAGTTAAAGGTCTATTTATTACTCACAGTCCCTTCCCATGTTGGTGGATAATATTTTGATTTTGGCCTACAGGTTGCCGCTGTGTTCAAAATTGGAAATAGTAAAGAGATGCCAACAATTCCAGATTATCTCTCCGAAGAAGGGAAGGAATTTGTGAGGCTGTGCTTGCAGCGGAATCCCTTGCATCGTCCTACAGCTGTTCAGCTTTTGGAGCACGCTTTTGTGAAGAATGCTGCACCTCTGGAAAAGAACATACTTAGTCCAGCTTCCTCAGATTATCCTGTCCTAGTAAACCCGGTGAATCCAAGGGTATCACTTTACCACTATCTTATATATTTTCTTGGGTTATTAAATTGGTGCTCTCTTGACTCTATGTTCATCCCTTACAGTTTTTGTTTTTCTGGATAATTATGTGGTTTGTTGTCCTAAGGTGAAAATTTTCAATTATTTTGCTCAATGAGTCCTATAGATTTTTTGGAGCATGTTGTAAAAGTGAAAGAATGAGGTACATAAATTTAGTGACATATCTATCAAATGGCCTGCAAAAAAATTGTTTCCTTGGGAGAAATGAACCGAATTCTATTGATGTGCTATTTTTTGCTGGTTGGCATTTGATATAATACTTAAGCCTTCGAGGGGGTGAGATATCTGACAGGTTTGTTGAACATAGTTAAATTTCCCAGGCTCATGTGCATACCATGGCTGTTTTAAACTCTCGACTAATTTGTAGAGGACTGATCTGAAAATAATAATATACTAACCTTTTGTTTTTAAGGATTAGTCTTCAGCTCCCTAATATACTAACCTTTTGTTTTTAAGGATTAGTCTTCAGCTCCCCTGGTGACACATGGTTAGGAATTTATCTAATGGTATATTGATACCATTCCAGCCATTAGTGTGTGCTGATTTATTTGTTCTTACTTTTGACATTTGACATGGAATTCTTCATATAGACTTGTGACATAGAAGTTTGAAACATTTTCTTGCTGCATATTAGCTGCTCAATAGAAGTGCTGCAAATTATTTGACACATCTGGGAATAATTTTACGATTCCATATATCACTCTTTGCATATAGAGCTTTGTTAATCAAGTTTATTAATTTTCTATGCATTGTTTGTAGGGCATCGGTAACATGAGATCTCTTCAGCAGCCGGACATGGAGAGACTTGCGATCCACTCGTCAAGGATGTCTCAATCAAATTTTCATCCGAGGTTCCTCTCTCTCTCTCTCTCTATATATATATATATATATCTTTCTCTATTATGAAACTATTGTGATGTTGGGCTTACTTAATTTCCCCACAATCCAGTGACATTTACATCCCGAGGAACATATCGTGCCCCGTTTCCCCAATTGGGAGTCCTCTGCTGCATCCAAGATCGCCTCAAAACGTAAGTGGGAGAATGACTCCTTCCCCCATATCAAGCCCCCGGACAACATCTGGCTCGTCCACACCTCTAACCAACGGCATCGGCGCTCCTACTTCATTTCATCTTCAATCCATGTCGTTGCACGATGGTTTCGGGAATTTACAAATTCGCCCGCCCAATCCCCCTTACTGGGACCCCGACCTTCTCCGAGGATCCCATTCCCCCGTCGGGGATCCTATGCCGGATGTTCTAGAATATGATGGAGACCGAATGGTGAAGACAAGGAATGGTGTTCCCGGAACTTCTCTGCCAAGGCGACTGCCGTATGCCGCACTACCAAAATTGAGACGGCCGACAAACCAGTAACCCGGACAAACCAGTAACCCGGCTGCGACGGAGAGACGACCCGGAAATGGAACTGTGAGGCTGGTAGGTAATGAATTAACTATGGTTCTGAGATCTTAACTGACTTAACAGGCTAGTGAAAGTTGTTTTTTTTAGCATTGAGGAGGCAATGTATAGTGATTAGCTAAATCTCTGGCCTCAGAAGAAAATGTATATTCACATTTTTGGAACAGATGGGGAGGAGGAAGAAGAAGGAATGACAGAGCAATCAGTCAGTTTAATGAATAAGAAAAAAAGCAAACAGTTTTTGGCACCAAGGCAGACAGTACTAGTGTGTCTGTGTATTCAAATTGGAAGTTTTTGGTGATGTACAGAGAAGAATCATATTAGAAAAATAATTTATTATATTATATTAATTAAATAAATAGATATTTGTACTAGTATTTTTTTGTGGTCAAATCCAGGCTAAAATCCCAGAGCTTCTTGGCCAGGTCCCTGTCTGAAGCCTTGTCACTTGCTCTTGCAATATTGTTGTCTGAAAAATACTCACCACTAACCCCTTTTAAATCTGGGTGCAGTGCCACATAACATGTTGTCGAAGCCCCCTTTTCATCGTCACCAAAAAAAAAATAATTTAAAAAAGTCGATCATTCAAAAAGATTTGTTGTGATCAAATAAGGTCTTACTCGTTCAGCATTCTTGATCAGCAGTGTACTACTAAGTTTACTGGCAAAACCTGCATCAATAGTAGTTAAGGAGCTTTTGAAAATGGCCAAGAAGTTTCAAGCATCGACGACGACGACGACGACGACGAGAATATAGCGTAGCTGGGCACCTGTGAAAGGGCCGAGGCTTCCGAGATGACGGAAAAGATTGGTTGCGACGACCCCGGGGTGAAGAGAGTTTGCAGTTATGTCTGCGCCGTCTTCCTGTTCAAGAGTTGGTCGATTACAAGTGTCGAAGATTCCCTAACAACATAGTGTCTGTGTGTACCTTTAAACGTCTCGACAGCTCGTTAGCGTGCAGCACGTTTGCCAGTTTCGACTGCCCGTATGCACCCCACCTCTTGTATCTGCTTCATGTCAAGAAATTTAGGGATGTGGGATGGATGTCGATTTGACTAATGGCGCGGAAATGATGTGTATATACCCTTTTTGGTCGTTGAGTCGGTTAAATCGAATCCCTTCTTTGTAAGCAACGCGGTGAGCCTCGGAGGAGACGTTTACGATTCTCCCCTCCCTTTTTGTTTCGCGGGATGTTTTCTTCATCGTGTCGAGCAGCAAGTTTGTTAAAAGAAAATGACCTGGTGATAGAGATTATATATATATAGAGGGTAGTCAGAACAATGCTAATATCATGTAAATTATATAACATATAAAAAGACAATACAAGATGTACATTAATGTAATATTAAATTTGGCATATTGTCCACGAACTATATATAATACAATTATCTCACAACACATATGCTGATAATTTATATAAAACGTGTTGTATATACGGTTAATATACTGTTAAATTAGATTTTATGCTTAGAATAAAGTTAATCAACACTAAACTAGCTCTAATAAGAATTCTAACAATTCCCATTTATTTCTGTCTAATGCATTATTCGATTCTAAAAAAACATCGTACCCAAGTGGTTCGTGGCGAATTGCAACTCTATGTTGTCTTTCGACAGCTGGAACGGCGTCGCCATTATTCCTGCATTGTTACTGAAACTCCAATTTTTATTTTTTATTTTTTAAAAATAAAAATAATGCATTTAGCTTACATCAAAAGGTTGAGCCGGCGACCGGACGAAACAAATTCGGACGCGAATTTCCTAACGGATTGGAGCGAGCTGAGGTCTAATTCCAAGGCATCCACTTTGGCATTCGGGATCTGCTTAACTATGCCTTTCTTAACTTCCTCGGCAACGGCCACATTCCTAACGCCCATCACCACGCTTGCGCCGCGCATTGCAAGAACACGCGCCGTCTCGGCACCGATGCCGCTCGACGCACCTGAATACAATATTATAAATATATATTTGCATCATCGATCATGTAATAAGAAATTAAGATGTTATAGTAATTCAGGACACTACTGTCCGAACCTGTTACAATGGCGGTTAGGCCGGAGGCGTCGATGCCGGCGGTGACCTGCTCGGCCGTGGAGGCCGACGAGAAGCCGGAGCCGCCGTGTCTTTTGAATAGCCACCACATATTGGCCGCTCCACCAGGCTCTCTTGTTTGCTTGTCTTTGGACGGACTAGAAGAGGATAAGATTTTGCCCCTGTTTGGAATGGTTGAGGTATTGGGAGGACGACACAACATCACGTGCTTAGCACATGACCTGAGCTTTGTAAGAACACCGACACGGCACGGCACGGCACGTACGTACTCTGGAGATGGGAGTGAATTGGTGAACGACAGTTGGCAAGAATTTCACCAATTTCTGACCAAATTTGTCTGTGCAAGTTTGAATTTGTTTACTGTTTGTGTTTTTTTTTTAAAAAAATTACATCATTCGTCAAAGCTGTCTTCATCAGATGTACATGTCGTTAATTTGTATTCAGAGATTCAATCTTGGAACAAAAGTAATTATTATTAATTCAAGAACCCTTGAATTTGGAGTAATACAATTTGCAGGTTTTGGGGAGATAAAACGGCAGCAGAAATCCAAACAAATTGAAGCTCCAAAGGGCAAAATTTACGACGGCGAGACCTCTGCCGGCGTAGATTCTCCGGCCGGTGCCGTCTTTGGAGAATTCGACGGCGAGCCACTCCAAAATGGTCGGAATCCGTACGGAATTGTAGAAAACCGGCACGAAGGCGCGGACCGGCAACGAGAAACCGCTGACGTACGACGCGCCTTCCATGAAGACCTGAGCGGAAAGCAGGAACAGGTGAGGGACAGCCGCCGTGATCCCGTCCTTGTCGCCGGAAATTATGCCGTCAAGGATGTACGCTGTGGGGAGGTACAGTCCGACGACGGCGGCGGCGAAGATGTAGGGGCCGAGGACTTTGTTTTTGCTCCGGCTGTACACCAGCGGCGGCGCGCCGGAGGACTCCGGCGGGAAGGCGACTTTGGAGAGGAAGTGGAGGTAAACGATCGGGAAGACCGCGACGGCGATGTAGCCGGCGGAGACCATGCCGGTGGCGCCGAGGATGGTCGCGACGGCGAGGGTGTTGTAGTGGCGGAGGGAGAGGGAAGGCCGCGGCGGCGGAGTTGGGGATGGGGCGGAGGTAGAGATGTCGCCCGGTGGCGCGACGTCGGCGGACATTTTTGTTAGGGTTTCGCGGCGGCGGCGGCGGTGTGAACTGTGAAGTGAGTGATTCTTCGATAAAAGAAGTGAAGGATGAGGAGGTTAAGGTGTTGGTGAGGTACACGTGGCAGATATCGAGGAGCATGCGCCTTTGACACGTGTCGTGCGCGAGAAGCTTCTGGATGATTTCGACGGACAGTGATGGAACTCTTTCAAGAGTGACTTCAGTACACAAATAATTTGTTAATCATAGTATTAATTCCATATCATCTAATTTAATTTAATTTAATTTAATTATTTTAGGTGGCAAGCATGGCAGCTCTTTCTACAAGTGCCGTAGTAATCAGGGGAGCCGATCATGAAAACAGGGTTCCTTTGGCACTCACCAATGGCAGCCCAGTGAGGGCAGTTCTCATCTTCATCTGTGCAACCTGCAGCAGAATCTTCGCCCCTCTCGCCGGCGCCGGAGACTACTCTGTGCAGGTAAAATAGCTTGGCGGCGCACCATAGATCGCCGCCGCCGGGAACAAGGACGGGGCATCGGGCGTGGGAGCTGCTCGTATCCGGCGCGGCATTCAGGTGTAGGTTAAAGAACACGACGGCATTTCCCTTTTCCTGTTTCAAACTGCTCGCGCAATCGGACAGGATCTTGTTCTACAATAAGTATCGAATTAGCGCGCAGTCGGACAAGATCTTGTAATAAATAGGAAGAAGATTACGAGGTTCTTACGTTTGAATGGGGGAAAATGATCTGCCCGCCGTGATTTACATCCGAGAGATACAAAATAACCGTTGCCAATATTGGTTCATCGACAGATTTTCCATTGAAGTAGTTGTACAAATGCTCGAAGTCTCCGGACCCGAAGTGCAGAATCTGCAAAGACAAGCTGTTCTCTGCAAAGCAATAAGTTACAGAATTGTATAACAGGCAGAGGATGAATTCTTGGAGTGTTAAGGGTCGGATAATCGATGTATTATCTGTACCTTTGGGAAGGAAAGTCCAGGCAGAAATTCTTTCTTCGATCATTCTAATGACTTCATCCTGCGGACAGCACATTGTATCATTGGAATCACTGATCTAAATTTGTATTCAATCGATAACTAAATTGCCTTCATCTTGCAAGATTGCATTTGTGGGATGTTCGAGAAAAAGTTTTGAAGTCCAAAATAATGTAAGTTAAGAAATATGCACAAATGGATCACATTTAACTAAATTTGGGAAGAGGAGAAACTTACATCTGCATCGAGAGAAACATTAAAATTAGTCGGAATTCTGCTCATGCCTATACTTTGTGAGTCATTGCCCCATCCTGTGTGGCTTTTCTTGGCATGAACCTAAAGTTCCTAAAATTGATTCAGCATAATATCGGACCAAAATGTGCAAGCTTTAAAACAAGTATCAGAGAAAGATATACCTGAGAAATAAGGTAATCACACTCCTCATTCGACAGGAAGTCTCTATACAAGAAGACCCTGTTGTCCTAAGAGGAAAAATGTCAATTCTCATAGTTGTGTATCTCATTAGACACAGAGCATAAAAGATGTAAGACATTCACTGCTTTTTTTCTAATTACCTGACCTTGGTTGCCATGAGAGTTGCACTACTTTTGATGGATCAGCCCTCTTATACTTCACCGAATGGCCAAGTTGAATAATTTTGTCTTGGTTTGTCTCTTTAGTTCTCAATTCCTTTAGGTTGCTGAAATGACAGACTTGCGGATTAAACTCATTACAGTATAAGGCTATTCTATTCTATTCTATTCAATTCAGTATAGATACAGATCTTATCGAATGATACAGTCAATAGCCAAGCAAGCTCCAGCAATGGAGGCAGAAATCGTTCATTCAACTTGGGAGAAATAATTTAGTTTTAATTAAATTCTAACAACGTACTTCCGATTGCAAGCTCTAATTATGAATATGATCAAAATACGCAGCCTCCGATTTCATGACTAGTTTTTTCTCCAGCTACATCAATCAATCAAATACGATACCATAAATATAATTAAGAATTCTATTAATTAACATTTACTCAAAAAACCGGTACACACACTCAAATGTCAAAAAAAGGAAGAAAATTTGATAACTCCAGATCTATAAAAATAACCTAGTATACTATCTAATACAATCACGTGATTTCAATCAAAATCTTGAGATTAGTTAAACATTTTCCTTACTTCTCCGAGCAAGAGACACGGAAGGTAATTGCCAGCAAAATTATATGCAGAACTTCAACATTCGACGCCATGAATTGCTCCGGCGACGGCCAGGGAAAACACTGGAAATTGAGCTGCAAATTCCTCAAAAGCTACCTTCGCGATTTTCTCTGCTACTTCAGGCGTAGTCGCTTCCGATCAAATTTCTGCCATCGCTTTGCTTAGCGTAAGAACCCTCGGAATTCTCAAGATTCGGAGTTCAAATGCAAAATTTATTTGCAAAAGCTTATTGGGTCTTACGGTTCGACCCATTAATTGTAAAAAGGTTCAATTTTACGAAGCCCAATATAGGGTATGTCCCATTAATTAGCCCAATAATTATAAATTTCTCCGGCCCAATATTCAGCCCAATTTAAACTTTTTTTTCAGCTTGATATAAATACGTAGTTGCAAACCCTAAACCTAGTTTGTTCGTTGGATCGCCCGGCAGCGCTTCGTTCAGAGATCGGGAGAAAGGTCAGTCCGAGATGTGTTTCTATGGTTATGTTTCCGTAAATTCTTTGCATTTATTGCCACCATTTGTAGGATGTTTGAGATTTTGCACTCTGAATAATACTTGTGGATTGGAAAGTTTGATTGGCATCGGAGTTTCGACAACTCGTGAGTTATTGTATTCTAAGCTGAAAGTTTTGGTTTGGGTTAGGTAATGGCTCCGAAGCAGCCGAACAGCGGACTTTTCGTGGGATTGAAGAAAGGGCATGTCGTCACGCCCAAGGAATTAGCACCGCGTCCATCGGATAGGAAAGGGGTAAGTACCTTACACTGTTCGTTGGTTAGTTCCGTTTCTTTACATGTACGAGTTGTTAAATTTTTAATGCAACAGATGAAAAGACTGGTTGATTTGATGAACTATGTTATCCCCTTTGGATTTAAATTTGTGGTATGGCATTGTTCAATGACTATTCATAACTCAGTGGCTTCAGTATTTGTTTTCTGTGTGAAAAATTAAATATGTATCGTAGGAAGCCTTTGGCACACTCAGTAGGAGTTGTTAATTAACATATTCTTGTGACCTTATGTTTTAATTGTTACCGTGTGGATCAATATTCCAGAATGATTTCGAATACCTTGAAATGATAGGAATGTATCCATAGCTGTTTGTAGTAGCTTGATGCTCCAGCAGTGCCGATTTTGGGCAACTTAGACTATCTTTCAGTTTGGTTCTCTATTAAATTCATTGATTGTGTGCCTTAACATGTATGTTCTTTTCTTATTTAAACTAAAGTTGAATATTATTTGTATTATTAAATTTGTTCATGATTGATTCTGGTAAATAATTAATAGTATGAATGCCCTCCAAAAGTTCAAGCGGCCATGCCACCCACCCACTGATTACTGTCCGCATCCATACAGCTTGAAATCCCTTTATGTTTTTATTTCTGTTTACTTTTTCCCACCTGATCAATTTGTTAAATTATCCAGAAAACCAGCAAGAGAGTGCATTTTGTGAGGGGTCTCATCAGAGAAGTTGCTGGATTTGCTCCTTACGAGAAGAGGATCACTGAGCTTCTCAAAGTTGGGAAGGACAAGCGTGCCCTTAAGGTTGCCAAGAGAAAGCTGGGCACCCACAAGAGGGCAAAGAAGAAGAGAGAAGAAATGTCTAGTGCTCTCCGAAAGATGAGGTAATTAATTTACCTTAACCCATATTTGCCTCGATATAATTCTTCTGCAATATTAAATCTTTTGAGCATTGTTGTCACCAACTCCTTGGCGAGGCCGGCGTCCAGGCCAAACAGCGTGTTTCGGGTCATAGACCGAACCGGTCCGAACGGGTCTATGACCTGAACTGGGGTTTTTTTTTCCTCTACTTGCAAGGGCAGGAACCAGGAACCGCTGCCGTTCTTCCTCTCTCTCTTCTCTCCCCTCTGAACTCTGCTAGATAATAAGAGTATTTTTACTAAAAATAAAATATTTATAAAAGATTATGCTTTAATTTATTAAATTATTTTATTAAAATAAAAGATTTTATTAGAATTTCAATAATAATATGTTTATATTTGGTTTTTTGATGCAGATGGTCTTAGTAATTTAAGATTATAATTTTGTATCGTTATTGTATTGTTTATTTGATTTTTTATTTGAAACTAGTGATTTAAAGTTATCATTTTATATTGTACCATAAATATTTTAAATTTATAATAGATAAACCGCGATATCGGGGCGCCGTATCGCCTAGGCGATGTGGCGGTCCGGTGGGCGATCGTGGCGCCATGCCTGAAAGCTCGCCATGACAACCTTGCTTTTGAGTCTCACTTATTTTACCCTCATTAAAATATATAAATTTTGAGGTTACACAACTTTTTTCAAATAAACTTATTTGGTTGTGAATTTCTGCAGGGCTGCCGGTGGTGGTGAGAAGAAGAAGTGAAGCCTTTTTTCTGATGTCATTGTTTTTGAAACTCTCCAGTCTTTAGGGCACATTTTCATTGAACTTTCGTGTGTTTGTTCAACTTTCCTGAGAATTTATATACCCCCAAGCTTAAATTTTGCTTATTATCCTTTTACCTAGTAATTTTGTGCACTTATATCTCTCTATCTATCTAAAACTATATATGCAATTTCATTTGCATTTAGTTACGTGTGCTCGATAACGGTGTGTTCTCTTATGAAACTTTTCAAATTTTTTATTTTTCATTAATAAATTTTTTTTTCAAAAATTATCAAATCAATTTTTTTTTATTATATTAAAAATTATTTTCAGTTCAAACATTAGATTAATATTCATTTGTATTACATCATACCCCTAATTTAAATTAAAATTTTTTCTATTCAAATATCAAATTAAAATCCAAAGCTCCAAACAAACAAGAATGGAGTTTAGTATCAAATTTGAAAGGGCATGAACTTGGTGTATTTCAAGATATACACTTTCTGTTCAACACTCTTAATTATTTGGTTACAAAGGCATTATTTTACTCACTATCATACTCTTGATGGAAAAATAGCAGCAAATCATGTAGGCAAAACACAGCCACATTTTTATGTCTTGAACTGCAAAAATGGTCGAAAAAATCATGTCTTGAATCTCTGAGACAATCTCTTCTCCACCTCTTCTTTCCACTCTCCGGCGACTTGCTTCGCAGTCGAAGTATATCTACCAACGCTCTGTAATGAACTGTCTAGTCTTAACTTGGCAGCATCTTTAAGCTCTCCCGCAGTCGAGGTATATCTACCAATGCTCTGTAATGAACTGTCGAGCCTTAACTTGGCAGCATTTTTAAGCTCTCCCGCCCGTTGCTTCAGATGTGACGTCAATACGATTATCTTCTCGATGATTTTGTTAATCGTATCTTTACTTTTACCTCTCACTTCATCCGCCATTCTCCTGAGTTTGTCCACTAAAGTCTCCGACCTTTCAATTGTTTCTTCGACTGCAAACTCTTTTCCAGCTGTAATCCATGTGGCGCCACCCTCTGCCTCATCGCGTAGGTTCTTGTCGACTACAACCTTAAGGCCTTGTGTTTCCCAATGTTGTCTAGCCTCGTCCAGGGCTCTCGCTTGCTCCTTTGCCCTCTTTGCCTCGTCCTCAGCCCATGTCCTGTTTCGAATTTTAGAATTGAATGAACATGCAAACTTCATTATCTTGTAAAAATAATTCCTCATTACCTAGCCATGGACAAGGCTTTCCGCTCGACTTCCAGCTCATACTGTAGCCGTGCGATCTCCTGATTCTCAGTTTCGGCATCTCTACGAAGTTTGTTTAGCCGTTCCTTTTCGTGGGAAATCTCCAGTCGATCAGACGTAAGTGTCTTTAATTTTTCCTCCATCTCTTGCCGTAACTTAGAGAAAAGCTCCATTTCTGAATCGACAGCAGCTCTTTGTTGGATCAGTGAAAGTTTTTCCTCCTCTCTTGCAGCTCGAAGTTTCTCCACTTCTCTTCTCGCTTCCTCAGCTATTTTTTCAACAGCGTTGATTTTCTCCCTCTCCAAGGCAAGTTGCTCTTCGTAGCTTGTGTTGAGATCCTTTTCCACTTGAGCAACTAAAGCACTGTGTGCAGCGACAGCCTTCTCTGCCATGGATTCAGCTTCGATTCGCGCAAGTTCTTCGCTAACAATGGTAGAAGCCTCGCCAGTTGAGAGTGCAATGGCAGCCTGTGCTTTTGTCACAGGTTTATCGGGCTGAAAAAGTCTTGTATACCCTGCATCACAGAGAACATAATTACTACCTCTTGTACATTAAAAAGGTGTCCAATTAGTGTACTGAAATGTCGATGGAACTCACCAAATGCTAGAGTTATAATACTCTGTTCTCCCAGTGCTAAGTCGGCAACAATGGAAGGCCATGCATCCGGGTTGATTTTCTCAGTATCTATAAAACCAGACGACTGCTGCAATGTCTGAATTGGAGCAAAGGGCATCGATTATAATTGAGAAACACATGCTGTTGAAGTAATGTAGAGAAATTAAAATAAAATTTAAACCTTTTTGTCAACTACTGGCAGCTGCCTTTTCTCTAAAGCCATCTTCCAACTAACAAGATCCTGACGAGATAAAGGGCTGTGATACAAACATTTGGTCAATAGTTAAACAAGCTGTGGAAGTTGTGGATAGTCATTTTAACACATCGTACCAATGTCTCACATACAACTTTAGCTGCTACTTATTCATCTAGTTATTTTACGATGAAAATTCCAGAAAAGAAGTCATCAATTTGATAATAGCTCAAGAACCAACAATGTATACCTTTCAGGAGAGAAATGTAGAGGACTTGAGTCTTCTTCCACAGATGGGTACATGTCCCGTCTTGAAAGCTTGCTTGCAATAAGTCCAGCTTCAGCCAGACCTGACGGACCCAAACTATTTTAGAGACAACAGTTCAACAAAGAAAAATGGTAGGAAGAGCCTTCAAGTGTTCATCTAAGAGTCAGATCTTAACCTTGAATGGATGAGAAGTCAGGGTCTTCGGTAGTAATGTCATCAAACGCAAGTTCAGAAGCATTTTCAATATACATAGCTGGATAGACTTTTGAAGTTGCATTCCTACAGCAAGAAGAGAAAATTATGATATGAAATCCATTCATTGATACTTGAAAGTCTTGCAATCAAGATATTTCATTGCTCCTCTGTATTACAACTTACTACCTTGAAAGTGCGCTGCTAGCTGAAACCAACCAGCGAGCATACTCTCTTCGACTGCATAAATCACCAGGTTGAACATCTTCCTCAATGACCTAAGACACCAGGAGATAAAGATCTAGGTATACATACATAAAAAGGTTCAAATCACATGTGTACTTTTTTGGCGCAGTACATCCTAACTAAAATTGTGATGCCTCTTATGTTCCACCTCTCTCTTCCTATGAATCAGCGCCATAGAATAATCATTGGTGTTTATTTTTCATTCTACTAAAATAGTAGAATGAGAAATCCACGCCCATCTAGTAAAAGCAGAAATGAGTGGCGAGAGCATTTTGCATACCTTTAAAACTTGCAAAGCAGATAATGCCTGACTTTGTAGTTGATCGACGACAGCAGGTACAAGAACCTTTCCGGGAGGAGATTGCAGAGCTACAGTGACAACAGATGGAGCAGGTATGCCAGCTGAGGTGAAAAAACTCTCAGGAGTTGCTGAGTCATATAATGTTTGTCCACCGCTTAAATCATTATAACCATCTTCAAAAGTTCCATTTCCAGATTGATGATATACAGCTTCTGGCACAGTGGGAGAACTATTCGCTACAGTAGTATTTAAAATGTTCCTGTCAACAGATTTATCATCATCAACAGAGGCCTTGCTTTGCTCCACATCTTTTGCAGAAAGCCCTTTTTGAGACTCTGATTCAGGAGAGGGGTCTGAAACTGAAGGCTCTGCTGAAGAATGGTTTGCCGACAAGTTGGACAATTCCCCCTCACTCAAGGTATGAACCCCATTGGGATTGACAGTGACCAAAGTTTCTGATTTAGCATCAAACAGAGATGTTTCAGAGACTTTGACGTCAACTAATTCCTCAGGTGCTGGTTTGATGTGGTTTCCCAAATCAACAATTCCGACGGGCAAAGATGACGAACCAGCAGAAATATCAGAAATAGGTGTTTCATCAGCAGCTTCTGGAGATGTTAAATTGTTCTGAATAGCTGATTCTCTTTGGAACGCTTCCAAAGAGCCATTACCATCTTCAGACAGTGGCTCCAAACCAGTATCATCACTAATTCTACTTTCAATAGCTTCACCATTTTCTTTGCTTAAGGAAAGATCCTCATTTTTATCGATCTGGCTTTCACCCCCAGCATTTCCCAGAACCCCCACATTATCCCCAATTTTCTCTTCATCAGCTTCCTGGTTGTTGTCAGAGGACAATGACTTCTCTTGTTCGGCATTCAAAGGCTGCATTTGTTCTTTATGTTCTGTGCAAAGAAATGTGCATTTCTGAGTGAAGCTAATAAATATGTTGTAAACAAAAATAGGCATATATTATCAACTAACAAGCAAAATGCTTTCTCCAGAAACATGATCTTTTCAGGATAATATCACTCCCGATTTCCTTTATATAAAGCAATTAGCTTCAATGAATTCCTTACATTCTATGCATGTACCAGGAGTCCAAGTGATCAAAGTATTCTTCATATTTAACATACAAAAACAAGAACTTACTCACTTGAAATACTCCTTTTACTCAAAGAAAGTGTCGCAAAAGTGAGGCCAGCCACCAGAACAATCCCAGCAGCACCTGCTGCCATTATCCCTGAAAATAAACATCACAACTGTTATCAGTCTTAAAGAATCCATCTGCATCAAACCTTGCAAACCTACAGAAACAGCCTCCATACACTTCAATGGAAATTAAAGGTACACCATTACGATATTATTCAGAACTCCTAACCATCATATCGATGTAGTTATTCATCACTGAAACAGATCATATATAGAAAGCAATTCCTACATTCCCAGAGTTTCTTAAGAAAACCGCCAAAACTCTCACCTACAAGCGATTGCTTGGGCTTGGGATCATTGATTCGTCGATCGTCGTCATCAGTACTGGCCCAGCCAGAAAGATCATTCGCCGAAGAATTCAAATTAGTCCATGACGAATTCCCAGAACCACGCTGTTCCACTCCATTTTCATTCACCGCGCTATTCCGTACCATCAAAGGCACCAAATTCACACTTCGACGGCCGGCCAGCTGAAATCGAGTACGTACATACACCAACGGAGGCTTCCAGCTAGAGAGTGCTAATTTGAGCTGAAAGGACCCCGGATAAAACGACGTCGAGGTAGTCAAAACACTCATCTTTAAAAAATTTACAGGAATCCAAATCTCCCCAAATTGCAGCGACAAAAAAAAAAAAATGTAGGGGATATGATTCGTGCAGCTTCCGAACGTTGAAATCAAACTTGAATCTAATGTCTCCAATGGATTTACGCCTCCACGGTTGAATTTGGCTAGGGTTTTTTCTCGACTGTTAAATGTTATCTATATCGTCCGATGAACTGAACACAGGCGTTAGGTAATCACAAAATTTCCGTACATCTTTTTTTAATCAAGAAAATCAATATTTGTTAGATGTTCATTTGGGCCGGTCCGGGCTGTAAATAAACTATTTAAGCCCGAAGTCAATTACCTTCGAGGCCCAATTAGTTCATGTTTTAAACCATTTTTGCATAGAAGTAAATGTGAAAATAGAGATAGAATGGATTTGTTTTTATTTTTTAATATTAAATACGGGAAAGAATTATTATTATTTATTATATATATTGTGTAAATATGTATTATATTCTTAATAATATTAATAAAAAATATATTAGTAAAATCTTGGTTGAGCAAAAAATTAACAAAAAAATTTCTATATAATTTTTTTTATTCCGTTAATATTATTACAAAAATATAGGATATATATACACTACACAAAATATATATTTTATAAACTCAAAAAAATTAATAATTCATTATAATATATATTTTTTATATCCAATATGAAAATACTTCATAAGCACACCCATAAATTGTCAGTAATAAATTAGTCGTGGTTCATTAATATTTTTAAGAGTCAACACATACAGTTTTACTACAAAAACCATTAATTATGACATAAATATATAATTAAAAGCAGTTAAATATCGTAACTAATAAATAATGAACTAAATAAGGATATATTGCTCATTTTTTTTATTAATACTTGTTGAATATATTTACAAAATTTTAATATTTTATATTATTGAATAATTGCAATATTGAATGATATTAATTAATACTTCAAATTGAATTATAGCAGTTGTTTAGTGTAAAAATTAATTAGTGTTGCCAATTAAAAGTTGATTCCACTCAACCGCAATTGCAAAGTGTTCTTCAACCATTTCATCAATCACCATCACTCACTCAAAGAAAGAAATTGGAAATTGCAGACATGATCGCTTCCAACTACAATCACCACGTAATCCAAGTGGTGGTTGACAACCACAACCAGAGGAAATCATCATTGTGATCTGTGAAAATGGCGGTTTTCGATCGATGTTGGCATGGCACCAGAATTTCATCCATCGCCGAAGTCTTCATTAGTTCTTCCTTCCATCTATTATATAATCATTGATATTCTCAGGAAAGTTTATTCAATTCGATGCGTTTATTTTTCCAAGTAGTAATGGTTATTAAACTGTAATCTGTTGCTTCCCTTGTTTGCTTGCTGTTTTTGCAGTAAATCAGAGGATGTTAATGTGGTTATATGGTAATATGGAAATAGAGTTCAGTCGATTCTCTCCATTATTTCAGGTAATTCTGGGAAATCTAATAAATAAGTGCATGGAATCCCCTGTCTTCTGCATTATATCTATAAACTTCACGAAATTTGCAATTAAATTCAAAGAGTTTCCTGTTTAGCTTTCTCTACATCTACATGATCTACATCTGCATCTCCAGCGTAGATACATACACACATGTATATATACATGCAACCACATATATAGGGAACGTACAATTTCTTCCGAAGACTGAAGAAGATCGGCAGAAAATGTATCAGGAGGCAATTAGAAGAGCTGCACTTACATTATTCTCGCTGCTGCTGACATCCGCCGCACCGCAGCCGGAGCAGCGCCTGGTGAAAATTACTTTCGTTGAAAACGCTTCTTCAATCGGCGCATGTAAGTCTGTAATTCAATTATTGTGCCTGGTGATCTTCATAATAAGCTGTCTGGAACTCCGAGTATTGATCGATCATTGGATAAAATTCAACATTGTTATTTAACAGTGAAAACACTATTTTGTAGATTGCTTAGATGGAAGTCCGCCGGCCTATCATTTGGATAGAGGATCCGGAGAGGGAGCGCAAAATTGGCTGCTACAGTTTGAGGTAAATGAATAAAGCAACACAGCGTCTCAAATGGCCAAAACTGTGGCGGTTAGTGGTTACCTTGTTTTATGTGTATTCACAAAATTGATGAATTCACATAACAGGGCGGCGGGTGGTGCGAGAGTCTCAAAGCTTGCTTGGAAAGAGCTCCGACTCGCCGTGGATCGACTAAATACATGAACAAGGAAGCAGTCTTCTCAGGAATTTTAAGCAATCATGCTCCGTTAAATCCTGGTATGCTGATTTCGCCATCCAAAAACACGCTAGATTGTCGTTTTCATCAAGTCATTTAAATACAGTTCGACATTGATAAACACTTTTTACCACAATCAAGCGAGATTTTAGATGTGTTCAAATTGGTCGATGTCAGTAGACTAAGATTAGTCATCAAACAGTGGGATTAGGGCATAGTGATAATACCTTTATTGTTGCATGCTGATTAGCTGGTCCAGATATGGTGATCGTACAGTTTCTTTATCCACGCTTTGAAGATTGTTTCAAATAACTGCTTCATCAATACTAATGTGGACAGATTTTTATAACTGGAACCGTGTAAAGCTAAGATACTGCGATGGTGCATCGTTTGCTGGTGATGCAATTTATCAAAATGGAGTAAGTCATACACCTATTTCTTCGCCTATATATGGTACAATGCTTGTATCATCATGCCCTTAAACTGCATTGCCCATACAAAAGTTTTCAGCATTTCTTCTTCTCACCTGATTTACTTTCAATTTGAAACATGTTAGCAATATGATGCTAGATTAGATTGTGCTTACTGTTGAACTCAAACACTTTCCATTTGGAATGAACTATGCAGACATCAAAGCTTTATTTTAGAGGGCAAAAGATTTGGAAAGCCATTGTTGAAGACCTTCTCCCAAAAGGCTTGGCCCAAGCAAAGAAGGTAAGGAATGATCTTATTCAGCCACTTACGCAGATTCTTATTAATGTTCATGTAATTGAACTCAGTTTTACCATCATTCTTTTAGCTGATTATGGGCATGATAGAGTATATATACATTTTGTTGTCATGCTCCTATCAGGCTTTACTTTCTGGCTGCTCGGCAGGGGGTTTGTCTGCCATTCTTCATTGCGACAGTTTTGCCAGTTATTTGCCAAGAAATGCCACTGTAAAATGCTTGAGCGATGCTGGATTCTTTCTGGATGCGTAAGTTCTTTCGGAGGAGAAAAGATTCAACATTTTTTTCTTGATTAATGCAATTGTGATATATTACAGAGTTGATACAAGTCAGAAGCACACTGCAAGATCTTTCTTCAATGGTGTAGCTTCTCTCCAGGTATGATGACTTTGACACATTTGACAAAAACGAGACACTTTTGAAGCCTTAATTTGTTTTAATCGCTGCAAAATAATGAACCTTTGGTTATCAGGGTGCAGAAAAGAACCTGAATAAAGATTGCACGAGTAAATATCATGAACAAGTATGCTTTCTCTGCACATTATTTCATTATTTCATAAACAGCTTCATGAGATTAAACTCGAAAGATTTCTGAATGATTGTTGCTCCACGTAGTGCTTCATGCCGCAGTATACATTACCGTACATAAAAACACCTCTTTTTGTCTTGAACACAGCATATGATGTGTACCAAGTAAGATTTGTCTCCTCCTCCAATCTTTACCTGCAAATTTATTGATCATGAATGCCCCTTTTTTTATTCCTCTTCCAGCAGCAGTAAATATCTGGTTTTGTAACCACAGATTCGTCACATATTAGTACCTCCTTCTGCTGATCCTGAAGGGGCTTGGACTCGCTGTAAACAAAATCTTGCAGATTGTACGGCTGACCAAATATCAGCCCTGCAAGGTTTGCTCCTAACATTCCATTTCCTTTTCAGAATTTCCACCCCATTTATTAGTCCTACTCTCAAAATATCCACTGCTCAGGATTCAGGAAGTATATGCTCGAAACTCTGCGGCCATTGTTAAGTAACTCTACTGGAGGAGGGGCGTTCATAAATTCTTGCTTTGCTCATTGCCAAAGTGAGTCACAAGATACTTGGCTTGCACCTGACTCTCCTAGAGTGAACAACAAGGTTTGAATCAATGTTAACTAACTGATCAAACTAATCAGATACAGCAGAGATAAAATGTTCATTTCATGTTTTAACTGACTGCTTCTCAGACCATTCCGCAAACAGTTGGCAATTGGTACTTTGGGAGACAAGTAAGCAAGGAGATTGACTGTGCATATCCTTGCGACAAAACTTGCCATAACCTGATAAAGAATGGTTCAAATCAGGTACAGAACATGTTATCATCTATTTATTCTATCGAAAGGCACAATTACAATATTGAGGGTTTCTTTCTTCTGTTCATTTTACAAGTGATTTAGTAATTAGTGTTCTTTGTTTAAACCTAATTTCAGCTCACCTAATTCCCAACAAACTCCATTAATGATGCATTTTGTACATAATATTTGCTTGTCTTACAGTTGCAGGTCACAATAAGTTAGCAGCTACACAGAAGAGCATTCATTTATTTAAACAGAGGATTTCATTTGTTAAGGAGGGGAAGCAGCTGTAAAACAAATAAAAATAATTGAGAAATTTTACATGGCCCGACAGAATAAATTTAATTTTATATTCTCTTTATTTGCAGCAACTTAGGCCGCACAACATGGCACAGAGAGATCAAATAACTTCGTTCTATGGTACGTGTGACCAAACCCTAATTATTATATATGAGATCAAATCTTTGAATTCCATACGGTTAGGACAAATTAGTCGGACAAAAAAGAACAGTTTGTTACCATGATTTCCATAGCCAGACCAGTGATTGATACGTCCAATCTTTGATTTTTCACTAGTAAAGATTAGACACATAGGCCCCATGTGTAGGGTGTTAGGGAGACCTATCAATTTGAGTGGACTTACCAGCTAATGAAATTCTGTTCGAGTGGGACATCAATTAATTAGTAATGGTCCGATGGTATGTGTGTGTATATATAGTTGCAGCCGTGCACGCATCTGATGGTATAGTTTATAGTACATAGTTACTGTTAGTTATTTACATATGTATATATATATATGTGTGTGTATTGTATTGTGACAATAGTGTGTAGAATGGACAACAGAGCACGTAATGACCATAAAAGGGAAGTAAGAAAGTCGATGGAGTCAATTGTGTCGCCCACATAATTTAAAGAACACTGGACCATATCATATGTATTTGTGTATATAAAGTATGCTCTGCTATCTGACTTTCTTCACAGAAATAAATTAAAAAGAATGGGAGAGAAAGGTGGTTGGTGTGAGTGAAATTGGAGGGCTCCAAAGGGATCGCATTGATCAGGTTTCTGCTAGGAAGGAATTCCATTAATTTGTTTTCATCAGATCAGATCAATGCGATCCCTTGGGAATTCTCCATCATACACACCAGGATTGATTGATTCTTGATTTGAGGTTAGTGTGTAGATAGATAGATGATCATGTTTTTTATATAATATTAATTATTATTACATCAAATTTGTGTTGATTGAAGTTTTCTACTTCTGCCTTCATGTCTATTATTCTTTCTATCTGTTTGGGTTTGTAGAGAGGATGATAAAATTATAATATATATATATATATATATATATAGTTTAATTGAGGCAGCTTGATGATTTAAATTTTTTTTAATTTGACTGTTTTTCTGTTTGTATATCTCCGCTAAATGCCAATAAGGCATTGCAATGCGTTGGTAAATCCAACAGAATCATTTAGAAGAGAAGTATAACATAAAAAGTAGAGCAATTGGAAACAATCTAATCAATACAACCAAATTCATCAAAAGGATATTATATATGTTCATTCTTTCATTTGTCCTTTTTGAGATAATCTCCAACAAAACATGATTTTCTCCAATTTTTCAGAGTGAATTTGAAAACATCAGCTTCAACTCGCCTTCTATTTTAGCTATCTCATGTGAGAAGGTGTATTTTTATTTTTTATTTTTTACTTTTAATTATAATCTTTTATTTTTTATAAATGAAATTGGCATGGCCATTGGAAGTTGGAACATTCCATTTTGATTCATCATTAATTTTGAGTGTTGTACTTAAATCTATTATTATCCATCTTCTTATTAAAAAATTATAGTGTATAATTAGATGTGAGACAAACATCTAATTTTGAAATTAATTTATCTGTAAAGAATTATTTCATGGCTTAATGGTATGAGATGGACTTACCACGACCACAGACATCTCCAGTCACCTGTCATACAAGTGTCTAAGACATTGCATATCAAATTTCAACACATGCATCAATAGCAATATTCATGTTTACTCGCTTAAATGAAGTCATATTATCACAGCTAATTTTGATACCGCCGTAGATGAGGAATCTAGCTACTTTTGCCACTGAACTAAATGATTCACCATCATGAGAGACACAAGTTATAAAAGCATTTGTAAGTTCCTTCAACAGTGTTCGGTTGAATTCCAATTTCCAAGGGATGTCGAGGCTTGAGTTCTCGTATACTTTGGTTTGTGGTTACCATAGCCCAACCCTGAGGAAGAAGAAGAAGATTGCAGAAGGTGCTTTTCTGGAGGAGACTGTCGCCGGAATGTGCTGCTGCCCAATGCCTGCCGGAAAAATTTGCTGCCATTGCTGCCTCCCTTTCATCATCGGCCTGTTCCATGAATCACAAAATCAATTTGGAAAATCCTTGCCTGCGTTATTCAGGTTCAAGTTTTTAGTATTAAAAAATCCAAAAACCTAAATATAAATAAAACAAAGAGAGATTAGAATTGGTTGTGGTCCCGGCGATATTCATATTCCCTTTCCCAACTCTTCATTCCTTCCATTCCCTCCTCCTTCCTTCTCCAAACCGCTCCAAACGACGCCGCATCGAAAGGCGGCGGCATAACGCACGGCGCCGCCACCGCAGGGCGCTCCACCAGCGACTCATCCATGAACCTCTTCGCCCGCCCTTCCGCCGCGCACGCCATCGTCTCGGAGCAGATCTCCACCGCCTTCTCCGGCACGCTCGGCCTGTACCTCAACAGCTTCGCGTACTCCTTCAGCAATTGGAGCATGTAGTCGTACACGTACTCCATTTTCACCTGCTCCGCCACGAATCGGCTGCCTTCCTCGCCGATCGCCTGCGCCGCCGCCGGATTTGCGTTTCCCCAGTCGACGGCGCGGCGGATCGAGGCGCAGATCTCGGCGGCGTCGTCGGTGATCGGCCAATAGTGCTTGAGCGGGAGCAAACTCCTGGAGAAGAAGTCGTGGAAGCTTGGGCGAACGAGGAGCGTGGTGGAATCGCAGGCGAGGATGTACTTATGGCTGACGGACCAGGATCGGCCTTCGACGTAGATTTTGTAGCGATGGATGCACTGGTCGGCCAGGTTAGAGTTCTTATACCCTTCTTCTTGCTCCTTCAACCAGTCCTGCACAGTACAGTAATATTTCATTTTATTATTTATTTATTTTTTATAACTAATTACAGTTCTAATATACATATGGAAGGTTCTACTGCTCGTTCGTATTCATATTCCAATTTTTCCATGCTCTAAATCAATATTTTAGATTTAAATTTGATTTTTTATATATTGTTATAGACTATTTATTTTGATGATCGATATAATGCAATATAATTACCTGATTGTAGATTCGAGCTTTGTAATCGAAATTGGGCGCCGAGGTGATATTACAGTCGAGCAAATCGAGCCTGGTTTGGGAAACTTGGGGATTGCCTTTCCAGTATGCATAGGGCTGCCGCTCTTCCCATTTCATTCGCCTGTTCCCTTCTTTCAGCTCCCCTGCCAATGAACCCCACGGCTTTATGTTGATCTCCGCCCTGCAGGTGTCAAATTAGTATTAATATTTCAATTTATTAGTTAATTAATTAAATTGATCTCCGCACCACCCCCAGAACGACCAGTCGGGGAACACGATATCGAACGCCTCCTCGTGCCCGCAGTATCTGAACACCGGCGGTGGCTGCCGCCGCGCACCCGGCCGGAAGTTCTCCCTCAGCACCACCGGCATGTCGCCGCAGTGGAACATCAGGTCCAGATCCGGAACCCGACCCGGATACCGCCGGAGCAGCTGTAAGATCCCCCATAATGTGAAGGTATCCCTTGTTTGAAATGATTTTCTGTACGTTTCCACGTAGGCTTTCCCCTTTACTATCACCGGCCGGAAATTTGCAGCCTTTCTGGGAGCCATCACCATTTCTTTGGTGATCCCCGATTTCATCCACGGCCGTAGATCTTCGTGGATCCAACGGAAGTAATCGGGACACGTCGGCGGCTGCGGGCCCTGGATTTTAAGCGCCTGTCGTGACGGGAGGTCGTTGGCTGGACAGGTTTTTGACAGGTTCCCCCTGGAACAGTTTAATGGGAATGTTTTGGCCCTGGAGAGGTTTTCTGAGGCCTGGAAGGAATTCATTTCGACAATCTGCAGAGGTTAATAGTGTGAAAAGTCAGGAACGGGAAGAGCAGATTGGATTATTCCAGGGCAGCTCCCAGGACCCCAACGCCAGAAGAGTCGGCTGTTGGGTTGCTCTTTCTCCGGTGCGGAGGTCCGGGATCTCCCAAAATTACACTGCCTAAGCTGAGAAATGAAGATGGTGTATATTTATTTTTAAAAAGCTTATTATGTTCAAAATACCTATGGTGAGTACAAGTCATAAAAAAAATATATATATTTCAATTTATATTATAAAAATATGATATGTACATAATCTTTTGTATATTACAGACAATTATTAAGGGTGTGTTTGTTTGGGGGATTAGATTTTAAATCTAATATTCATCCCATTTTTCCCTTTTTTTCCTTAAAAAAAAGTTAAATCAAACACTTATTTTTCATTTTTTATATTATACTAAAAATCAATTTTATATTCAAAACATCACATCAACACCTATTTATATCACATAATACAACTATTCAAATTTAATTTTTTTACTATTTAAATCTCAAACTCAAAATCCAAACTCTCAAACAAACGCACCCTAAATATTTCAAACTAAAACTAAAAATACTAAAACGATTTTAAGGGATTTTCTTATTATCCAATTATTATTTTAATATGTAATAAACATCAATCAAACATATACTAGAATTAAAGAATAATACTAATTTTTGTAAAATTATTTTTAAAAGATCAAAATACAAATTATTATTTTAAAACATACGAAAATAACAAAATGTAAATCATGAATTTTAGAACAAGGGACTATCAAACAAATATTTAAATTGAAAAGTTATACACAAACCACCAAACAAACATATTTATACTAATTAAACTCACAGAAAGATAACGGAAGAAGATTAATCCGCCGATGGAGACGGCGGCGAAGAGCAGCGCCACCAGCGCAGATCTCACCGGCGCCGCTCGGACGGCGGCCATCCCTTTATATGCTTCCCGATCGGGTAAATCCAACAGCGGCGCACCATCACCGCCATTCTGCCTTAAATTTAAAAGCAGTTTGGAATAATTTTGTGAATTCATTAAAAATAATTACTATTCTCGAAATCTCTATTTATAAAATAAAATTAAAATAATTTAGATTATGGATTATAAAAGTGATTGGATAACTTTTAGACTTTGTAATTTCAGATTATTATACGCAAAAATAAAAATTAATGTGATTGGGTCAAAATTAAATATGAACAAATTTATATATGTCAGGTGGTGATTAATGTCATTTCGAAATGAATGGAAAACAGATTTGCAAATAAATTTATTAATAGACGGGATAGGAATAAATTTTAATTTATAAAAGGGGTATCTTATTAATACCTATTTTCTCCAAAATCTCCAGTATTTTATTGATACCAATATTTACATATTGCTTACTGTTATATGATTTGATTATTTTAGTAATTGCATTTATATAGGACAATGCTTCTTTACATTTTTATTTTATTCAATTGTTGTCTTATCTTTAATAACCTATTTTGCTGTCATGGATAAAACTAGTAAAAAAAATAGTTTAATTTGAGACGAAATTTTTTTTTCTTTAATAAAATATAATATCAAAACATTAGTTAAAATATATATATATATATATATATTTAACCTAATTTGGACCGAAAAGAAGCATATCCAAACTTTTTATAATTAGTAATATGAGCATCTCCTCTTGTATTTAACTTTGGAATCATATGTGTTTCTATTTTATCATTCATTTGAGATAAATTTAGTTATTTCATTGTAGCAATAATTTGTTTATTTCTTCGGAAATGACGTCGAGCTAAAGCTGTATTATAGATTTTAGGTAATTTTGACCATATTTAACCTAGTCTGAGTGATACTTTAGGGTGTGTTTGTTTGGGAGATTGAATTTTAAATTAACCGTTCATCCAATTTTTTCTCTTAAAAAAATCAAATCAAATATCTATTTTTCATTTTTTATATTATACTGAAAATTAATTTTATATTCAAAACATCGCATCAATACCTATTTATATCACATCATACAACTATTCAAATTCAAAATTTTTACTATTCAAATTCTAACTCAAAATCTAAACCACAAACAAACACAGCATAAGGTTGTTTTTTAGTATTGTAAGAATATTGTGTTTTTTGTTAATAAATATTATATATTGTTATTATTATTTTGATTTTTAAGTGATTTTGATATAAAAAAATTAGGCACATATATATAGAAATTTTGGACTTTTGAAATTTATTTATTTTTATTTTTTAAAAATGAAGATTTAATATAATATTTGTGAGGAAAAAAATATTTGATGTGATATTTTTTTTTTTTTACAAAAAAATATTGATGAATAATGCCAAATTTTTGGGTGTGTTTGGTTGTAATTCAAATATAATTAAATACTATTTATTTGGAATGTTTTTTAATAAAAATATATTGGATTTATTTGTTTTTTAAAAATTTTATTTATCCTACAAAAATTAATATATTACACGGCATTTATTATTTTTATTTACTTATACAATTTTTTATACCTCATATAATTTTATTTTATTTTTCAAACCAAAACATAAAACAAACAAGCCCATAAATTAATGCTCTTTTATTTGTCTCTAGCATTTTATTTTTTTGATAATTTTTGAGAACTCACAATCACAATTTGAGTGAGTTTTAGGTAAATTCCGACCGAATCTAGTAACTTATAAAATAAGCCCAATAAAAGCAAGTCTCTAACACTTCTGTATGCATTATGAGCTGTTTACGTATAATTATGCATGAGTCAATGTAACATGTATATATAATATTGTTAGAGTGATGTTGAAAGAGATACATAATATTTAAGTATATTTAAAAAATTAAAATAGTAAAGAAGAATACTAATTACACAATTAATTTGATTTTAATTTTTTGTGATGTTTAATTTAAGATGACATCAATAATAATGTTAATTAGAGGGTGTAGTTTAAGATGATGGCATCTTCCAACTAAGCACGCAATATAATGGACCATTTCTTCGCACAAATAATAAATAGATAGAATAACAACAAAACAATAAATAAAATAGCTAATATCTCCTTTCTTTTATGTCATTTTGGTGGTTATTTTAGCTACAATTAATAACCGTCAAAGACTGTTTTTTAAATCTTTATGTCGATTTTATTTTAGTTTTTTAATAGATTTGATTAGAATTAAAATATAATTGCAGATCTTGGCTTGTTCAAATTCTAAACAAACTTTTATTAAATCTGAAAGAGTTGAATTTCACAAACTAATCGATTTTTTTTTTACTACTCAAATAGTTCATAGAGATGTAATACAGATATTTATTTATTTATTTTTGGATACTTTATGAATGGTCATTGAAATTACTAACAATATTGATATTTATTGCGAATATAGACATTGTACGTGTCAATTACTATCTCAACCAACACAAGCTTGTACAACAATAGTAAAATTGGTAAAAAAAAAAAAAAAGAAAGTAAAATTAGTAAAAAGAAATAATAATAATAATAATAATAATAATAATAATAATAATAATAATAATAGTAAAATTGGTGATCGATAATAAAAAGTGTGGCCGTGATGCATCGACTATCCACCAATGAATCCCAAAGATAGATATTTCCAAGGGTCTTTCTTACCCTACCCAAAATGTCTTCTTCCCTAGCCTCGAAATATATCCACTATCATTATCATTGCACAAAAACTAAATAATAACAATAATAGTTGTAGTTGTAGTTATAGTTGTTGTACATTATGCATCGAAAATCATACTTTTTGAACAATATTAACTATGCGTGCAATTGTGGACCCACCCTTCTTCCAACATTAATGAAATTCCAAGGTTGTAATGCTCTTCCATTTTGTTTTATTATTTTTTTATTTTTTACGTACAAAAATGAAAAATAAAAATAAAAAATACAGATGTGCAGCTTGGTTGGTATGTAATAATAATAATAATAATAATAATAATAATAATAATAATAATATGATTGGGAAAATGTGTGTATGGTTGCAATGAGGCTGGCAATGGCTGTCAAACCACAACACTACAACTCACATTAGGTGGATGATTGGGAATTCAGACAACGCCACTCTCTACTACTACTTTTAATTTTATTTCAATTCCGACTATTAGTTAATTTATTTTTTAATACACAATTAAATTAACTGGCGTAATATTCTTTAAGGATCTTTATTTTCCAGTGATGTTTGACGGTACAGAGTGTGTTTTTGTTTCTGAAAACAAACTTACAAAGTGACAAAAGTATTTGCAGACAAGACAGACAGATAGGCACTACTGTCGCAACGGTACAATTCGTATTTTGAGAAAGAAAAGATAGAAAGCAGTAGGGACTTGAGGACCACTTCAAAAGTATTTTCGTGCAACGGCTATTTATTACTATTACTGTTACTATTATTATTATTTCCCTTGATATTCCGGTTAAGCTTAAACGATATTTTTAATTTTATAAAATATTAATTAAAAAATTTATATATAAACAAAACCTACATATCAGCCTCAGTCATGATATTTAATTTAATTTTTAATTATAATTAATGCATGGTGGAAATGTGAGTGGGGCTGATGCGCCAACTCATTGCTTGGCCAAGCACGCTATATTAACAGGAGGTCCCGGAGTACGACTCTGGGTTGAATGTGGAGTCCTTTAAGGAGCTGAGGTCCTGGAGTTTCAATGGTGTTGTAGCAATCATACAGCTTCTGTATTTTCTTTTATGTCGACAATCCCAAGCGAAGCGTACCTTCTTTCAACCGAACTTATTAATAGTTTCTCTCTCTCTCTCCTTCTCATTCTCTGCTTCGGATTCTCGTCTTCCTTTTTGCGCAGAAGCTAAATTAAGCGAAGATAGCTAAGTTTTCTGAAGTGATGGCGGAGGAGGCAGCAGCGAAGACGGTTGAGCCAGAGGCGTGCGCTGAGACTCCACCGGCGGCGGAGACGGTTGAAGCTCCGAAGGATGTGACGGAGGAGAAAACTGTAATACCAGCACCTCCGGCCGAAGAGAAACACGATGACAGCAAAGCTCTTGCCGTTGTTGAAAGTAAAACCTCTATTTACTTTTGCAGCCTCCCGAGAAGATATTTTTTTGTCTTTATCTTCTTGGGGATAAAAATCATTTCTAGATTTGACAATAAAAGAAAAATAAAAAAATAAAAAATTATATTGTGCCTGCTGTTTATAATTCTTTTTAACTATTTAAACATGAAAATATCCTGAGTTATGTTGTTTTGCCTCTGCCTGAAAGCACGTAGTCTTCTGAGAAGTGAATTATTGTTTGCTGATATTTTTATTTGTTTTTGGTGTTCATATTTTGCTAAATTGAGCAGTTGATGCATTTTCCTGTTCATACCTAATTAGTTCTAAGTGGATGGAAAATATGTAAGATTCTTGGTGAATTTCATTTACTGAGGCTGTGAATTTGCTTAGTTAATTTCAATTTTAATTGGTTCCTGTTTAGTATGTATAATATGTGTGTATTTACAGTACTAATTGTTACTTGTTCTAACATTTAATTGTGTATTGCTAAAGAACCGGAAGCAATTGAAGAGAAGAAACCAGTAGGCTCCATAGACAGAGGTGATCAAGAATCTTAAAAAAGATTTTTCCCATTTTAGTTGATTGCTTCATAATATCTAACAATATGCTGTGTGTGTTTTAGATGCTGTGCTTGCGCGCGTAGCGACAGAGAAGAGGCTGTCCTTAGTGAAGGCATGGGAAGAAAGTGAGAAATGCAAAGCTGAAAATAAGTAAGTGCTTTCTTGAGCATGCCTTGTTCAATTATCACTTTATCATCGAATAGTTGATTGTTTTTTTTTAGGACGTTTGAATGATATCTACTCCAAAATGGCATCCATCCCCTTCGTAATCTTGATAGCCATGATTCTCTTTTTTGGTTAATACTTAGGACAAGTGTGGTGAGAACAAATCATTAGTTGTAAAAGCATAAAGGTGAAGAATTCTCGACACTGGTGGAAGTATAAGGAAGAAGTTTCTTTGGAGTCTGTTAAGCTTTTGGATAATGCTAATGTTTGTGTTGTCGAATAAGTGAGGGTTTAGAATTTAGTAGAGTTTTCATTCAAATCGCCTATCAGCTACTTTTAGCTCATGCCTTTCCCCAGTTCCTTTCTTGACCTCTTTTTTTACCCTTTAAGTTGTTCGATATAATCTTGCCTACTTTTTCCTTTGCAATTTGTCTTCCTCTCTGTCACATTATTTCTTCAAAATTTTAATGGCCTTTTCCTCCCCTTGTGGAAGGCTGTAAACACATATCTGAATTTTAGTTGAAATGATTTGGATACGTACCAATCTTAAAATTGATTTGCCCACCACTGTTTCCTATTGTTGATTTCTAAAAATTTCAAGAAACTTACCAGCATTTAAGAGATCAAATGTATTACTGAGTATGTCCAATGTCTGAACAACCTTTGTACTTCGATTTATCATACTTGAAATCTTGAATCAATACAGCATCTGAAGGTAGCAACTGCTCACTGGCTGATGCAAGTTATACATTTTATTAGGACTCAGGATATCTATGTGGTTCATATTATCTTTATTTTTTGCAGAGCTCAGAAGAAAGTATCTGCTATTGGAGCCTGGGAGAACAGCAAGAAGGCGACTCTGGAAGCTGAGCTTAAGAAAATCGAGGTAACTAACAATTCTATGCATACGACAGATGCTGTGTTGTATAAAAATGTTATGAACCTTATTTAATATCTTCCTTTTCGACTGTAGGAACAATTGGAAAAGAAGAAAGCCGAGTACATAGAGAAAATGAAAAACAAGGTTGCCCTTGTCCACAAGTCTGCAGAAGAAAAACGAGCACAGATTGAGGCCAAGCGCGGCGAAGATCTCCTCAAAGCTGAGGAGATGGCTGCAAAATATCGTGCCACTGGAACAGCTCCAAAGAAGCTTCTAGGCCTATTTTAAACTCGTTGATCTCTGCAATCTTATGCCGTCTGGTTTGAAGCTGAAGCTGATGCTGCATTTTTTTTTTTCACATGATTGTTTGATATGCTTTCGAATTTGTGTTGCGTGGTGATTTATTGTAGAATTAATATTTGTTTTCTCATTAGTTTGTGTGTGCATAGTGTGATGATATTTCTTTATTTGTAGGTCTTCACAGTGTCTGTAAAGAGTTTTTAACTTCTGAATTTGTGACAAAAAAATACATTAGCTTGTAAGCTTATTTGTGCCATTCAATTATTGAATTTTTTTCAGTACAACTATGAAAGTAGATGAAATTGTCTGCATTGCTTCGGCTCCTGTCGAATTTACATTTGAATGTGATTAGGGATATCAGCAGTGGGAGGAGGACCTTGTAGGAATTCAATATCATTGCCAGGTGCAGGAAAATCGAGCAACAGCATCAGCATTGCATCTGTGGAATCATTGAATTCGTATGAGCTTGAGTTGTCTGAAAAATCTATCATGATGTTTTCTTCTTCCTTCTTGCAGGTTGTGACGAGTTCGATTTTCGGATGATCCCTTTCAGGAGAGGCACCGGATTGAGATACACCTGGCTCAACACCAAATGGTGGGCTGAGAAGCAATGTGACACTGGACAGGGACTCGTCGTTCTGAGACATAGGAGAAGAAGGGGACTGATCGGGGATGATTCGCTTCCTCAAATGTGAGTTCCAGTAGTTCTTGATATCGTTGTCGGTTCTCCCAGGCAGACATGAAGCTATTGCAGACCACCTGGTAAATTTGGCAAATATATATCATTGATGATCATATTCATTCATATATTATCCATTCATTAATCGAATACTAAGAAAGCAGTTGTTTACTTGTTACCAAGAGTGGTGTGCAGGTGAATGATCTCTTTCTCCTCGTCTGGGGTGAAGGGTCCTCGTTTGATCCCCGGCCGTAGGTAGTTAGTCCAGCGAAGCCGACAGCTTTTGCCACACCGTAGAAGACCTGCAATTCTCCAATAAAGAAAAAGGGCCCTGCCCTCTAAGGTACGTTTATTTTCTTGGATGCATATGTATATGTATATTGCATGACCAAATTAACTTGTCAATTCATGACTTGAATCAAATCAGATATGGTGTTTTAGATTCATTTAGAAATTAATCTAGGATAGTATATCCTGTGTAGATTATTATTACTCTGTGTTCATGTTAGACATATACAAAAACAAGGAATTGAGGTGACCTGCCTGCAAGTTTAGGGAGATTTCTCCAATTGGGATGGCCATTTTGAGTGATGAAATCGACTAGAATTCTATCCTCTTGAGCAGTCCATGCCCCTTTCTTCAACCCCTCTTTTTCACAACATGGTTTTTTCTTCTTCTTCATCTTCATCTTCATCTTTGACTTTCTTTTCTTCTCATCTTCATTTTTAACTCTTCTTTTCCCCATGTGTTTGTTTGAAGCAAAGCCCTCAACTGTTTGATTAGCAAAGATAGGTTATGTTTTGATGACCAGACAGAGAAGACTAACAAATCTCTATCTTCTATCGAAACATAAAATGACTCAAAAACCATGTACAGAATTGATTTAGTATGCAGGAGAAGTGTAGAGAGGAGAGAGGAAGGAGTAGACAGAAGTATTTACCAGAAAGAAAATGAAGAGAGAGAGAAGTATGTATTGGTTTGTGATGAATTTTGTTTGGGTTTTTTGCTAAATTGAAGGGGTTTGTTTCATCATGCTTTGATTCTTGTTGTTCCCTTCAGCTCCACTCCAAGATTGTGAATAATATAATTTGTTGTGGATAGATAGATAGATAGATAGATAGATACAGATAGATACAGATAGACAGACAAAGCTCAAAGCACTGGAAAGCAGTAAAGAACAGATAGAGGGAGGGACTGGCCTCGTTTTCCATGCAGCCTGCCCACTTTCTATATTTTATGCACCACGTGTGTGCTCATTCTTGGCAGATTTCATGTGTTAGTGTATGTGAAATGTACTAGTATATCTTTTAAATTAAAAAACTCAATTCAACATTTATTTCTTTATTTAAAATATTATATCTAGGGTCTATTTCTTTGGGTTTTAATTTGAAAATTTTTTATTTATATTTTGTATTTAAATAATATTTGATGGGATATTTTGTAAGAATATATATATTTTTTTTAAAAAAAATTCAAATAATAAAATTTGAAATTTTTTTATTAAAGAAAGACATTTAAGATTGATTAAGTTCTTTTCAAGTTAAATTTAAGTTTGGAGTTTGAGGAAAGAAATGAACTGGAAAGTATTTTAGGCTATATTAATGTATTTTAATGTAATATTTTAAATAAAAAAAATGTTTTTTAATAAAAGATAAATAGAAAATACTGTATGTATGCATAGTTTCTAGGGAAAAAAGAATTATGAATAATAGAAAACCAAGCCCACTCCCAAAGAATCAAGTCTATATATTTAAGGTAATAGTTTTTTTTAATAATATGATTTGTTTTTTTTTTTTTAAAAAAAAAGGTGAACATATTCTTACTTTTTTTCATCCTGTGTCCAAAAGATAGCCAAGCCAAACGTCATAGGTTAATTTTCAATCTCTACCGACTGAGCATTGTCTAAACAAATTTCAATTATTTGAATAATGGTGTTACAAGAGGGATCACTAATATTATTACATATGTAAAAGGAATGATCCAAATGGCAACATATTTTTCAACCCCCTTAAAAACCAGAGAAAAACGTGATCCATACAACACTTGGTAGATAACCTTTATTATTTTGGTAGAAAAAAAAAAGCATGAAAATGACAATAAGAATAGAAAAATGAGTTAGGGGTGTGTTTGGACTATGGTTAACACTATTCTCATTTTTTTTTCTTTAAAATTATTAAATCAAATTCTTAATTTTACCTTAATATATTCTATAAATTTTAAATTTCATCGAAGAATCACACCAAATACTATTTTAATTCTTTTTTTTATATATAATTTTTAAATTTTCAAATCAAATCCATATCCAAGCACATCAATTAACTGCCAAGTTTTTCATGCTTAAAATAACATTACCTCATCTTCATGGAAATTCACTATCTAAATTATTGTCTTCATTAGATTAATAGTGCTAAAGGTGAATGATTAGATGATCAAAGTATAGTAGTCGTGACTCGTGAGTGAGCATAGCAATTCAAAGTCAACAAGTACTGCTAAAGCTATGGCAAAGGTAGAAATCAATGCTATGCGTGGGAAAAGGTTTATAAATAGATGTTCTTTAAGTTTTTTACGAAAAAAAAAAAAAATAGTAAAAAATAGAATATTTAATGTAATATTTTTAAAAATAAAAAATTATTATTGTACTATCAAAATTTATATATATATATACTACAAATTTAGCCTTGAACAGAAGTTCATCAATCATTAGGACCTGGAGATCAGATGGAAAGGGAGCATTTGATGTGAAAATCATACAATGATTAAATTGCACATTTTATTAAATAAATATATATAATTATTTTAAATATAATATAAAAAATAAACATAAAATATATTCTTATGATCCAAAATGGAAAAATTAGAAACATCAATTTCCGAATATAACACAATAAGTTGCTGATATTAGTGCTAGCCTCAAATCAACCAACGGCTAGTTTTGATTACATTACAAACAAAAATCCATCATGTATTCAATGGTCCAGTCATTTCTTATTTTTCCAGAATAAAAACACACACTGCATGATGACTAGCTTGAGCAATGAAAAAAAAAAAAGAATCCCAGAAATTGAATTTATTCTGCAGATTCATAGTCTTTCGGCCCGAAATTCTTGCACCAGAGCTGAGAAGGAATAGGCCGAACCGGATGATGTGGGCGTTGCTGCCAAAGAGAAAAAAAGAGATACAAGTTAAGGGATGAATAACGAAACACAGGACAAAATACGATATCGTAGTTATTTTGGATGGTTTTGGCAATTGAAAGCAGATGTGAAATTTTCAGAAATATTTTACCTGCAGTTAATTTGTTTCGACTAGAGGTTCTTCTCACGACCTCAGTGATTGGACAATACATGTCCGCCAAAATTAATTACCCAAAGCATTTAAAACTAAATTAACATCAAGAACCAAGCCCGTGTGTTCACATATAGTTAAATGTGTCGAACATACATATAATGCCCACAACATGATGCCATTGTACAGATAAACTCGAATTATATAGAGCATGTGTCTTTGCAACAAAGGAAGAAAATCCAACTCTACTTAGAAGGCATACTATTTAAGGGGCTCTTGACTTCTTGTAGGTGTTTCGTGATATAACTTACTCTCTCAACAGATTAAACTATCCTAAGAAGATCTTACAACCTAAGAGAAGATTATTGGCACACTTTCTAGAATCTGAAAATGCAGTGTAGCTAATGTTTCCATGATAAATATTATAACTAAATTCAATTCTTGAATTGGTTTTCGTTGTGCTGAAGCGTCCCGGTAAGAAGTGAAGAATTTAAAACAATTAGGGCTGAGATAATTGTAAACATTTGATTTCACATAGAGCCATCAAATTCAACAAATAAAGTTGCATCAATATTAGTATCTGCAAACTAATTTGCAGTATACAGATACTGACATTGAAGCATATGTAGCCTAATTGGAACACAAAGTCATCTGCATTAGGTCAATTTCAAACAAGGGAAATGCTCGATATATAATAAGTAATGCAAGCAGCCAATTTCTAGGGTTAATTTGAGGCTAGCAGTGTAAGAGATGAAAGTCTTTAATCCATTATTCAATTTTCAAGGAAGGACTAAAACTGATAAAAATAGTTAACCTAGAAAAATAAATCAATTGGACGGGAAAATAAAATCCGAACAAATCGACGCCGAATTGATAGATATCAGAACTCAATTAAGCCTAATCGAATCAAAATGGAATGATCCATATACCTCGAGCTGGACAGATATCATCGCGATAGGGATACACATCGCGAAGATGCCAACCATAGCAATAGCTGTGTTGCGCTTCCAGTGCTTGGGGCGGCAGTACGGCCCTCCAGTCAAACTCCACACTTTCTGCCGGTAATCTCCGCCGTGCGCTGCATCTATGTGGTGGTGCTCGCCGCCTCCGCCCATCTCTGCTCCGACGACTTCAGCAATACCAGCGACTGGACCGACCCTTTCCTTTCTCCCATTTAATGCCACGTACAAATTGGGCCTTCAAATTTGACCCATTTTGATTTTGGGTTATGTCCTAATACTTGGCCCAAACCCGACCCGTCTGGAGTCGAGCTCCGGGAGTGGCCAACAATCACCAGCGCAGCGCATATTACTCCAAATCTACGGAGCACAAAAGCACGATTATCTTCTGACGGAACGAAACACGGAATCAAATGAAGTCTGAGCTGTATGTATCGTGTGTAGTTTAACCCAAAAGCAGGGTTGAGTGTGAACTGCAATCATGGCGAACTCCCTGGAGCGCGCGCACCTATGATTACACTGGAAAACGAGGTTTTGAGCGAGTTCAGAATTCAGAGAATCTATTCAATGAAGGAAGGCAATGAATTGAGGTTCGTCATAAGTTTCATCTGCCGAAATTAAGGGCGTTTTGAAATAATTTTGAACCCCCGGTGGGAATCTGATTCTCTCTCCCCCAATCTCACCCGCACTCTCGTTCCCCAAATTTCCACACAACGGTGGAGGGCTCTGCGAATCTCAGATATCAATTGAAGGAATCTGCGTTAGTTAGGTATGATTTTCAACTCTAATCTCGTTGCATTTTAGGTTCATTTCGCTTCTTTTCTGGAATTTTGATGTGTGGATCGACCCAGAGGTGTTGATGTCGGAAGTTTTTTAATTGAATTTTTTTGTGTGGAGAAATTAGAGGGATTTGGTTTGATTTTGGGGTTAAAAAACAATTCACGCATTAATCGTTCCTGTTATTTGTTGCCTCTTCGATTTTTTTAAGGGTTTCGATCTTCGAAGATTTGATGTTCCTTTTCGTTTGGATAAATTTCCATGATTCGTTTGATTCTGTGCTTTTTTCTTCTGCTAATGAATTTTACAGTTGTTTCTATAATCGTGGGGAAATGAATCATTTTGTCATTTGAGGTCAATTGTAGTTTCAGTTACAGTGAACAATTCTGTGTTGGCCGCAAAAACAGGGAAGATAACATCTGTGATTTAATTATACGAAAAGAGCTCTGCTTTGCTTTTCTTTTTGGGTGAAAATGGATCATGGAATTTCCTGTAAGAAACTGTGATCACACACTCTTGATCACAGAAGCTCTTGGAGGATCTGCCATGGAGGATGGACACTCTGGTATCAGAAGATGGGAGGACATGGACATTGACATTATGGTCAAGATTTTCGAGAGTATGAATATCATCGAGCTGACATCCGGTGTCGGCCATGTTTGCCGCACCTGGAGAATGGCGGCCTGCGACTCGTTGCTCTGGAAAACGCTCGATTTGTCTCTTATAAGATCAAACTTCATCAAAATTCCATTGGAGCCCTACGTATATGTCAGTGCTCGATCCGATAAGTTATTCAATCAAATTTTGAAGACTGCTTTGAGCCTTAGCCAAGGAAACGTATCCACCTTGATTTTTCATTACAACATGTACGTGAACGATGAACAATTGGCTTACACTGCGGACAGGTACATCACTTGATAAATACATCATTTTTTCTTTCATTTCTTGAAGAACATTGTATGTATTGGTGTTTGCTGTTGCAGGTCCCTGCAACTGAAGCGCTTAGTAATGCCAGCTTGGAATCGAATAAAGAAAGCCACAATATGTCAGGCTATTCGGAAATGGCAATATCTTGAGTCGTTAACAATGCCGACGATATTAAACCCGCGGTATCTGATCGGAGCGATCAGTCGACACTGCAAGAACTTTTCTGAACTTAAGGTCATGGGACCGTTCGATGTTGTCTTTGCATCGACTTTAGCCGCGTATCTCCCCAACTTAAAAGTTCTAAGCCTCCGATGCACCTTGTTGTTTAAGGATGCACTAATGGTGCTCTTGAATGACATGAAATCGCTCGAAGTGCTCAATATATCGCATTGCATCGTAGTCGAACCTCCTTCGGGTCAAACCCATCGAAGAGTTGCGGTGGAACTTGACAGCTCGATTTTCGAAAGGGCTTGCAGGCTCAAGCAGTTCTTGACATGTACGAGCGACGAGTGTGTCATGTGCGAACGGACAAGGAACGATGAAGGGATGATTCGATGGTACAAGTACGAGGAAGATCTTTGGAAATTCGATGAAGTGAGTTCTCTTGCAATTTAGCTCGCCGGCGAGGACGCGGGATTCGGAATGTACCGTTCCGAGGTTCGTCGTTTCTCTTCATTTTATTTCATTATGGCAATTTGCTGCAAGACTTCATTTTCAGCCTAGCTTTGGTGCATCTGCATTTTATTCCTATTTTGTGTTACGTTTTCAGTATATATACATACACATATCTATATATAAACAGAAGAACAAGAATAGGTTGTTGTTGGTATAATTGATATATCCTCCTCTGGTTCCTTTTTTTGGAATTCTGATATTCTTCAAGCTTTTTCAAGAAACCTTCAATGGAGGGTTGCTCTTGTTCACACTGGTGGCACGCCCCATTCTACCTGGCCATGTCTGCAACCTTGGCTTTCATAGCCATTACATCGACCGGTCGATCGACGCCCGACGATACTCATCCGGGCTTTGCGCTGGCATTCAATGCGTCGAGGGCTCTGCGCCTCCATGGCGGCTACCACATATTTGCAACTCTTCTCCATATCTCGCCGGAGCTCTTCTTATCGAGCCCCGAGTCGACTGTTTTCGCCATCCAGGACTCGGCCATTTCCCATTTGTCAATCCCGCCTTGGGACATGCGGCGGCTCCTCCGCTCCCACGCCGCGCCGACTTCCCTGCCCATGTCGAAACTCTTCAAGAAACCGCCGGGGTACTGCTTCAGGACACTCGTCGACGGCAAGAACTTGGTCATCACCAACAAGAACGTCAACGCGGGTTCTGTCACAATCAACAATGTCCCGATAACTCACCCGGATGTGTTTCTTGAAGGCCCCCTTTCCGTGCACGGTGTTCTTGTGCCGTTCGAACCTCTTTCGGAGCCGTACTGCAATGCTTCTGGTAAAACAAATCTTGTTGTCTCCGGCCGCGGGAATCAGACCGTCGACTGGACGAGGATCATCCGACTTCTCAGCTCGAACGGATTTGTTTCTTTCGCAATTGGATTGAACACAGTTGTCGACAGGATCCTTCAAGATTACAAGAACATAAGCGCTGTTACTGTCTTTGCTCCTCCGGATTCCAGCGCAATGGCGTCGGTCCCGGCCCCAATTTTGTACAGATTCGTGAGGCTTCATATTGTGCCTCACAGATTCACATCCCTGGAACTGTCTGCAGTGGATAATACATCTCTGAAGACACTTATTCCAGGACTTGAGTTGAAGATTGGTAAATTTTCAAAAACTCTGGTAGTTAGTGGTGTGGAAATTACAGCGCCAGATATACGTTCATCCAAGGAGTTTGTGATCCATGGAATTTCCAGGGATTTTGATCTGGAGCAGTTTTTCAGTACATTCTGGTAGAAGTATCAAATTGTTTTGAAGCTTTCAGTTCAACCATTCCAAACCATCCCTATAAAACTACAAAAAAATTGACATGGAGTAAGAAGCCTCTTCATTTGCAATTCAAGATTCTCTGGGGTGGAAACTGTCACTGAAATTGTATAGCCTAATTGTTTATGTTCCACCAAACACTAACAATGGTAATAGAAATGAAGCAGAATAGAAGAATAAATTCAAGAATTTCACAGGATTTGACTATTTATGAGCATATATATATACATTAATTATGTTTATTATCATAAAATCAACTGAAAAATAATGGCCGTACGCACAGTATTCACATTGCATTACCACACAAGACAATAATAAACTATGATCTGACCTTTTTAGTTGATACAATGTATGCATATTCTGAGTTTGACCTTAACAAATGAACAAGAATAATAAATGTCATTTTACAAATTCTAAAAAGAGCCAGCCGGCACGACGCCATCTGCAACAATTTTTCGAGGGTTGACAAAAGATTAAATTAAACCTCTATTGTTTAGATGGACATCTGGATATCTGTTCTAACTTCTAAGTCAACCCTAACTAATCCCCTCTATAAATATATTTGGCAATAAATGTGTGCAACCGTGATAAGATGTGTTGCTGAGAATAATGGTCACGAGTTAATTGGTTCAATGAAAGCCTGAAGTCAACCAATTATTTATGCAAGATTTCTAACAAAGACTTTCAGCACGAATCATGTTGTTGAAAATGTCACTGTGGGCTCCAACCAAGGAGGTTTCGTATAACTAAGCTTCTGTTATAAATAGGTTCCTTACTTATCTTTCTCAACCACCTCTCTACTAGAACTAGTGTTCTGTTCTTCAAAAAGTCTCTAGTTTTTCTTCTAACAAATTCAAATATGAGAGCTCTAAACACATCCTACTTTATTATGGTTATGCTCGTGATGTTTCTTGTACTAGCTCCTACATCGTTTTGCAGGGAGATCGGTGCTCGGTCTAATCTGAGACTACGCGATAAGTTCAACTTATTTTTCCTGAAGTACTTTTCAACACCCTCTCCATATTCAGACTCGGAAGGCGATCAAGGGAATACTAAGGGTATGCATGTTGTGGTTCGAAGGCTTGTCCCGGGAGGGCCTAATCCTCTACACAATTGATTGATAAGATCATGAAAAGAATCCAGGAAGGAAGATCATCTATGAGGCAGAAGATTATTTATTAACAGGTCACAAACCTATGTTCATGTAATAATAATATTTTTTTCAAAGAAAGTTGCATATATATACCAATTTTGCTAGCAATTGGTCATGATTTATGCAGATTTTTGTAACATAATTATACTGTACTAATCTCAATCCAATAGAAAGCTGTGTGATTAATGATTCCAATTCAGTTTCAGACAATCTAATGATCTATTACAAGGGTTCTCTCAGCAGATATCAACATCAAACAGAACACATATCTATCTATCTATCTTTTTACTTCTCAGGATACTCGTGAAAAAACTGTCTTTAAATGCTAGATTCCAATTAAAATTTTCTGTTTATCAATTTCAAGATGTCAATTATCTGTATTATGTTGCTTCAAAGGAACATATTTCTTCTACCAGCAAAGCTGCTCATAACTATAGGATAAGTAGCATAATTCTGGAACATCCTAATACAGAAAATGCACTATTTTCAGAATTCATCTTCTTTATTCCTTGTGATGGTAGATAACCACAATTTGGAAGTTAAACAAGGCTACAAAAAACTACAGAAATCAAATCACTTCAACAATTATTTGATGTGAAAAGTATACTGTCTTTGTCAATAGAATTTATATATTCCTAATAATTAAATAGGAGACGGCATTAGATTCACTGAACAACACGTGTAGAAAAATTGAGAACGGCAAGCAAGTCAACCGATTAATTAATCTACAAAATGCAGCATTAACTTGACAGGCGTTAACCATGGATTTTTTCACAAATCAATTCTTAATACCAAAACGCACGGAACTACTCTCTGAAACTAATGAATATTCTACAATTAACTTTTAGCATAATTCATTAACATATAATGCATACGGAAGCTACAGAATGAAAGTTCCCGGCGAAGTCACAACGTAACTCACCGTCTCCGTACAAGCCACGACAATCACCAACTTCCTCCAGCAAGCACTGTTGCGTTGTCATCCGCAGCGCTTCCCGAATATTTTGTGATTGAGATACCATCATTAGCGTCATCATTTTGCGGCGGCGAGTGGATCGGCAACTGAAAGAAGCACGTCGAAATCGCAGGAATCGAATAACGAAGAACCGATGAGCGGGGTCGTTGCCGTGAGAGAGAATTTTGTTATGGATTATCCAGATTAATCAGGGCCGTTGATCTATTGAATCCAACCGTCGTAGATTCCCGATAAAAACCAGTATGGACCAACCGACCCCGAAAGCCCGCCCATTTCTAGACCCGCGGACCCGATCCAATTCCTACAAAGCTGAAAATTGACACATTTGCTTCCACTGTGCTGTTCCATTAATTCTGTGTTGAGTAATTTAAAAACTTCTAGCAAACTATTAGATTATAATCGTTCCAATTTATAAAAATTAATGTAAAAAAACACATATTAATTTTACTGTAGTACTTATATATCATTTTAGAATAAAAACATGTGTCTTAGCATTATTAATTTCTCGACATTAATTTTGCCATTGCATGCCTAAATTGAACAAGCTGACACACTTCAACCATTATTGAAAAGTTCGATGTCGATTGATGATCCACCCGACCTCAATTCCCTGCAGTAGAAAATAACACATTCCATAATATTAATTAATTTGATTAATTTAGGGTTATAATTATAAGTAAATATATATATATATATATATATTTATTAGTTACCACAAACGAGGGGAGGGAGATTGCACTGTGCAGGGATGCGGGCGGCGACGGTGAGCATGTCGCACATGCACTGGTGGTCGGCACGGCGGAGGGCGCCGCAGCAGTCGGAGCTAGGGTTGACGGTGCTGCCGGGGACGACGAAGGGCGAGCACACGTTGAGGCTTGTGATGGAGGAGGAGCAGCTGTTTGACGCCTCCTGCTGGGCGCCGGCCGGAGGAGCCACCAGCACCGCCACTAGCACGGCCGCCGCTAAGGCAACTGCGGTGGTGATCGACGGAGCAGCCATAGGTATATGCATTTTGGGTACGTGGCGGGATCTGAATGGTTAGTCGTATATATATTTATAGTTGGGTCTGAGGCGGGCAGCACTTTGAATGCATGAACAACCTAATTGATTTAATTGGGATATATATGTGGGTGGGGTGGTTCTGTCATGCTTTATATCATTTTTTACGATTTTTTTCCCATAAAGTATAATAATCATTGAATTTAACTTTTTTATGGAGTATTAAATTAGTATATATATAATTTTTTAAAATATACTTTCTTAGTTTAATTTCTATTATTCTAAAATATATTCACACGATTATTTAGGTAATTGTTTTTTAGTTATGAATGATAAATTTAACAAATTTATCCGTATAGTAGAGATGATTAAAAATAATAAATAAATAAAAAGTAAAAATATAAAATTTATATTTAAAAAAAAAAAAAATAAATAAATAAGACAATAATTGTTGATATTATCATTAATTAATAAGGATGCTTACAAGTTACAAACGTGAGGGGTTATTAAGTTAAAACAAATAATTACAAAAAATGTTATCGGAAAATAAAATAGAGTATATATACACTTGTATAAAACGGTTTGAGTCCAATTTTTAGGGTTTTATTCTGTTCGTCTTCTTTGCAGTTTTCTCGCGCTCGCTCTCGCTCTCGCTCTCGCTCTCGCTGCTGATTCATCCATTCGATCACTTGAGTTTTCCACCATCGGTATGGAATTTGCTTTAACTATCTGTTTAATTGCGTGAATTATAGACCGTCGCTCACTGAAATTTGTTGTCGATTTAATTTTTAGGTTTTGAATGTTTCATAATTTGGAAATATCGAAATACTAGTTAGTGATAGCTTCTATCGATTTTTAATGAACACAATGAATGATTTCTGTGTGAATGCTTGATAAATTTCTCGTGAAATTTTGTGCGATATGGGTGTTTATCTCTACGATTAACCTAATCGCCGTTTAGGATATATTTTCATTGTGTTTTGTTCGTATACTACATAGTTTTGGATGTGGAAAATGCGTTTTTCTACTTAAATGGTGCAATGATAAACATGTATGCGTTATGTTAGATTTTCGTGCATGTTTTTATTTGTAGGTTTAGGCGGAGTTTGTTCGGGGAATTCCATGGATCTCAATTTCCAGTGTGTATCGAGCAAAATGATTGGGTTTGTTTAGGTTATATGACTTCCTTTAAATGTTCTTCCCTCAAATAATAAAATAAAAATGTGCTGTGGAAAGATAAGAAAATTTTTTGAAAATCCATGGGAACTCTTCCACGGCTGTTTTTATGTACTACTTTTACCGGTGTATACTGTAGCAAGTCTTGCCATTGTTGTGACATTAACTGCAAAAAAAAATTGAATGAAAACAACAATACAGGATTTATTAGGTTTGACTCTGTGCCTATCTCCACAGGGGCATGGTTTAATTTTACAAAATTGACCCTGTGCTGTGATGGCTTACTTCTATATCCCTTATTGTTATGCAGAATTTCCCACGAAGTGTAGATATTGTTGCTCCCCATCAGCTACTGTTCTCTATATGTTTTTAAATATTCGAAGTAGGTCCCTTTGGATTGAATTTCTGTCTTTCTTGGCATCATAGGGCATCAAAACTGCTGCATTATTATGGCTGGATGTGTTGTATGTGTTACATTCCAAATTATACCTAGTTTCTATGTTTTGGAATCCTGAGTATGAATGCATATTTGTAGTTTTGTTTGTGATAGACATTCAGAATCCCCGACTTTTTCCAGTCTTTCACTAAATAGATATTGTTTTAATGTTTTTTGGGATCTCTCCTGTGAAAGTAAACTCTTATCAACACACCCTTATACAGGAACACATAGTATGGGAGCTATTCGCAAGCTCAGTTCCCACCTTGTCTTACAAGGCATACAAATCCTATCTTGGGAATGAATGGAAGAAACCGTTTGCTGGATCATCCAATGCCATGGGGTTTGAACCTGAGAAGATGTTAGCATCCATTATGTTCTTTTGGTCTTATTAGTAATCTATCTTTATTCAATTAACCCTGAGCATCCATATATTTTTGCAGAGGTATTTAAGCTAAACTGCTGAACTCCGCCATCCATAAAATGGCCTGGCGTTCAGCTCTGCAAGAATGGCAAGAATATTGCTGCTTTTGTCCCTGGTGATGGGCGATGGCTGTGTAAGCTTTTCGGAAGAAAATGTGAGTTACCTTTATTAGTTTTTTCCTTTGGTATATTTGATGATTATTCTCATTTATGCTGGATTTTATTTTGCTCTATTCGTTCGGGAACACTAAATATCAAATATAATATTGGGTTCAATTTTCAAACCTTCAGAAACATGGTATGGAATGGGTTCTTCTTGTATTAATTATTAAATTGTTTTTATTGGGTTCTGAATTTACCATGTGGTAAACGGGCTTACCATCTTAATTGTAATTTGGTTTTCATTTGGTCATGTGGATATCTGCAATTAATTATTTATAATTAAAATTGTATTATCTTTAGGGGGGAAAAGGAAAAGTTTGCTTCTTTGCTGATGTTACAGTTTTGCAGGAAGAAGGAAGAGTCGGGGAACTGGCAGAAAGCGTATACGGCATGGAATAGTCAGGCCTTCAGAATTTGGCCCTACTTTAGAACGGGCCGATGGAGTTTAAGAAATAAATCAGAATGAGACAATTTGAATTGGGCCGACATTACGCATTCACAGCACGTGAGCTACTCAGCTCTCAGCCGACAGCGCGTCTGTCAAATGGGCCTATTGCTAATGGGCCGTCATCAGCTTAAACTTTTTTGACCTACATCAATTGAGCTTTGGGCACATGTGTTTGTCGGTGCTTCAGTTGAACATAGAAAATGTTGGGCTTCTTTGATTGGGCCGGCTATAAATGGGCTTGTCCGCAATAGACCCACTAGTTAGTTTGTTGTCACGTGAGCATGTTGTGGTCCGTGTCAGTTCAACAGAGAGAATGTTGGACTCGTGTGCTGGGCCGGTTATATGTACGATAGTCACCGATAGGCTAACAATACATTTCTTATCAATTGGGCCTCTTGCTAATGGGGCACCATGCATAAATTTGGGCTGACTTAGTATTAACAAAGAGAAAGTTGACCTCTTTAGATTGGGCCACAATTCGTCGGCTGTTGGGTTGTAATACTGGACTCAATCTGATTGGCCCACCACACCTGGGTTTGTCAGAACTGAACCAACAGTGAATGTTGGTTTATTGTGGGCCTGTCGGTCATGGGCCGACATCAGTTTGGGCTGTCCCTGTTACAAGTTGACATTGCTGGACCTTATTGTTTGGGCCGACAAAACTTGGGCATTTAAGAACCTGATATGTTGGACTAGTCATTCATGGCCTAAATCAGATTGGGCCGTCTCCTTTTCAATATAGAGCCTGTTGGGCTTTCTCCCGTTGGGCCGACAACATATGGGCTTGGCGGAAGTTAGCCAACCTCCATGATAGTGCCAAGTGGGCTTGTCCGTTATCAGCCAACATCAATTTGCGTCGGACAGTGTGTTGATGGGCCTGTGGAGATTGGGCCGAAACAAGTGGGCTGGTCGGAATTCTATCGACCGTTGGTATTATGCGGTCCTGGGCCGACAACAATCTGGGCCTGAGAGTGTATTGATGGGCATGTTGGATTGGGCCGACAACAAGTGGGCTTGTCGGAATTCTATCGACCGTTGGTATTATGCGGTCCTGGGCCGACAACAATCTGGGCCTGAGAGTGTATTGATGGGCATGTTGGATTGGGCCGACAACAAGTGGGCTTGTCGGAATTCTATCGACCGTTGGTATTATGCGGTCCTGGGCCGACAACAATCTGGGCCTGAGAGTGTATTGATGGGCATGTTGGATTGGGCCGACAACAAGTGGGCTTGTCGGAATTCTATCGACCGTTGGTGTTATGCGGGCCTGTCGGTCCTGGGCCGACATCAATTTGGGCCTGAAAGTGTGTGGATGGGCATGTTGGATTGGGCCGACAAGAAGTGGGTGGTCGGAATTCTATCGACCGTTGGTATTATGCGGGCCTGTCGGTCCTGGGCCGACATCAATTTGGGCCTGAGAGTGTGTAGATAAGCATGTTGGATTGGGCCGATAACAAGTGGGCTTGTCGGAATTCTATCGACCGTTGGTGTTATGCGGGCCTGTCGGTCCTGGGCTGACATCACTTTGGGCCTGACAGTGTGTTGATGTCATGTTTTATTGGGCCGAAAACGAGTGGGCTTGTCGGAGTTCTATCGGCCTTTTGTTGGTTTTATGTGGGCCTGTCGGCCCTGGGCCGACATCAATTTGGGCCTTGAAGGTAGACGTTCCGGGGCCTGTTTAATTGGGCCTATTTGTTGGAATTCAACCGACCGTGTATGTTTGTGCTATGCGGACTTGTCGGTCCTGGGACGACATCAATTTAGGCCTCCAAGGTAGACGTTGCTCGGCCTGTTTGATTGGGCCAACAACAAGGGGGCTTGTTCAGTTTTAGTGTTACAGGGCTTCCGTTCATGGGCCGAGATCAATATGGGCCGTCTAATTTTCACAATGGAGCTTGTTGGGATAACGAGAGTCAATGGCTGACGACATAACAAGCCTATTTTTATCGCGTTGACTTGCGTCGACTTAATGGGCTTCGACCGAATGAGCATTGGTTCTTTTTCCCTCTCTTTTTTGATCGGCAGCTTTGGTCCTTCCTTGTATAGACTACACGTTTTATTTTGGGAAATTTTGTGTATAATTTATTAAGACATTTTGGCAATATTCATAACCTCGGAGTCACTTGTACGCAGTATAGTACCCAAATATATATATATATATATATATTATTAAGATTAACAAATTACGACATACAACCAGAATTGAACAAACCAATATACATACTTCAACCATCGTCAACCCAAAAACACCTAACCAAGCACATATAACATGTTGTGATTCTACCCCCAATCAACATCCAAGGTATAACTCAATAATCGCATATTCAATCCAGTTAATATAACAAAGAAATCAGGAATGGATTATTTCAATGAAAACAAAATGTCTATAAAGGCAGCACAACAGCTTCTAAATCTATAAAATGATATAACCTCTTGGCATTCAAGCAAGGCTCAAGTAAAGATAATACGTAATCCAGAAAACACATATAGCTATACGATTAACAAGGTAGCATAGAGAGCCAGAAAACACATATAGCTATACGATTAACAAGGTAGCATAGAGAGTCGCAACACAAATTCATTAAGGATATTATTTACGCGCACTTGAAAAAACATTTTCGTATCTTCCTGCACCGCTTGAGAGAAGATCAGCTTTGATACGAAAATGCTGTTTCAAGTGCCACATGAAGAACTATATTCAACAACCTGAAGCACAGCCCTACTAAAATCAGCAGATAAAGGATTCTACATAATATACAGTATAGGTTACTGTGGCATAGAGACTGGAACACAAATGACAGCTTTGATAAAGAAGCCCCTTGGTATGGTAATCAATTTGATGTAATTTTGTAATCCTCAGATCACTAAAGGAGCTGTTTGCAGGGTAGGGTTATTAGTCCTGGATTATTGTAGAATAACATTAACCCTTGAAAGTGTACAAAAAAGTATAGAATGATTACCAGAATACTAGTGTCATAACTAGCCCACAAGTTGCACTCGAAGATTGTTGACAAGGTTGCCTTGAAACCCAGAGGGCTCCTTGTTTCTTACACTGACTAGAAGCATCAAGAACCCGGATGTTACCAAAGAACCCAGTCATGACAAGTTCCATGTACAACACAATAATAATCTGCACTAAAGGAAACTATAAAGTTTGTCCAGAAAACAAGGAAATTAATGAACAGCATTACGAACTCCTGCAACAGAATTTTTGGGACAGACAACTGACTCATATTTCTACATTAACTAGAGGAATTAATTTCTGACCTGTACCAGCATAATATTTCAACCATTACTGACTGACCATACCATTAGTTCTTGTAAATGGAATGGCAGAGCTAATGGGGCTTCAACCCTTACTCTTTATCCCCATCTTTGCCCAGGCTAAACGGGGCCTTACTTATGATGGGAGGAGATTTCCGAAGGGATAGGCACAGGATGGAATACTTACGTACCAACTTGTGGACACACAGCACGTTCACATTCATCCGTCACAAATATGTAATTTTATAAATGATGATTCTTTGACAGCAATGAAGGAGGCTGATAATGACTAATTCACTTAGCTCACCCTACTAAATTATGTTAAGATACTAAAACCATGCTTAGTCTTGCTTTTTCATTAGCAAGCACAATGACCCATGTGCTTCTGTTTTGTTCATAAATGTCCTCTGTGCAAACTTGCAACCTTATGCTCTGCAGGATAAATCTAATTCACAAACAACAAACTTATGGTCAACTTCACGACAATCCTGTGGGAAAACCCCATTCACACGACACTAGGGATAGACTAACAGATTCAACAACATGCATTTCCAAAAATCTATTACCTCATTTCTTCAGTTCACAATTTCATATCATTAACCAACACAAGGAAAGGAAAAGAAAATTGACAAACTACCAGAGTAATGTAATGGACTAAGTACACCAGATGGATCCTTTTAATTGATATGGAAACAAGTACATCTGCAATTACTTGAATAAATACTCCAGGACAACAATCCTACATCAAGAATGACATCTATCTAACGTGAATAGCAACTTGAAACTTACTTTCTCTACTTCAATAAATAAATAAATATAAATATGAAGTTTCTTCCCCAATGTCTTGTGCACAAGGTGTAAGAGAATACTTTTCAGCAATATCGAAACGGATGAAAGTACAGAAGCCATTAAAGGGATTAACTAGAGTGATTGTGAGTTTACTCACTATACTCCATCCATAGGCATTCTATTGACTTTCTTAAATGAAGTAAAGAACAGAGAAGTTGGGAATATGGAATAGAAAAGGTAGTTGTTCGAACTCACCTAATCTGCCTCACACTCAACTTGTAGATTTTTGAAGTGGCTGACTATGCTCAAATTAAACTACCAATTAAGCACAATGAGTCAAATTAAGCACCACAAATAAACAACTAACAGTACATATGCAATTAACAGGTCTATTGTTTCATTGATTAACTATCCAATCAACCACTGCATGTACGCAAATGAGAATCAATATACTGTCCCAAAATGCAGTTAACAATGATATTAGTTCGCTCTCATAGAGAGAAAGAACCTGGCATCAAACCATTGCTCAACACAGAGTTGCAACTCACACAATAATCAATCTGAATAAAGACCAACAATGCAGTTAACAGAAAACAGAATTAATTACTTGTTACTGAATGTACAAATAGCAGGAAGAAAATTAAACAGTACTGGGAATTTGGAACCACAAACCATACCAGATGTTGGGCGTAATTATGGTCTTGCCATGGGATGATTGGTTGCGAGGTCCTGGTGAGACATCCTAATGGTTGTACCACCCACTCTAAGACGCCTTCATTTCCCTTTCCCCCACCGCGTCTCTCCGCGCGTGTGAATACTGCGGCGGAGCGTGGTTACCGGGTCAATTACCTCATTAATTTTCAAATAATCACGGTAGATCCACCCTAAGACGCCTTCGTTTCCTTTCCCCCCCATCGCGACTCAAGGACCGCGCGTGTGAATATGCCGGCGGCGCGTGGTTCTGGGTCAATTACCTCGTTAATTTTCAAATAATCAACTCGTATCCAACCAGAACCGGAAGTTCCAAGGAAAATCAACCAATCGATCAAACCCATCTTCTTAGATCAGAATTAATAAAATTCATAACTGAACGCAGACCACGATCAAAATAAATTACAAGGCACTCTACACAACTAATAATTAACACACCACGCGGAGACGATCGACGACAAAATTACCGAGAAACCACCGTTCCTCTTTTTTACCTTGTAAGCTAAATAAAGAACATGTGAATTTGAAAAGGTTAGGGCATTCGAAACCTAATGTCACGAAGATCCAGCGGTTTAAATATATGTGAATTTGAAAAGGTTATGGCATTGGAAACCAAAGGTTAGGACAACAGTTCAATAAGCCAAAAGCGCACGCCGACATTGCGGGGCCGGGCGGGGCCACACATCCACATTGCATATTTTGATTTATATAAATATTAATATGTATAAATTGATACTCTAAAATAATTAATAAACAATTAAAAGTATATTAATGAAAATGATTATGATACAATACAAATTATTATAGATTAAAATAATTTAATTAGAATTAAAAATATATATATATATATATAAATTATAAAATTTAAAATATAACATAATTATGTTCCAAAAGCAAAAGCAAAAGAAAAAGAATTATACGGGACCAAGAAGATAGATTAGGGGGAAGATCCAACTGCTGAAAATTACACAATTAAGATAAACACATGTTTGTTTGTTTGTTTTGTTTTGTATTGTAAAATAATTTGAAGGAGCTAACTGTTGTTCTATATGCAATAGCAATAGCCACCAAATCTATTAGGTCCATCGCAACAAACCTATATATTTATTATATGGTGAGAGGCCCTACACCCTCAACATTAAAAAGGATTTCGCAGTGAGCTTGGGGTAATATTCATGGATGTTCAGTTCAATGAGCATATACAAATTGATTGTGGGTAATTTATCTTCTACAAAACGTTTTAGGATGCTAAGTATGAATGCCTAAATCAAACATAGGATTCACTTCAAACATTAATCAGTCAAGAAGGATTTATGTAGAGCAAAGCAACAGCTCAAATCCAGATCCGCACAAGCGCAATTAAAAGCACAGAGATTCAACCAGCATAAAAGAAACGAACTCAAAAAATCACAAAATTGTGTGTGAAAATGAACTAACCTTGCTATACGTAAGAGTCATCCAGCTCCACTCCCAACAAGCTTCTGCACAGATGGATTCAGGGAATTCATTGTGGTTGCAGTGCTAGGGCAGATTGTAATTGCCCTATGCCCTCAAGCATTATCTTAACAAGAAAATAAATTTTGTTGGAATTCAAAGCTGAGAACCATGTGTCAAATGCAAGTAGCCATGACTATGTAATGCTATCATTCAGAAACCTAACCCGTGAATTTCGGGTAAAACTGTTGCCACAACAAAAATGCAAAAATATATAAAAGATGTTGAAAAATTCCATCACTCCCAACAATTCAACATATATTCCACTCATTTTGAATATACAGATCTAAGCTAATCAGCAGCAAACCTCACAAAAACTGCAGTGATTGAGGAAATTTAATTTTTTCATCATCAAAATTTCCTTACATGTTAAAATGCAATCATATTTATGTATTTCCGACACTAGCATATGGCATAGCATACAGAAACCATTGTAAAATGAGGAGCATTCAATTCAAATTAGATAACAGGGATACTAGTTTCTGCTTACAGTAAAACATGATGACTGTCCAAAAAAGAAACTAGGCATAGAATGAAAAGATATTGCTTTGAGCATGCCTAAGATAAAGAAAAGAAGTTTAGACTTACAATCACTATCTGTCTAATAACCCAACTATCTGCTATAGTTGTTCATCGATTGACGGAGAAGAGGCCATCGCTATAGGTAACCGACCAATCCATCCCTTGCCTTTCCCTTTTGTCTAGGTACCTATTTTCCCTAAATGCTTATTGGCGCCTGTCATCAGTTCAAGCAATCGATCGTTAGGGCATATTTCCAGCTCTACAGCACACCGAAGAATTGCAGAACTTCTACGACTCCAGTCAAGGACACCTCTCGATAGTCCACGTTACCACAGTGGCCGAGAAAACTATCAGGCAAAACAACAGACGAAATAAATTAGGGATAGAGTGTAGAAAGGATGACTGGTCGGAGAAAACAACAGCCAAAAAAAAAAATAATAATAAATTGTAACCATACATATTCAATTACAAACCAAGGGCAAGGGTTTACGAACGTATCTCGACAGCGCCGCCGCCGGACGAACGGCCGGAGATCCTCTCCGGTTAGTGGAACGCAGAGCAAATCAGAAGGGACAACGAAACCTACACCGACTTAAACTAAACAGTGGGCTCACAATCTATAATAATGACTTGTTTGCCTGTTCCGGTCCGGTCCAATTTGATATAACCTAATTATGCACCGGGAACCGGCCCGGCCTAATTAACCTTCTTGTAGGCCAATGTCCAATTTTTATTAATGGGCTGTGACCCAATTGAATAGTATATCTTTTTCTTTTCTTTTTTAATAACATGAATAATAGACTAATAGAGTATCAAAATAATAATTAATTTAATTGTAATAATGTAATTAGTAGTAGCAGTACTTGCTACTTGTTGTACACATAACTAATAGAGTAAAAAAAAATAGAGTTCATGTGTTGCACATTTGGGGAGATTATTAATTAATTATAATAATGTAATTAGTAGCAGTAGCCGTACCAAGTACACTCTCTAAAGTAGACATTATGCAAAGTAGTAATCCGTAGTAATTGAACACTCTTAAAAGTAGTAATAGCACTAATATAGGGTAATTTATTAATTTAGATGTGGAATTTTAACTAATATATATTGAATTGCAAATGCTAATTAATTATTTGTATTCTGTTAAAATTGGTGATCGCACTTTTGCATCTCTATAAATTACAATAATACACAACACATGAATATATACATATATATATATACACATAAATCTGTGTGTACATATAATTAAATGAAGCCACGAAATCCATGCAGTTCCTTGTTCGTTCATACAAAAATATATTCAATATATTTAGTGAAGAAACGTATGCAAAGCTGGTTATCAACCTTTTGCACACATTGATATTACTAGTATAGAATGAATTAATTTTGAGAAAAAAAAAACACGTTGCTTGATAAATTACATATACTATCATAATATTTTATCTGATTATTTGATCACATGATTCTATAATAAAAAGTAATTTTTTTTACTAACTACCAGATAAATTTATTAAGCATTATTATTATTTTATTTATTTAAAAAAAATTCTAATATTCAACATCGAATCAACTCCAAGCGTTTCTAAAAATGATTGTGTGAATTTTTATTTTATTTTATTTATTTTTTAAATTTAAATAATAGATTATATGTAATACTATAATTTGTTAAATGAAATTAGAAAATAGAGCCTAAAATAGCACATCCATCGGCTCAATCTCTTTTATTATCAACACATGATGACATGATAATGAATAATTAATAGGTGTGTTTATAAATGGTATGTTTATTTTGTGTTTTGATATTTTTTTTATATAAAATATAAAAAATATATAGATAAAAAATGTCTATAATATATTAATTTTTTTAAAAAATATGTTGAAATTTTTTATTAAAAGAACATAATCTTTTGAATATATATATAAATAGATCCATAATATAAAAAATAAAAAAAAAATTGTCTTTTGAATATACACATAGTTTTTTTATATTATATTATATATATATAAATAGATTGATAATATAAAAAAGTAAAATCATAGTCTTTTGAATATACATATATATATATATAAATAAATTGATAATATAAAAAATATATAGTATTTTTTTATGTAGATATTAGTTTATACTTTCTTTGTCAGATAAATGTGTGCTGATTTGATATAGATTTTTTATAAACTTATATAATAATTGTTATTTTTTTATAGTAAAAAAAATAAAAGAACAATTAGAAATGAGTATATATTTTTTGAAAGTTTGTATATATATTTGTAGTAGTATTTTTTAGAATATTTATAATAAAATCGTTTTAGAAGAAAAATTGTTGGGGGAACAATACAATTTCAAAAAATAATACTATTTTCGTCAATTTAGAATGTTTACATTTGTTTTTTGTATGTTAATCTTTCAATATTAATTATTATATTATAACATAATATAAATCAAGAGAAAAGAGAAAAATACTCTTATTAGGGTGTTGGAATACATATATATATATAATAATAATATTTGTATAAAAAATAATATAAATATAAGAATATTTTTAATATTATATATAATATCGTAGGTAAATATAAATTTAGTGGATGGAGAGAGTAATAAACAATATAAAATATTTTTACAAAAGTAAAGATAAAACAAAAAATTTCAAATACTTGTTACAAAACGTTAAAAAATCAAATTTCAACTTAAATTAATACTGTATTTTATAAATATTTTTTGACACAGTTATCGTAGCACACAGTAAAAAAAATAATAATAATAATAATAATCTCCTGTGTGAAGAGAGCCATTGTTTAACAATCTTATAAGATCATAAAAATTGGTCTGATTTCAATCACATTTCTAGTTGATCACAGCCAATTATTATCCTCGATCTCGATTTTCAGAAAACAGGATGATCCAGTATCTTCTTCTTCTTCTTCTTCTTCTTCTTGCTGTTCTATTTTTCTTACACCAATTATCCTGCGGACCGTTGAAGCATCTTCCACCAGGTCCGAATCCATGGCAGGTTTTGAAAACCCTACACCAATTCAAAGACAAGCCTCACGTCGCTCTTTACAGCCTGGCCAAAACCTACGGCCCGCTAATCTCCCTCAGGCTCGGGGGACAGCTGATCGTCGTTGCTTCCTCGTCCGCAATTGCTAAGGAGGTCCTAAAAATCCACGACAGACCTCTGTCGGGAAGGTATCTTCCATCGGCGTGCTACCAGGTTCCAGGAGCTCTCTCATCTCTTACCATGTCCAGAGAATGCAACGACGCCTGGAAATTCCTACGCGCCGCCAGCCACCAGAGCATCTTCTCGTCCAAAGCCGTCGACTCCGCCGCCATGGCCGGCGTCAGGAAGGAAAGAGTCGAAGCAATGGTGGCGCATTTGGCCGGAAAATTGGGGGAGGTCGTGAAACTCGAGGAGGTCGTGAGCATGACAGTTTGTAATATTCTTACGACTGTTTTGGCATCGACGGATTTGATGAATGTGAATGATGAGGATAAAATTAGGGTTTTGGTGGATGAAATCGTGGAGATGGCGAGTGCTCCCGGACTCTCCGATTTGGTCCCGGCCCTCAAAAGCGTCGATTTCTGGAGTAAAGCTAATGGCGTGAAGATGCAAGGGAAGATGAGGCGTGTGTGGCAAGATGTTGTCGGTGAAAGAAGACGACGTCCACGTAGCGGCGTCGTTTTGGATTTCTTGGACGTTCTTGTCCAGAATGACTTTCTTGATGACCAGATCAGTATCATATTAACGGTCAGGATCTTTTCAATCCACCTATATTTAATATTTTTTAAAATTTTATTACTATTCAAGCAATTCACACGGTCAACTACTTCTTTTTAAATAAGTATCACTTCTCTTTTTTTTCTTTTTTTTTCTATTAAGTGTCACTTATGATAAAGATATGAATCAATATAATATAAAAAAATGATACAGTATATTAAATTATTAATTTTTTAATAAAAATAGAATATATATATATATATGTATATAATATAGTATCTAATTGGATATAAAGTAATTGAGTAATGAATGTGATTCTTGCAGTTTAATCATGGATCCAATTCGGATTCTGTATATTGTTAGATTTATTAATTATATCAATATATATTTAAATTTATACCAAAAACTTGAACATATATTTACACAAGGGAGGTAGGTAGTATATTTTTTTGGTCAATGGAATCCTTTAGTTTTGTCAAATCAATATCAAATTGGATGTAAATATAGTTGGCGTTCATTTCCAATTTATACCAATTTTTGGAGTTCAATCATGTCCATGCCCAGTCGCGGACCCACAGTCCACCCTTTGCCCCCATCCCTACTTCTAGCTTATCTATACTTTTATTTATTAAGGGTGGTCTCCACTCTCCAGCCCCATTTTTTTTCAACCCCCCCCATTAATATATAAGTATATTCATGTTGGATGATTGGGGCTGGGCAAAATCGATCGGGTGATCCGTGCCTATTAAGGGTGTTTTGTTTTTCTTCTGCATGCATCATTGCCGACAATCTCTCAGGCTCTCAGCCTATGTCATAGGCTTGGACACATTTATTTATTTTTAGTTTTTTTCTAAAAAAAGAAAATAATAAACAGTCACATTTTGAACGGTCGTGCAACATTAAAATAGAAAATTATCTTCTTATTTTAATAATAATAATTTAATAAAATGTATACAATATATATATTATTTTATAAAGAGTAAAAATTTATATAATATAAATAAATAAATAAATAAAATATAAATATTTATTTATAATTAAGTACAATTTAATTCTCAAATTATATTATTATTAATTTTATAAATTAAATTCAATACATATTTATATTATTATATTTTTTATCTATTAAATCAATACACATCAAACTTCTTAAATTCAAATCAAACTTATAAATATAAAGAAACACAAAATTTCGAACTTTTAAATTTCTGACTTAACAGGAGCTGCTGATTGCTGGAACAGACTCGACTATTATTACAGTAACATGGCTGATAGTGGAGCTAATCAGAAACCCACAGATTCTCTCAAAAGTCCGTCTCGAAATCGCAGAATCAGCCATTGAAGAAGATGGAAGCTGCAATGGATCCATAACGTTCGATGAGTCGAGGTTATCCAACTGCGAATATTTCCAGGCCTGTATAAAGGAGACGTTGAGGCTGCACATTCCAGGCCCGTTTCTGGTGCCACATCGGGCCATAGAAGCCTGTCGGGTGAGGAACTACATCGTCCCTAAGGACAGCATCGTACTTGTCAACGCCTGGGCGATTCACCTGGATCCTGAGACCTGGAAAGATGCCTCCAGCTTCAGGCCCGACAGGTTCCTCCTACATTCGGACAAGATCGATTTCGTCGGGCCTGATCTCGAGTTCTTGCCATTCGGAGCTGGAAGAAGAATGTGCCCTGGATATCATTTGGGGTTCAGAAATGTACAGCTGGTGGTGGCATCTCTGATTCATTGTTTCGATTGGAGCCTGCCTGGTGGAGAAAACCCTAAAAATCTTGACATTGCAGATAAGTTTGTGACAACTTTAAAGAGGGAGAAACCTCTGTACTTGATTCCTAGAATAAGGGAGAACTACGCTGTGTGAATTGAACATTTCACGTTTGTAATATTGGAAATGATTAATCAAACTAAATGTACGAAAAAATTGCAGCAATATGAATAGACTGATCATTTATATAAGATGCATTGTGTTTCAGACAATTGAAAAAAGAGAAAAATAAATAGACTTTGAGGAGACAATGGATTGGATAATAACTAGTTGTAATGAAATAAAAATATCCAAAAAAGTATTATTGATATATTTAGTTGGATGTTATTTTTTATTTATTTATTTCTTTGGATATTTTAAATGGGAAGAAATATTGTTTTTGTATAGATAATTGCAAAATAAAATAGTAAAAAAAAATCAATTAAAAACAGAGAATAAAAAATAATTTATTTTCCAAATTTAAATTCTCTTATTCAAACATATAAGAAACTAAACACACCCTTAAATCCACATTTGCAATAATCTTAGGGACAAAATCCAAATTGATTATGAATTCCATGTCGAATAGATTGATTACACTTGGAAGATTAAAACTAAAAATTAAGATAAAAAGAACCAAATGTCGTTCCTACACACAAGCGATCACGCAGGGAACATCGATAATTAATAACTGGGGTGGTAATCAAACAGACAAGAAGACAACACACAAATTAAGGTAATCGAGACAGCTTAATTACCTATACATAGAGAAGCAAATTAACACATCTTCAGGCTCCACTCCCTTACAAGTACTACAGCAGCCACAACACAAGTAGAGATCAGTCTATGTTAGTTGTCCGTCCATATCATCCCTTCCAGCTGAAGTTCATGTGGTCGTCGAGCTCGCTGCTAAAGAACCCATTCTCCGCGTACTCCTGGGCAATGTCCGGAACCATATCATCCATCAAATGAAGGCTGTGTGCCGCCAGATCGGATTCCTTTTGCCCGTATCCTGCATGACTGACAGGGGCTGGAGATTCACTGTTCGATGACGAAGCCTTAAAGCTGTTGCTTCGGCTGGGGGGTCGACCATGGCTGACGGCCGACGTACTTGCTGAAGAACTCCTGAATCCGGGACCCGCTGAAGATATCTTCCCGCCGGGATGCTGCGGAATCGGAGGCCCGTTATTCTTTTTGCTCATATCCTGCAGCAATTGCTGGATCATCTGCTGCTGTAATGTTTGGCTTCCTTGGGAGGGTCCCGACAGGCTTTGCTGTAATAACCCGCTCATGCTCTGTGAATGCAGCTGAAGTTGCTGTTGCTGTTGCTGCTGTTGTTGCTGATGCTGTGGTGTCTGAGGGGTTGAAAAGCCACCGATTGCTGAAGATCCGGGTGTGGTTATGGATAAAGCCTGGCTGGAATTGTTGAAAGGAGAAGAAGCCTCTTGTTGAGCCGAGTTCATCGAGTTCTGTCTCATCAGCAGATTTTGGAAGTTGGTCAGGGCAAGAGCAGCCTGTGCGGAGCCACTCAAAGCTCCTCGAGCACCTGCAGGATGTTGGCTGTTGTTAACTTGGGCATTGAGCGCAGAATGCTGTAATGCCATTAGCTTGTTGAGTGTGTTTCGGTCGGTTGGCAGGCCCTGAAGCCCCTCGATCTGATCCATCTCTTGCATTCTTTGGGTCTGGACCTTGGATGCAGTGGTGCATCGAGGAAAGTTTTTCAAGCCCTCTGCAAATCAAAGTTGGCATGTTTAAACAATCTTACAGAGCACCTAGTAGATAGGATACACCAGTACAACAAATAGCGATGTCTTAAATGAACATCAGAAAATGATTGGGTGATAAAGGTCAATTTTTTTAAATACAAGAGCATTGGTGTAGTGTCCTTACCAACAGGACCATTTTTGGTCTCCCTGCAGAAATCCATCAAATCTTTCATGCTAGTAACTATATCAGCTATCTGCAGTTGACAGGGAAAAAAAACATGAGAGACCATGGTAGAGAAAGACAAATAAGCATTGAAGTGATTAAAACGGTCAAGACATGCCTGTAGGCATCGCACGTATCTTTTTGTAAACCCAAGATCATTTAGGGACGGTAGCTCCAAACACCTTGCAAGTTGACGCCCAGCAGTTACTACACTGCAGTGGGATATGCATCAAGTTAACATTAATAATGCTAGATTAAGCCAAATCTCTTGATCAGACAACTTCCTAGAGATAAATAATAAGAGACACCCCGGATTCAGGACATCTTAACCTTTTCTTTTGACACGATAAGTCAGAGAGCATATGGTACAATACATCTAAGTAAAGCTAAAGTTGAGGGAATAAACAATCAATTTTGTCATCTGGGTAAGCACACAGCAATTTGTGTACACAAATTCTGAATGTTTCTTTGAGGAATTGGAGCTTTCAGCGAAAAAAACTTTGATGACATGTAATTATATAACATCTATTTTTATTTTTTCCACTCAACATAAATGGCACCCCTACATTAAATTTCAGGCAACACTAACTGAAAGGCGCTATGCCTCTATAGGAAAAGTTCTTGATCAATTGATCACGAGCTCAAAAGTTGATGCATCAAGCATAACCTCTCTATGGATGATATTCAAGATCAATTAGAATTGAAAAGCTATCACTCACAGTGCACTGTTTGCCTGTAAATCTTGTTGAGAGACACCATCAGTCCCATTTTCAGATACTGTACTTTGACATTTCTGTGCAACCTGTAGCAATTGATTTACCTGCAGTACTTGTTAACATAAGTTACACCACCTAAACACGCCATATTAATAATCGATTTGGTATGCTTAAATGCATCAGTTAAATTCATCATTCTAGAGTGAAACCTACAATTCCTAATTGGAACTTAACGAAAAAGTAACACCCGGACATGGAAACAGTGTTAATAACCAATACAGTAACTGGTGATCCAATCACAAACATTATCCCCAACAAACTAATCTCGTCTAACATAGAAGAACAGAACAATAACCAAAAGTGTAAAGATATGTCCATTTTTGTGGCATCAATTTTAGGAGCACGCCCAAGAAACCCAACATTTAGAACGATCCTGAATCCTCGGGAAAAAAAATGAAGTAAAAAGTTATCCAGCATTTCCAATGCCATAGTGTGACCACAGCATCCAAGTTTTGCATTTGGTTGCCACAAGCCTGAAGGCATTATTTACTGCCAAATTGGATGTATATTATGGTGGCAAGCAAATATATTAATCAGATAGATTATTTAACTACATGTGATAACAATGCAAGAAAGATCCATTATATTATGACAGATCAATTAGCACGAAAAGTGCAAGGATAGAAGAAAATTCTAATGCATTCTGGAATATCATCACATCACAATAAGAGACGAACTCAGATATGAGCAATGAACTTTTAAAGTGCCATGATGAATTCACAAAAAGCATGTGTCTACCTGTGGTGCAACCAATCTACGAGGTAGAAGCTCTTCATGGCGCCTAGCACAAAATTCCCAAGACAGGATCTAAAGAAATTATGATAAGGTGTTAAATACAAACAACATGTAGATAAAACTGACAAGGTTTACGTCAAGTCAAGAAAGGCTTAGCTTACCTTTAAATCAGGTGTGAAAAGGATTCTAAGCTGGCCCTCACGAACTACACGGAGCTGTTCGTATATGCTCTCTTGAACAGCTTTGGCATACTCTAGCATCATCATCCCCGAAGGGAATCTACATTCACGAGGCAAATCAAGAAATAGAAGCTCATCGATGACCCCACTACTAAATTTGATTTCATTCAGTCTAGGAAGCACTTCAAAAGTTGCCTCTGTAGAAAGTAAAAACCAGGAAAAGGAATGATGTTAGATCTCTAGAATAAACACCCACATATACTGGGGATTCTCTACACATTTTCATAGACGTTATCAACTCAAATATCAGCTCAACTCCAAGTTTTCTGTCAACGTTCAATACACACTGTTATCAAGGAAAAATACATTAATTTAATTAAAAGAAAAAACAAGAACAACAACAAAGATCTTGAGTCAGGAAATGCCAATCTTCTGAAAAAGGATTGAGAATAGAAATGGTATGTCAATGTTCATAGACATAGATTTCAATTTGCATAACATCAAAGAGCCAAGGAAGTTGGTTACAATACAAGCAAAATAATGCACAGAATTTAATGCTGGAATTTGCATAATTTCATAATGGCCAGTGGAAACATATAGTTGCCATGCCACAAGATCACAAGGATAAGGAAAATATCTGTGGCTGTGTTATATCATTGCAATGAAGATAATGCTTCTGTTGCAATCTCAGTCAATGATAGACATACTACCACAATTTTGAATGTTAAATAGGAATTATTCCCAGGGCACGATGAGACTAATCCAGTGATAGTTATGCAATATTAAGAGATTAAGCAAATAGTAAAATAATCATGTAAACAACTTAGTATTTTCTCAGAAAAGACTACTTAAATATTGCACATCATTATAACTAATAAAAGTACACAGTGTGGGGGATGAAACACACCAAATCCTCGTCCAGACTTTGAACCACAAATGTCACATTGCCAAGCATCCTGTAGAAACAAACAAGGCATTATGTACCTAAAAAATGTCAATAAATGAAGATAAAGGAACTTAGTTTAGAAAATGGGAACAGATTATAAAAGATGAAATTAATGCTCCCAAACAATGTATGACTTTAAGGCACGAAATACCCAAATTTTTAATAGATACTTATGCATTCAAAAAGATCAAGCAAGACTACAACCGTTCAATATATAGCAAAAGCGTTACCATGGCTGACTGTGGGAACACCCCTACTGACTGATATCCAACATTATCATATGGGGATAGACACCACCTCTTCTTCGAACGTGGAGAGTAATATTCAGAGACAAATTTTCTCCAATAAGCAATGGCATTTTCCTATCAGCACAGACATAAATGACATTCCATCACTTGATACTAAAAATTGGGCAAGAATAGTACAAGCAAATGGGAAGAAGAAGATGATAAAAGGGCAAGTGCAAAGGAATTTCAAGATGGTGAACGCAATGAAATTCCTTACAGTGGGTCGTTGTCTCTGATGATATAAGTATTGCATTAATCTTCGGGAGCAAACGCCACCATCATAAGGTCGCTTTACAGCAGATGCAGGAGGGATTCCCTGCAACTGCAGCTGTTGTCTTAACTGTAACTGCTGCTTCTGCTGATGCATTAGCTGAACTCGCTGCATTGAGGGCATAGCCTGTAGAAGCTGCTGCTCTTGCTGTCTTAGCCGCTGTTGCTGCATCAGCGCTTGCAATTGAGGGTTCTGGTTATGTAAGTGCACAGGATCTTGTCTATGCAATAGCTGTTGCAAAACTTGTTGCTGTACTATATCTTCCTGCTTTATATCCAAACGGGGTTTCTTTTGAAGCTGAGATAAAGTAGTTGGGTCCTGAATGCAAGAGTTCGGAACCCGTGGACCACCAGGGAGCTGAACTTGCCCCATGCGTGGCAAAGAAGTGGCACTAGAACCTCCACGGTACTGCTGACTTTGCTGGGCTTGTTGAGAACTAGGATCTTGGCTGGAGTTCTGTTGCACAACAGAAGATCCATCCATGACAGAGGACCCAGAGATGCTAATGTTATTGGACGAAAACGACATCGGCGATGCAGGCAAGCGCATATAAGACTCGGTGTTAATACTAGCACTTCTTTGAAGATGAGGGCCACCAGAAAGCCCTGAATTAGCATCGGTTACCAAAGAACTTGCCCCAACACTGGGTCCAGAGCTAGCCACACTGTTCAAGATTGTGTTGCTGACATCCCCTGAAATAGGCCCCATGTTACCTCGTGCATGTCCAGCTAATGAATTCGCTAAGTTCCCAAAGTTCGAACTGAAATTGGAATTTCCTGCAACCTGGCCCTGCCCATCTCCTTGGAAAAATATTCCTGAACTCGAAGATGATTGTGCCATTCCTCCATCCGCCCGTGAAGGAACCATTTGAGGCTCTGATGGTTGGAAACTAAGACTCAGATAACTATTCACAGGCTGACCTTAATAATTATAAGTTAACCGTGGTGTATATAGCAGTTGCACCAATCTAAAACAAGGAAAACTCAACTCCATTTGCATCTCTTGGATCTAAATCTTACTAATCCTCAAAAAATCAAGCGAACTGAATCTGAAAGTTCTAGTTTGTCTGTTAAGCACAAGAAAAGCAAGACTTCAGGCAACAAATCGAAAACTCAAAAACTAAAGCGAACCCCAGAAAGCTCCCATCGACTACAAAGAAATCCCCAATTTCACCCACAAACCCTAACTTCCTACCGCTACAATTCCGACTCTAATTCAATAAAAACAGAAATCTTCTACAAACAAATACAAACAGGAGTTACCATTGATTAACAAACAAACTATAGCGCAAGCATCGATACTACACAGAAAAACCCCCAATTTGGTCCCAGTTTCCCGAACCAACTTCAGCAAATAAAACCAACTTCAATCAACTTTCATTAGGAAAGCAGAACTATAAGTTGAAAGATTAAGCTTCTCAATTTCATCTTTAACACCACAATTCAAAATAAAGATCTCAAATCTGCAATTAGAACTAATATCGAAAAAGCAAAAAAGACTAAGCTGTGCAGTTGGAATACGGTACTAATTTTTTTTTTTTCTTTAATCCTTTTCCAAAATATTACAACAATTACTGCAGTAAATCGGAGAATTATCAACACATGCTAACCTGCAAAGACGGAGCGACGAATCATCGGAAAGCATTCAACAGAGAAGAAAAGGAGAAAACAATCCGCTGCTGATCGGTGTTTATATGCCGAGCGGGAATCAAAGCAGGGGTGTGATCTCCTACACCGGGTGCAGGGTGCTTCCTACATTTTTGACACGTGTCATTGTTTAAACGGAAAGTGGAACTGGTGGAACTCGGAAGCGACTATTTGATACTGGAGATGACTTTTTCTTATTTCAGTTAGTATCATTATATTACCACTTTTAAAATATTAATAGCATAGAAATAATGATTTTGAGATTTTAATAAAATTAGATTGAAATAATATTTTATAAAAAAATAATAATAAAATTATCCCTTAGTGTAAAAAATGTTTTTAAAATGCTCAAATTTATTTACTGATTATTGTAAAAATATTTGGATAATTTTTTAAAAAAATAAGAGCTATGTACAAAAATAGAAACCAAACAATTGTTTTAGATTGGCGAAAAAGACAAAAATGAAATAATTTTTTTAAAACTAAAGAAGTATTTGTTTATTTATGCCCGAATTTAATCAATTGAATTATTGTCCTACTTAAAAAAAAGAAGCTATTTTGACAATCTTATAGTACTAATAATTTTTTTAAAATGTTTATCCAACAATTATTTAGTTTATTTATGTTTTAAAAATTATTTTTGAATTATTCAGTAAATTTTTTATAATATAATATTAAAATGTAGTAATTTTTATATGGATGTTTTGTGTTTGCATAAGATATTTGTTTAACTAATGTTTTTAATTGAACGATTCTATATAAATATTATTTAAAATACGATATTAATACAATATATAATATATATATTTTTTAATCACCTGCAAAATCAATAATTTAATATAAAATTTTATTTTTTATATTATCTATATAATTATTCATATCTAACATAAATATATATATATTTTTCCAAAATACAAAACAAAAGAAATTCTATATACATATTTTTTACTCAAAACTAATTGTAATTGTTTTTTTGTAAACATTTCAACCCTCACACTAATTATAAGAATTTTTTTAAAATCTAAAACAATTAAATTATCAAAATAAATAATTGCAACAAACTTACTTATCTAAAAAAAACACACACACACAAGAAAAAAATAACCCACTAACTCCAGCAGGGAGATGTTATTGTAAAAATTAAAAGTTAAAAATAAAAAATAAAAAATTTATAGTAATATTAAATTTGTAATTAAAAGTGAATTAATAAAATATTATAGATATAGATATAGTGATATTTACTATAAATAAATAAATATTAAATTAAGAATAGTAGTTAAATATTTATTTATTGATTTTGTCAAAATTTATAATAAAGTATATTTAATAAATGATCTAAAAATGAAAAAAAAAAAAAAAGAAAAAATGTGAGACAGAAAGGAATATAGAGTATCCATCCTATTTATGCAATTTGTATACAATTAGAAAATGGGTCATTATTGGGTTACAATTTTAAAATAGTCCGAGTAATAAATGGGCCAGGCCCATTAAGCTGTTTTTTTATAAAGGTTCAACTAATTATGATGGAATATAATTAATTTTAATAAATTAAATTTAAAAATATGTGGACCATATTGGATGCCAATAAAAGATAAAAAAGATATGAAAGGGACAAGGTGAGCTTCTTTATTTATATCAATAAAAGAATGTGTATATATATAATCTCATTTAATATCTTTATTGTGATGTTCAGAAATTTTTACCATGTCTTTTTGTTTTTTATTTTTTTTTTTCTACGTAATCTATTTTATTTATTATTTTATAATTTAAAATTTTCATATATTTTGAAGGCAAATAATTGTTGGAGTGTCGGTAGGAGCGCAAGTGTCGGTGGATGGAATGTTGTGGTCATCCGATTTATTTTCTTCATTCAAAATTCAATTATATGTTTCTGTTTGTGTTCTATTGTATTCAACGATTGTTTTAATATTTAAGATATTTTAATTATTTGGTTTAGTAATATATTATTTTAAATATAAATGAATTGAATAAATTAAATAAAATTTTTAGATTGAATGTAATATTTTAAAAAATATTAAGTCATGCAAATATAATTTGAAAGCACAATCAAACATGCTATGAACATAATGGGTTTGTTCTTTTTTTCATTTTTTTTTTGTGAGTATAATAATTTGTAGGATATGCTTTGTATGAAAATTTAGTATATATATATATATATATATTTATTTAAATTATATACTATAAAAAATAAAGAAAAGAATTTGAAGAAAATTTCCAATTAATTTGTACATCTGTTTTTCTCTTCTTAATTTCTCTATATACTACTCCTCTGTCCATTAACAATCTATTTATTTTTCAATTTTGGTATGTCCCATAACAAAATATTCACTTTTTTTTTTTTTTAAGTAATTGTACCATCTATCTAACATACTGTTCAAATTTACAATATATTACACAAATGTCATTACTTTTATATCATAGGGTTAATTTAGTCATTATATCTTTATTTCTACTCTATCATACTATAATACTAATATTTCTAAAAACTTCGTGCAAAAAGTAAATTGATATATAGATACGAGACAGATGGAGTATTATCTTTCTTTCAAATGTATTATATCAAAATTTTATTTCTTATTTAAAATACTATATTCAATATTTTTTTAAATAGAAAATGAAAATAAAAATACAAGTAAATCGATTATTATAGCAATTAATCACTATATATTTAGGTGATTAGTTTAAATTTTCACTTGGTATGTTATAGTAAGAGTAAATTATATTTTTTAACACATATTTTCATTTATGTAAATGTTGCATGATAAATATATATATATATATATATATAATATTTATATGTTTATGTTATATCAAATATGTGTATGAAACAATTAATTAAGTTGTAATGTGGCATTTGGAATGTGATTTTGGGCAGTTGGATGTTCATTTTCTAGGGCAGCTGGCTTCTCATTGTCATACTTTTATTTATTTAAATCCCAATTGGCATTTGAAGGGACATTTCATCAGAAATATTGGTTACAAAATGCCAATCTTATTATTATTATTATTTTAGTAGCTACAGTTCTAATAATAATAACAATAACTATAATTAGAATATCGATTTTATAAATCATCGATAAATTCAATCGGAACATACAGATTATAGAAACTAATATGTATTCTCAAAATCGTACACAATTTTATACAATACAATAATTAATTCACCACCAAACCGATCATGTCTGTAACAGTTGCTGCAAAATGCAAATACACAATTAAATAATTAATTATATGTTATATTACAAAAGTGGTAGTTCTGTCGTGAATGTGTACTTTTTTATATATAAAAAGAAAAGAACCTTTTAAGAAAAACATATAATCTATGATTATATATTTATCGAAATATATATGGCTACATAATATTTTTAATGTTAGGTACACTATTTTTATTATATAAAATACAACATACCGCTAATGAGTGTATTAGCCTGTGGAGATATTTTGAAATTATTTTATAATTTATAGTTTTTTTAATATATAAAATATTAAATTAAAATTTTATTTTTATATTATATTATAAATTAATTTTATATTTAAAAAATTATATTAAGATATTAAATCAAAATTATACTAATATAATATTTTAAATATAAAAATAACTATTTAAAGAAATATAATAAAAAAAATTAATTTAATATTTTTAAAGAGAAAAAAATTTGAAATAATAAAAGTGAAAATCACACAAGTAAATATACCCACCGTGTATTTTTTTATAATCATAAATTAAAATTTTTGTCAACCCAAATATGATTGAAGTATTCATGATCCAATCAATTTATATTTTATTTTTTTTCAATTCCGATATTTAAATATAATAATTTATTAAAAACAATATTACTTCAATCTTGGAATAAAATATTCGATTGTTTTCTTAATATATAATTTTAAATATTAGTAATATACTTTCTCCATATTTTGGGACGTCCAATTAGTAAACATTTCATTAAATACTTTATTTTTTTTTCCACAAATACTCTTACTTTACATCACATCACTACTTTTACACCAAAAAGTAAGGAAAAAAATGTCATTACACTTCTTTTAACTACCCACTATAATTAAAATATTATTATTTCTCAAAGATCGCGCCAAAAGTAATTGTATACTTTACGAGTGGACGAAGGAAGTATTAGTTTGCAGTACCGGTCAAAAAAATAAAAAAAAATAAAGTATCCCTATTAATATTGTATAATATAAATAATATACTAATATTTGTATTATATATTATAAATTGTAAAAATATTTTTTATATTACGTAGATAGTTCAATTATTTAGCAAAAATAAATACAAGTTTTTGCTTTGAGAAGGACAAAAATAAAATAATGAATAATTTGTTAATAAAAAAATATATTTTTATTAAAAATAATATAAAGTGAATATTGATATTTCTTTTAAAATTTAAAACAAACACACACGAAGCCTATTAATATGACAAAATGGTAACCTATATAGGTATATTTATATTTGATTAATGTTGACATTATATTTTATTAGTTTTTAAAATGATTTACCATATGATTAAAGAGAAATTTATGGGTAGATTATATAATTTTATCAAAGTTAAAAGTAGTAATTATTATGTCATGTCGAATTATATTTAAATTTTTAGTAACATGATTATAATACAATATAATCAATAAACTATATATATATATGTATATATTTACTACCAGTATATCATAATAATAAATAAACTTTTCTTTGTATTATAATTATAAAATAATTGAATATAATAAATGTCATTAAGTATTATTACTGCTTCTCAATTTCTTAACCCTTGGGCCCCACCATTCATTCATTCTTAACACAGCAATTAAGCAGTACAATCATTGCACGCGCTTAAAATTCCAAAAATGCCCTCGTATTCCGTACAAGCAATTTAGTCAGCATATTCTTTTTCTAGGGTCAACGGACACCTAAGCCCTGTCGTTTAGTTTTTGTAATATACTAGTATTAATTATTTAGTTTAATTCACCCAATTCCGTAAAAATTTCAATAATACTTGCAATTTTTTTTGAATTAAATCATAATGATCCAAACTTGTATTATGTAGTTTATTCCCTTTTAACAATGCATTTTACCAAACATTTTAAACTAATTCATATATATATATATGTATGTATGTAATATGTGATCTCAAAGTTCTATTCTGTTCGCCGTCCATTCAATTATTATATATATAAATATTTTTTTTCAATTTTTTCTTTTCTCCTTTTTACTCTGGGCCGGCGTCTCTCTCCGTCTGCGTTTGGAGTCTCTCCATTCTCCAGCCTAGCAGTGAGTGGGAGAGGCGGAGGGGGAGAGCACGGCGGAATCAGCTCGATGCTGGGTGGATTTACGGTGGTGAATTGGTGTTTTTAGGGGTAGATTTCAATCGGAGTAAACGCGGTTGGAATATTCGGAGACTCGAGGTTTGTGGCAGATTTCACGCAGCGGACTGGTTCCTTCTACATTTGAGGCTTTCTGTAAGAGATCTGAATTTTCTCGCTTTGGCAATTCAGCTAGAAATCGCATATTTAGTAACCGACGTTCGGCAGCAGTACCGCCGGGAGTTTCATCTCCGTTAATTTTTAGTTTTCGGGATATATTATCGGGTTTGACTTCGATTTTCTCCTGAAAATATTAGAGTGGGTGTTTCCCCATTTTTTTATGGTAAATTTCTGTTGTTAGATACATTTATTGGTGGCGTTGTGAGGGTTGAGGATGGAGATTCTATGTATGGACGCGTGTATAGTGTTTTAATTTCGCGTGACGCTGAGATTCAGAAGTTCGTATACATCTTTGGCCTTTTCTCCGGTCGGTTCTCATCATTTTTTTCGGCCACTTTGCTGAGTTTGGGATATATATGACTTCAACACAGATCAGCCTGCATTCAATGCTTTGATTTTCCAAGTTTTTAAATCTTCTGGGATATTCACCAGCGGCAATTCGAGCTATATATATATATCGAAAGGGCTTATTTGGTTTAGTCAAGATGATGCGAATGAAGACTAAACCTGATTCATTAGGGCCGCAAACTAACGGCGGCGGCGGCGGTGGCGGTACAGGGGAAGGCCGCCGTGAGAAAGAATGGGAGCTTAGGCCTGGTGGAATGCTGGTTCAGAAGCGCAGCGACGGCGACCAAGCCCGTGCGCCTCCACCCATGATTCGCGTGCGAGTTAAGTACAACTCTCTGTGCCACGAAACACACGTCTCTTCGCAGGCCACATTTGGTAATTCTCATCTGTCGTCCTTTCCTTCAAGCTTCCTCTGTTGCTATCCTTGTTTTTTCAATTATCTGTAGATATGATGAAATTGATGGACTGTTTTGGCAACTGCAGGGGAGTTGAAGAAAATATTATCTGGTCCAACAGGATTGCATCACCTCGATCAGAAAATATTTTACAAGGGAAAAGAGAAGGATTCCAATGCATATCTCGACACCTCCGGCGTGAAGGACAAATCTAAGCTCGTGCTCGAGGAGGATTTAATCAGCCGCGAGAAACGGTACCTAGAAATGAGGAAGAATGCCAAAACTGAGAAGGCTGAGAAAACCATATCACAAGTCACCTTAGAGGTGGATAAGCTGGCTAAGCAGGTAACTATTTCATTTCTATCTTCCTAACTAGATCCAATTCGACATAGATTTGATACTTTGGTAGAGTTTAATAAATCATTGGACTGGCATCATAAAATCTACTGTTTGATTTGAGTAGGTTTCTTCACTTGAAACTGTAATTTCTAAAGGCGGGAAAGTGGTCGAAAAGGACATAATAAACATGACCGATCTATTGATGAATCAATTGCTTAAATTGGATGGTATCATTGCGGAAGGTGATGTCAAGATGCAGAAGAAAAAACAGGTACGAGTCTAATTACAACTTGGTATCGAAAAAAAAGCAATTATTAAATGCAATCTTATTAAACATCTTTGTCTGCTAAAGGAGGGTCGAGTGCAGAAGTATGTGGAAGCTCTTGACATATTGAAGCTCAAGAATTCACCGGCAACCGGCAATGGAAAGATCCCAAATGAACCCCTCGTGCACACACATTCTAATGGAAGTGTTTCTTCGCCTGTCCAATCTCACAGGAACTCCAATGGCAGCGTCTCCTCCCCTGTTCAGAAGCAGCAATCTAGGCATTCGTTTGGGGAGTCTTTACTCGACTCCCCAATTCGACAGCAACCGTCGAGGAACTCGGCCTCAGGCACAGCTGTTGTAATAACCACACAGTGGGAAACTTTTGATGCTCCGCCAGCGCCATTAATAGGGTCTCCTTCAACATCCACCACGACAAAAAGCGCTGCTCCTGCTCGCCCTCCTCCCCCACAACCGAATTTCACTTGGGATTTGCTGTAAGTTTGGTTAAAGGTATTATCGAGTTTGGATTTGTTTTCAAGTTGGCTCGCTGTTGATGCTCCATTCTTTTCTGTACTTACGAGTTTTGTTAGCTTTCAGTTTCCTCATGTCTTTGAATCCGAAGAAGAATAAATGCGGCCGCTTGTAAGGGTTGTCGTTGTTTTATTATATGTTTGTCCGTATGCTGTTTCTTTCGGCCATCTGTCCGCATTGATCATACACCTACTTTTGTTGTTTCTTGCTATTACTGCCTCTTTTGAAACTTAAATGTACATTTTATTTCTCAGGTTCTAAGTGTCTTAAACTTGTTATGCTGTCTTAAGCACATGAACCTCTGCTTTTGTGTTTCTTGAAGCTGTGTGTGTGTGTGTGTTTGCCTTTTGGTTGAATAGAAATGTTGTCTATTTCTTTACTATTTTTGGGACATTGGGACAAATTTAGAAAATGGTCTGAAAAGACATAATATACCTATAATGGAAGAAGGGTAGATTTTGTAGAACTTGATGCACAGAAATGATGACCGTATGACCCTTTTATTTTCTTACAGATGTGTTAATTTGGGTCTTTAACTTCTTTAGCACACAATTCTTATTTCTTCATTGAAGATTGAATTTTTTAGGCAATATGCATAATTCACGGCGATATCTTGGAAAATATGTAAGAAAATTTTTTTTGTTGACTTTTGTTAAATGTCAATTGATGGTTTGCCCCCGTTACAATTTACAAAGGTGGTAACGAGTCATTTGAAACAGTTTTTAAAATGAATAATAATAATAATAAAATAATCAATGAAATTTAAAATAACAATTATAGTCATTAATTTGAACACATTTAAAAGATTGCTCGGTATACATGTTATTTCTTCTTGAATAATCAATCGAGACAGTTGAGTTTAGCAATGATTGTTAAAATACCTTGCAAAAAATACATTTGAAATTATAATAATAAATCGGTTGAAATTCATTTGATAATCAATCCAATCCCGTCATAAATAACAAACAACCCATAACAATAACTTCATAGAATTTTAATTTGATATTTAAGTGAAAACCATATTATATTTTATACTGTATGTACCAGTATTCCCTCAGCAATAACATAAAGTACGTACCGCAGTGTACTTGGAAGTCATGTGTTGGTTTTGCTTTCCCATGCATGTAATAACGATAGATAGATAGATACTGAGCAGATGATGTATCATATACGTACATTGATTAATAATGTACTTGTAGGCCAGTAAATTTGCATTTTGTGGTCCATCCCAATTTTGAGATATTAATTACTAACGGTACAATACATACGCAAGAACTACCGCGCATGCAAATCCGACGTTCTTTAATTAATTCACTATATATAACATCGTTACTTTATAATAGTTACTATAATAATACTTATAAATTAAAAAAATATATCCTAAACGTGTAGCAAGGCACCTAGGTAGCTAGCTAGTTTGTTGTTGTCACTCACAATCGTCCATTCCCCATACAGACATGATTTTAATGTTTCTTTTTGCTTACACTCTACTCATTTCATCAACAAACAAACATATTTCATTCATTCCTACACACGATTGGATAATAATTTATTGATAGCAAGTCTCTACCAAACTCTGCTGTAAACATGAAATAAAAAACACACACATAACATATATAATAAAAAAGAACAATTCAAGTACTGATCCCACGTTGGGGCTTCCTTCATTACATTAGACATTCTCCTATGTTCTACTTTGGTTTGTTCGTTACACAACTAATAATAATAATAATAATAATAATAAAAGATCATGTTGCTCAAGTTTGGACTTCTTCACGGTTCTTCTGATGCAAGTAAGGAATCGACGAACTCGTCGTCGTCGTATGACTGCAGCAAATGAAAAGATCGCACACAGAATAATTAATCAGAAACTCATCAAAATCTACAGACAGTCTCAGGACAAAAACTTGGGTAAATTAAAAATTCAGACATATATAGTGAAGTGTTTTTAAAACATATATACATACCTTGATAGGATCAGTCAGAATGGTGTTGGACGTGAACTGAGACGGCGTCGTTTGATCGAGCGATGGCAAGACATTGTTGTCCCATTGGTTATGGAAAGTGGACCTTGTCATGGTTTCAGTTCCATTCTGCTATGAAATCAAATAATTAAGACATCAATTAGTTAGTTAGTTATGTAATAAAAATTGAAAGGCTACAAAAAAATGTTGATAATGCTTACTTGGTCTTGTACTAAAGTGCTGTTGATGTAGCCTTCTTGATCCAACGGCTGTGATTGAGTGCTCATAAGGTTATCGAATACAGCAGACGAATCTGGCGGCGCCTGCACGTTCTGGTTATCTCCGACCACACTAAACCATTGTTCGTCCTCATGTCGATCAGATGCTGCAAATGAAGCAGAAGACACATGCTTTTCAAGATATTCAGAAAACAATTGATCAAGAGTACTAATGTTGCTGTCATTCGGCAAGGACAAGGTTGCATCAACATAGTCGAGGCCCCGGGGGTGATTTCCAAGCAGCGCGGCGCCAAAGCCCGTCTCCAATGGCATTGGAGTAGTAATGGAAGAAGCTGATTCCGGACAAATCGGGGTCGGGGATATCGAGTTTAAGGTTGTAAGAGAAGTAACAAAATCTTCCAGGGAGACATTGGAGTGATGAATTAGGTGCTGGATCATGATGAGGTCTTGATTGGTGATGTTCGAGGTTGTCCCAAGTAAAGTTTGTCTGAGGCTGGAAATCAGTTGGGGCTGTCGAGCTAATGCAACAAGAGTGGTGTAGTAGTCATTTGAGAAGGAAGACAGGGCCCTGTCAGCGTCAGGAAATGGACCTGGAAAATTATTATACAGCCCCTGGAATTGTCCGAATAGTGAGGAGCTGCCTGGATGATCCAGGACTGAGAAGCTAGTAGGGCTATTGTTATTGTTATTACAGCTCCTCATTAAACCTGCAGTTTCTGCCAAACAATACTGCATTTTCTGACTTTCTTCAGACACCCTTCTTAGGAACAGTCTGTATTTCTGCACATTCCACAAAACCAGAAATCAGTTCAAAGCTAGCTGTACATTAAGAGGGTGAGTAAGTTTGTTTGGTTTTGGTCTGATATTGTATCTGAATTCTATTTAAACTAACATTCAATAAAAAACAAATCTAAATTCAAATCAAAACCTAACAAATCATTCTATTTAGTTTGTAAAATTTGATCTTTCACTACCCTTAGAATATTCTAACACTAACCTATTTGTACTCTAAATATTACTTAGAAAAAAATTCAATTTTCATTTAAGACTTGTTTACATTACAACTCAAATTCAAATTATTAGTATTATCAACGAACACCAAACCCACACTCAAACCCCAATCTAAACCAAACCCTAAAAGTTTTACACAAAGTATATATGTAATTAAAACTAAAAGAATAATATTGTTACAAAGTTATTTAACAACAAAAAGTTCAATAATGCATGTAGTATCATATTTTAAAATTCTATGAATGTCTTAACGAGGGATCATGCATATAGTATATATTGAATGACTGAGCATAAATGTAACAGGTACGTATCAGTAGTCAAGAAAACATGAAATCTATAGTTTGATCAGAAGAATCAAGAATGAATGAGTAATTTTAATTAATTAATTAATTTGGACCTGTAAATGACTTGCTATGTTGTCTCTAGTCAATCCAGGCACATTCATGACCTCAAGAATCTTCTTTGGAACCGATCCTGATATATTCATGTATGTATATATATATATATATTCCAATCATAATTAATTAAGAGACACACACATACATGAATTAGTAGTTCAAAATAATAATCAAACAATTAATGTGAAAATAAAATAAAATATCCATGTTAATTAATTGCGTACTTTCGAGGCCGATGCTTCCAATGGCTGCCAAGAAGCGGCTATGCAGCTCGTCGTTCCAAACAACTTTGGCCTTTTTCGACGAAGAATAACTATAGGCCGGTCTCGGTTTTGGGCGATCTCTACTAGTCTCCTCTCTTCTTTTCAAATTACTACACTTGAGTTTGTTGGATGCTTTGGTTTCGTTGGTATAATAATGATCATCACTGTGGTCAGCAAATTGCCATAGTTTCATTACATCCTCTGCACGAATTGGCTTCGGCAAGAAGAAGGAAGACACTCTCTCTTCCAGCAGGGCTGTGTCAACTGACATTACTACGTATATAGCATGAAACAAATTAATCTTTTATTAATATCAATCAGGTCAGATCAGACAACATATTTATTAAGTAAATTTATTTTCTTACAGACGACAGGGAGATTATTGAATTCTGTTGCGATGGCTTGCTGCAGCTCGAAACCGTTGATTTCTGGCATGTGCACGTCTGATACTACCAAATCCAGCCTTTCCTTTTTCATCCGAAGAGTTCTCAATGCATCCTTTGAAGTTTTTGCTGTCACCACTGCAATTATCCATCATTTCCAAGTTTTTGATCAATTTTATTTATTTTTAAAGAAATGGCACACACACATACATATATATGTATATATATATATATATTGTTAGAGCCCTAATACGAAATAGATGAATAAAAATTTCCAAGTAGAGCCCTTGTACAAAATTTCTATCTTATGTTTGGAGAAAACAGAAACCCTAGGCATCTAAAAACCCCAATTTTTCGTACACACACACACACCTAATTGATGCTTGAATTAATTTCGTTCTAAGGGTTGAGATCTTTTGTTTGGAGAATTAAATTAGAAATCCCCTATCTTCAATAAAAGTGAAAGATAAAATATTAATAAACACACCTTGATATTTGAAATTCTAGAAACCGGAAACCCTAATAATCAAGCCACCAACCCCCCCAATTCTTCCAAACAATATGGGTGAATCATTAGTTATTAGTAAACACACACATCCTGACCCTTTTGAATTTCTTAGTGTTGAGATCTTATGTTTGGAGAAAACAGAAACCCTAATAATCAGAGTCCACCAACCAAAACCCCAATTTAAATTCAATGATAAAGAAACAGAAAGAGATGCAGACGACCTTGATACTTGAATTTCCTGAGTATTGCAGCAACAATGGTGAGACAAGTTGGATCATCATCCACAACCAAAACTCTGGTAGTTCGAAAGGATGGCTCAGAAGAAGAATGAAAAGAAGGAGGAGGAGGAGGAGAAGAAGAAGAACAGTAGACAGTAGGTCCACACGCCATTGTTGCGTATATCAAGAAACCTTGTCAAAAGGGGTTGAAAATATATTTATGGTGGAGAAGATGATGATGAATTTATGCACTTAATTTTGTGAAGGAACATTTATATATATATAATATATAAATTTATAAAACACCCAACTCCCTTTTTGAGGTCTTCAAGAAACAATCTGCAGGTGGTTTTTACTGCTAAACTGCCCCTGGTTTTGCTCCTGATTTCCCACTCTTTTATCCCCTAATTCCACCAGGGCTTTCAATTTCAAAACAAGGGTTTAACTTTTGTTGCTGGTTTTTGGATTTTTCCTGCTTAGAAATAGTAATATGTAGATACATATATATCTGTATTTTTGTGTGTAGAGTAGGTAACATTAAATGTTACATTCCATGTAAAGAAAGGCTCTTTTGGTTGGCTGTTGGCTTTAATTTAATTTCATTACATTCTTGGAGATCTTCTTGAGATTAAAATGGTGGTTGGAATCATTGCCATTTCTTGTTTTGAATTCTTTGAACAATCCTTTGTGGGAATTCTAGTGTTGCTGCTGTTTTTTCACCAAAAATATGTCTGGATTGTGATTGTTATATGAGATCAATATGAAGTCCTGAAAATTAATTAAAATTGAATGAAAATATTGGTCGATAAAATTAGAGATTAAAGTTGGATTTCAAATTTAATTTCAAGGATCTGAAAATTAGTTAAAGTTGTATGAAAATATAATTAAGTGGATAAAAAATTAAAATAATACTCTTTTCATTCCACTTAAAATTTTAATTTGTCATTTTTATCAATCTCGCTCAAATATATATATACTTTATATTTTCTATTGCAGAAGTAAAAGTATTCTTTTATAGAAATTACAAATACAATATTATACATAATGTTATTTAATACATAAAGTATATGTGGCAATTTTGTCAAAATATTACTGTATATGGGAAATACGTATCTTTTGAAAATATTGAAAAAGAATTTTACTTATTTCATAAGATATTTATAAAAAATAGATATGACATGAAAAAAATATGAGTTTTTATTTGATTTGGTTTGAATTCTTGTTGAAATAATATTTTTGTATTATATATTTTTTATAATAAAAAAAATATAAAAAGTGACATTTTTAAAAGACAAACAAAATGAAAAGTAAAGTAGTCCTACAAATTAAAATAATAATAATAATAATAATAATAATAATAATAATAATAATCTCAATTTGAAACTCAAGTCAAATACACCCTAGAAACTTGTTCTCTAGGTGATTTTTTGAACATCAAATCCTAAATTCTATACACTTTACATACACTAATTTAATACTGTTCAATTTATTGTATACACATTACATACACTAATATAATTTCACACTACTATTGAATTTCTATTTTAGAATGTAGGGATCGAGCCTATTAGATTTAGAAACAGAAAAGAAACCCAATTTCAAATGCGATCAAATTGGCAACTCAAACTAACTAAGGCCCAATTAGGCCCATTTTATCACCATTCATCATCCCAACCCACAAAGACATAAAAATGCCATTCCAAGAACAGCATAATAAATCCATGTGAGCAAAAACTGGAAATTAAAACACACGACTTATAAAACATCAAATAAATAGAAAGGCAGTGCATCATCATCATCTATCACACGACCAAAAGCCTTCTTTCTTTCTACTTGGTCTTCTTCACCAGAGCAGAGGTTCTGAACACGCTGTCATCCCTAACAAAGCTCCACCACAGATACGTCGCCGGCACCGTCGTCGCGTGCCACACCGCGTGAGCGTCCACCAGCCCCCAATATGGCGGGAAATCGCATATCTCCAACAGCAGCGCCAGAGCTCCTCCGAGCACCACCATCCACAGCTTCCTCCGGGAGGGATGACGGGTGGCGCCCGCCCACGCCGCCCACACCACCATCTGCACCCCTCCCATTGCCATGCAAGCTTTCATGTTCAACCCTGTCGTGAGTGGACGACAATGTCGTTAGACTGCAGTTACTCTGCTGAATTACATTACCGACAACACATTAAATAGCAACAAATAGTACTGCTAACACAATACAAATACAACACATAAACTGACACCATATAATTAATTTGCGAATAAGATCAAAAGAAGGAGCTCACCAAGGTTGAAATCGTAGAAGTTCAGATACAAAATGTGAGTTATCATGAAAGCGAATATAGGTGTGGCGATCATGACTCTCGCAGCCTCAGCTCTTATGTTGAAGGCGCGTACGATGGCTAGAAACAGCGAGTATGCCAATAATGCCACACCAGATGAGCAGTCCAGCCTCTCCGTCAGTTCAACATCTCTGCACGAGCACAATTTCAATACTATCTCATCAAGATCTTTAACAGCAGAGTAACTCGAGGCGTAGCCATAAATTTAAAACTCACCGACTGTGGAAAACAGCGCTCCAGAACCAGGTATTCATGGCGAAGATAGCATATACGTGCCAAAGCCCGGAATACTCATAATATGCTGTCTTGTTTGGCCGGAAAGGCAGTTTGTAGTTTATGAGAATGAAAAAGGACACCCACCCGTGAAACTGCACTGCAAGATTGAGCGCCGACAGTGCCACAGAAACGGGTTCCTGATCGCATAAACTAGTTTATAGTGGTGTGTTTATTTACTATAGGCTCTATTCTATTGCATATATATTTCACAAACAAACTTCAATGGTCACTACTAACCTGGAGTCCATAGACGCGCTTAAATGGCCACTTCCCGTGGTACTTATCAGGCTTGTGCCCGAGCTTTCGCCTCTCTTCCTCTCTAGAAAGCATACAATGGTAACGGCAATCGCTGCAGCAATCCCACTGCTTCCACTGTACATAAAGCGGTTCCTGTAGATACCATGGGCCGTCAACGGGGTTTCCATTGAACGAAAAATTGCAGTGCTGGAAGCATTTGGTCCCCACGCATCCAGTCTTCTGGCATTGCTCTACACAGCCCCTACAGCATTATGGAACTCTAATATCAAAACTTAAGATTTCCATTAAGACAGAGCTACAAACAGAAGAAGCTGAATAAGGACAGTCGAGTATTGCCAGGAGCTGTTTGTGATTTAGCTAAAACAAACTTTAGGCAAAAGTATGCAAGCATGAGCTAACACATGGTCCAGGAGATTGGCAAGAAATGTGAAATGGAAATGTCAAATTTAAAATTTCTAAGAAACTTGAATAAAATTAAGAGTTCTGCCACTGTTATAGCAATTTTCAATGGAAGCACACAACACCCTTCACCAAGATCTCAATACAAATTCCAAACTCGAAATGCTTGCAGCTATCGTCATGGTAACCATAAAAATTAAACTTGAGAATTATTGTTCATAAAGGACAAAATTAAGGGAATGCCCAATTGTTGTTGCCTAGGAATTCAATTGTTCACATAAATGAATAATAATCAACCCAAAACTTTGAATTCCCCCCCCCCCCCCCCCCTCCCCCGGCGTGATTATCATTCTACTGCATTTGACTGCATAAACCATTCTAAACGAATATGCACAGCAAGCCCTTCGACTACCCATCGAGAACAACCAAAGGCTTCTGAAATTCTTCGCAAACTAATTCACCATCTCTTCCCAATTTCGAGGAAAAAAAACTCAATCACTGGCTGGGAACTAAATCAGCAATTACAAAAAATTCGAATACCTTAAAGAGCACACAATTTTCAGATGTTCAAATGCTTCATTAGGTAAAAATGTCTCAAGTTCACTCCAACAACAAATTAACAAGGCTTACTTGTAAACCGGATCGGCATCGCCGGGGCTTCCTTCGAGCAATGCAAAAAAGGAAGAAAGGCAAACCAGAGACAGAACCAGACACCTTCGAGCCATCAGGTTTCACCGCCAAAAAAATAAACGGAAAAAGTCAACAGGAGAGAGCACTTTCAACGGAACAGAGCAAAGATCTTCGCGATTGATCACCCTCCAGTCCAATTGGAGAAGCGCAGCTCCTCTACACAACCAATTAGCTTGATGGTAATGATTATGTACAGAGAAATTCCCTTTCCCCCACCCTTATACCTCGCTTTCTTTCTGATGATACGTGGAGCGCAGTGAAAAAAAGGCGTCAATGGCGGTCGTGAAGGCAACCACAAGAGCGTAGTACTCTTGAAGAATCGTGATCTTCTTTGAGGCCTGCAAATTATACGTGGTTCCTCCCTGTCCCTGTGCAGTTCCTTCTCCTCCAGTTTTTTACAATTACACTCACAAAATGAGACATGCAAGACTGTCACGGAATATAGGCAAATTTGTTACCGTATAGATAGGGCACCGTAACAATTAAATATATATATATATATATTATTTATGATTGGAATATTTGTGCGTAATATTAATTACAAACAATTTTATTGAACATGTACTCGAATTAATTAAATAATAAATAAATAGAGCATATAATTTGTAGGGCTTTTTTTTTTTTAGAAATGATTATCGTTGGGTATTCAATACTATAAATATGATCCAAAACACAAAAGTCGCACTTTTAAAAAAATCCGTTTTGTTTGAAATTTAGGAACTGTAGAGAATAAAATGGAGGAGTAGTGAGCCACTTTATGGTGATATGACTCTGCGAGCGACTAAAGATACGACACGTGGAGAATCATCTAATGTTTATGATTTCCATAATTACCCCTTCTCGCTTGTTAATTTAATCGATAATTATTGGGCAGTGTATTTTAAATTAATTTTTTATGTCTCTATACGTGTACCATAGTCCTAGTCCTAGTCCTACTCCTGCACTCGGGTATCTTGTAGTATTTGTTAATTCTATTCCATTAATATTTTGAAGAAGGGAAATGCTTCAAGTCTCGGTCAAACTCAAAATGTATCAGTACTATTTGTTTAAAAAAAATTGAAATCTTAAATACTCCCGTAGACTATAAGGGACTAGTATATAAATATTGAAGTGGTGGTGATACCCAAGGCCACATACGTAATATTTATTTGTTGGGAGGAGTGCTGTGCATACGGATCATCGGATGCCATTGATATTGTCATTCATTTCATAAAAACATCTAAGGTTACATAAGTATATTAATTAATCAGAGTAGCAATAGGGGATTAGATAACATAATTTTTTTAAATTTTGCAAAAATAAAAGGATTTTTGAGAATTTATATATAAATATATTCCTTATGAACATTCTTTCAGTGGGAATAGATGAAATATCTTTCAAATTCCTATCTTCTTGTTTTATCAACGCTATTTTATTGTATTTGCACAATCCAACACTATTTATGTTAATTTTAATGTAAAATAATGATCAAGTTTGACATGAATACACTTTTTTTTATTTTTCCATTCAATTCTTTGAAATTGCATTGTTGTGTACATATGATTCCTTTTTCTTTCTTTTTTTTTTTAAAGAGTTATAAGGCATCAAAAATTTACTTTGCATGTGTTTTGAATTTCAGGTGTTTAGGTTAAAAATAAATGTTAATTTTGAGGTTTGAAGTGAAAAATAAGTTTGAAAATAGTAGATAAGGAGTATATATTATATATTTTGATATCATATTATATAATTACAAATAATAGTATAATATATTAGCCCAAAAAAAATTGATTATATTATACTAACACAATATATAAAACATGCAACAAATGTTAATACAATATATAATATAATACATTATATTATTTTATGTAATGTAATATTGTGATTTCAACACTTTAATCTTCTTTATTTTTTTTTTATGTAAAAGATATAAAATTATATTGGTTGATATTGATTGTTCATATTTTTAAAATAATAATAATATATATCGAGAATTTTATTATTGTATGATTAAAATTTTGATTTGGCAACCATTCCTTTAAAAAAAATGAAAAGAGGAAATATTAAAAAGCGTTGAGCAGTGAGGGAGCAATCAGCATTGAAGAATGAGTTATGGGTAGTGATGTGGCGTAGTCAGTGAGTAAGTCCCACTGCCCACTGGGGGCTTTGCTTTTATTTGGGAGGGCATATCTCATCTGACTCACTGTACAGTACAGAGATAGATAGACAAGCATCATAAAATAAGGTTTTAAATTTTTTTATATTATCAATTAAAGTATTTTTCTTAAAAAAAATATTATATTATTTTTAATTTTTTTTAAAAAAAATTCTAAAACTTTTGATGTATGTAAAAAATATCTGTGTCTATTGTCGTCTATCTGTGTGTCTCTAAATTAAGGCTACTACGATAGTATGTCGTTGTCACTGTCACTGTCTTCCCAATTCACAACCATCCAATGCTTCCAGTCATTTTCCTGTGCTGCTACACACTTCTCTTCGACTACTACTTCAACCCTTCCCTTCATTCTCATTTCATTTATTTATTTTTTGGGTGGCTTTGTCTGAATCTCATTCATTACCATCATGGATTGTCAAGATAAGGTTGTTGCTGTGGCTAGCTGATGGGGTTTTTTTATTTTATTTGTTGATATTTTCTAATAATTTGGGAAAATATTTGGGCCTTTGTTCACCTAATGGGTTTTAACTGTTTATAATGGGCCGTCCATGATTTTTGGGTTGCGTCGTTTACGAATTGCATTAAATGGGCCGCGCTGCTATTGGGCTGGGTTTAGTCCTTATACAGTTATACGGCGTCGTTTCATAGATGAACCTCTCTGGTTCTGGCTATGGTGACCTGCTGGATCACACGCACCACCTATGGCGCTTAAATCTGGTACCGCTTGAATGCTCCGTTTCGAGGTTTGTCTTTATGTGAATCTTGTTACGTCCCACGCCTCTCTATTTTTACTTTGTATTGTGAAGTAATTGGTTGTGGCGAATTTAGTGTTGAACTGTGTATGGAATGGTTTTGCAATTTTGATCGGTTGCGTTGTAAAGCAGATGTAGCTTGAATGAGTGCTCAGATATCCGTTTTCTGCGGTGAAGATGTTTGTTAATTGTCAGTAATTCCTCAAACTGGAGGTAGTAAAAAATGAAGACATTGTGGATGCAATTTTGCAATAGCAATTACTCATCCTCGCCTGCACCACAAAATCATCGCTTCGATGAATATATTTCCCCAATGGTTTCCATTGAAAACCTTTGATAAGTCAGTCATATTCTTGTTTGATATGAAGCATTCCATTTTTTGCTGGATACATATGGAGGAGAGCACTGGAGTTTTGAAAAGCGAGGTGCTCTGCTCTCCATTTCTGTTTCTAATTGAAATTCGGAATAGCTAACAGGAAATCATTTTACAGGAGATTCCATTGCAAGTGGTTGGGAATGACATACCCCATGGCTCTGAATTGTGCTGGCATTCTCAAATGCAGCATAGTGTCTGAAACAAGCATTTACAGAAGGAATTGGGGAGCTTCTATTTCAAGATCATCATCGCCGAGGTCATTCAGAATCCGAGCCGTGCAGGAGAATGATGGACCTCGGCGATTGGTTGATATCATCCGAATTATACCAGAGGCATCTAGGAACTACTTCAAGAGCCCTTCAAGAAGGGCACTTTTCGGGGGGATATCCCTCTTGGGAGGCTTCTATGTGGCACAAACAATATCTCTATCCTTTGGAGCTTTAGGTGTCAACGATGTAATTGCTGCGGTGCTATGTGTTCTGATCACCGAGTATGCGACAAGGTTCTATTATAGCCGGCCGAAGGTGACGTTTCCTCTTGCACTTCTAAACAACTTCAAGATGGGGTTCACTTATGGTCTCTTTATTGATGCTTTTAAACTTGCAAGTTGAATTTCTTATGCACTTCCATTTTCTGAGAAAGAAGCTCTCTCTTTATGGTAGTAGTCTTTAGGAATGGAATGTTGTTTGGAGATTAGTATGTAAAGTGTGGGAAATGTGTAGCAGATATTATGATAAGTTATTGAATTGTTTAATGATATCAATGTTTGGTTTGGGATGAAGACACAAAATTAGAAGTTCTTGAACAAATAAGTGTTTACTTAATAAAAGTGACTTTAATTTGCTTCTGTGAGTGCCCTAATCTTAATAATGTGTGTTAAAAATCAATGGATATTTACACTCCTCAGAAACTCAATGCACAGTGGCTATGTATATGTGTTCTTATACCCATGCCCTTGTATGAATCTTGAGCCTGCAATATAATTAATGTTATTTGCAATATATGTGTGTATATATATATATATATATATATCAAAACAATACATTAAACCTTTAGTTTATTCAAAAATCAAAATTTTATTGTTAGCAAAATGACCTAAATATCAAACCCATGAAAATACTAACAATAATTTTTACTACTACTAAAATAACCTAAAAAAAACACATACAACCAAGCCCTTTATTGAAGGGCATTGGGTCGAGCCCATTCACTTTCTGAGTCCTCATAGTTGTATTACAGATATACTACATTCATTACCAAAATATTTGATTTTGTTTGACATTTTACTTAATTCGGTCAATCCAATTAGATCAAAAATCTGATATATTACCATTACTGGAAGTAAATTAACTTATTAAATTGAGTAGCTTTCTTTTTCTTTTTTTTTTTTTTTTATAGTGATTTTTAATATCATTAATTAACTCGGCTAAACTCATTCGAGGATAATCCAAAAGAAAATATAACTTCATTTCAATATGTTTTAAATTTTCCAATAATTCTAAAATTCTTGAATAAGGGTACTGTCTTTTCCCGTTTCGACACATCACATTGATTTGTCTAATTGAAGAATCAGAGTTTTAATTTGTTCAAAAATAAACAAGAGAGAAGAGATGGAGGTGGTGCAAAAACTCATTAGGTAAATTAATTAAATAAATATCTAATGAATATATATATCAATGGGAAGCGTCGATTGACTTCCAGCAGCACAAAAGGGCAGCAATCTTGTAAAGTCGAAAAGCCAATGGAATTAGCTAGCAATGCAATGCAATGCAATGCAATTAGGAATGGAGGAATATGAGAATGGATATGCCAGAATTAATTTCATCTGTTCTTTACAATGAAATCAAATTTCAGAACAATAATATATAATCCAATTCCTTCATTCATTGGTATGATAGATAGAGATATGATGGACCAGGAAAGGAATCTTGCAAGCTTTAAAAAGTGGGTTTGATTCCCTGGAGAGAAATGGTAAAGGATAACAAAGGTAGAAGCCACCAAGCATATGCCATTGCTCCAATGGTTTATTCCATCCCCACTACCCTCATATAAACCCCCCATCATCAATCCTCCTGCAACTCAATCAAGATGCACATCTCTAGATATCTCTGTGTGTGTGTATATATATATACATGTTTTTGGAAGAAAGAACAGAAAGAAATTAAGAAAGAAAGCAAAAAAGAAGTTTGAAGATCCATACACAGTTGAATAAAAAATTAGGGTTTTGTGTAAGTGAATTGTTCTTAGGGCTTCTCTCATTTGGCATGCACCATGGCAATGTAGATGCTTCTATGGCCATGGCTATGGTTGCTCTCTTGCCTTTTGCAGTATGCCAAAGGAGAGTTGCCCTGAGAACTTTTCGGCTTATTTTCGAATTCGAAATCAAATTAAGGGCTTATGAGAATTAAGTTATATTGTCCAAGAATCACAATGCAGCAGCCAAAGGTAAGACAGTGCAAATGGCTAGTGTTGATGCATCACTTATTAGATGCAATGTGTTATATATATATACATACACTTTGGTAGTGATTCTTGTCTCTCTAGCACAATTAATTGTAGATTTTTATAATATTTATCAACTGTCTTGGAATTGCAGTTGCAGGTATTGTTTTAGAGAAAGGTCTCTTGATATGGTGTTTAGGTTTGATTTTCTTGTCAATGGTAAGCACAGTACCAAAGGATTAATGTCAAAGGCAAAAGTACTATTGTACTAGTGGATGTTTGTTGCATTCATTTGTTTTATTATCTTTTATTTTCTTTCAACGATTTCTTTTACCAACTAACTGATTGAATTTGAGTTTGAACTTGAACTTGAACTTGAATTGATCAGGTGAACCCTACATCTATAGATAGACCAACCTGCAGATTAATTGAAAGAGACTGCAGCCTGCACTACACTCACCATTCTACAAGGGATCATTTTATTATTATTATTATTATTATACACATTGGAATGGCCAACACCCCACTCAATTGAAAACCTTATACTTAAAGATGAAAACAAAACTGAATCACATTAATTTACCAATTAGGGTTTCCTCTCAATCACCAATAATATGTTGATTATCTCTACACATTAATTTCTTGACACCCAAATTGATTTTCTAAATGAATACCTTAAAAACATGTGCATTAATTATATGTTAATTGTGGAATAACATCAATCCCTCTCAATGTTTCAACTTAAAGTTATTGCATCAATTATCATCTTACATGTATACATGTATATATATATATATATATATCTGTATATATGTTAGGTAATTTGCATGCTCATCTTTACTGTAATTTCTGGAACAGTAACTTGGAAAAAGTACAGTTGAAGGAAATTGCAAACAAACAATGCTTGGTCATAAAGTATGCATGTATGTATACATATATTCACATTTCCAACATCCATGAGTGACTTAAAAGTATTACAAATAAAGAAGCTGTTAGAACCCTCCATGCATATATATGTACACACATCTAATCAGGAATCTAATCTGCAGAATTAACGTTGTATGTTAATTATTTTTCACTTTACTCACACACATGCACTATAAATACCACAACCCTTCTGCTTCATCCTCTTCAATTCCACAAAGTTTCCCAATTTAATCCACAAACAAAATTTAATTTCAGCCATGGCTGCTGGTCTTCAACTCAAGATTTGTTTGCTAGCTTTACTTGTAGCTATTTCTCATTGTGGAGCCATTCTTGATGCCAATTACTACCAAAAAACATGCCCTCAAGCCGAAAACATCATCTACAACGTCGTCCGTAGCGCCACAAGCTTCGATCCCAAAGTTCCGGCACGCCTCCTTAGAATGTTCTTCCATGATTGCTTCGTTAGGGTACGTTCGGAATTTAGTTCTTACATGATCTTTCTTGCATTCACAACCACACAAAAAATCACATGTAATAAGGAACATTCTTATATATATATATATATGTATATTTAGGGATGTGATGCTTCGGTATTACTCGACTCGACTAAAGATAACAAGGCTGAAAAAGATGGCCCTCCCAACATGTCCCTTGCAGCATTTTATGTCATAGATGATGCAAAATCCAAGCTTGAAGAGTCGTGCCCACGCACCGTCTCCTGCGCCGATATCTTAGCCATTGCTGCAAGAGATGTTGTGCTTCTGGTGAGTAATTCATAACAGACACTATATATCATCCATATTATTCAACTTCCTTTAAAGTATAAATTAAAGGCTTCCTTTTTTTATTCTAGTGTTTATTTAATTTAACATCACACATTATTTCCATTCAAAATTGTATGTTATCATCAGTCTGGAGGGCCAAATTGGGGGGTGATGAAGGGCAGGAAAGACGGGAGAATATCAAGAGCAAACGACACCGTTTCGCAGCTCCCAGCGCCATCCTTTAACACCTCCCAGTTGATCCAAAGCTTTTCCCGGCGAGGCCTTTCCGCCGCCGACCTGGTGGCGCTCTCCGGCGGCCACACCCTCGGCTTCTCCCACTGCTCCTCCTTCGAGGCCCGCCTCCGCAACTTCAGCGCCGTCCACGACGCCGATCCGAGCCTCGACCCCGACTTCGCCGCGGAGCTGAAGAGCAAGTGCCCGAAGCCCAATCCCGACCGCAATGCCGGGCAGCTTCTGGACTCGACGGCGACGGCCTTCGACAACGATTACTACAAAAGGGTTGTCGGAGGGGAGGGAGTGTTCGTGTCGGATCAATCGATGTACGAGGATTACAGGACGAGGTGGATTGTGGAGGCGTTCGCTAGGGACCAGGGGCTGTTTTTTAGGGAGTTCGCCGGCGCCATGGTCAGGCTGGGGAACGTCGGGGTGAAGGAGGATGGGGAAGTCAGGGTTCATTGCAGAGCTGTGAATTAATTGATGATCAAGAGGGACCCCATCCCCATTGTGAGAAAATTATTGTTAAATTTTATTTCTTTTTTCCAATTAGGGTTGAGTTCGATCTGATGATCATCAGACAATCATCTTTATTTATTGTTCACATATATATATATATATATATATATATATGCTGTCTTGAACTTGAACCTTCTATATGCCATGAGAAATTTTCAATTCATTATTGGGCATTCAAGATTTATGGGCTCATAAAATGGGCCTCGAGAGCAATTCAAAAAGGGGGAAGAAGTCAAAGATTCTAATAATTGTGAATCTTGATGCTATTCTCGATCGCAGGCAATAAAATAATGATAATAATAATCTCAAGATGGAAATGATTGGAAATTGGAAAATAATGAAATTTAAATTGAATTGAAAAGAGAAGAGAAGAATAGCCTGATCTGAGTCACCTCACACTAGTGCTAATACTACTACAACTATAACAACAACAATGATCAAAGCAAGAAGAGTTGTGACGGATGGGACTGACAGAGGACCGTGAGATTTGGACCCTATCACCAAATCCTGACCGTAAGATTTGGCCCATATGAAAGCATAATTGATGGGATTGTCGTCTCTATGTATATCGTATGCGTAGAGGTAGAGGTCGAGGTCGAGGTCGAGGAGTGAGTGGTCCTTGTCATGTAATTCAGGGCCAGTACTTTTGTTTATTTATTTATTCACTCTATCCTTCCCTTGCCAAACACCAATTTCGTGGTCCCTCCAAAACAATTCCATATTTCATGTAATCAATCTTACTTGCATTCATAGCATGCAACAAACAATGGAGTAATAAAAAATCAAACTTGGGTAAAAAGTAATAAGTAACTGTAATATATATATATATATCTATATATTGATATTTCAAAAGGAGACAGTAAACATGGAAGAAGATGAGATCAGCAGCGGCAGAATATATATAAATAAATAACACTGATCCCCCAAAATATATATATAAAACTACCTCGGATTTAAAATTCAGGGAGAGATGACGATGGACAGCAACTGACAGACATTGCTCTAAGAGAGAGAAGAAAGAAAAAAGTGAAGAGAGAGAAAGAGGGTCTTGCCTGGATCCGAATTTATCGCTCCCCTCCATAACCATTACAAGAATCAGGCTCAGTTTGCTTGCTTGAGTGAATCAGTGACCTCCATACCATGGGAGGCAGAGACTGGCTGTACTTGGCCGGCGGCGGCCGCCAGGGTGGCGGAGGAGTGGCGAGGCCCTCCACCAGGAAAGAACCTCTTGAAGACACTTCAACAGGCTGCATGTGCTCTGTTTTCCAGCTCTTCGATTTCCAGGTTCCATTGAATTTGAACCACCACCATTCCTCCCATTTCCACCTCCCTGATGCTGACCCTTTCCTTCGACCACCTGCCAATGCATCAACAGGTCATCTCTCTATATCTGTATCTATACCTGTATCTCTATCTGTATATATCACACAGAATAATTTGGGGGTTTATTCTGTTGTAATCATTATACTATTGTGTTCTTGCAATGCAGGGGTGGAGGCACCAGGAAACTCCATGGAATTAAAGAAATCAAAAAAGGCAGATACTTCCATGGAGGACCACGAAAATTTGAATTTCCCTGTAAGTAGTGTAGTGTAGTGTAGTGGTGATTTGATATTATTAAGTTGTGTCCTAATTACTCATATTTTTCTTGCTAAACACGTCTGGGATTATGCAACAGGATGGCTTCCGAATCAAAACAAGAGTTTCAAATTCAAATTCAAGAACAGAGGATTGCAGCAGCAGTGTGATCACCTCACCAGGGACGAAGACCCCGAATCTGGTAGCAAGGTTGATGGGCCTGGATTTACTCCCAGAATGCACTTCTCCATCGCTATCCTCTTCCAACTCCGGGCCCAGCATGAAATCCCTGAGAAAGGACAGAAATCTTCTCCAGGTTAGATCAAGAACCACATTTTCCGCAGATGACGTCGGCGTTGGCATCAGATCATTGCCTGAAACACCAAGGATGTCATCAGCCAGAAGATCTGACTCAGAATACCACAGGCTGTCACTCCAAATTAACAGAGAGAACATAAAGGAAGAATTCAAACTACCAGGTAGAATCAGGGCACCAGGGAGACTCCGGCGCCAGGTTCAGGATGAGAACAGAAGTCCAGGGCATTACGCGAAGCAAATTGTCAAGCAGATAAAACAAAGTGTGAGTAGAAGAGTTGGCCTTGACATCACCAATGTAAACCCCGAAAAATATAAGGACATCAGAAGGGATGAAAATCTTATTCCCAGGCTCAAACCTGCCAAGACAAATTCCAGGGATTTGGGAGATGAAAACAGCCCTAGCCCTGGTGCCAAGCAATGGGCAACATTGTCATTTTCACCGAAGCTCCGGCTTTTCGACACCAACAGGAACAAACATGCAACAAGCTCAGGCAACAAGAAGCCAAGAATCTCCACATCTTCGGACAACTATCAGTCACCAAGAAGTTCAAATTCATCAAATCAGAACTTGCAAGTAACAATGCAACAGCGCAAGCAGGAAAGGGATATCAAGAAAACTGAGAATGGAGATTCCAGTTGGAGTCTACGAAAAATTCGCCATCCAACACATGATCATGCCATCAGGAAAAAGAAAGAAGAGCCATATGTTCATTCAGCAGCAGCAAATAAGGCATGCTTCAAAGACAAGAAATCCAAGAAATCTCCATTGTCAAATGAACTTGTCACTACAAATGCGCCAATCCTTCTCCCTGTCAAGAAACACCCTTCTCCTCCAGCCACAAAATTACCTCAAAAACAGGTATATATCAATATCATCAACCCTTAGTTTTCTTTATTTACTTCTCATATTTGATCCCATATTGTCATCATCTAGGTGCATTTTCATTGATTATTCATTTCTCCTAAACTTATGAAATTACCCATGAATTCTGATCTTAGTTCCTGCTGTCACTTTAACCTTACAAAGATGAATGAATTACTACGCTCAAGACTATATTTACTTTTCTGGTCAAAAGATATTAGATCTTCTTCAATCATCTGCTTTACTCCTAAAAGCTTCAGAAAACTACACTTTAGGTTTTGCAGTGCAGAAATGGCAAAATTTTCCCTTCAAAGTGAGCATGCAAGAAATAGAAATAGAAAATATAATTTCATTGATGAACAGATAGAAAATCCAAAAAGAAAAAAATCGTTACTGTCATTTCCTGTCACTTTCCTGTTTTAAATTTCACTCTCTGTGATATATAGTTATAATTTTAATTTATTTATTTTCCAGGCACAGGTTTCTAGCAAAACGAGCCATTCGTACAAGCAAGTGCACCTGCAAAGTAAGAAAATATTCGCCGCCGTCGAACCAGGGAAAACTAGCCGTTGCCCCACCAATGCGTCCGCCGCGGCGGAGGAGTACCGATATTACATCCAGTGGATCTTAACTCGATCGGGAATCGGCGGCAATGCCACACCGTTGAATTCGGGGGCGTGGCACACCTCTACACATCCTCTCGATCCCTCAATCTTTCACTATCTCGAACTCTTCCATCCCTCAGGCTCCGCGACCTTAAGCCACCGGTGCAACAGAAAGCTAATTTTCCAGCTAGTAGATGAGCTTTTGGCTGATATTTTACGTCTTCGTTTGGATATACGGCCGAGGATTTCTCCAGTCTCAGACAACTACACATTAATTGATGAATTGTGCAACAAAATTGAGGGTTACCCGGCGGCTAATTGTCAGGTGCTTGAGGATATCGATTCTCTTATCGGCAAAGATTTGAGTGAATCGCAACTGCCTGGGCAATCTGAAGTGGAATGGGAGGGATTAGTGCGTGAGATCGAAGGTGAAATCATGGATTCCTTAGTCCGTGAGACGGCGGCGATGGTCGCCGTCCGGGCGGCGGGGTGACGGAGATAGAAGAACCCTACAAAGTCACGTGGGGTCTCCCACGTGCCGAGTTGGTTCTGTGGAATCATCCACGTGGAGAATCTACAGTGCCAGAGTTAAAACAACTGCAAAATTGCATTACAGTCCTTCTGTTTGTAGGGGAACCTTATATGTAGACCCTTATCTTTATAATTATGCCAGTCTTCTGTTTAAGCCTTTAATTTTTTGACTCAAATCTTTTCAAATAAATCTAAGATTTTCTTTTAAATAAAAAAGAAGTACAAAAAACACCAACATATTCATGTGACCTCAACAATAGAAAAGGAACTTCTGATTTGATAACTTCACCAAAAAGTATGTAGAAATTGGAGAATCATATGAATATGATTCCCATATTATTGAAAGGTGAGCACGGCCAAATTCCAATAAAAATTAAATCTTGGTATAAAAGGCATAAAGGGCTATTTAACATACTATTTTTTTCAACTTTTCTTGTCTATATATGTCTAATAATGTAAATTGCTTTCATGCATGTGAAGAGTTCCTTTAACTAAAAATGGGAAACTGGAAAAGAAGAACATACTACATCCCTTTTAAGTGCACTCATGTAGAGTATATATAATAATATATATATATATATATATACAAAGATTGGAGATTTTTGAAAGTGTGGAATAAAATGAGTCATGTAGTGGAAACAAGCGACATGCACAAGGGCATCACTGAGCTTGCAAACAAATGAGTGTCAACATCATTTCTCAGTTAGTGTCTTGTCTTAATACCACCACCAGAGGAGTGAGAGTGATGAGGGCATATCTGTCATTCTCTCATCCATAGTTCAAACATTAATGATGATGAAAAGTCTTCTTAATGTGCAATAGCCAAGTGAAGTGAAGTGAAGTGGCCATTTCTCTTTACCTGTGGAGAATGGAAGTGCACAAATCAAAAAACAATGAGAGGGGTCAACCATATTAATGAAGGAATCAGATCCAAGAAACAGTCCCCTTGACTGCCCACAAATTAATTATACTCCAGAGGAGGTGTGTGTGTGTGTGTGTGTGTGTGTGAGAGAGAGAGAGAGAGAGAGAGAGAGAGAGAGAGAGAGAGAGAGTGGGAGAGAGAGAGAGAGAGAGAGAGAGAATCATTCTTGCTCCAACTTGTATTCCTGAACAGGTTTAGGTGAGAGAAGTGTATTAGATGAAAGAAAAATTCAAATGTCAAATGAATTTCGCAGAAAGAGGGCAGAGATATCCAGAATGAGATGCTTCAACACAGAACTTAAGTAATGAATCAAAATGCATAAAATTTATTGACAGCTTCGAAAGGAGGAGGAGCAAACACATGCAAGAATGGCAAATCACCAAGTTTTTATGTGTTGCTGCAGCAGCAAATGCCATGTGATTGACAGAAGCTCTTGAATTTGGATTCAGATCATTTTAACATTCAGCTAACCTCTGAAGAAATGCCTCAGTCGTAATAAAGGCTCCAAGTAATGGTACCAATTCAGTTATGTTTGAACTTTCTGGGACAAGAAATGAGCAGACCTGCAGAAGAATTTGATGACCATTATTGCAGATAACAGTTTCCCTATGCAAGGCTTTTCAAGATAATTCATTGGGATCAGTATCTACAGAGGAATCTGAATCCATAATGCTGGCTACATCTAGCCCTGTTGAAAAAAGTTCATTATGAATTCACCGCAATAATCCCCAGAGTCATCGCTCGTGGCCTTAATTGCGAGGGTCAAAAAGGCGATATGTTACATTTTACATAAGATTCAAAATAACATCAGACTAGCTGTATTACATCAAGTAGCAGCATGTTTATATTTTGTCTATGGGATGCATGAAGTGAAAATTATCTACTAGAGTGATGCTTATTGATAATTATCTACAACAACTTTGATAGAATTGCTACGACCAAGAAAGGGCTAACCTCTGTGTTCAGCTGAAGCAGGACACTACATAACTTGTTGTACTCACTTTCGTGTACAGAGCAAGGATTGCTGCGGCATTCATTGTCCTGTTGAGAGCACGATGAGCAGTTTCTAGGGAAAGAGCCCCGCTCAACTACCTTTCATCCTGCCAGCATTAGTTTGTCTAGAAATAAGGAGAAGTCGTGATGCAACAAGTAAACATAAAGGTCACATACAGCTTTAAAATAAGAAACATATGTAAAATTCGTAAGGATATGGATGAGCAAATTACAACATTGGCATGGAGAAGTTACCGAGCGAATATTTACATCTTAGGCCTAAAATAAAGTGTTACCAAGCAAATATTTACATCTTAGGCATAAAAGAAAGTATTGTACTGTTAAATGAGTCACCACCACAAGTTGTATCAACAAATTTAAATTTCATACCAAGGCATCTCCCTTTGAAATGATGATAATTAAATAGATATCATTGAGTTCAGAAAGTATCATCATCATTAACATTATTTTCATTCAGTATGTCAAGCAGATTCGCATCCTCCCAACCCAAGAGAGACAGATATGATAAGTTTCAGACATCTATTCTTAATTAAGTTGTTTTTCTTTTTCCTAAATTAGAAGAACCTGCAGGAGAGAGAGGTCAAGGATATAAGGAGTCACCTGTCAAATATTAGCTGATGAGCTCTTACAGTTACTGTACAGATGACTACATACAAGAAGCATCACTGGGAGCCTTCCCAAAGGATTATTCCACCACCCCCATAATTTAACGGATCATGGAATTGTATATATTAATGCAAAATGAGAAGTTACAAAACTATTGCGAAGTACTATCCTACAAGTTACTACATGATTGCAATCTGGTTAATTGTGTGAACATCATTACAGGGAGCCTTAAAGCCGCATATCCAACATCTGTAATGCACTGCGATGACTAATGAGCAGCTTTCTAACTTAGAATGGAATTATCTGCAGAAAAAAGAGAGAATCTTAGACCTCAAACTAGGTGCGCCCAAAATTGGGTCGTCCGCATATAAGGAGGGAAGAAGCCAATTAAAAAGTCCTAGTGTGGTTTCTCCTTTGAATCTCTGAGTTGAATACTCCACCAAAATATTCCAAAGTTCACCAACAGTCCATCCCTGTGATAGAATCCACTGCGCTACCTCTTCAAGCTTCTGCAATGAACTCAAACCAAAGGTGTAGTATAACATAAAAGGTCTTAGTGCTTGAGAAGCAGCCAGCCACTGGATTACAACTTTAACTTCAGGATCTCCCCCAAATGCACCACAGCCCCAATTTCCAGTTGCCACACCAATCCCATCATCTTCATAGATGGAATACTGATCCACCTTATTCCCCTTCTTTTCCACTGTATCACAGCTTGTTGTTCTTTTGTATCCTTGGATGGAATCTGATAGATCTTCTGTCAAAATATTATGACCGGACGTGGAAGGACCTTCTTCAATGATCATGTCATGCTTAGGTCCAAAGTCCTCACCTTTCATAAGTAGATTCGCCTTCTGTTGGTTGAAAAAGCCACAAAATGCCTTATTGCTTTCACGGAGGAGGCATTCGGATTTGTATTGTCTCTTTCCTGGATGAATAAGTGCATCAATTGCAACTATTCTTGTCTTACGTCTTCCCATTGTGTCAAAACTCTTTTCGTCCACATAATCCCCACAAAAGCGGAATGAAGCAGCATAGCCAGAGTAATTTGAGAATCTTTCTGCACCAACAACTTCAATAGCTTCATTATCTTCCATTGCAGGAGAAAAGAGTATACCAATAATTAATTCTGGATTGATCATGAAACGAATCTCCTCTTGTACACAGCCTTGGCCAAGGGCACCACCTCCTAGGTATTTATTCGCAAAATCTACCTCAAGAGCCTCACTGCAGTGATCTTCAATTAACCCGGAATTATGAACCTACATACGCGTAGAAATAAAAGAAATAAGTACAATAATAATAAGGCCATCCTTGACCTGGGAAATTGCAGAAGCTATTGCATTCCAAATTGTTTGACAATATATAAGATATTTTGCCCTTACTCTTTTTCAATAAAAGCTCAAATGCCGCTGTTAAGTTAGATACAAAGTTATCGTTTAAAGAAAGCAAGTTCAAAGCGAATCATGTTGTTCAGAATTACTGATGAGAGAACGGGAGAAAGCTGACTATGCAGAAAACTAGGGTATTAACTGATTCCCCCAAAAATCATCAAATCACATATATGCTATACTCCAGGTAAAAAATTCATTACCTCCAACTGGCAAAGAGATTTAGTAGAGTTGGACCAGAAATCAGTTCCTGGGTAAACAATGTTAGATTGGCAGTTCTTAAAAGGAAGAACTTTTCGCTCAAACGATACATTCCCCGTAGGCATATCTGAACATATCCTTTCAAAATAATGGAGAATGCACTTTATTTTATGTTCTTGATGCACTTTGTCATGTTCATACAGACTCCTGAAAACAGAGAAGTAGATATGAACCAGCCCTCCAGCCTCAGAAAACCACAACTTTTTACAATATGGAAAGAGAAACTAAATGAAAACTTCAATTTGTATAACAGAAGTGCCTATTGATAGCATATTAGTAATTACTGATAACAAGTACATACAGCTTCCTCATTGCTATTCAAACTTAAGCAGGTGCATATAGAAAATTCCAAGGATACCAATTGTCAGGTATAAAAGAAGAGCCTTCTGTTGGAGGAAGATCACAAGTAATAGTTGCCTCCCGTGTAGTGTGTACAATAAGTTCATTTGTAGTTTTTTTTCTGGTATGAGGGAAGAGTGCTGGGGCCTGGGGGTTTGCAAGTGAAACAAAGGGGGAAGAAAAGCAATTCATTCACTCCATTTGACGTAATTCTTTTGCATGACAGAATATAATGAGATAGTAAATTAAATATGTACATTCAAACCACTCAAATGCACAAGCAATAACATTTTGCTCAAGCCCAAGAAGTAAAATATGAATTCTCAGATCAGTAATAACATGATATAAGATCCAACTACCAAGTTAAAGATCAAGAAAAGCAGCTAGTGAACAAAGTATCATTCTCTCCTTTCTTTCAAATTCAAGTATCATAGAGCAATTATACACTAGTAAATGTATATCACCAAGCTCTACTGCATGAAAATAACTACTAACAATCTGAGTTTCATATGAGAGAAAAATGCAAAGATGACAGTGCAATCAAAGGTGTTAACAAAGAGAAAGCCAACATGAAAAGAAAAACATGGAAAACTTACAGAAATAAATGATCAAAGTTGATAGGTTGAAGGTGTTGGCTGCCTCTATTTCTGGTTGGGTAAAGGCAAAAAAAGGCACAAGCTAGGAGAGCAGCAATCAACTCCTGAAATATGGAATAAAATTCAAATAGTTAGATATACTGTTTTCAAGTAGAAAAGATGTGCTGCATCAATAAAAGATCTAGCGATCAAATCATGTAAGAAAGATTCTTTGAGCAAATATATGACTTCCATAATTGTATTGCTTGCTTTGTCACTCCCAGAAATTTTCCGGAACTTACACCACTGAACACAAAATAGAGGTTTTGTGAGCCATGATTCGCACCATGCAATCTACATTCATATATATATATATATATATATATAATCCTACCCCCAAGATCATTTTCAACAGTTAGATTCTATACAAAATATTACATACATCCACTAATTTTCACTCCAATAAATCCAAATCCAAACCAACCTAAAATACTACAAACATCCCAAAACACGTAATTAAAATGCTGGGAGCCATCAGTTGCAACATTCTAAGAATCCATATTTAGTCTTGAAATCTAGCTAATGAAACTCATCTGTAGCACAAAGATCTACCCAATCATTTCAGCAAAGCAAATATATACACACCATAACATTTACCTGACTCATAACCACAATACCCGATTGTTGTGATTCCAGCAATCTAAGACCAGTCTCTTTTCCGTTGCAGATGCTCCCATTCCTATAGTGGTTCTCTAACAGAACTGGCAACTTCAACAGTAAATCCGCAAGACCCGGAACCACGTCTGCAAACCACCTTTCAGATGCATCCGCTTTCATTAACTGAGATGAACGAAAGAAACATGATCAAAACTGGTAATCCATCGCCGATGCACAAACAAAGTGGTTCTAAACAACTCACTGAGTCAAAGAATCGGGAGAAGCCAAGCGAAGCCGAGGGATGGAGAGGAGACAATCGAAATTCCTTGCGCATATCAGATATGGCGGCCGCAAATGATTCACCTGAATTAACTTTGCTGTGAAGAGGACCCTTGGCAAGGCATTTGAGGAATTCCGCCACCGCTGGCTGCCAAAAGAGGGAGGAGGATCGGAGAAACAGCGGCAAAAATGGCATAATTGACTGGAAGTCTTCTCTTTCATCCATGGATACAATCGTTACCGGTACAGCAGCAGGCTCAAAAATCAAACAAAGACTTCATCAACCAAAAGCTTCATAACCGTGGCTTCAGTTCAAGAGAGCGAAGCCAGCAGTGCACCAAACTGGAAGACCGAGTCACCTTTTGACTTGACTTGGGATGAAGGCGAGGCATGTCCGTTGGGTTTAATCTACGTTGGGCCTATATCGGGCCACGGCCCAATCATATTTATTCGATTGTTCATTATATATTTTTACATTGTTTATTGCAATGTATATTTTTATAATAAATATTTAAGTATGTATAAATTATTACATAAAATATTTAATCTTTTAAAAATAGTTAGGGTGTGTTTATGGCGAGGGATTTCAAAAACTTATTGCAAAGCTACAGTAGAGTGGGAAAGAAGCGCGAAATCAAAGGCTAGTAGACAAGCTTTTCAACGTATGTTTTTAATTTTAGGTAGACATTACTACAAATAGACAATTGCATACTGTCATACATGATTGTGCATTAGTTGTTTAATTTTATTACAGGAAGCTTTCCACTGTTGTGAAATACTACATGACATATTCTATTTTTTGATTTCATAATTGATTACGACATTCATGATAATAAATTTCGAAATTGTTATCATCTAAAAGAAAAAAGATAACATAGACGTGAACCCGGACGAAACGACCTGTACGGATCCTGGTGATGAAGACAGATTAATTGAATACATCAGTGTGCCGCAACCCTCAACATATAAGGACGTCACTAACTCATATTTTTGCCACCTAATCCCTCTCACAATTCATAATTTAGATAAATTATTTTATGTATTACATTATTGATTCCCTTATATAATAATACTTTCATCCGCCCACTAATAAATTATCACTTTTTCTATTTTGGTCGGTCTGCTCACTAATAAATTATCACTTTTTCTATTTTGGTCGATCTTGTAACAAAATACTTCTCCCGTACATAACAGAATATTCATTTTTTCATTTTAGTCCGTCCCATAACATAACAAAGTATCCATTTTCTTTTTTATTAATTGTACTATCTACCTAACATTACAAATACTCTTACAACTTACAGTATATTACACAAATGTCATTACCTTTATATCACACAGGTTATTTTACTTTCTACTTTATTCCTATTATATTCAAATATAATACTAATATTTCTAAAATTACGTATAAAAAACAAATGGATACTTCTTTATGAGATGGAGGGAATATTTATTTTTATTTTTAATAACCGATATTATATATCTAAAATTACAACTACAATTTCAATTTACATATTCTAGTTTTTATTAGTTTAATCTTTTTATCTTTATTTTATCTCAACATAATACTTCCTTCAACTTAAACTCCTTGTAACATTTCATTTTTTTTGTTTGTTTCAAATTCACTGAAACATTTCCAAATTTAAAAATAATTAATAATATTCATATACAATTTACTTTATTCCATCACATCACTCAAATAAAAAGACAAATAATTATTTATCTCTCCAATGACATCACTTAATATCCAAATTATTTCAAATTATCGTACTTAATACTCCCACCTAAATTTTTGTGCCAAATACAAATGTTGTATAGTATTTGAGACGGATGGAGTACTAAATACTAAAACACTACACCAAATTTTTTAGTCTTTTTAATTTTACTCTTATTATATCTCACAGCTATGATAACACTAATATTTTTAAAAATTTAAAAAGCAAACTAATAAATCGATATAGGAAAAGAATACTTCTTTCTTTTTATAAGAAAAATAACATTTGTTTTTTCATCTAATTTTTTAATAATATTATTATACTTCTCCAATACAATAGTTTTATTTACTATTTTTGTCCGTTACAAGACAATAGTCTTATTTCATTATTATTACACAATTGCCACTGCTTTTTACTAATACACTCACAAAAAATAAATAAAAAAAAGTCTTTTACCCATATTTTATCCCTTGTCAATATAATATCAATATTCTTTAAATCTCGTGTCCAATACAACAAGACTATAGTTTTGAAACAAAAGAAATATTAATTTATAAAAAAAAATAAAAATATTTTTATTAATATTGTGTAATACTCCTATAAAATTAATAATATTTATGCAATATATTAAAGATTCTAAAAATATTAGTTAAAATTAAATAGGAAGAATGACAAAATAGAAAAATAACACCAAATACTAGAATTGTAGTACTATTTCATCATATTTCTATATTATACTTCACAAATGTTGTATTACCAAATTAAAAAAGTCAATTCATTTTCATCTAAATTTCTTTGGATTCATTTTCTGTACCAAAACACGGCTGAACACGGCCAACAATTTTGGGGTTCATGAACATAGTTCTGAGTTCTGACCTTACATGGCTTGTAAGGATTGCGTTCTGTATTGGTGATATATTCTCCATTTTGAACTATAGCTACCTGCTGTAGAAGTGTTCCTCTTCCTTCAAAAATTCAAATCAAAATCTGGTCTCCAATTGTTTTTATACGCGGTCGCAGAGGTTTCTTGTATTTTGTTGGCTGAGGAGGAAGAAGAAAGGGCGGATTTCAGGTAGAATTTAGGAGAAAGGGATGGCCGAGGTGATCCTCTATGTATACGACGTGACGAATAGCGACAGTGAAAAGACTAACAACACGATTATGCAGATCAACAAGCTCCTCAAAGATGGAATTGGTCTTGGCGGTATCTTCCACAGCGCCGTTCAGGTTCCTTCCTCATCCCCCCATATTTTTTTCGCTTAGTTTATCCATAAAATGCCATTATGCAGTTCGTTTACCATACACAGTAATTCGCATGGTATTTTGTTCTATGTTTTTGTTTTTCGTAGATCTAGGGTTTAGCTCTACCCATTTGGTTTGCCGTAAGTTTCTTTGATTACTGGAATTGAAATGCACTTTGGGAATTGTATATGAAGGTCTCTGATGTGATCATTCTAAGCTTTTCTCTGTATATTATTTTACTGTACTTTCATTATTTAATCATTGATTGGTCGATCGACTTCACTGTGTTATTGTCTATCACTTCACCATTGTTGGTTAGCATACAGCTGAGGGTTTTCTTATTTCGAGTGGCATTGAAACTTTTGGAGCAGGTTTATGGAGAAGAGGAATGGTCGTTTGGGTACTGTGAACATGGCACTGGAGTATTCAGCTGTCCATCTACGAAGAATCCAATGTACACTTACCGTGAAACCATTAAAATGGGGACTACAGCCTTGTCTATCTACAAGGTTAATCAGATTCTGCGGGAGCTTAGTCAAGAGTGGCCTGGGCACTCGTATGATTTGCTATCGAAAAATTGCAACCATTTCTGTAACAAATTCTGTGAAAGACTTGGCGTGCAAAAGCTTCCTGGTAATTGCAATAACCTATCTCTATCTTGTCTGTTCTTTAGCATGTCTGATATATATTTTCTATGCACTTCGATCTTTATTTTGTTTCCATTTTTTCGCTATGGAAGAGTTATTGTTCACATTTATGTATTCTGTTCTGTAGAATTATTTTTTTCTGTGATAAATATCTCCGATAATCAGAGCCAAAACGACAATATAATCAGTTCATAATTACCTTGTTAGACTGGAACACTTCAAAGGCCTCAATTTGCATTATATCTCTATCATCTGCTATGGTTACACTGCTATGCTTGCGACTTAGAAACATCTTGATCACAAGGCGACTCCCTTCCTTGCCACTTCACCGATTTTCTGTGACCGTCAACTCGCACCTTTGTAACAGGTTGGGTTAACAGGTTTGCACACGCTGGCGACACAGCTGTGGAGATTGCAGAGAACACTGCCCACCGAGTAAGAGTCCATTTTCTTTTGTGATTACTTTTGGCCCTTTTTTGGAAGTTTATGCATTTTGATTACATTTCACTTTTATATCAACATGTATGTATGTATATGTTTGTGTGAATTGAATCCAGTGGAGCCCTTTTGGAATTGCTGTTTTGTCAACTCTTCACTTTGAATCGAACAATGTATGCATTGTCTAACCCGTTACTCTGTTGTCGCAGCTGAGACAAGCTAAAACCGAAATTGTATCAGCGAGCAAGGTGGCCTACCAGTTTGTAGCCGGACTTGCATCAAAGAATTCTGCTGTTTCTCCAGAATCTACCGGAAACTCGGTCAAGGGAAGCCCACGGTTCCAAGCGTCGTGGTTCAAGAATCTCATTGCAAATGGCGCCAAGCCTTCTAGTAGTTCAGAACTCAAAAATCAGGACAAAGTCGGAACAACGGATAAACAACAACAAAACCGTGCAAATGCACATCCACACTTTGACTTGTGACTGGACATTTCCCCGGCAATATCCATGAACTCTGAAGGATCGTCTTCGTAAGACCTCTGGCTATTTATTTCTTGTGATTATTGCTTAATGTTCTAAAGATAGTGTTGTTCGTTTGTGAATTTGTTCACCAGTGTTAAAAAACAAATTGCAAATAGTTGTTATTGATTCTTTTACCCAGAACTACATGATCTTTTGTTTAAGATGGTTGTGAGCTATCCTATTCTGATTTCAGTTTAAAGGAAAATCGTGTTTATAAGGGAGAAAACGTGGTTATAAGGTTGTGAGTTTTTCTGAAACACGGTTTCATTTGAAATGGAAAAACGTGTTTTGGTGGAAGTAGAATCGAGAGCTTTAGAGAAGGCTCCAGAATCTCCCCGCCAAGTTCTCCACTCTTCCAACGGCCCGAACGACACGACTGCGCTAGAACCTCCTAGAACATTTTCATCTCTCTCGTATAAATAAGGGCTTCTCCATCTTCCCCCCACACCGTGATAATTAGCAGTGTTCTATCGAAGTATTCGCTCTATCAATCGATAATCTCGTCGCGCTCCCAGTTTCTGTGAGAACTGTGTTTTGATTCAATGGCGGAAGTGCAGACACCCGATGCGGAGACATTCGCTTTCCAGGCGGAGATCAACCAGCTTTTGAGCCTTATCATCAACACTTTCTATAGCAACAAGGAGATCTTCCTTCGGGAGTTGATCAGCAATGCGTCCGATGCCTTGGACAAGATCCGATTTGAAAGCTTGACTGATAAGAGCAAGCTCGACGCTCAGCCGGAACTCTTTATTCGCCTTGTTCCTGATAAGGTTAACAAGACGCTCTCCATTATCGACAGTGGTGTTGGAATGACTAAAGCAGGTATTGTTACGTTGTTGAGGGTTTTTTTTTTTTTTTTTTTCTAAATTTTATTACCTTTTATACTTCATTACGAATTCCAAGTGCGATTGTGATTAATTTCTGTTCTCATCTTCTATTATCTTGTGTTTGACGAAATGAGAAATGGTCTCGGTTCATACCTTTTGGCTTACGTTTTGCGTTCTCTTTTGCTATTACGTGTGTTTGAACAAGTGAAAAATGATCGCGCTTGGTAACTGTAGCTTACCTGCGAATTCCTAAAATCTGGCAGATCTGGTGAACAACTTGGGTACGATTGCGAGGTCTGGTACAAAGGAATTCATGGAGGCATTGCAGGCTGGAGCCGATGTTAGCATGATTGGACAGTTTGGCGTGGGATTCTACTCTGCCTACCTTGTGGCAGAGAAGGTGATTGTGACCACGAAGCACAATGACGACGAGCAGTACATCTGGGAATCACAAGCTGGTGGTTCCTTCACTGTGACGAGGGATACGGAGGGGGAACAACTTGGCCGAGGAACCAAGATCACCCTCTTCTTGAAAGAAGATCAGGTAAATGTCATACTAAATATAATCAATGATGCGCGAGAAATATGCAGAATGTCATGTGGTATGATTACATCAGTTGTGGTTTGCTCTCATTTATCCACTTGCCCTTTTTGGGATATGCCTTAGTTTGATGATGATGGTGTTGATACTTTGCTTGATTAATGTGCACAGCTGGAATATCTAGAGGAGCGGAGAATCAAGGATCTCGTGAAAAAGCACTCTGAATTCATCAGTTATCCGATTTATCTCTGGACTGAGAAAACAACTGAGAAAGAAATAAGTGACGATGAAGATGATGAACCGAAGAAGGAAGATGAGGGAGAGGTGGAAGAAGTAGACGAGGACAAGGAGAAGGAGAAAGGCAAGAAAAAGAAGATTAAGGAAGTCTCCCATGAATGGCAGTTAATCAACAAGCAGAAGCCCATTTGGTTGCGCAAGCCAGAGGAGATCACAAAAGAGGAGTACGCCTCTTTCTACAAAAGCTTAACAAACGACTGGGAAGAACATCTTGCTGTCAAGCACTTCTCAGTTGAGGGGCAGCTCGAATTCAAGGCAATCATCTTCGTCCCCAAAAGAGCTCCATTTGATCTCTTTGACACCCGCAAGAAAATGAACAACATCAAACTCTACGTCAGGAGGGTCTTCATCATGGATAACTGCGAGGAACTCATCCCTGAGTACCTCGGATTTGTCAAAGGTGTTGTTGATTCAGATGATCTTCCCCTCAACATCTCCCGTGAGATGTTGCAGCAGAACAAGATCCTAAAGGTCATCAGAAAGAATCTGGTGAAGAAATGCATCGAACTGTTCAATGAAATTGCCGAGAACAAAGAAGATTACAACAAATTCTACGAGGCCTTCTCGAAGAACCTCAAGTTGGGCATCCATGAAGACAGCCAGAACAGATCCAAATTAGCTGACTTACTTAGGTATCACTCAACCAAGAGTGGCGATGAGTTGACAAGCCTGAAAGACTACGTTACAAGGATGAAAGAGGGACAGAAGGACATTTACTACATCACCGGAGAGAGCAAGAAGGCTGTAGAGAATTCACCATTCCTTGAGCGCCTTAAGAAGAGAGGCTACGAGGTGCTCTACATGGTCGATGCCATCGACGAATATGCAGTAGGTCAATTGAAGGAATATGATGGCAAGAAGCTCGTATCTGCCACCAAGGAGGGACTCAAGTTAGACGACGAGACGGAGGAAGAAAAGAAGCAAAGGGAGGAGAAAAAGAAGTCGTTCGAGAGCCTCTGCAAGGTGATCAAGGACATCCTCGGTGACAAAGTGGAGAAGGTGGTTGTATCCGACAGAATTGTTGACTCGCCGTGCTGTTTGGTGACAGGAGAGTATGGCTGGACAGCCAACATGGAGAGGATAATGAAGGCCCAGGCGCTGAGGGACAGCACCATGAGCTCGTACATGTCTAGCAAGAAAACGATGGAGATTAATCCCGACAATGGGATCATGGAGGAGCTCCGGAAGAGGGCTGAGGCTGACAAGAATGACAAGTCTGTTAAGGATCTAGTGTTGCTGCTGTTCGAGACTGCTTTGCTGACGTCTGGATTTAGTTTGGATGATCCAAACACTTTTGCTGCTAGGATTCACAGGATGCTGAAGCTGGGGTTGGGAATTGACGAGGAGGAAGGTGTGGAGGATGCTGAGATGCCGGCACTGGAAGAGGAAGGCAATGAGGAAAGCAAAATGGAGGAGGTTGATTAAGGGAAATGATACAAGTTATTAATTAATGTAGGAAAGGATTGGATGGAAGGCTGAGTGTCTGCTGCTAATGTGCTATGGTGTCTTTCTTTATTATTATTTTTTTTTTCTTTTTGTTTTGGTTTGATCTGAGATGATTTCGGTGCGTGTGCTGAATGGTGTCTCGAGGGTACTGTGAATGTTATTGTTGCAGTGAATTCAATGAAGTCTTTCTTTTAACGTTCTGCGTTCTGGGCTTAGTTTTAAAATCCGAATATTAAAATGTAGCTTTAATGTCATCTTTATAATTAATTTTTCTGTTTGAGCTTGCTTAGAGATGATTGGGCTGGGCTGTAGGCAGATAAATGGGCCCATTTGTGATGGTCGAGCGAGAAGAGTTAGTGACAGGCAGACGGGGGTATAGTCGGGTCGGGTAGTTATAATTTGGCGAAGGAAGACAACGGAGGAGAGGAGAGGGGAGGGGAGACAGATCAAATCGGAAAGATGTTTCTTCGACGGGTGGCGCGGCCGCTGATGATGATGGCGAAAATCAAGGAAACGACGGGGATTGTAGGCCTCGAAGTTGTCCCCAACGCCCGAGAAGTTCTTATCGGCCTCTACAGCAAAACCCTAGATGAGATCAAGTCGGTGCCGGAGGACGAAGGATACCGCAAGGCTGTTGAGAGCTTCACTCGTCACCGGTTGCAGGTTTGCCAGGAGGAGGAGGATTGGGAAGCCATCGAGAAAAGAGTCGGATGTGGACAGGTAGAGGAGCTGATCGAGGAGGCCGAGGATGAGCTCAAGCTCATCGGTTTCATGAACGGTGACTGCTTTGAATTTTTCTTTCCCTGTTTCATTTTTAACCTTACTGTATTCTGCAACATTTTTTTCCTCCTCCAGTACGGTGATGTTTCTCGGTTTTGAAATTATTTGTCTGATCGTTGAGTTAGGGCTAGACTTAGAATTCTGAAATACTTCCATGAAAATTGAGAAGGAAGAAACAATTTTCCAAACCAAATTCGATCACATCTTCATTGTAGGTAAGATTAATTTCAGCCTCTTTTTTTTCAATGTACCTTCTGAATGGTAACGACAAAGATTTGAACAATAGACGATGAACATAGTATCAAATGGTTTAGTTTTTCTTGGTTTCACAAGCAGCTTTAGCTTTAGCTTTAGCGTTATTCTTCACTAATATAAAAATGAGAAGCATGGTGCAATAACACTTGATATCCTGCTCTTTCATGCTTGCTTGAAGCTTTAGGTGTTTTGGAAAACCATTTACTTTCCTTTTAATCTGACTGAACAGATAAAATAGGGTGGGGGTATTATTGTATGGAAAAACTCCAGATTTTATGGAAGATATGCTAAAACCTTATGTCTTGGTGGCTTTGCTATAAACAGATGATGTGCACATAATGCGGTCGGTGGCTTCTGTTTTTATGAGATTTTTCTGGGGTTTCAAAAGTCAGTTTTGGCAACATCTTTGGTGAAATAAGTCTGAATAGGGGAAAGGGTAGTTCTTGTTTGCAGTTCTACTATGTTAGTTGTTTTTTCTCCCAAGTTTATCATCTTGTGACATTGTCCTTAATGCTTTTGTGGATGTGAGACTGGCCTCTATATCTAGTTTTAATGATTTAATTGATTTGCCAATCTCGGCGCAGAATGGAAGCCGTGGGGTATTCCTGATGACTATGAGTGTGAAGTCATTGAGAACAATGCCCCGGTGCCCAAGCACGTCCCCCTGCACCGACCTGGTCCCCTTCCTGAAGAGTTCTACAAGACGATGGAGGCTGTTGAGACCAACACTTTAAAGGATGCTATTTCTGCCTCCCAAAAAGATCCTGAAGTTGCATCAGGTGAAGCACAACCATAGTAGTTTGATTCAAACAACTGTTGGTTTGGCAAGAATTCATATGTTGGAATCTAAATCTGTCTGCTTTCAGAATCAGATTTCTTGCATGTTCTCTGAACTTTAATGTTGTTTTGCCTTATGTATCACATTCTCATCACCCTGACAAAAGCTCCATATTTAGTTAATAACCTTGAGCCATCACTTTCTCCTGTGGAGACTCATCTATGTTATGCCATCATGATGCGAATAAGCTATGAAAATCTTGCATGTTTTGCGCCGTTTAGATTTGTGAAGTATGACTATATGATTTGCTGTGATGCTGAACTGTATTGCCAGTTGAGTCAATTTCTACAGGACTACAGTCATTCGACTGCGGACGCTATCTCCTAAATCAAAGCGGCTCGCATTGTCGTAAATGGTTGCTAAAATAGCATCGAATTCAGAATCAGAAGGGTCTAGTTTAAGGCCTTGTCTTGCCATTTCTTCTCCGAGAAGCACATGACCGTGCAATTTGCAGGCGAGGAGCAACCTTTTGTATGTCGTTGCATTGGGGCTGATAGGCATGGTTTGCAGAAAGCTTACAGCCTCTTCTACTCTCCCAGCTTTGCCGAGAAGATCAACCACTAAGTTATAATGATTTATCTTAGGCTTTACGCCATACACTTCTCTTATAGATTGAAAATATTCGATTCCCATGTCTACTAACCCGTCTTGACTGCAGGCGAGCATCACTGTCGACATTGTTACAGAATCGGGCCTAACTCCTGCCAACCTCATGTCCTCCAAGGTTGAGAGCGCCGAGGATGTTTGTCCGGTGAGCACGTAGCTATGCATCAAAGTATTCCATGAAATGATGTCCGGGTCAGAAATTTCACTGAAAGCTTTCAAGGCATCTTCGATACTCTTGCAGTTGCCATAGAAGTCGATCAAGCTGTTCAGAACTGAGGTCTGTCTGCCGAAGCCGGACGAGATGGAACAACAATGGATCTGTCTCCCAATTTGCATGGCACATTGGTTAGCACACGCCGATAAGAAGGTGGATAACATGAAACCATCCATCAAGAAACTGTTGTCGTGCACGTACTTGATGGTATCGAGAGTTAGCCTATGACGGCCTGTCTGATTCAGCTTCGACGCCAGAACTGTATAAGTTACAATGCTTTTGTTATTCATTCCATCAGCGAATCTCATCGCGCAATCCACCAGCTGTGATCCGGTATAAGCCTCGACAAGAGCATTTCCAACTTTGGCATCACTGTCCGAGTTAGTTTTGACGATGAAGCCATGGATCTTCCTCGTTTCCTCTTTGCCGCAAGCTTGAAGAACACTCACGAGTGTAAAAGAATTCGGCTGCTGCCCAGAACGGCGCATTGCAAGAAAAGCTCGAAAACACCTGTCTTTGAGATCACGTGCAGCCATACCCACAATCAACGTGCTCCAAGATGCAACATTTGGTAGAGTTATCTGGTTAAACACTCGGACAACATCTTCGACACCAATAGAACACTTAACATAAAGATCTAAAAGAGCGTTACCCAAAGAAACATCGATCTCTAACCCGGTCACGACCACCTGTGCGTGTACCTGTCTTCCCAATTGCAGAGCTCGTGGTGACGCACAGACATTCAGGATTGCGGCATAGCTATAATTGTTCGGAGTGACATTTCTTCCCATCATCTGCCTAAATGCAGTGACAGCCTCGCAGAAGTTCAAGCTGTGCGCGAAACCAGTTATCACAGCCGTCCATAACTGCTGATCTTCTTCTGGTGTCTGTTTTGCAACCATAACAGCATCGTCCATCTTTCGAAGCTTTGCGTAGGCAGACACAAGAGCCGTCTTGAGGACAAGATTCAAACGAGCACCCCAAATGATCGACTGACTGTGAACTAATCTAGCATGATCGGAGGACCTACAAGCGCCTAAAAGCTTCACAAAGGTATACTCATTCGGAAACACCTTTTCTTCGATCATGCGATTGAACAACCGTAACGCCCCATCGTGATCCCCGGCCTCGACAAGTGAAGAAACCATTGCTGTCCAAGAAACTGTGTCCCCATTGTCCAGGGCAGCAAATACTCTAACTGCTTCTTGAAGCAAACCACATTTGGAATACAATTCAATCAGTGTGCTACAAAGAATGGGATTGGATTCAAAGCCTTGCTTTATTATACTTCCATGAACTCCAGTGGCATGAACAAGATCCCCCAGAGCTGAACATGATCTTAGCACATTTGAGAAAGTGAATTCGTTGGGGATTGTTCCAGATATCTTCATCGAGTCGAAGAAACTGAGGGCTTCCGTGTGGCTCCCATTCTTGACATAAGCAGACATAACACTGGTCCAAGACACGACATCTCTGTGCGACATTTCGTCGAACAGGTAGCGTGCGTATCCGACTCCACTGCATTTGGCGTAGAGGGAGAGCAGATTGTTGGTGACCACGAGGTTGTGTTTGATCCCCAATTTGATTGCCGGGCTGTGGATGTACAGCCCATCTTTCAATGAATTTTTGTTGCAGAAAGATACGATCCTTGAACAGGTTTCTTCGAGCAGGCTTCTTCCTAACATTAAAATTAACAAAAAGGGAAATCTACGAGAAAGAGTCGGCGTAGCAAGAGAGGGCAATAAAGTAAAAAACTAAGGTGTTTTGTGTGTGCTTTTTTAATTGCTTTTATTTCCAAATAAAATAATAAGATATATATATATGACAGATTGAGATAATCGTGTGTAGAGAGAGTAGAGGCTTAGAGCGACCCACAAACCAAAAGTGGGCAATAATTCTAAAAGTCGTGTTTACTAAACGGGGTGTCAATCGCGAGTCTCCAGAGAGTTCTAATCAATCATTCAAACACCACTTGCAAATCGCCAATCGCCACTGCTAATTGATCGCTGTTATCAATTCATTCCCTCATCAATGGCGCCGTCGGATCTGGAAACCAAAGCAAAGGAGGCTTTTATAGACGACCATTTCGAGTTGGCAGTTGAACTCTATACTCAAGCCATCGCCCTGAGTCCCAATAACGCCGATCTCTTCGCCGACCGCGCTCAGGCCAATATTAAACTCAGAAATTTCACTGGTGACTCAATTTACTCTTTAGTTAATCGTTGTTGTTTTTCATGTGCTGATGCTCTCGTTGTTTCGGTGGCGATGCTCTTGCGGCTTGCGGTGTTGTGAATGCGGTTATGGTCTTCAGATTAGATTGTGTGCAACGATGTGAATGGATGCGGTGGGGTTTATTGTTTATGTGTTTTAGTGAATTGATTGAAAACGTGAACAACTATAGGATTAAATTGCTGTATCAGTATCAGAACATCTTCAAGGCTGGACTTTCAATATGTTGTGTTCTATCTTCTCTTCTGTTTCTTGTATTTGTGCTGAATGATGGTGACCTGATTTTCCTTTTGCATTTCTTGCTTTGCACCTTGAAAACTTACTTCATTACTGTCCTCGCAGAGGCCGTTGCTGATGCGAATAAGGCCATCGAATTGGATCCATCATTGGCAAAAGCATATCTGCGGAAGGGGTAAGTACACTTGATATTGAAGTATTATGTTGGTGTAAGTTTGAAGTCAACCGTGTTGTACTTACCTTGGAGAGCAAAAAGTTATTGAGTGTCATGCAGTTTATTCTGCCACATGACAGATTTTATCATGGAAGTGTTTGTACTAGCATATATACCTGAAGAGTTCCTTGAAGGTCAATTTTCTTTGATATTCTCACTCCCAACTTGTAGCCTTGAAATCAAAAGCAACATATAAGTTCAAAATTTTCATATGTGGCAGCCTTACTTAACTTAATGTAATCAAGTTAAATTAGAATAGAGTTCTTGTTTTTCTTAGTGCCCCAAGATCGAACAAAAAATGTCTTTGACTTTGATTCTGGCTTGCTTGTTTATTGCCACATAGATATATTTTTAACTAATTTGTTCATTATGTATTGCTTATAGCACGGCCTGTATGAAGCTTGAGGAGTACGAAACTGCTAAGACTGCCTTGGAAACTGGTGCTTCTTTAGCACCTGGAGATTCCAGGTTTGCGAATTTGATTAAGGAGTGTGATGTACTCATAGCAGGTAACTTGGGTGTCTATCTTTACCGATGTGATTTGTTTTTTGTGATTTTTGCTCTATAATGATGGCATTTATTTGCTTTCCTCATCTAGAGATATATTTGATTGTGATTATAGTCATAGAAGGTTCACCATGGCCTGCGCCATTGTGCCATTTTGTATGGTGAGGCATGCCTCATCAAGAGGTGCCCTTTTTGCGCACGTGCCTGTGGCTTTTCCTGGCACAGAGGCATGCACCATGTGTGTTATGTTAGTTTTATATGTCATTATGTTTTGCACTTTTTGGACACATGGCATGGCAAGGCCTCGCATCATGCCGTACCAAGTATCTTTTGCTAGAATTGTTTTGTGTCATTTCGAATATGTTAGAATTTATCTTATCTTGTACGTTTTAACTAATGAGATTGCCATAATTTGATTATGCACATTCTTGAGATGCAGAGCAAAGTAACATAGTTAATTATTATTATTATTATTATTTTTTTTCATCTCTATTGCTTTTGGTCATCCTCCATGGTTCCTTGCCTTTGCATTCTCATAACTGTGGATTGTTACTCTTGGCTATTTCAGAGGAGACTGAAGAGCAGCCTACGAAATTGGTTGATAATGCTCCCAAAGATGCCCCCGTTCCAAATAATTTGACACCTGCAGTTGACTTGCACAGCCAAGGAACAACAGTGGCATCTGCTAAGCCAAAATATAGGTTATATATAACTCTTGAAGTTTGTTCTGCTTATGATGTGATTGCTCACTTTAACATTAACATTTGTTTCTTGGCCCGTTTTAATTGTTTTTGAGAGCTTAGATTGTGCCATTACTCAAATAAGGTAGTCCTCAGTGTCACTAGGGAATATTTGATTCTTGTGAAGATTCTTTACAGCCCTCATGTAATGGAACTGTTGTGCCCCTAACATGGTCAAAGGACTTTAATTCATAAACTATCTGACTATATGTCAAGCCTCCAAGAAGCATAAGAAGAATATATACTGTATTAGTATTGCAAAATAACTCATACTTCAGGAATTAAATGATTTCAAAGGAGAATAGAACTTTGTGGTTTTTGCTTATTGCAAAACAAAACATTTCTAGACTTCATAGATGCCCCCATACCCCATGAATAGAAATATGAGGTTATGTGCAAATGCATATAACATTGCAATTATATTCCTGGGATGCTTTAGTTTGAGAATCACTTTTTCTTCTTTTGTTTGGTAACTTCTGTGAATAGAATGTCATCTTCTTTCATTCATACTGTAGTATTGCTGTATTGTACTGTTTTAAGTTTTATTATTTTTAAAATCTCATTTTCCATATTATCTGCCTGCAGGCATGAGTTTTATCAAAAACAAGATGAAGTGGTGGTGACAATATTTGCGAAGGGCATACCGGCAAACAATGTTGCAGTTGACTTTGGTGAACAGATAGTTAGTATTTCATTTTTCACCACAGTATCTCTAATAGCCTTAGAGCAATTTTCCTGATCTGTGAACTCCTTTCAATGTTCAGCTTAGCATCGAAATTGAGTTGCCTGGAGAAGAACCTTATCATTTTCAACCTCGGTTGTACGGAAAGGTGATGTGTTAAATCTACGCCCCTTGATTGATTCTGAATTTATCGTTTCAGGACTAACAGCTTGGATTTTGCACTTCATGTCATTTTTGCACTTCACTATTCATGTGGATGAATAAACATATTGATGGTGTTGCATGAACAGTTTATTTAAGCACTTACATTGAATAACCGTCTGTCTTTTCTGCCAACACTGCTGGTTATCTGATGTTATATTCTTGGAAAGCAGATAGTTCCTTCAAAATGTAGATATACTGTCATGTCTACAAAGATTGAAATTCGGCTTGCCAAAGCTGATAACCTGAACTGGACTTCACTTGAGTTTAAGAAGGATGTCCCTGTTGTCCCCAAAGCAAATATGTCATCAGGTATAACTGGTTTCAATTTGTTTATGATTCAACCTATCGGATCAGCCTCCCACTTAAGCGCCATCGTCAACAGGTAACCAGAAGCCCACATACCCTTCCTCCAAGCCGAAGCGAGTGGATTGGGATAAACTGGAAGCTCAAGTGAAGAAGGAGGTACGAACCTCGTATTTTTGTTTATTACATGAATATGTGATAATCAGACATTCGAATACGCCCTTCCCTTACCTGCATGCCTCACTTACTCTTAATACATCAGGAAAAGGAAGAGAAACTCGATGGTGATGCAGCTTTGAACAAATTCTTTAGAGACATATACCGCGATGCCGATGAGGACACCAGAAGAGCAATGAGCAAATCATTTGTAAGAATCTTTCCAGAAACAGTGTATTAAAGTAATTTTTCTTCACTAAGTAGCACTTCTGTTGTCCTACATTACACAGATTGAGTCAAATGGGACAGTGTTATCAACTAACTGGAAGGAAGTCGGCTCCAAAAAGGTCGAAGGAAGCGCCCCAGACGGCATGGAGTTGAAGAAATGGGAATACTAAAATCCAGGCTTGACAAGATCAGAATCCCTTTGAGTAAGAACTTAAGGTTCATATCATATCTACTGCTTCAATCCACCAACTGTGTTTTCTTCTTGGTAGTGTTTTTTGTCTTGATGATGTAAAGATTAAAGTCTGGTCCTTAAATTTGGAGATTGGTAACAGCTATTGTTTATTTTTGTTTTCATTTCTACATTAAGCTGTGGTGGTTTACTTCTGTTCCCTTCCTGACTAATATTTGGTTTCCACTGCTCTTTCTGCTTTGCATTGCTGCTTCTGATCTGATCAACCATGGATTGTATGCATCAGATAAATTTTGCATTTGGCTTTCAATTTTGAATTATTAATATGATAGTTTTAAATATTAATGTAATGTGTTAAACTTAGTACTAATTTTTAGTATAATAAAAATGTAGGTGTTTGTTTTGATTATTTTGAAGAGATAAAATTTGATAAAATCATAAAAAAAAAAAAACGATCTTTTGTAGATTTTTTATTATTTATACAAAATTATTTTTTTAAAAAGTATTACCTTAAACATTTTTTTTTATATTATATTAAAAAATTAAATTTGCAACCAAACTATGATATGAATATCGATTTATATGTCATCATTAATCTATAATTAAATACACGCACCCAATTGGGCTTTGATAAAGCCCAGCGAGGCTCCACAATACGAGAGTATATTCTTCTGAATGTTCTCTTTCACTGCATAGTGCATACAGCCTAGCCTGGCAACGCAAATTATGGGTAAGCGCAGCAGATATAGATTGTAAGGATTCCTTGGAAGAGAACTGCTGCAGCTCGATCGAGTTCATGGTTTTGATTCCTCTTAGCTTAGCCTAGCTTCTCTACCAGGAAGCACCATGAGCAGAAAGGTATGATTGATCGACTCCTCTCAAGTTTTCTCGTTTGTTTCCGTGTGGTGTGTGATTTATGGTTATGTGAAAGCAACTGATTCATCTAGAAATAGTAGCTGTAGTCTGTGGCTGATAAGAAACTAGGTTAACTGTTCAAAATACCTGCGTTGAGTTTGATCCTAGGTGTGAGTGTTCTTTCGTCAACAAAGCATCACTGAATTTGGCCGGACTGTGGAAAATTTATTCGTGTCTCGTTGTTCAACCACTGATTCATCATCTAGAAATAGTATCTTTCGCTAATAAGAGATTAGTTAGCTGTTCAAAGTCCCTGCGATGAGAATTGTAAACATTGCTTGTGAGGAAATCGCTTGGATTTTTGATCGTCGATATGACTGTTCTTCCGTCGACGGGTGGAATTGGCCGGACAGCGGAAGCTTTGTTCGCGCCTCAATATTGGGCTTGATTCAGAGTTCTTTTGCAGATATTGGGCTAAAACTGGCCCAACTATATAGCCCAATTTCATTTTTTCACGTATTAATATGTTGTATGTCAAATGATATTAATAATAATAGAACTAATAGCTTATTACTTTGTCGTTTGGAGGGCGTTGTGCGTTTGAAATTCAAAAATACGTCATGACGTATTGATGCGAACCAAACCCAAACCCCAACACCAGCTGACGTCCGTTAAACGACCGAGCCATTAGCACTGGTGATTTCCTGATTTCCGTTACTCCGAGCCTGAGGCTCCGGAATTCCGTTTCGTAACCCACCAATGCTATAAATGTGGTCTCGTCATGTCGTGTCTCTCTCTCTCTCTCTGTCTGTGTGTTTCCTTCATTTTCGTCTTCGAGAAATCCGAAGAGCACAGAAGGTTTTCTAATCGGCATTACTGTTTGGCGGCGATTGAGATCGGATATTGGATCCCATGGCCGATCACGACAGCGCGCCTGAGAAACACGAGAAGTCTGGTGAATCTCTGATGGAGAAGGTCACGGAGAAATTGCACGGCTCTGATTCGTCGTCGGACTCCGATGACGACAAGGAAATCAAATCGGCTGCATATTCTATGAAGGCCAAGATCTACCGCCTGTTCGGCCGAGAGAAGCCAGTGCACAAGGTTCTAGGCGGCGGAAAACGTACGGTTTTTGTTTTTGTTGAATATTTGAGATTGCTTTTGATTATTCAGATCTTTGATCGTATATGATTTCGCGTTTGTGTTCGACGTGTTATGAAATGCACGCAATTCAATTGGTTTCGATGGTAGTGATGGGAATTTTTTAATTTCGGTTGAAAAAGGTGCAAATTATAGTTACAAAATGTAATGTTCAAATGAAATACTTGTGTGTTGGCGAACCGATGACTTATTGACAGGCGATCCAATGGTTTATTTTTGTTATACAACATTGTCAAAATTATTTTGATCATGTGTGCTGTGGTAATATTATTAATCTATGGTTTCTGGTCTTAATAAGATGTCTTCATTCCTTTAAGCTTTAATTGTGGCCGTGTGATCATGATTATCTCATTTTAGTTAACTTATTTATATTCTCACATGGATGGATGCTTTGGCAGCTGCTGATGTATTTCTATGGAGAGACAAAAAGGTTTCTGCTGGTTTGCTTGGAGTGGCCACCACAATATGGGTGCTTTTTGAATTGGCTGATTACCACTTGCTTACGCTAGTGTGCCATGCCCTCATTGTTGCTCTTGTCATCATTTTCCTGTTGTCATATGCATCCAACTTTGTTAACAAGTATAGTTTTTTCCTTTTTCCCCGATCTATAAAATTACACCTATTACTGATCTGTGCTCTCAGTCTTGTGACCTTCTCTTGTGCTTCTCAGGGCTCGACCCAAGGTCCCTAAAGTTGTTATCCCTGAGGATATTGTACTGAGTTTGGCTTCCGCCGTCACAATCGAACTCAATGGAGCTCTTGCTATTCTTCGAGATATTGCATTGGAGAGAGATATTAGGAAGTTCATTGCGGTATATTTATAGATTCCAAATTGCTCCTTAATTCGATTATTTTCAGTTAAATTGATTGAAAGTGTAGTCGGATGATTAAATTGGCATGTCTTTAATTATGATCTGTTGACATGGGACACCTCTGGAATTTTAGGTGATTGCTGGGCTTTGGTTTATTTCCATAATTGGAAGCTGCTTCAACTTCTTGACCTTGTGTTACATCTGTAAGTCTTGTTTGGGATTATTTTGTCTGATCTCCTTTCTATTTCATTTATTCTTACAAGTAACAACGCAGGTATTGTATTGCTACACACACTGCCTCTGTTTTATGAAAAGTATGAGGATCAGGTGGATGCATTTGCGGAGAAAGCAGAGGCAGAGCTAAAGAAGCAGTACGCCATTTTCGATGCCAAGTTTTTGAGTAAAATTCCAAAAGGGCCATTGAAAGACAAGAAGCACCTGTGAAACCCTGTTGTGGCATGATATGTTGGCATACAGTGATTGGGAGGGGTAGTAGGCCCTCTGGTTTGAGTTGTGATTGAATTGTCTGATAGTAGAAACCCATGAGTTGGTTTTTGGGTTTGTTTATTATAACTAGTCAGCAAGCAATTTTCATGTCATGATGTTTTCAGTATAAGAGCTGCTGATAGCACAAGACATATAGGATAAATTATAAGTCAAGCATAAAGATAATGACGACGTGGAAGCTTTTAGGTTCAATCATATTATTCATGATATGATATATGTATGTGGTTTAGGGTTTAGAGATGTAGCAGCAATTGTGTTACGATTTATAGTATGTGAACTAATTTGGTCACACTACTTACTTACAGGGCAGGGCAGGGCAGTGCTGGTAGAAATAGATAAAAAATTAATTACTGGAGACACTCGAAAGCAAATATGCAAAATACAAATTTACACAGATTTGCAAAATCATCCCAACTCGTAAAATCTATCATGCATGCATGTAAAAAATAATTTAAACAAGGATTGAATCATGGCTCTACTAAAATCAAATCAATACTAATAATGGCAAGCAAGCAAGACCGGTTGCAATCTAGAAGACCACATAGAGACTAACCTGTGAAGTAGATTTGCACCGGTGACTCCCCCCTTCTATAGGAAGTAAGACAACTGCTGTTTCTTTCTTGAACCCCCCTCCCCATATAGATCGTTCCATTGCTTCAGCTCCGCCATTATGGATCCTTCGGAAGCAAAACTGGCAGCAACCTGAAAGAAAGAAGCATTCTTCAAGCTCAAGCTGTAACTCCAAATTTCGTAGACAATTTTGAGTACGTTACCTGATTCTTTGCCTGCCTCATATCCTGCATGTTTAGCGGTCTTAAAGAAATGGCTTTTTCTTCTTTAATTGCTGCTTCTTCCGATGCAGACTCAGCTTCAGAGCTCTTCCCTTCTTCGCCTTTCTGCTTCTTTTCCTACAAATAGACAACTTCTTGTAATTTCACGGATTGAGTATAAATTGTAGAGTCATGTTTCGACAAGTTCACTATACCTTGTCCTTCTGCCTCTCTTGCTGGATAAGTTCTCTCACCGGTCTGTAAGCAGCAGTTACGCATAAAATCTGGCTCCACCAGTAAGTTGCTGCAACAAGTCAGTGCCGGATGGATTGGAATGTAAGTCGACGACTGATTCAAGTATAAATATACAAACCTTGAGATCACTTCCACTGTAACCTTCAGTCATGGCTGCAAGTTCTTTTAAGTCTAGATCTTCCACTTTCTCTTTAGACAACAGGGTATTCAATATCTTCTCTCTGCTCTCCACTGAGGGTAGATCAACCATAATTCTGCTCAACACAAGATCAAAGTTCAGAGATGGTTGTGTTGTGGGTTGTTCGTAAGTGGGACTTGGAAAAGAATGAGTTGTGGTGTCGACACGGAAAAAACAGATGATGCGATGAGATGTGGAAGTGTACCTTCGCTCAAACCGTCTGATTATAGCTTCATCAAGGTCAAAAGGTCGGTTTGTAGCTGCAAGAACAAGAATGCGCTCACCGGGTCTTGTCAGCAGGCCATCCCAATGAGTCATAAATTCGTTCTTTATTTTCCTCATCGCTTCATGCTCTCCCACTCTTGTCCGCTGGCCAAGCATACTGTCAACTTCATCCACGAATATAATGGTTGGAGAAACCTTAGCTGCAAGGGTGAAAAGAGCTCGGACATTCTTTTCATCTTCCCCAAACCATTTTGAAGTGATGGTAGACATTGAGACGTTTATGAAGCTTGCGCCAGCTTCATTTGCAATGGCCTTGGCAAGCATTGTTTTTCCTGTTCCTGGAGGACCAAAGAGCAGTATGCCTCTGCACGGTTTCAGAAGCCCACCATTGAAAAGGTCTGGTCTTCGAAGGGGAAGAATGACCAACTCCTGAAGTGATTCTTTAATCCCATCCAGAGCACCAATGTCGGAAAATGTTACTCCAATCTCATTTGCAGGGACAACTTCTGGCCTTATGCGCTTCTCAAATTCGTTGTCGGGAGGGGCTTCCTGAGAGAATTTCAGTCAAGATGTAGTCAGTTAGATAGGATGGAAGGAAGAAAAGTTCAACATTGTATAAATAGGCAATTGAAATATTTCTACTATCTTCAGCTGTAAGAAACTAAAAAGATACACTCTTAAAACTGAATTAAACCATTTTATAGAAATCAGTGAACTGATACAAATGTAAATATAGAATAACTTTATATGTAGATAAATGTTCCGAGTTTTAGAAATAATATTGGTTTTGATTGTCAAGATAACAAAGTGGGAGATTATACCTCACTGTCTCCCATTTACAAAATAGTGTTTTAACATTCAAGGTTGCATAAAAAGATCCCTGCTTGCATGCGATGAAGCATGGTAGAAAAATAATATATAGATAGATTGATATAATATGAATCCTATGTTAAGTGAATTGTTATCGCGACTATAACTGCATAGTAGAAGAAGAGGATTAAAATTGCATGGATTTATCTGAGAGTTTTCATCTAATCGTAAATCTTTAATTCACTTGGATAATCAACAATTTCTAGGCTTACTGGCTTAGAGTTTGATGTATTTTCACCATCCATCTTCGCAGAAATTGATCTTTCTACCTCCGTCTTGTTTTCAAACTTTGTATCAGGTTTTGATCCAGCATTTTCTGTCCGTTCAGCACCATCCTAATGTAGAATGTTACAAGAACACTTAATACAACGAGAATCTGAAAAGATATATATACACACACACACATATATATATATATGATATAAAAGAGAGGTGTAATAATGGCATACCATGAAACACTCAGCATTGCTCTCCATTTTAAGGGAATCTTTGCCACTGCTTCTCCCCTCTTGAAAAATACTCAATCCGTGGGAGAGACTGCACCAATTGCTTTTTAAGTTAAGATAATGCGAGGGACAGTGTTCACAGTGTAGGATCCAATATGTACCTGTTAGATGTGATGACAAGCTTCCCATTGCGGAATTCTGGATTTTTGTTATTCATCAAATGGTATGACACTGCAGAAACAACAATTTCCTCTATATGGTTACTTAGATCTGTTGTGTCTGCATGACCAATCAATCCTAGATCATCACACTCGATATCATTTGCTGCAAGCACCTCAGCTATATGGTTCTTGTTGTCCTGAAATTGGATCTTCTTCAAATCCTCTTCCAGTTGAGATTTCCAGCTCACAAGATGAGTTTCGTCTTCAGGGGGTCTGATCTCAATATTATAGGGAAATAAACAACTAATTCTGTCATCGATTTGCTGAGAATTTTCAGGCTGGTTGGGTCTCCGGGAACCAAGAATCAAAATTGGTCCAGATAATTTCTTCAACATTTCATCAAACAATTTGTACAGTTTACAGGATTGCAGTAGAACTTTCTCAACATCTCGGATATAGAGAATGATGCAACTTGTTTGAGAAATTGAAACCAATGCCTGCAAATAACAATTTTCTTTTTGTTAATAATTGAGAATGAATAAAACACCACTGTGTTAAAGGAAGATAAGAAAAGAGATGAGTCAAGATTTAAAGAATGTCATATAGCTTCAGAACATCAGCATACTCAAATATTATACAGGAGAGTGATAATCAAATTGACAAGTTTACTTTAATTCGTAAAAGCCATCAATTATCATGCAATTACCTTGTATACTGACTGAAGGAAAATTTTCTCATCGAAACACCAGTTGTTGATGCGCTTGGGAGGAGCTATAAAATCAGAGAAACAACGATCAGCAAGATGCTACATATTCTATCATTTCAAAATCTGTTGAGTGCCATGAAATTAGCATATAGTACTATTCACCATAAACCGCATACTAAGCCAAAGAGCTTTAGAAAGATTTCCTTTTGGGGAAAGGAAAACTTGAATCACACAGGCATTTGAGTCCTACATTGTGTGTTGTACTTTAAGTGACGTGTGCATCGAGTACTACTACTTCAACCCATGGCTTCTAACTGCAAGTTCAGACTAGGCAATAAAAGCACGAAACTCTTACTAAAATTTTCTGATACAAATCTACACGACTTAATATGTGAATACTGACTCCAAATCTGTAGGGAAGCATGCAGTCTATTATTCCTCATTTGAAGTTTCCATTGAAAGTAATGACAGGAATAGATGCCAAATAAAACTAAACAATCACAAGATATCAACAAATTCTAAAACTGTGGATGCTACTATTCTCAAACATTAACCAGATATCAACTTTTACAGTCAGCCTAAGTAACTCTTTCCCTGGTTTGACATGAAAAATATGATAAAAAGAGCAGGTGAAGAACAAAAACTAAAATCCATCCAAAAGTGTATCACCAGCACCATATAATCTATGGAACATTTGAGTTCCTAAACATTTAAAAAAATGAAGAAGAGTACAGCGAATTGTGTTCGAACCTGTTTTGTCTTCTCTTGAAGGAAGAATAGAGAAGGAACCAAGAAAATTAGACATTTGTTCCATTGTTACTTCTGAGAGAGACCTCTGAATAGCATACATAAAAAATCAGTATCAGTATCAGTATAATATCTTCAACTCTTTGGGCATATTATGGAAATTAAATAAACAAAAACTTATTTAGTGTTAAATTTCATCATCATTTTTTAAAAAATTCTTTATTAAAAAAAAGATAATATACATAGTTACATACAATGTTACCCTTGGCGCCGCCATACTTGCTCTGCATCTGTGATCATTGACCAAATAAAAGATAACAAGTAAGTGTTTGAGCACAGTTAAACTGAAAGGATATATATACAGTGTATCAGCATACAAGATCAAAGTAATCATGCATGAGCACCTTAAGTGAAAAGTCGGCTATGTCGAGGAGGAGCAGCTTTGCTTCAAAATAATGTGCTAGAGCCTTAGCAAGCATTTGTTGGTATAGTTCTAGAAGAGAAGGAAAATTCACAACATTTACAGCAACATGAATTTAAGATCAATATTTAGATTAAACTTAGATATGCAAGGCATAAAAATATATCAAACCTGCAGGTCCCGTGAGCAATATAGTCCGACTTGCTGGAGAAAGGTTCCGAGTGTGCTTAGAGACATTTAAGTGTTTCAGATGGACATATGCTGCACTTGTCAATAATATACGTGTGCGTTCACTGCACAGTGATTGAAAAGGCAAATGAAAAATTTTGTTATCATATCCTACCATCACAGAATTCCTAAAGCTGGGTAAAATCAGAGAACAAGGTCGGATGCTATTTATCTCTGGATACACAAAATTAAATGGCTTCAAAATAACTTGTGTTTCTCCGTTTAAATGTATCTTTATGTACAGGAGCAAAAGACAAAAAAAGGATCGAACTCAGGCTATCTGTGCATCGAATGGTAAGTTAATGGAAGATGTTCAAAATGGGGACTAGCTATAAATTATTTAGGTCATCACAAGCCATGAGTCTTGGCCGCAAAGATTTTAATGTTAAATTCCAAAATGTCTATTAATGGAAAACCGAACTTCGAGAAGATTTCAGGGAATCATATCACCAAAGCGTACAACCGTTCAAGTAACACCACATGTCCACAAAGTATTACCCCGATAAACTAACAAGATTAAAGCATCACTTTCTGGTATATAACAACAAGTGAATTCCATGACGCAACTTTGGTTAGCAACAAACAATCCATAAGAAAACAAATTTTGAAGAATTTGGCCAAGCAAACAAAAGTTATATAATTCGTCTCACAATCCATAACACGTTCAACACAAAAAACAAGTTCCAGAGCACGTGAAAAACCTTAACTTGTGTTTAACTTATCTTCTCAAAATTCACCTGAGATAATACGGAAACTCATTAAAGGTAACTTTGCTCTCCTTTCCATCAACCACCAATTGAAACAGTTCCATGTGCATTTCCTCGGCGGAGATGCCTCCACCAGCTGAGGAGCAAGTCCATCGACCGAGTGTGGAAGCAGAAGCCAAACCGAGGCCTAATCCTACACCGACACTCAATGCAGACAACAAAGCGTGCTTCTGCTCCATCACACCTCGATCATCATCTCAAACACCAAAAAATTTAAAAAATTCCAAACGACAACGTGTTCCAGCAGGTATAATCTACTGGACAACAACTGAGTAATTTAGGGAGATGGTAACGCACCGATGGCCTCAGTATCTCACTGACAAGTGAGCAGCTTCGATCGAATTGTGGTGGCGCGCAGTATTTATAGTCAGAGGCGGAAGACCGACGTAGACGACGGAGGAGCTTTGGTCCCATTGGATATTAAAAAAAATAAAAATAAAAGATACTTTTAAAATATAATAAATGAGTAGGTAGTAAACCATTGTATTGTATGAAATATTGTAATTAAACCATATTTATTACTATTATTATTATGATTATTGTGTGTGTAAGTAATTGCAAGTTGCAAAGAGAGGTGTGGTGCAATATTCGATGTATTTTGGTTGATGAATTATTATTATTATTATTATTATTATTATTATTATTATACAATAATAATCATTTAGTGATGATTTAAGTTGTTCTTTAGCAATGATGAGCAGCTGCCTGCCTTTTAGTGAGTCGATGAGTTACATTACATTACATTACATGAACGGTCTTCAATAATCCAACGGGTCCATTGCACGTGCCAGGAAAAAACCAAATTCGATCGGCATTATTTATTCAATTTTCAGTAATATTGATTAAGTAATTATATATTGATTTTTACTTGAGACCATGGAATATATCTATATTTGGATCATTCGTATTATTGAAGAAATGAGAAAAGGAAGTTTAGGAGACATATATGTTGATTAAATAAAAACACAGACATGATTTGTAGTGATCGAGTGTGCGAGTGATGTTAGAAGTGGACAGTGAGTGTGTGTGTGTCAATTGGTGCACCTTTTTGATGGATGGGTAAGTGGGGATCCTTATCAGGCTTACCACTTACCACAACTCAAGATTTGTTACTTTTTATACTTATTATTGTAGAATTTAAATCTGAACTATTTTTTAAGATAAATACAAACTAGTGGACTAGACATAAGTGGATGTAATATTGAACAATACCATACTTATTAGATACAACATGAAGGAGGAACGGAACACAAGAGTTGAGTTGAGTTGAGTTGTGTAATAAAGCTGTCTCTCCTATGTGGTCGTTTCCCACGTCAGCACCACATGGCTCCGTGATTGGTGGATTCCACGTCACTTGTGGGCATCTCCTGCTTAGTCAATTTTCAAATAGTATTAGTATTATTAACCACCACAGGCTGCATTGCACCAACATTAACAGTTGCACTTGCACTTGCACTTGCACACGCCATACATGCTTCTACTTATATATTTCTTCTTGGTTTTATTTTTATAATTAGTGGGAGTGGGAGTGGGAGATCCATTCGGATCTTGTCACCCCCAATCCATGCACATGCACATGCACTAATATATATGTTTTAAGTATTTTAATTAATATATGCATGGTGTTTGGGCCGTACAAAAAATGTTCATTTATGGACAATATATATGTGATGTGATGTGATGTGATTTGACACTAGTGTGAGAGAATCCTCCACTCCGCATAAAACTTTTAAATAGAAGCTCTCTCTCTCTCTCTCTCTCTCTCTCTCTCTCTCTCTCTCTCTCTCTCTCTCTCTCTCTTTGCAATTAATTTGCATGTTTATACTATAGATATACCACTAGCTAGCTAGGCTTGTGACATGTCGGATCCATGGGAGCTCCCCTGACCTGATCAATCGACACCCCTTCATTTCCAAACCATTTGATGCGGGGGCTGCCGTCGCCACTCTATGTAAGTAATTAATATTATTACATGGTGATGGTGGGGTGTTGAAGAATGTTGTTGCATGTACTTGAGGAATTATTATGCCTCCCTGTCCCTGTCCCTCTCTCTCACTGTGCTTGTGTTGTCATCTTTTGCAGAATTAAGATCAGAAAGAGATGTTAGTTTGTCATTTTCATCTTAATTAATTGGTTTAATTAATTAATCTCCAAAAAGCCTCACCATGCAACAATATTATAGTACATATATTAATCCCCTTCACTTCCCATGGTCTCGTCTCGTCTCATGAAAATTAAACTAACACTCACATGACATGATCACATGTTTGAGTAGAATGAATCCAACAACCCACCTTCTATTCGTCTTAATTAATTAATTATTCATCATCACACTAAATATATACACATATTATATTATAGACAAAAATAAAAAAATAAAAAAATTGTGTTATATTTAATAAACACAAAAATTTGTACAAATTATATTTGATTTGAATTTAAAGCGGATGCTGTTATCAAAATAGGTCATTTGATTCTCCTTCCGGGTAGATTTGTTTTCCAATTTGGTTTTCTATGGCTTCTTTGATGGGAAACTATTTGGTCTTCGGTTTGGTTTTGTGAGTTTTGGTCTCCGTGCAGACGATTTGATCATTGACTTTGGATTTGATGTCCTCTTTGGACGATCCGAGACTTTAATATTTGATTTGGCTTTTCTGTCTTTTGAAGGGCTTTAGTCTCCGTGTAGGCGATTACATCATCGGCTTTGGATTTATGTCTTTTTAGACGATCCGAGCCTTTGATATTTGATTTGATTTTCCCGCCTTTTGGAGGGCCTTGATCTGCACGTTGGCAAATTGATCATCAGCTTTGAATTTGGTGCCTTCTTTGGACGATCCGAGACTTTGATTTTTGATTTGGCTTTGCCGCTTTTGAAGGACTTTGGTCTCTGTGTGGACAATTTGATCATCAGCTTTGAATTTCGTGTATTCTTTGGAGAATCCGAAGCTTTAACTATATGTATCCACGTTAAGATTGATTATAAATATCCTCGTCCTTGGTGATGGAGAGAGGATGATTCAGATATACGATCATCTCTGACCCGTACATTTCTTACATGTACAGTACAGACGACAAACCCACCTTAATTAATTAGCTTGCAATTGCATCATCTGAATTAATTAATTAATTAAGTGAGACTCGACTCTGCAGAGTGAGAGGCAATCTAGCAAGCAAGCCCATCCCATGCATGTGTGGGTGGAATGTTTAATACCTGAATTAAGAAATAAAATCTATTAATCGATAATATTTATTCATACATTAATAACTAGCTAGAGAGAGCACTGCAAGAAAAATACAATTAAAGAGACAATTATTATTTATTAAATAAAAACAGGATGCATGGTGATGGTCCTAACTAGCTAAACTACCAATTATTCTTGTAGGTCAGACCTCACCCCACTCAAAAAAATTAAAAAAAAATACACATCTCGACCAGCAGCAACTGCAGTTTGCTTGAATTTATTTTGGAATATATATATATATAATGGACACACACAGAGACCTATATAATAGAATAGAAACAATTATTAATGATCAAAAAGGTGATATCAAATCAAACTCCAAAACAAATCAACCAAAGCCACACAACACAACCACTGCCCTAATTGACTATTAAATAATTATATTGACTCCTTTGATTTTATCTATTTGCTTAATTTCTTGCCTGCAATATTCATATTATTACATTGCATGTTACATTTTTAGTGACATTTGAACTTTAATTAATTAATTAATTATATATAATCTATGTGTGAATTGTGATGGAGACATCATCACATCAGCCATCAGGTTTGTGCTGCTGCTCACTTTTCCTTTTTAGGTCCCAAGGAAATACCAATAGCATATTCCGATCCGTTGGTTCTAATCTTACACACACACACTTGTCCACACTTTAACTCCTGCTTATCAATACTATCGTCACTGTTGAAAGAATACCGGAAGAAGGTCAAAATGCAAACCAAAATTAGATTCGACATACTCTTTAAGCGTGGTCACGCCCAAGCAGTGTATTCAAACTGTTCCACCAAAACCTTTGCTTTCAATCAATTATTTTTCTACCAAAAAAGATGAATGACAACCACCAATAAAAACGGAAATAACAATACGAGACACCGAAACTTTTAACGTGGAAAACTCCTTCAAAGTGAAGGATAAAAACCACGAGGCCTATCACCCGACCCAAGGCAAAATCCACTATCTCAAAAGGTTCGTACAATCAAAAGGGCTATCAACCTCCACACCCAAATACAAGAATCGAACCCCAATCACAAGAGATCTCCCAACTACAAACAACCCATTCCAATCCCCAACCAATAAGATTCAAAATTGAATCCAAACAAATAAGGAGAAATCAACGATACCAAAAGGAACATCCGAAGATGACGAGACCGTTGATCGGAACCGAGTTGAAATTATCTCTTACTTGTCGATTCTCTCGCGTGCGTGGATTACAATTGTCTCTCTCAATCTCTACCAATCTCTACACCCAATTGACCCCTCTCCCAACAAAGGCGGCTAGGGCAACAAATGACAAAAGTGGGTTTTTAATTCTTCTTGGGCCAACTTGAATTGTTGGGCCTCCAACATATAGGAGGAACCCAAACCCAACAATTCTCCCCTTTCCAACTATGTGGAGGACACAACCAACCCTGCAGCCATCATGCAGAACTCGAACTTGTCTCTTGGAAGACTTTTAGTGCACATATCCGCACCATTTTCATCTGTGTGGATTTTATCAACTTCAATCAACTTAGAATCCAAAACCTCTCGAATCCAATGATACCTTGTATCAATATGTTTCGATCTCCCATGAAATGTCGGATTCTTGCTAAGATGGATCGCACTTTGATTGTCGCAATACAAAATACTTTTGTTGAGCGAAACCGATTTCACTCACAAAAGTCTTCAACCATAATAACTCCTTGCAAGCTTTAGTAGCAGCAATAAAATCCGCCTCGGTGGAAGATAGTGCAACACATTTCTGCAACCGGGATTGCCATGAAATAGCTCCCCCTGCATTAGTTATCAAGTATCTAGAAGTAGACTTCCTATTATCAATATCTCCAGCCATATTAGAATCTGTATAACCAACAAGCTCCGGCTTATCAGTACCAAAGCACAACCTCATACTCGAAGTTCCCCGAAGATATTTCAAAATCCATTTCACTGCACTCCAATGCTTTTTGCCAGGATTCGACATGAATCGGCTGACAACACCAACTGCGTGAGCTATGTCCGGCCGAGTACACACCATGGAGTACATCAAACTTCCAACTGCTGAGGCATAAGGAATCCGATGCATATCTTCC